GCTTTTATTGCACATAACCGGCGGACCGAGACACAGTGACTGATGCAGCTCCACAATGCGGGATTGGTTTTTTTTTTTTTTTTTTTTTTTTTTTTGCTTTGGAGAAGCCTCCTGAGCAAAGGGATAAGTGGCGATGGGAGTGGAGCATAGCGTGTTGGTTTATTGCTTGAAAACGGCATACGAACAAAGACAAGCAACACTTCGCCGCTCGCATATGCAAAAAAAGATCATCGCATCATCTCTCCGCGTGTATGAAACGGAGCTTAGGATCAATCAAGCAATTGCTTCGCCAAGGATCTCGGGTGAATAGTCACTCGCTCTAGTCGGGTTGGTGTTGTTTGTGGTAAAAACAAGCATCACATGGCAACTTACCGCAGTGCTATGGCGCTTGGAGCCAAGCTGTCCATTCCATGTCTTATTAAAATAACAACTGGAGGTTCCTACGTTGCTTTCGTACATAGCGTTCTGGTTTCGCCGCAGAAGAGTCACCAAGGTTGCTTCGCTCTTTCGCCGGCTTCCAGCTGCCAAAGCATGTCTTTGACCCATGTCGATAAACCCACGTGGGCAATGATTAAACGAGCGATCCAAAGCTCTTAACCTAGGAACAGCCACTTGGCATGCATCGTCCTTCCGCTGCATGCGCGCGGCAAGGATCGAGTCTCCGTGTGATCGCATCTTCAGTCAAGACTCGGGCTGAGCGCAATCAAGCTGAAGCGCAAGTCGCCACCACCAGCCTCCTGTTCCCGCTTCAGGAAGCTTCGGACGCCAAGGTCAAGGGCCTTTTCCGAGAGGACGTCCTCGTCCGCTGTGAGAACACCCCGATCGAGAGGTCCCTTGCGCCTTCCGTCCATTTCCCAGAGATGGTTGTCCTCCGACTTGATGAAGCAAACAAAGTGCAGGTCGACAGAAACATCAGCCTCGGGTGCAGAAGTATCTCCACCGGTAGCTGCTGACTGGTGAGCACTCTCCAGTGCCTGAGATTCATAGAGGAGTTCAGCGCGTTCAACAGGCTTGAGGGGGATGGCGTCAGAGATCAACTTTGAGAGGTTACTGTTAGGCTCTGGAGATGGTCAGTTTCACTTCGCGATGTTTCGTTCCTGCTTGGTGTCAACAAACCGATGTAAGAGCGGGCCGCGCCGTTGGACACGCCATGAAGCAGGCCGATAAGACCACAAGCGTTACCGATCGTCTGCTTGTACCATACGACGGGCTCATCTGGGCCGGAGCCCTGATACTCAGGCTTCGGAGAATCCTCCTGCACCCTGAACTTCTCATAGGTTTCGCTGACTGGGAAGATGAGAAGGAGAGCGAGCGCGGGTCGAGGGACGAACGCAAGGAGTTCCGGCTCGTCGATACTGAAGACGTCATGGAAAGCAAGCTTTTCGGACAAACCGAGCTTGTGCACTAGCAACGACATAACTTCGGGGTTGTTCTCTTGCAGACACGTTAGGTGCTACTGTCTGTACAGTATCCATGGCGACGAGTTGCTTACCCAGCGGAACAAACCTCTTCCTGCCCTTGGGCACGTCTGCATCCGGCGCGTGCATGTCGACGCGCTCTTGCTCTGTCGGGGCCATCTTGGAACGTGGGGCGGAGTTGTAGGTCCCTGGGTTGTTGTTTGGTGCAGGTAGGTTGGCTAGTTGTCGGAGCTTCACGCGTCGCGACGGCAGCTACCCACCTTTAGGGCTTAATGACGTGCGGCCGCAGCGGGGTCCGCAGCACAGGGCAATGGACGGGACCTGAATAAGTCCCGACCAATTTGTATGCGATACATAGAGCTAACTGTAGCCGGAACAAATAATTCGCAGCAGAGTTGATATTCTTCTTGTATAGTCCTTGGTCTTGTTTTATTATAACTGTCCGGTCCACAGTTGATGTCTATTTTAGGTCTGATTATATCCATCACACTATGCATATAGCTAAATATGTATAGTCCTCGTTATTATCTATCTACTGTAGGTCTGAATGTGTCCATAACACTGCGCGACGAAAACGGACATGACCGAATCAACCACACCTCAAGTCTGCAGCACAGGACAAAAATACGGGCATAGCCATCACTTTCATCGTAACGTTTTCCACTGCCATCATAACGTTTCTTTGGCGCAGGCAATGACTGCACTTGACTCCTGTTTGTGGTATCCATGTTCCCCTTATGACCCTGGCATTCCATGCTCCCAAAACCCCCATAAACGCCGAGGATATGCAATGTGTGTACTAGTGAAAGAATGGGCCCATGTGAAAATGGACCCTGTCGCCCAGCAATTCCTGGGCTTTTCCATCCCAGCCCTCAAAATGAAACAATCCTACTTGCAGAACCAGCTCGTTGTCCACCATTTTCGGTCTGATTAGAGCATATCGTCTCGCTCGGATTTGATGCAAGGCTCAGGCTTGATGTGTAGTTCAGCTCGGAATGATGACACAGTCCCGATGTACGGCTCTTAACCGTTATGCGGTTCAGTCTTAACGCGCGGTTCAGCTGTGATGTGCGGCAACTGGAGCAAGCTACTCGCGATCCCTCCGATAGGGTTGGGGTTGGGCTCGGATTTGACCCTAGATACCCCGGCATTGAAGAAGTCGTGAGTTTCCCTGTAAGCAGCGTCTGCAAGTTTGCAGAGTTCAGCAATGAGTAGCGCGAGGATGCTAAAATAATAATCTCTAGTTTCCAGGCCTACTGCTGTTGTTGCTGACAATCTTGATCTTGTCGGCCTGCAACGTCTGCGAGTTGTCCATTTTGAACGTGATGTCCTTGATGATAAAGGTCCAGACGTCGTCGCAAAAGCGGTAGGTGTCAAGGTGTCCCTGGGGACGAGGCTTGTCAGAGGCGTTGCTTTACACTGGATGTGTCATGTAGCGCATACCTTGAAGCTCATGCGAGCCTTCACCTTGTCCGAGATGACGTCGGCCAGGGCCTTGTCGAAGTTCTGCATGATCTTGATGGCCAGCTGAGGCTCCATGCGCCGGGTGCTAATCAGCTCATCGAGCGTGTCCATCAACGTAAGACCGATGCTGCGGCTCGTTAACAATCTATGCCAGGGCTCAGCGAAAGACACGACAAGTACCTGGTCTTGCGGTAGATCTCGTAGTAGTTGAGATCCGACATGGCGATTGGCTGCTCGTCGACTGGCCCGGCGTTGCAGAGGAAGGGGAGACGGGAAGGTGGAAGGTCGGCGTGGTCGGCGCGTGGTCGGCAGGTCGGCGAGCGTCAGGCGCGGTCCGTGCATCGACGTGGACGCGACTGCCTTAGTCAGCGGGCACCGGGGGAGCCTGGAGTTGCAGCAGGCACCCAAGTACAGACAGAGTAAATGCACTGAAAACTACCCCAGTTGCACCATGGAATGCTCGTATCCGCCTAGTTGGCAAAAATCTCTCGGATGTCTTCCGACTTGAAGAAACCATTTACTACCTACATCATGCCGCGATAACGTCCAACCACATCTCATCCGATAATTAGCCCAAACCCCGCCAACGTACAACAATGTCACAGCAACTCAAAGCCGCAATTCTCATCATCTCCGAGACGGCCGCCCAAGACCCGTCAACGGACAAATGCGGGTCCGTGCTCCAAGATGTGTTCCGCGAAGATGGCGGCGATCAATGGGACGTTGAGAGGACCGAGATCGTGCCTGACAGCGTGCTGGAAATCCAGCAATTTGTGCAGCGGTGGACGGATCACGATGATGCAGTCAACTTAATCGTCACGAGCGGTGGCACTGGGTTCGCTGTCAAGGACAACACGCCTGAGGTAAGTTTTGTAGCTGGTGGCGCGCTTCGAGTGTGGTCTTGACGTGAGTGTACAGGCCGTTACGCCGTTGATACACAGACATGCGCCTGGCTTGGTGTAGGTTTTTTCTTTCTTTGAGTCCAACTGTTTGCTACTTGTTCTCATTGCTTTATTCGTCGGATAGGCACGGGATGCTCGCTTCTTCGTTCACGGTCACGCCTTGTAAGTCCCTACCTTTATGCCGATTGCCGATTCCGCGACTAACAATGATCAGTTGCCATGATGGCACGCCCTGTCGCAGGAGTACGTCGGCAGACCCTCATCATTACGCTTCCGGGTTCCCCAAAGGGTGCCAAAGAGAATCTCAAAGCTGTGCTAAAGTTACTTCCTCATGCCTGCGTCCAAGCTGCTGGAGCTAACTCGCGGGAAATCCACGCGGGTGGCATCAAGAAGCTTGAAAAAGAAGCCGGTGTGGAAGGGGGAGCCACCCCGGAAGGTAAGACGTTACGCAACTAAATCTTCCCTAGCATAATACGTACCATGCTAACAAGTTCTCAGGAAACAAAAATGGACACCATCACCATCACCACCACCACGGACATGGGCACGGACATGGCCATGGCCACGGAGGCCATGCTGGACCAAGGGCACACACAGATTCTGAATCGCACCCGCAGTCTAACGATCCCAGCGCCGGGCCGACCCGGCGCTACAGATCATCACCATATCCAATGCTCTCGGTCGACGAGGCTCTGAAGCTGATAGCAGAGCACACTCCCGCCCCAACCGCCGTCGAAGTCCCCGTCAATGAGGACATCATCGGATGCGTCCTTGCGGAGGACGTCAAAGCGCCTGAATCCGTGCCCGCGTTCCGCGCCAGCATCGTCGACGGCTATGCCGTGCGGATCCCCGAGTCCGGCACTTTCGAGAAGGGCGTGTATCCCGTGGCATCGGTCTCGCACGCGCAAGCTGGCACCATCGCCCCACTGGAAGAAGGGCAAATCGCACGCATCACCACCGGCGCGCCGCTGCCGCCTCGCGCCTCAGCCGTGATCATGGTGGAAGACACGGTCCTCAAGAGCAAGACAGACGACGGACAAGAAGAGAAAGACGTCGAGATCCTGACATCGGCGATCCAGCCCGGCGAAAACGTCCGCGAAGTCGGCAGCGACGTGCAAGCCGGCGCCACAATCATGAAGGCGGGCGAGGGCATCACGAGCGTGGGCGGGGAGCTCGGCCTGCTCGCCTCCGTGGGCGTGCGCGGTGCGCACGTCTACAGGAAACCCGTTGTCGGCGTGCTCAGCACCGGCGACGAACTTGTGCCCTCGCACGAGCGGCCCGGCGCACTGCGCTTGGGCGAAGTGCGCGATACGAACCGACCAACCCTGCTGACCACGGCGCGAGGAGCGGGCTTCGAGGCCATAGACTTGGGCATTGCGCCCGACGGTCCGGGTGCGCTAGAAGAAGCGCTACGCGCGGCGCTGCGCCGGGTGGACGTGGTGATCACGTCCGGGGGCGTGTCGATGGGGGAGCTAGACCTGCTGAAGCCGACGGTGGAGCGCGCGCTGGGCGGGACGATACGCTTCGGCCGCGTGGCGATGAAGCCGGGGAAGCCGACGACGTTCGCGACGGTCCCGATCAAGGACAGCGACAGCGGCGCGCGCGCGGACAAGCTCGTCTTCGCGCTGCCCGGCAACCCTGCCAGCGCCGTCGTTACATTTCAGCTGTTTGTGCTGCCGAGCCTGCATGCTGCCGCGGGGGTGAAGCCCGCGGGCTTGCCGCGCGTCCGCGTCGTCCTGGATAAGGACGTCCCGTGCGACGATAAGAGGGCCGAGTACCATCGCGCGCTGGTCGTGGTGCGCCCGGATGGCACGTTGGGCGCCAGTAGTACGGGCGGGCAGCGCAGCAGCCGGATTGGCAGCTTCAAGGGCGCGAATGCGTTGCTGTGCATGCCGGCGAAGAAGGGCGTGGTTGGTAAGGGCGAGACGGTCGAGGCGCTGATGATGGGGCCGCTGGTCAGTGAGTTGGGGAGGGGATTGTAGGGTTTTGCAACAACAGTGACTATAAATCGTTCTCAAGATGCTTCTTCGCACGATATTTCTACCTGAGCCGGTGAAAGCGATTACTAGTAACTAGGAAGAGAAAGACCAAGTGATGCTAGCTAATTATTGTGAACAACTGTGTGAAAAACACTGCTGTCTCCAATGCCATTGCAATCGGTGGGAGTACTGTGATATTACATAGAGTCGACGCGACCTGGTGAAAAACCAATGGTGTCGAAACCGCTTCAAATACAATGTGCTGAATGGAGTCGATGGAAAGTATAAACCTTTTCGCAGTGTGTAACGACATTGGTATCGTCAATTGGACCAAGGGGGGTAGGCCGTCAACATATAGTCCGGAACGTTTACACCTGCATTAGTAGCGAAATAGTGTAGCTCAGCGTAGCGTCCCTTAGCGAAGTCAAAGGACTGTGTCATGCGATGAAGGTCTTCCGCAAGCTGACCCTGATCTCCAGTCTGCTGTTGCAACGCCTCGTGATCGTTCCTAAGGCGGGTGTTTTCGGTCCTTAGCTGGCGACGTTCCAGCTTGAGTCGCGAGCACGTTTCCTTCAGCGTATCGATTCGGTCGGCCTGGTCGGTGGCAAGCTGGCATTTGCGTTCGCAAGCGTCCTCGAGCTGCTTACACCGCTCCTTGTACTCGTCCTTTCTCTTGCGAACTGCGGCGAGCTCTTCCTTGATCGCTCGGAGTTGGGTTCTGTCGCTTTGAGCTGCCGTCTTCTTCCGCTTTGGGGGCGGCTCGTCGACTCCACTGGCTTCGGAATATACGTAATCTCTGTCGGATTCGTCTTCATCGTCGTATTTATGCTGCGGTTCTTCTGGATCGTCGTCGTCGTCGTCGTCGTCGTCGTCGTCGAGGTCAGGTAGAGTGAAGAGACCCGATGAGATTGAATCGCATTGTCGAGCTGAGGCGGGCGGACCAGATACCGATTGCTTCCTAGCCGCCTGCTCCTCACCCTGGACGTATCTCCAAATGTGTGGATCAATGCCGACCTCATGAGCCGAATAACCGCTAAGCGGCGACCGCTTCGTCAAGCGCCCTCGATTGCTAAAGTGATATTTGAAAGCGGTCACTTTGGTGTTTCCTGGCCCGGTTACCATGAAGTGAGGTAGAAGGTGCTGGATTTCCCCCTTCTTCCAGCCTCCGGGACGCTTCTTAAGAGCGTTTTCTTTGTCGGATAGTGAGTACTTGTTCTGGGTATACCGGTGGAGTTCGTCGACGATAACTTAAAGGTCTTGTGGCAGGCGTCGCTTCGGCGCTGTGACGGTGGCATTGTTGACACTTCCGGGTCCTGTCGGTGGAGATGGTGCGGTAGTGTGCTGATCGCCATCGTTTTCACCCGAGTCCGATGAGGAAGAGGAGTCAGAGGAGCTCGACATCATGATGAGTGTCGAAGCGGTTCAAGACCTTAGTGTGAAGAATGGAAGATGATAGGACGGGGTGCTTGATGCGATGGTTGAAGGTTGAAAGTTGGACGTTGAAGTTTGAAAGGTGAAAGGCGAAAGGTGAAGTGTGAAGGTGAAGGGTGAAGGTGAAGGGTGAAGTGTTAAGAGTGAAAGATGACGTACATTAAGCCTAGTTAAATGACAGCGGACTCATCGCTTCAAACAGCAGAGAACGTGTCTTCCCTTAAACCCCAGGATGGACAGTCCACAGACATTGCATGTCGACAGGCCCAAGATTGACAGCGACAACAGCACCGCGGAAAACGATTATGCGCAACCAGGCAGGCGCCAAATTACGCAGATACAAACAGGCCTGACACGGCGCACACAGCCTGCTACAGCAGAGAGGTCGATAGCTAAAGAACCGCCAACATGCGCGCCCCCTCTGTCCCTTAACCACTCTCTACAATCCCCGTACAAATGCAGCATTCCAGCATCTATTCTACTTCCTTCTCCTTCTGCTCTCCCTGCTCCGCCTTCTCTTCCACAGCAGCTTCAGCCGCAGGCGGCGCGGCCGCCGGCTGCTTCTCCACCGGCTTTTTCGGCTTCGCCGCCTCCTCCGGGAACAACTCCGAGAAGAGGCTGGGCAGGAACCGGTCTAGCTTCTTCCACGTCTCTGTCCACAGCTCTTCCTGCTCTGGCTTCTCGTCTGGCGGCGCTAGGTATCCGCTGCTGGACATGACGAGTAAGATGTTCTTCAGGCTTTCTGGAACGGCTTCCACCTATAATCGTGTGTTAGCGTGCTGAGCGACAGATATAACGGCACCTTCCAGTGCCTTGTGGGTTGGACTTACCAGGTTGTCGCCCTGTCCGCTGTTCATCAGTCTGTCCATGATGCTCAGGATCTTGAGCCAGAGGTCCAGCATGCCATCCCACTCTGAAAGCGCGACAAGGTAGTGCAAGAAGATTTTGCAAAGCAGGGTCGCTGCCTCTACCCTTGTCTCACCCATGCCGCTAGGATCTCTCTGGAACACTTCAGGCTTCAAGAGCTGGTTGATGAGTGGGAACAACACGTCCCCGAAAATTTTCGTCCACTCCTTGTGGTCGGAAGAGGCGAGGTCGCTGGAGAGCAGTGTCCGCTGCAGTGACGTGAAGGCTTGATGCCGGACCTCGCGGCAAGGGTTAAGGCATTGAGTCGTAAGCGAGTGGAAGATAGGTGACCAATAGGCATTCCAAGCTAGCAAGTGTCAGTACTGATATCCTTTAGCTGCGGCAGCCGAGAAACATTACCTTCATTGGTCTCGAGTTGAGACTGCTCGATGAAACCCGGCACACGACTCGTCAACTGGTAAATGATAGCCATAGCCTGCGAACCACGAGTAACCACCTCGTTTGGCTGCGACTTCTTTGGCCTCGGCTTTCCTCTGCGCGTCGCAGCATCGAGCCGTTGCTCTTCCGCGGCACCTGCGCTCCCTGCCGTGGCAAAGTCATTGAGTAAAGCGACTGCCGCCTCATAATTATCCGTAGAGATTCCTGGTGGGGAAGACGTTGCCAATTTCTCCACAATCCCGAAGACCTGAGGAGCTGCCTCAGGGATGACCTGTAACGTACGGAGGAGCGTCCAAAAGTCGGGTGAGTTGACGAGCTCGTTCCGGAGGTTAACGGGGCCGTTGATGCAGTCCGTCAAGCCCTTCAGAAGAGACATGGAGGTTTGTTTGAGCGTATTACGATCAAAGTTGGAGAAATCGTGGAGGACGACCGGAGCGCGGATGAAGTCGTGGTCGTTGCTAGCCTTCAAGAGATTCAAGAGGTAGTAGACTGCACGAGAAAGAATGACAGGATGGGTGTTGCTGGCATCACGGATGACCTCATGCAACTTATCTGCCACATCTTTGCCAATAACCTCAATCGTCTCCGCATCTCTAAGCGCAAGAAGTGTACCCAGCTCCAATACAAAGACGGATGAAGGGTCGTACTGAGGTCCCTTTGAGTTTGGTGGCCTGCCATTCGGTCTCAACGGGCTTGGCGCTGGCAGGTCCGATTTCACGACGATGACGCGCGGTGCTTCGTCCTCGGGGAGTTGCGAAAGGAGCTTTCCCACAAAGGAACGAAGAGCCTCCGCGGGCATATGGCTGTAATTCGCTGTTAGAGATATCTATTGAGATAGTATGCTGACACTAACCTGATGTTTTCAAAGATGCCTGGGAAATCGCAAGTGCTGACGCAGTCCACAGTGCAAAGAGTGTACTCGATCTCCGCATCTGACGGCTCAGGGGGCTCGTCGTTGGCGAAGCTGAAGATGGATGAAGCAAAAGACGAGAACAGACTTATTTCATTCTGTCTCTGCTCTCGGTCGATGACCTGAGCCGGGTTTTGCAATGGAATGGGAGGCAGTTCTAGCGTGTTGGGTATAGACGAGAAGGAAGATGGTATTAAGGAGTTGACAAAGAGGTTGAGTATTACACGGACAAGCTAAGTCAACTGTTAGCGGCATATGTGAAATCCGGGTCTAAAGGTGGCTTACATTGCTCCATCCCTCGCGTATGAACGATTCGTTTCCATTGACAATCCGGAAGAGCAAAACGGTAGCCAGTTGGGCCTTGTCGTCACGACCAAACCTGACGGCCATTTCACTGACCATGATCTTCTCGGACTGTTTATCAGCCTGGACCTCAGTATTCAAGGCCGTGCTCGGTGGCACCTCAGGCGCCAGCGTGCTGATTGAACTCAAACTGTAAATTATGCGGTCCATGCATTCAGTCAACCCATGCTTCGCAGCAATCTGCGCGCACTGATAGAAGCCTGTGACAACGCGCGAGAAGACTGCGTCGTCGGAAGCCGACATGAAGACGAAAGAAAGTGTCGCAACAATTGGCTGCCAAGTGGCTGCAAACATCTCGGCATCGAAGATGTTGGTGTCGCAAATGATTAGGTCCGAAGCAGACTGGACCTTCATCTGCAGCTCTTTCCACGCATGGTCGTAAGCGTGCTTGTTGTCGTGCTCTTCTGGCAGGATGATTTCTCGCGTCTTGATGGAGTCGTAAATGGCCTGCAGATATTCACGCGCGAAATCCTGTCCGCCGTTAACACCACGTAGGTTTCTAGAGAAATCTTCCAGAGACATGCGCTTATCCGCTTTGATGTTCGGATTGTGCTGGTCGGTGTTTAACATAATGATCGCATATGTCAGAACGTAAACGGCATCCTTGTCCACGACCCCCTCTGGAGTGTCGTTGGCGCAGTATTTCTCCGCAAATTGCGTAACGATGCGCTCAATCAGCTGCGACTCTCCAGGCAAGCGGAAAGTGTTCAGCAGCTGTCGCAATGCTTCGTCGACTCTTTGACCTGAGAAATCAAAAGACTCCATGAACGCCGCAAGGATCTCTTGGTTGGCTCCCTTTGAGAGGTACTCACCAAGTACCTTCTTGTCAAGCCTTGTCGTGCCTTTGATGAATTGCGCGATATGTTGAGGATTTTGCGGATCTTCAATGATACCTTGAGAGGCTAGGAAGGCCATGCCTCCCTTAGGACTCTCGTTGAATTTTTTCGCGCCACGAATGATCACCTTCTTCTGGGCTCGTTGCGTTCTCAGCTGATCCACGTTGGGATAACCTTCAGTAACAGGCTCCTCATCCAAGCGATCTGCTATCGTCTGGATATAACCCAACAGAGCATCAAGGCACAGAGGTGGTACATTGGTCGTGCTCCAGGTTGCTGAATCCGGGAAGGCATTGCGAGATAGTAGGCCAATCATGTCCATACACAAATCGCTTCGGTCGTTCTCACAATCGTAGTTGACGAAAAGTTCAACCAGGAAGGAGGGTATCCTGACCAGAGCGCCAACACTTTCCACCATGGCTTCTCTCGCATCAGGTTTCCTGGAGCCGCCCTCAAGCCCGAGCCTCTGTCGATCTCTAACCGGTACAGGGGTTGCCCTGCCGCTAGCTACGCCAGACGGCGAAGGTGGGGGCTTCACAAGACTGGGAGCCTGCGGAACACCCTCGTAGAGTGCCGGGTCAATACCCGCTTCCTGCGGTATGTCAACGCGCGGGAAAAGGCAAGCCACCATGTAGGATAGGAACAGCTCCTGTTGAAGTTTGAGCACGCTTCTGCAGGTAGCCAGCAAAGTGTATGCCACCCTTAGCGACTCGTTCAATACCGCTATGTTCTCAGAGCGCACCAGCTGGAAAAGATGGCGACACAAAGTATCCTTGGCCAGTGAAGCAAGAGAAGGATGGCCGGCAATTGATGGTCCAGCCACCTCAAGTGCAACATCCACTATCCTGAGAGCCATAATTCTCATTGTGTCATTGTGCTGGCGGTCGTCGGGGTCAAGAAGGTCGACTAGAACTCGGAAAAGTTCCCTAATAGAAGGAAGAGAATACGGTTTTATGACCTGTGGTTCCTCGGCCTCGGGTGTCTTGGCCAAGTCAATTTGGCTGCCATTTGCCGTGCCACCAAGAGGACTCCCTTCACTTCCTTCGTGCACCTTCTCCAGGCTTGAAGAAGACCGTTCTGCCTCAGGATGACTGACGGGCACAGCCAGAGCCTCGCTATTCGCAGACGGAGCCATCTTGACAGCATTCATATCATCCTTCGTGTTTTCTTCCAAAGCTCCCGGCGAATCTCCAGCCTCAATCTCCAGATGTTTTAACCTCTCAAAGATGACTTGACACATTGTGACCATAGAAATCTCCGCAGAACGCCGCAACACCTCGGACAATCTGACCTGGCAGCACATGCTCAAACCAGTCTCCATCATCTCGCACACGCTCTCGTCGCTAAGCTCGTCACCAACAGGCCCTGAGATCATGCCCTCCATGAGTTTCAATATCCGGAGCAGCACAATCTCGTCGGCTGCCGTGTCGCTGGCCTCGAAGCGACAATGAGTGATGGCGGATGAAAGCAACTGCATGGCCAGCGGCAGCCGGGGCGAGTCGCGCGCAATGATGTTATAGGACAAGAACTTTGTAATCGCAATAAGCGCAAGGGAAGTGATCGGAGCGGACGTCGAGGAAGATCGGATGACTTGGAGGAAAGGATGGAGTAGGGCGGGCGTGTCGATAGTATGAATGTCTTCCCATATGTCAGCTGGATCTTAATCCCACAATTAGGTTTAGATCATACCTTTGCAACCCTTAAGGTCACTCCGAAGGCGCGCGAAGGCTGCCATAAGGGGATTATCCTGCATGCTCTTCCCCTTCTTCCCCCTCAGCCCCCATCTTCCCGTCAAAGCATCGTCCCCGGCGCCCAGAGTTATGCTAGCCGGACCCTGCTGACCCTTCTCCAATCTTTGGATGGGGAGTGGCTTTGCGGAGCCGCCGCCGAGGATCGCGGAGACTGAGGATTGCGCCCAGCGCGCATGCTTGCGCATGGCCGATGTGACGGTGATGCATTCTGTGACGACAAGCGCAACGGGGTCGATAGAAGCGGATATCGGTCGAGTGCGCGCTAGGGTTTGCGGTATGCTTAGGAGCTCCTGTACAGTGGCCTCCGCGGTCCTGCTTTCGTCGGCCATAGTGAGCGGTAGGGTTGAGCGCTTGTAGTTGTTGGTTTCTCGTCCACGCGGTTCCTGGCTCTTCTCAAGGCGCTTGGATCTTGTATGCCCAGCTTTCCATGGCCGAATGGTGGAGTGTTGGCGTGCCGGCGGCGCGTGGTTGTGACAGGCGGAGCTCGGCTCGGATTCGAGCTTAACTGCGGCGACCCATACAGTTCGTTTTGGACACCTTGCTTGGCGGCCATCGACACACCGCCCAGCCAACGCGGCAAGTGGAGATGGATGGTGGAATTAATCTTTACCGGTTTGCTTATGTAGCGGTCGGTTGCATTTTCTATTTAGGCTCTGTCCGGTCCATAAGGGTTTGGAATCGACTGTTTTCCGAGCATGTCGTGACTGCAGACCAAAAGCGGACATGACTAGGCTTCGTACCCATGTGAATAGGTTTGCAGGTCCAGTTGGACGTGCTTGTGCCTAGTTATACCGACGGCTGTTGCAGGTTGCCTACTCTTGCACGACGTCTCCATACCGTGCGCTTACACTCCGTAGCAAGAAATCCGAAACCCATACTATTTACAGCCAGTACCCTCTCCCCCAGGAACTCCAGTGAACGCTGTCAGACGCGTACGGTGAATCATCAATTACGCCAATACTCGCTCCCTTGTCGACTTTTCGAATCACCCCATAAAAACTCCGACATACCCCGATATCCCCATATCAGCTTTGATCATGGTTGGGGCCAAAGCGCATGCTTAAAATCGTGAAAAGTAAAATTGAAAGTTTAGCCCATTCAGGCAACTAGAGAAAATCGGCCGATGAGCATCTAGTCTAACGGGTCAACGATCTTAGCTGCGCCGTCGTCATTCTCTTTCGTCCTACAGACGCAATTAGTAAGATGCGCAAATGTATTGGCAAGCGACTTGCGCCTATTACTTACGGAGAAGATTTCTCTTCAGCTCCAGAGTCGGCCTGTTTGGCCTGAGTCTTCTCCGACGGCTCATCCTGGAAATTTGCTTTCTTGCCAGGCTCCTTTTCAGCCTTCTTTGCTTCCTCATCAGCAATATGTTTGGCGTGGGCCTTCTTTGTGTCCTCGATATTTGACCCATGGTTCTTCACCTGGGCTGCTTTCGCATCCTTGGCTTTCTCAGAATCGTCCTTCCCTTGGATATTTTCTACCGCGGCGCCTTCGCTCTTGCCATCGCTTTCTGCCTTAGGTACGGTCTTCTCGTCCTCGTTGGATTCCTTCTTAACCATGTTCCGGATGTCAGATTTATCTTTAGCCCACTGCTCATTGGGGTCTTCAAAGTCTTCCTTGAGTTTCTGGAGACGTTCCTCCTTTCGCCTTTCTTCGGCTTCTTTGAGGAGTCTTTCGTTTTCCATTTCTTCCATGTGACGGATGTCATCAACGCTAGGCTCGTACAGATGCCAAATGGTGTAGTGCGGTAAACCGACTACGGAAAACTTCATGCGCTTTGCCATCTAAATTTGTGTTAGGATATATGTGCTTATTGGGATTTTAAGAGGACATACCTTTCCAAAGCCCTCAGTTTCCGCGTGCTTCTCGAAACTGAATGCAGGGAAGTGAACACCTGAACGGAAGACCTTCGCTTTGGCCAAGATGCTAACACCTCCAACACCATCGATCTCCATTTCCATGTCGGGGTCGCCATATGGATCACGCAAGTAGGCAAGATGCGGGCGCCAAGTGGCATACTCAGCGTAACCTTCCACAATGACCGCATCCTCGTCAAGCGTATCCGCCAGAGCAAGTGCCGTTTCCGACTCTTGCCAAGAGTTGAGATCATACGGCTGCTCTCCTCCAAGCCATTCGGGCAGCGGTCGCCAAACATCTGCAATGTGTCAGATCTCATAAGAAACAACCGCGCAAATTGGCTTACTTGGCACAATAATGTCTTTGTTATGGCGCATGAGGTCTTCGAGGATTGTGAAAGGTGCGGTTTCCACATCCACGTCTCTCCAATACACCCAGCTATGAGTAGGCCGCAAGGCCGCACTCAACAGCCAATTGCGCGCCTGTGCCATAGATTTCCTCCGTCCTGCTTGCGCCGCGAAACCGTGTCTACTCTCGACGTCTTGGTTGACCTTTTGTCCAAAGTCCTTCTCCATGATTGAAATCTCTCCGAATTGTTGGCTAGGGTCCTCATGCGCCTGGAGCCCCTCCAAGAGTTCAGAAAGCACCTCGAGCGTATCATCTTTGGAGTCGCCCACTAAGAACGCCAGATCAATGAAGTTGTGGGGGTAGGTCAGATTCCGGAGATGCGAGAAGAACATTGGTAGATGGGGCGCGGCGTCACGCAGCGGGGCGCAAAGTAGAATCCTCTCCTCTCTCTCCCATCCCCGAGACGTTCCTTGTACATTGTTCAGATCGTAGTAGCGGACAGTCTCGAGTTGGAATTCCGCCGTAGACGAAAAGAGGCCGAGCGTCAGCGCGGGAAGGACGTTGGATCGGAATGAAGATGAGAAGACGGAGAGGGCAAGCAGGACGACCGCTGATATTAAGCCTATTTTCAGGAAAAGCTGTCTACGTCTGCGCAAGCTGGTGTGCGATCGAGGCTGGAACCTGCATGGCGTCAGCGCTGGCACTGGTGAAACTCTCGGGCCATGAGGCCCTGGGGCAAAGCACGTACTTGTGAGGCTCGATGTGGAACACGTCGGGTCCGCCTGTGCTGTAGCCGGCATATCCGTTGGCGAACCCGTGCCGGTGCATCGTCTTGCCATGTGTGGGCAACATCCAGCCGACGGAGGTTCAGAAGCACTACCCGCCGGGCGGCTCAGGAGGTATGAATTGAAGAGCCAGCCACCTCCAAAGTCGCCAAATACAGACCCGCAATTGGCCCCGATGGATCGCGATGTCGGATGATTTGACCGGCGAAAAGAAAGTGCGACGTGGACTTGTCAAGACTCAAGGGAGTCGCGATGTAGGTGAGGATTGACGGCCCAAGGTCTAGGTGGCTCGTTAGCCTTTGCAGGGATTAGACTCTAGCTTTAGCCTTTCCCGCGGCGACTGTAATCTAGCAACAAGTGCACCGTCGATGTCGCAAGCAGTGACAGAGCTCAGATGGATCGCGCAGAGCCAACGTCGTGGTTTTACATTGGCCACCCAATGCCCCTTGATGTGTGACGTTCAGCCACTGTAGCGCAATACGAGCGACTCACGTAACCATGCATCTATATATACATAACGTTCATCACCGCGAACTGAGATCCACCGTATAGCAATACAAGGGACGATACAAGCAGTCCCTACAGAGTGTTCCTTGGCTAGCTCTCAACCCGAGTCCTGGGTATGGGTGAAAAGCTCGTAGGGCATGCACAGACTCTACACACCTTAACTGGGTCTCTTCTTCTACTCCGTACACGTATCACCATCTCGCTTCACGGTGAATCTCGCTTCATGGTGACGGACGTGACCACAAGCGCCTTTCGTGTCAGATGTCAGATGTCAGATTATCTCTAGCTACACGGATTTGACCGCGCATGGCACTGTTTGCATTTTGCCTTGCCAATAAGCTAAAGTCATATCCACTACGTCTTGGAGGCTGTCATGCCGAATTCGTCCTAAATTTAACCGCACCTTTCCCCAAACGCCAGTACCTATGTTCATCATAATAGCTCAGTTGCCCACCGCATGATTTTACAGACGTCATAGGCGCATAATGTCATAGTCGCCGTAAGTAGAGATCTGAGGGACATTAAGTCTCAATGAATCTCGAGCTCATCAGCTCGTCCATGTAGGCGCGCTGCACCCCAGGCTTGTTCTTCTTCTCTCTGAGGATGACAGCCAGAACCTCAATCGGAGGGTGCTTTTTAAACTTGTGCGCACGGTACCAGCGCTTCTCGCGTGCAATGCCGATACAAGGCTAGTTCAAGCGTGAGCTTATGTTAACCCAAGGTGACATCTTATGACTTACTCCGTACTGTCCGCTGGTGTCAAATTCCCGTAACACCTTCTCCTGCAAGGTGAGATCCTCCTGGTGCACCCTAGGAGCTTTTCTCAAGGCCTCCTTCGCCTTCCAGTACTTCTTGATCTGAGCGATGGTCACACGACTAGCCTCTTGTTCTTCTTTGGTCGGCTCCTTCGCAGCTTCCTTCTGGGCTTGTTGAGTGATTGCGAGCTCGGACGTTGTTGGTTCAGAGAGCTCAGGATCCGCTTCAACCTTGAGGTTTGTCTGAGTGACAGGCTCCGAAAGGATAGGGTCTTGCTTCGACTTGTTCCCTTTGCCGGCGGGCGTCGATCTCGGCTTCGTCACTTTGTTGGCGGCTCCATGGAAGGCAAGCGTAGACTGTTGTGATTTACCAGCCTGCGAGCCGGGCGCGGGACGCTTGGGTGGCATTGCGACAACAACGGAAATATATGTGTTTTCGTGGTGTATTGAAGTGAGGATCGTTGATGTAGATGTGATGCCCTAACTGATCGGAGGCCGGGATTCTAGTCAAGGTTGCATGCGGAAGGTGACTTGCAGATGGGGTTGCCTATGACGACGGAGCCACTAAAAGGGCTTGGCACGTCACGACCCAACGACCGTCACCGTCAACGTGAATTGAGATTCACCGTCCAGCGAGACAGGGAAAGATACAAGCAGTCCCTACGGACCACTCTTTGTCTAGCTACAGGCCTAAATTCTGGATAAGAATAATAAGGTCTTGAGCACACACATACTACAAACACCTTAACATTTCTTCTTCTACTCCGGGCAAGCGTCATTATCTCGTTAGGCGGTGAATCTCGCTTAACGGTGACGGACGTTACGCGCTTCGCGAAGTCGCAATCACCCTCGACCCTGACCCTGATTTCAGCCTTATTCATATAGGACTGATCAAAGAATGGCGAGTACAAACCCTGAAGTGGAGGCCTTAATCCCCCAGTTCAAACTGGAGAAGCTTCTCAACCAAGGTACCTCTCGACGAGCCTCATTAATGCAATGGACACAAACTGATCAGTTTGAGCAGATCAAGCCGGTCGTCGGATAATTCTACTGGGAACCATCCAAGATAAGCACTCGATCTTGCTTGCCGAGCGAGCTGCATTTTCCATTGAGAAGGTACAGCTGGAGAGCTTCAGTACTTCTCTGAAGAATGTCAAGAACCTTGGCGCAAATGATATCTACAGCTGGTTCCTCGCATCAACTTCCTCAGAACCTGACAGTTCTCAACCCCCAGACCTGAAGATCAACTTGATTTGGCCGTGCACTGAGAAGCATATCAAGAAGTACTCTCAACAGGGCATTCGCCTTGTAACCGAAACGCCGGAAATTTACAAGAACAACGTCCGGCCCTACATTGAGAAGCAGCGAGGTGAGGGCAGATTAGACTGGATTTTTAATATCATCGAAGGGCGTACGGAGCAAGAAGATGTGTTTTACAGGGAACATGGAGAGGAAGGATTCCTTGTACTACCAGATCTGTAAGTTGGATGCGACACAGTAGTGTTTATAGATGTTACTGACGCATGTTTCCCAAAGCAACTGGGACCGGAAGACTATGACGAGCCTGCACCTTCTAGGGCTCGTTGAGCGCAGAGACATCTGGTCTGTAAGGGACTTGCAGAAGAAACACATCACATGGCTTCAACACATGCGCGAGAAGCTGCTGGAAGCAACTGTGAAACTGTACCCAGAGTTGGAAAAAGACCAATTAAAACTCTACATTCACTGTAGGTCGCAAGGACGCCAAGTCTCCGTTACTGTTGCTGATCATCTTAGATCAACCCACCTATTACCACTTCCACATACACATTGTGCACGTGGCTCTCGAAGCAGGCGCGACCCAAGCCACTGGCAAGGCTCTTGGCCTTGAAAACATCATTGGCCAGCTGGAGACTATAGGAGGAGCGGACGAGGCTGCAGGAATGGCGGAAGTTTCACTGACATACACTGTAGGTGAAGCAAGCGAATTGTGGACCGAGATATTTCAGCCTTTGAGAAAGGGTGCCTAAAGGCTCGTAGGTAATCTTCAATGATTTGGCAAGGCGTGGGATTGCCAAGAGAGCCAAGGTTTGACTTAAATTTGAGCCTCTTTATACGCGATCCTTGCTCGCAGCTTTGTGGTTGGAGGAGTTGGCGCCCTGAAGGAAGGCTGTGTTGGATGCTCATGTGATTTGGAAGCCAGGCTTCTCGGGCGTATGCAGTACGGGATGGGGGGGGGGCGATACGGGGGAGGGGCGGGTTGGTGGGGGTGAGAGAGGGTGTTGGTTGCCCAACTCGGACCCCATCGTGTTTAAGCCACTGCCGAGCCTCAACTGAGTCATGTCGCGTCCAAGCGCACATGCCGGACATTGGCTCGTATGGACCGGGCGGGCAGCAAGGGGCGAGGAGCGCCGAGGACCAATGAAGGGGATGCGACAAACAAGTGCAAGAGCGGCGCGCAATTAGAAAGAGTGGCCAGGATCGTCACGGACATGTGAACCTTATAAGGGACGCAGAGCATAAAGGCGAACAGTGCCGCCGGGGCCCACCGAAGGGCCGGATGCCGGTTGCACACGGCACCATCACGTGTGGGGAGCCGCCTGCGCGCAAGCCGCAGCGGCAGCAGTTCGTGGAACCGGCGGTACGGGAGGTGCACGCCAAAGGCTATCGAATGGTGTGCAGGATTGTGGCTGCGGCGCTGACCGAGGGCGCATATTCGGGCATTGATATAGCCCGCCAGTGCGCGCGCCGAGATCAAGGAGCCGTTTGGGTTTCTTGGGGAGCGTTTCACATTGGCCAGAGACGCTCCTCGCAATTTGCCGAGCGAAGCTGGGTCGTGAAACTAGCCATATTAGTGCCCTCACCAGTGCTCGCCCGCTGCTTCTTCTTCGTATCGCATCATAAACCGCAGGCTGTGGCCGCTTCTTGCCTTCTCCATCTCGTCTCTCCTTCAAGTCCCAATCTCTCGCTTTCGTCGCTCGCTTTTAACCCTGCCGCGCCCTTGAGCATTTGGTCTCAAGCGCCCTCACCACCACTTGCATTTTCCACCATCAGGAGCCCGTTTATAAAATCATAACAAACCCTCTACAAACATGCATACCCGTTACCTGTTGGGCTCGCTCCTCACGGGCGCTGCTCTGGCCGTCAACACAGTCGAGATCAAGAACCAGGACTTTGTCGACAGCAAGACCGGCAAGCGTCATTACATCATTGGTGTTGAGTAGGTCGTCCCTTGAGCGCCACAGACCCTGATTTTTCTCAATTGCGGACTAACGCCCGCTTAGCTACCAGCCCGGTGGACAGTCCGGCTACGACGAGTCCACTGGCAAGGACCCTCTGACCGACGACAAGGCCTGTCTGCGCGATGCCTCCATCATGCAGAACCTCGGCGTATGTTTATTGCTCTCGCAGACCGCGACCCGTGTGCTAACCAGCACTTTAGATCAACACCATCCGTATTTACAACATCGACCCCAACGGTGACCACGACAAGTGCGCGAGTATCTTCAACGCCGCTGGTATCTACATGCTGCTTGATGTCAACTCTCCTTTCTCTGGTGGCAGCATCAACCGTGCTGAGCCGTGGACCTCGTACAACGATGACTACCTGACTCGTATCTTCAAGATGGTCGAGGCGTTCAAAGACTACCCCAACACCCTTGGTTTCTTCGCCGGTAACGAGCTGATCAACGACGTCAAGTCGTCCAAGATCAACCCGCCGTACATGAGGGTAAGTTGGATATACTGCGCTACGGCTTCCATATTGGAAGATTTACCTAACAATATGTATAGGCTGTTCAGCGTGACCTGAAGACCTACATCAAGAACCACGCCGACCGCCAGATCCCCGTCGGCTACTCCGCTGCTCAGGTCCAGGATGTCCTGGAAGACACTTGGCAGTACCTCCAGTGCGCCGTTGATGGCAAGAAGGACGAGGACATGTCCCGCGCCGACTTCTTTGGCCTCAACTCGTACTCTTGGTGCGGTGGTGACGCTACTTTCCAGAGCTCTGGCTACAGCGACCTGGTCGACATGTTCAAGGAGAGCAGCATCCCCGTCTTCTTCTCGGAGTACGGTTGCAACGAGGTCAAGCCCCGTGTCTTCAACGAAGTCCAGGCTCTGTACGGCGACAAGATGACCTCGCTGAGCGGTGGTCTTGTCTACGAGTACAGCTGGGAGGAATCCGAGTACGGTCTCGTCACCATCAACGACAACAACACCATCTCTCTCCGCACCGACTTCGAGAACCTGCAGAAGCAGTTCAACAAGCTTGACCTCTCCCTGATCCAGTCCGCCAACGCCACCGGCACCTCGATCACTCCCCCGGAGTGTGCCACCAAGCTCATTTCCGACAAGAACTTCAACTCTGGTATCGATGAGTTCAAGGGCAGCTGGGACCTCCCCTCGACCCCCTCGAAGGCTGCCAAGCTCCTCAAGGAGGGTGTCCAGAACGCCAACAAGGGCAAGATCGTCAAGGTTTCCGACACGGAGATGCCCTACGCCGTCTACAGCTCCGGCGGCTCCGAGATCAAGGGCCTGAAGCTCAGCGTTCTTGAGGACGGCACGACCAACAGCCCTGGCGGCAACAGCCTCAACAGCGGCGACTCGACCACCAAGACTGGCAACACGGGCAAGACCACGACTTCTGATGGCTCTGCTTCCAGCACCACCAAGCAGGGCGCGGCCGGTAAGATTGGCGTCCAAAGCACTGGCGCGCTCATCTTCGCCGCCATCCTTGCCATCTATCTTTGCTAAGTTAAGTTGAACAGTCGTTACTACAGTTGTTCACACTATCTCGGCCTGTCCATTCAACCCATGATGCACCCCTTGTGGTCTGGTTAGCTGCCACTATGAATTTTCGATACTTGCTGGTTATGTTGGCTGCCTTTGGCGACAACGACAGCCTCTCTTTTGGATGTTACTAGAGGCTTCAGCACTTTTATTTTCTCGGTCTTAAGCGACTTTTCTTCTTTCGCACTGCTTGTCCACTGCAGGCAGCGGGTTAGGCTCCTTAGCATTTTTGTAGATGGGGTGCTCCTAATGGAATAGACATGCTTATCCGTGGTACACACAACATGTTGGGTTTCGTTTGCTTGCCGTGAAGTTTGATGAAGATGTTCGGGCACTAGGCGCCATCCGACCGGGCTTCGGGTATCGGTCGGGAGCGGGCGTGCGCCGTGTCTGACGGGAGGTGGTGAAAGCCTTCCCCGCAATGACGCCATGTACGGGACGGCGCGGCGCGATTCCGCACCACCACGACACAAGGATGGATGCTCAAAACTCAGGTCCACTCAGGTCCGGTGCCCACGCTTTATAAGCTGCAAAGGAAAGTGGGGTCTCTATTGCCCCGCTCACCCGCCCAATGCCTCCGTTCTCACGCATCCTGGCCTCGTCTTCATTCAGACTCACCACACCAGTCCTCAGGCCTACGATCCCATCCCAAAGACTCGCAGCATTACGCTCGCACATCAGCTACCCTGCATCGGCAGCACAGTATCGCGCAATGGCATCCACCAGTATCCCGCAGACGATGAAGGGCGTCATCATCGAGAAGACCGGCGGCACGGATGTCCTGCAGTACCGGACGGACCTGCCGGTGCCGCAGCCCAAGGACGGCGAGGTGCTGGTCAAGAACGACTTCATCGGGATTAACTACATTGACACGTAAAGCCCGCCCAACCACCTGCCCTTCCATACCTACGTACAGTCGAGAGTGGTTGCAGCGTTTGAGCTGGTCAGCATCTACTGGCCGTTACAAAGGCATTCATTGGTATATACGGCGAGGATTCACGTAGCCTTTCGCACACATTAGCCGTGATGGAGAGGGAAACCCTACAAACAAGTCATTATTAAAAGGGGGATCTGATTATAAACGTCATTTCAACGATCGGAAGATGCCACCAGCGCAAACACTGCAACCAGTCTTAGCCACACAAGACCCTTCCCATGGACAGACACGCTGACACACCACAGCTACTTCCGCAGCGGGCTCTACCCCGCGCCCTCGTTCCCATACATCCTAGGCCGCGAAGCCAGCGGCACGATTATCGCGACAGGCGGCGGCAGCAGCAGCAACCTGAAAGAAGGCGAGCGGATCGCGTGGATGGCAACGGGCGCATACGCCGAGTACAGCGCCGTGCCAACGCAGCACGCAGCGCGCATCCCCAGTGGGGTGAGCAGCGAGGTCGCGGCCGCGTCCCTGCTGCAGGGCCTCACAGCACTAACGCTGATCCGCGAAGCGCACCGCGTCGAGGCCGGGGACTGGGTGCTGGTGCACGCGGCTGCGGGCGGCGTGGGGCTCTGGCTTTGCCAGCTGCTGAAGGCTGTGGGGGCGAGGACGGTGGGCACGGCCAGCTCGCCGGAGAAGATGGAGCTGGCGAGGCGGAATGGCGCCGAGGTTTTGGTGGATTATTCCAAGGAGGACGTCATTGCCAAGGTGAAGGAGGTGACGGGGGGGAAGGGCGTTGTGGCTGTTTTTGATGGCGTGGGCAAGAGCACGTTTGATGCTAGTATGGAGTGTTTGGCGCGGAAGGGGAGTATGGTGTCGTTTGGGAATGCGAGCGGAGCGGTGCCACCGGTTACGATCGCGTGAGTGGTTCTTTTCTTTTCCTTCATTTCTTTCAATGGCTAACGCAACCCCCGCAGCCGCCTCTCAGCGAAAAACGCAAAGCTGCTGCGCCCCACGCTCTTCAACTACCTCAGCACGCCCGAGGAGTTCGAGCACTACACACAGGAGCTCTTCCGCTTCATCACGTACGACAAGCTCGACGTGCGCATCCATGACGTCTACCCCCTGCAGGACGTCGCGCGCGCGCACCAGGACCTCGAGGGCAGGCGCACGACCGGGAAGCTGTTGTTGAAGCCGTAGACGGGTCGGGCGTGCCAGACTGACAGTTGCCGATCACGAACGACCCGTTCACCCTCTTTGAGAGGGTGGGTACTTTAATGAGGTCTATATAGGTATATGACTTGCCTGCGTGCTTGTTTTCCTGGCACATTCGTATCCTAGCGCTCTTATATCATACATCTTTAACTTCGTGCCCTCGTATATTCGTATTTCTATACCTTCACAGACTGGCCTCATTCTTCGCGTATCTATACATTTATAAAGATATAGATACTATTATACCTCGCGTCTTTTCAATATCGTAAATATGTCAAGCGATTGCCGGCCATAGTGCTATAGCTCACTACACCTATAGTTCCGGATAAATCGGCTACTCCTTTTAGGCACCCCGACCACCGCGCCATAGGTACCGTCTACGCAATTAAGAAGCACCCGGCAGTCAGGGTTACACACGGACGCTCTGTGCACTACGCTACTTATTCTCTACCGCGCACCTACCCACAGTGCCATCTACATCGCTTCACTCCCACCTTAACTTAAATACGGCAGCAATTTACCTTCCCCACAGCCACTATCTAGCAGAACTTCAAACCCACCAAACTGCCAGTGAAACCATCCACTCCCGCAAAAGCGACATAATCGGCCCCGAATGCAAGCTCTGGATCCATCTAAGAAGTGATCCGCAGAGAGCGTTCTCATCTACTTGTGAGAGCATGTAGGCGTAGGCATGGTTGCGGTATCTTTGATGTCTGAATTCAGGGCAATTTGATGTATTTATGCTCTTGTAAAGGACTGACTGCTCGCTGTGGGATTGTGGGTGATGGTGTCGAATTTGGTGAATGTGGTTTAGTTGTTGGAAGAGTGGCTGGTGGGTATGGCGGGTTTGACTTCGTGTGTAGTTGAGGGGCAGGCAAAAAGTCGAAAAGAGTAGACAAATCATGCTGTCTTGAAGAGATTGGAAGAGCTTTGTCGCGAACAAACGCTTCCGTATCCTCAGCTCTTGTTTTGTTTTCGTACCTACCGTATCTACGCTATCATGATACTTTTCCCATGCCATCGCTATAACATCATCAATCCTCGTCCGAGAGACAAACTTCGTCATCGCCGCCGCCACAAACTCCACCCTTACCCAAGCCAGCAAAAAGACAAAAAGCAAGAAGACAAGACAAATGGTATCTCAACCGGCACAAGGCACAGCCTCCCCCCGTTCCCCCTCCGCTCTACCCCACAAGCCCCGCCACATCCTCCGGCCACGACCCCAACACCATAGCATTGCGAGGAATCTGGCCCGCCAGCGGCGCCAGCAGGCGAACTTGTTGCTTCGCCTCGTCGACATCAGCGACGTAGACGTAGCCGACGACGCTGCTGTCGCGGATCGTCTCGTGGCTGTCGCCGGGCTCGGCGCTCGTGATGGCCAGCAGCCCATTCACCATGAGCAGCGAGGGGCGCGCCTTCTCGTACAGGCGGCCGCCGGCGCCATTGCCGTCTGCGTCGTCGCCATCACCACCGCCGGGGAGGAAGGACGCGTGCGCCGAGGCTGTGGACGCTGTCCTTGTTAGCTAGCTGCCTGCTTGGAGTCGGCGTGCTTCGTGAGCGGGTGCGAGCTTACAGTCTACGGTGCGGAACACGTGCAGCGCGTTGAAGTCGAGCCGGTGCGTGTGTGGTGACAGCGTCGTCGACGCGTCGTGTCCGAAGAAATAGGCCCGGATTTGCGCTTGTCGCAGTCCTTTCATGTACGCCTCGTCGCGGTCGACGCACCCGCCCGACTTGTCCAGCTTGAGGACTGAGACTGCGCTGTCGCCTGTTGCGGTGTTGGCGGGGCGCGAGAAGCGCCGTGAGAGGTCGCTGTAGAGGCGCTCGGAGCCGAGGACGAGGAGGACGTTGACTGTGCGCGCGTGAGTGAGCAGGGAGTTTTGTGGTATGCGGTGGGAGTGGTTTTATATGGATGGGGATGGGATGGGGGACTTTTGAGCGGGTAGCGGTTGCAGGATTGCTCGCCGCTGACCACGATTGAATGCTTGCGCACGCACCTGAAAACTCGGAGATCACATGCTGTATATTCTCATACACGCTTCTCCTATCGATGCTCATGGAGCCCGGCGTATCAATCAGACAGCCCGCGGCGCGCGCGTCCTCATCCTCGCTGAGCCGGCTCGTCACCGCGAGCGCCATACGCGTCACCAGGCCCCTGAACATCCTGGCGTTATCATCCGGACTGCCCAAGCCATAGTGATAAACAAGCGGCATCTTGACCGGGACTGGACTAGGCCCATTGATGGGGCTGCTGCCCCAGCCCTCCTCAACGTCCAGCACCGACGCCACCGCCGCCGCCGTCAGCGCCCCCGGCACGCTCAGCATCCCCTGCCGCGGGTCCAGGTTCACCACCACCGGCTGCCGCCCCATCTTGACTGCGTACGCCGTCAGCGTCTGCAGCAGCGACGTCTTGCCCGCGTTCTCGGGTCCCACGACCAGCACGCGCGGGCCCAGCGCCTCGTCGCTGCTGGCCTTGCCGCCCGGTGCTGCTGCCGCCGCCGCTTCCGCCTTTTGCCGCATCCCCTCTAGCGCAAAGTGTACGTTGGCGTATTCGACCATTGGCGTCTCCTCGGCCACATACTCGCTCTCTGCCTCGCCTTCGACTTGCAGCTTGCAGCCGTGCCACGTGTAGATGGCACCTTTGGTTCCCTTGAAGACATATGGCTCTTTCGCATTGACGGCCAGTTCGGTGCCGAACAGCTCGGCGGTGCCACCTAGGAGCTTGACAAGCAGGGTGCTGTTGAAGCCGACTTCGAAGCGGTACTCAGTGCCGGGTGCGAGCTCGTGGGTGCGCGGGGCAGACGGGGCGGGAATGTCGGCGGGGACAGGGGTGGAGCTGAGCGAAAGGCCCGGCAAGGTGAGGCCGGGGAGAGACATGGTTGCGGGCGATTGGGCGGGGATGTGGTTGAGGTGAGATGCGGTTGATGCGCGCCGCCGCTTGGCAGACGCCGGACGCGCTGGCGCCGACGGGATCGGGCCGGGCTTGGCACGCATAGGGCTGAGGGCCACCAGTAACGTCCATCTGCCGTCACCGCGAACCGAGATCACCGTCTAGCGAGTCAGGGGACCATACAAGCAGTCCCTATGGAATGCTCCTTGTCTAGCTGCATGCCTAGGTCCTGAATATAAGCGAGGGGATCTTAGAATATATGCGCTCGATACCTAGTATCTCTTACCCTCTACCGTTTAGCGAGATAGATAAGAATATAAGTAGTCCCTGCGGACTACTTCTTACCTAGCTATACTTAGCACTCGGGCTGGGAGCTAGGCAAGGAGTACTCTGTAGGGATTGCTCATATCGTCCCCTGTCGCTAGACGGTGGGATCTCGGGTCGCGGTGACGAACGCCCCCAGGGTCCTGACAATCACCCCGGGCTCCCCTCGCATATCTACGCACTAGGCACTGACTCGCTTTATCCATTGCTGACTGCAGCTGTCTCTCCTGCGTTTCCGCCGTCTCGCTATTTTTGTCTACTCGTCGCCAATGCAATCAAATAACAATGTGTATGTGAGAAGTGAAGATGAAACGGAGAAGAATGAAATGAAGAGAAAAGAAACGAAAAAGAGAAAAAGAGAAGAGAAAAAAGCAAGCCAATGGCTTCCAAAACCCTGGCCGTCAATGCACCCGTCCAGTGCCCTTAACGCCGCCTTGCTGCATCCATAATAAATCAATCAACTCCTGCTCCCTTTATGCAAAACGCCTGGCGCTCGCTCAAAGGCTGGCTGGCAAAACAATCAAAAAGAAAACGAAACCGCCGCGTCTGTTGTGGGCGTTTTGTACAAGAAAGCACTTATGTGCAACAAGCGTGCTGAGCGACTTTTAAATGTCCATACTCCACCTCATCCTCGGGTCTGCGCGACCTATCGAACCCGTCTCGTCGGCTGCGGCCGCGAAATCGTCACTTGGGAACCAGGGACTCAAAGACCGAAGCGCCAGTTCCTCCGTCGAGTTGGTCGGTGGCAGCCCTATCCTTGCCTCCACGGTGGGCGACTTGATGAAGCGCGAGTTCAACAGTTCACTAGGCGACACCAAGTCCTGCAACAGGTTGAGTGAACTGTCGCGGATCGTGAGCGGGGCTGGCTTTCCCTTCGACGTGGGCCTTGGAACGGGCTTCAGCAAGACATTCTCCTTGTGGATGGTAGTTGGCTTGTAACTGTCCTGCGTGGCCGATCTCTTTGATCGCGGCCGAGACACAGTTTGGATTGATTCTTCCGAATGAACGGTAGACAGCTGCCGGGAAGGTTTTGGCCGACTCACCTTGGGGATATTCCCAGATATCGTCCTGAGCGGGCTGACCGAATCATGCCTTGGGTCACGGCCTAGGCTGTCGTCCGATGCGTCCGAGTCCGCGGTGGATGTCCGGTCGAGTCGGCTCTGCTTGGGTGACGTAGTCGGAGAGGGTGTAAGTCTACGACTGCCTCGAGATTTCGATTCTCGCTGCCCTGTTGGTGTTTGGAATGAGCTTCCTCTCGAGAGGGGGGGAAGCTCCGGCGTCTCTCCTCGCTTCAGCTTCTCTTCTATCTTCTTCTGGCTGATTTCCTTTCCTAAGTTAATGTCCACGCGGCTACTGGCCTGGCTACCGCTCCTGCTTCGTATCGAAGACCTTTGTTTTCCAGACATGATCTTGGCGCTTGGGGGTGGTTGCAACATCCACTGGTTTGCCTTGACGTCCGTAGAAGGCATGCTAACGACGGGCGGGTGCAGGTCGTTTACTGGTGCCGGGCGAGCAACATAATAGTCACTGAAGGAGTTTGAGGTGTCCGGTCTGCTCAAACCAACAAGCCCAACTGACGAACCACCAGCACTACTCGCAGCCCTCGGCGGCTCATCCCTCGACGCCACGGTTTCTGTTCCCCATAACTCTTCATCCTCCCTCTGATATCTTCGCTTGTTCCAGCTGTCGTCGTTCAATGTGACATCCGAAGCGCCGGGATCCCCAAACTGTATGCCGACAACCCCCTGATCCTCGAGGCTGCTATCGATGCGGCGACTGGTTGATGAGTTGAAGGTGCTGGCCGTGGTGAGGTTCCGTTTCGGTTTCTTTGCTCCCTTGCCTTTGCGTGGCGGTGGGCCCGGTCCAAGCGCAATCTCTTCGTTCCAGTAGGGGTTCGTCGAGGAGGGGTCCGGATGACGGTAAATGTCGGGCTGTTCGAGTTCTCGGGCTCGCTTTTCGGCACGATCGCGATGGCCCTCTCTCTTTCTGCGGCGCTGGTTTGCGGCCTCGTAGCAGGGAGCGCAGGAGAGGTAGAAGAAGATGGCCGACTGGAGGCCGCGGAGGATGGACATGATGGGTCAATGTGAGGGTAGGTATGTCGGGGGCGGAGAGCGTGATCGGGATGGGCGGTATTATGCAGAGAGGATAAGGCCGTGGCGGGTCGAGGGTGCGGCAAGCGTGGTGTGACGGTGGTGATCTAGGAGAGAGTGTCGAAGGCCTTCTCAGCCATGCTTCCGTGCCACAGCAGCCACGATCGCCATGCGCAGGCCAGCTGGAATGGCGAGGAAGGCGCCGGAGTTGGTGCAGTCGCCAGCCGGCGGGTTGGATGTGGTGGGAGCCGGAGTTGTTGGTGGGGGTGACGCAAGAAGCGGAAGCCACGTTCGCTCTCGACTCGCTGCTCGTGCCTTCTGGGCGGAGATGGGCGGAAACCTAAGGAATGGACGGCTTGATTTGCGTTCAAGCCACAGGATATGCAGATGCGAGGCACAGCGTCCGTCGAGGGTTTGTCTCCCCTATTCGCGAAGATGAAGATACGCGTCGGTACTAGGATGTTTCATGTCGGTTGTGAAATAAACAGACACAGCCGCCGTTTGGCGACCATCCTGCCATGTCCTCGCCCTCGCCTCGCATCGCAACGGCCGTTGCGTCTTGTTCGACACGCCATGTCGCAGCAGGGGAAGGCACGACGGGTGAAGGCCTGGGGTGCGTCGCGTTCGCGCGTCGATGGGTTTTGCCTTGCCGGACCCCAGGGTGCACGGGGCTACGCGTTGAGGAAGTGGAGCCCGCCGAACCAGGCCACCCCGGCTCGCGCGGCTTGTCAAGCTTGGCCTGGGGAAAGAGACGATGCGTTGAAGTGGTCGTGGTTGACGAGGCCAAGCCAACGTCGTACGACCTGGGCAGTTAGCATGCAGACGACATTGGCAAACTGCGCCCGTTTGCGTGCATCGAAGCAAACGCCCTCGCCGTTTGCTGTCTTAGGTAGGCAGGCACCAGTAACAAACACTTTCACTGTTGCCGTCGAACAATATCTTCGTCAGCTGTTTCCTTCCCTTTTCATTCCTTCACATCGCGTCTCAGGTCGGGCTTTCCTATTTCGGGCGACAGTCTCCATAGTATCGTCGACCAACTTTAGTTCTTCCCAACTCTACCTCCAACATGGCCGACGCTTCTGCGCCCGACGAGGCGCAAACGCCAGCCGTTGATCTTTCTCAGGTATTGCCTCAGGTTTGGCAGCCTCCGCCTCCGCCCCCAGAGCATCCTAAAGGTGAAGAGATCCGTCGTCAGGTTGAATACTACTTCTCCGATGAGAACCTTCCTAATGACAAGTACCTGCTGGAAAAATGCGGTGGAAGTCAGAACCTCCCGGTCTCCATCAGCCGCATTTGTGGTTTCAGAAAGATGCGCGGCTACAAGCCCATGTCGCAAGTGGTGCAATCTCTCAGAAAGAGCATTTTCCTGGAAGTAGTCGACAACAAGAAGATCAGACGCAAGACACCACTCACACTGCCCACCATACTTGATGAAGTCTCGGACAAGGAATCTGACACGGAGAGGGCTACCGAACCTAAGAACAATGTCGAATCAGATACCAAAGTGAAGAAGAATGTGTTCAAAGTCAAGCAACCACAGCCGCCGCAGCAACTCAAACCGAAGAAGCCACAAGGTTGGGACAAGCCTCATGGCTTCGAGGAATTCTACGCAGATGCGCCCTTGACGCCGGCTGAGGCCAAGGAGGAAGCATCCATGTACGATCCGGGTCTCTCGTTCAGACTGTAAGTGCTGTGGTCGTTAGGCAGGTTTCGTGACACTGACTTCTCACAGGCGCATGGAGATTGTCATTCAGCGTTTCAAGGCGAGGCGTACCATGCATCAACACTACGCTTCCATCTTCAACAAGTTCATGAAGTTCGGAGGTATCGACGTTAGTGAGCGCCAGTTTACTGGTGGCCTTGATGATCCTGCTCTAGAAGGCAGAGATGCCGGTGATATCGCACTGATGATGGCCACGCACACGGTCGATGTGAGCCGTGAGGACGAATCAAAATGGACCGTCGATTTTGAGGGCATTGCCAAAGGATTCCTGTACGCACTTCAAAGTTTGAAAATGGCACTTCATGCTGACTTTTATGCACTCTAGGTCTTCCTTTTGGCCCTCCGCTGTCGCTTATGATGTGGCTAACTTGCGCGTCGCCAGCACGGTTCTTCGTAACTTCTACAGATACCTTCTCCACCACGACGCCTGTCCAGAGTATGAAAAGGACATTAGGTCAGCTATAGCTGTCTGCAATCTTGCAGATGAAGAGTACCCTCGTGTTGTCGAAGCCGCCACGAATCTTCCTGACCAGTTTAACGTAGCTTGTGGTGCCCTTTTTGGCGGTCACTACAACGACAGCTACGCCAAATTTGGCAACTGGGACACTGTCAATAACGGCGATAACGGCTCCTTAGTGGGCAATAGCTCCGTCGAAAAGGCTCGTGTGTACTTCAAGGCGGGCATAGCCATGTTTGGCAATGACGCTCAATTTGACGCTATCGAGCATGACTTTGAGAGAATCACCTCCACAGGCCCAGCCAACAACATGATCTTCGAAATCACTGGCACGGAACATCCTACTGACGAAACACTCGAATTTGTCGCCGCAGAGAATGCCAAAAACACCCAGGGAATTCACCTCAAGCCCCTCGGTAAGCTGTTGTGTAAGCATTGGGAGGTGTCAGACTTCATGATGCCTGACCTCCCTGCATGGCACATCAAGCAGCTCGAAGAAGCGAAGACTGGTAAGACATTCGAGCTCTGGGTTGAGACGGATATACTGCAGCGCTGCTTTGTCGGTATGAAAATGCAGGCAATCGTGCGCCAGCTCAGCATCGATTTGCAGTACTTGGACCAGGTCATTGAGGTCAAACCATCTTTCTACGCCTGCCTCCCTAACGAACAGTTTTGGTACTGGAGACAACCCAAGTTCGTAGGTGATGACGAGGGAGCTGAGGGCGGGACCAACGCGATGGCTGACATGGATGACTTTGGCGAATAAATTTCTGCCAGGCACAAATCAGTGCGGGAGCATGCCACCATCTTGGCGTTATGAGCGGGTTGCCGATGCTATTTATTGCTTCCTTGCTGCCATGACTGTTCAGAGGGTTTCATGGGATCCTCAACATAATCGAACTAGTGGGGCAATTGGCGAAGGCAAGTAGTGATTTGGTTTACAGATAGCTCAAAAATCCAGGATATCCGTCTGAGACGCTGCCATAAGCATATCACGGCATTGGAGGTGCCGAGGCTCCGAGGAAGAGTGGTGGCGTGAACAATAAAGATACTTGGGAAAATTGACGATAGAGCGCACGGAGCGGTGTAAGCGTTGAAGTTGGTTTCCAGTGGAATGATCTGGAATGCTCATAGGAGACCAGTATCACGGGAAAGTAACATGTTGATGCAAACCATGGGCCACTCCCGCCCAACACTACTACCACCGCTGTTCCTCTCTCGAATGCCAATGTTTCCTGGCTTTCTTCGATATCTCTAGTTGGAGCGATATGCGGCGAGACAGTTGACACTGTCGTACAGTTTTGCCGCGGACTGCGCAACCACCATGCAAGTTGGAATCTAGAATGGAGCGGATACGAGGCACGGACGTGTCGGCGTACAGGTGATGTCAGGCGAAGCGCCCACTAAAATTTCAGCGAAAAGCTTGCTTGCGGAACGGGTAAGAAATGCGCCGCGGAGGTGATTTGAAAAGCAACGGCGTTGATAGGCTCGGGTGCGGCCGTAAACGGGGCGGCCACGGACTGGGTCTCAAGCAAAGGGCTGACGGTGGTTTTTGGCGGCATTGCGACTTTGATCGAAGATTAGATGGCGGGGGACCATTGGACGCGATGGTGGAGCGATTGCGGATCTGCAGCAAGAGGGAGCCGGCCGACGACCAACCAGGAGGCGCACAATTCGCTGACGGCGCTAAGCGACCGGCTGGCGGTCGAAGTGACCCTCGTCGCTGTCAGCTACCATTTGACCACCTCAAAGGCTTCCAAGCCCGAACGTACTCTGTACCCGGCCACTCCGCGCAATTCAAAGGCAAAAAAAAAAAAAAAGGCCACGTCTGTCTCTCTCGTGCGCCACTCATTTCGCGAAAAAAGGGAAAAAAGTCCGTGGCCACTGCACTGCTGCGTGCCGGTGACATATCGAATCGGTCAATCAATCTACATATCTGATCATCACCATCACCGCCCCATCTCCGCTCCGCCTTCCCTCCCCCAAAGTGCTCTTCCGACCCGCCTGACTTCATATCTACCTTCGCCCGCCCGGCCTCGACGCATGCCGCTCTAACGCCTTCCACTGCCTCTCCATCATGTCAGCGTCGACTCAGCTGCACCTCCGCAACGATCCTTCCGCCGAGGCCTCCTTAAAAACGACGCCACTGCTCCGCCAGCCCTCGAAAGAAGAGGTCGAATTCGCCCAGAACCTCAGTCTCCTCCAGCATGCCCAGGACCAACCCCAACCCGCCCGGGACTCGCACCACCCGCCGCCCGAAGTAACCGTCGAGAGGCCAAGCAGCGGTGGCAAACCCGCCGACACCTCGGAACACCATTCGCTCGAGGACATCCAGCACTTTCAGGCCAACGCGAACCAGTCCTCCAACACCCCGCAACCTCGAACTCTCTCTCCCTCGCCCGGCGCCACTTCCTCTCCCCGAGCGCAGGTCAGCAACGCGCCCATGAACGGCCAGACGTGCAGGTATGTTCCGACACTGACGTGATATCGCGACACGGCAGGACTAACGACCGTAGCAACTGCGGCACCACGCGCACTCCCTTATGGCGACGCTCACCATCGGGCGAGCCGATATGCAACGCCTGTGGCCTGTACCTGAAGGCGCGCAATCAGTCACGACCGTCAAATTTGAAGAGGAACCTCTCTCAGGCCCCGACCATGTCCGTTCAGCCTGGACAGTGTTCATCCGAGGCCCATGGAAGGAGCCAATCCCCCTCAGGCTACCCGGGAGCAGCACAATCCGCCTATGTCACCGCGGATCAGGTCACATCTGGCACCTGCCCAGGTGGAGGACGCTGCAATGGCACCGGCGGTCAACAGGGCTGTAATGGTTGCCCCGCCTACAACAACCGTGTGTCGAAGACTGCACAATACGCTCTCGCTCACGTGAGCGACGGAAATGCGCAACCTGCAAATCCTTCGTCTCAGGCCGACGGCGGTCACGCAGCCCCTGGATCCCAGCAACACCTGGCAACCCCTGCTGGGGCGAGCGTAGTGCCCGCATGTCAGAACTGTCGGACCACCGTCACGCCGCTGTGGAGACGCGACGAGCTGGGACACACGATCTGCAATGCCTGTGGTTTGTACTACAAGCTTCACGGCGTTCATAGGCCCGTGCAGATGAAGAAGCAAGAGATCAAGCGCAGGAAACGAGTGGTGCCGGCCGCACCTTCAGAGTCTGCAAACCATCTGTTTGCGCAGCATCCACCAGCGCACTATCAGCAGCAGCATCTTCAGCACGCGAGCCAGCAACAGGCGCGCAGCCCCTCACAGTCCTCCGTCTCTCCCTCTGCAACCCAGGAATCGTTTTCAGACAAACCCGAATACTCCCGCTCGGACCAAGAAGTCGCCGCTCGACTTCAAGCCTCCATCAACGAACCCTCACATCACCACCACCATCACGAAGAGCCGTCCCATCGCTATGCGCCGCCGCCAGTTGACTTTACCAGCTATTACGGGCCGCCAGCAACAGCTGTTTCGCGCTCAGCACCGCAAGCTTACCCCACATCGCCCGCCTCGTCGATACCAAGCAAGCGCTCCGCATCCGTTATGGACGAAGACGAGCCGTTGCCAGACGCGCCGCGCTCCACGTCCAACATACCGTCACTACTCAATGCCGACACTAACATCGACCCTAACCTGTCGAGCATCAATGCCGCGCCGTCGAGCAGCGGTGGTGCAGTTAGTTCTGCGAGCGCTGCTGATGCGGCAACGCATACGAGTCAGACGCCTACGCCGGCCATGAGTCCCGAGCAGCGGAGAGCCAAGCGCGCGAAGCTGGAGATTGAGATGCGCGAGCTCAAGCGCAAAGTGCTGGACGTGGAGGAGGAGCTGTTGATGCTGGATCGGGAGGGTGGGGGTGGCAGTGCCAGTGGAGGCGGCGGGGACGAAGTGAGGAAGTGAGATTGGCAAAGAGGAATTGGCGGATGGTTCGAAGATTTCCTCATCTTTCGCTCCTCTCAATTCCTGTCGATCTACTTCTCTCCCTTCCGACTTCGCTACATCGACACGTTTTTCCTTATCTCGTCACACCCTACTCAGTCACACTCTCACAAGCCTATATCCACGCGTCATGCGCCACAGTCAGTCACAGACACAAACACAATCACAATCACGATCACGCCCACGATCACGATCACAAGCCCGCGCAGCAGCAGCGGCACGCGGCACGCGCACACGCAAAACACGTCCACGAGGACTGCTTGTCAGATCTCCTTTCCCTTTGATTCTCTTTCTCAACATCTCCCTCCACTTCTATCATCATCATCACACTCCACAGCTCTGCCTCTCTCTATCTCTCTATCTCTCTTTCTCTTCTCTCCACACATTCCACACACCACAATCCCGACTACCACTCCCTCCCTCTATCTAACTAGCTAGGAGCAGCTGCGCAGCTAGCTCACCAGCAGCGGCGCTGCGGCGGTTCTGGCGTCGGCGTTGGCTTTAGCTTTAGCTTTAGCTCTGGCTCTGCTTTGCTGTTGCTTTTGCTTTTGCTTTTGCTTTTGCTTTTGCGTTGCTTTGCGTTGGGTTGGAGTACATAGCGGCGACACACAAGGCGCCAAGGACCGTTCTGCCTGTCCGGTAGATAGGCAGGCAGGCAGGCAGGCAGGCAGGCAGGTACTAGGGCATGCACGAATCAACAGCGGCGGGACAGGAAAATTTGCTTGTTTGCTTGCTGGAATGCTAGGATGGTTGTTGGTTGTTGGATGGATAAATGGATGGATGGAGTTAGGAAGGAACGAAGAAAAGAAGCCGGTCGCTGCTTGCTTGACTTGCTAAGGTTGCTTGTTGGTGTTGCTTATACCCACTACTACTACTACTACTACTACTACTACTACTACTACTACTACTACTACTACTACTACTACTACTACTACTCTGCTCTACCTACACTGCTCGACTCGACTCTACTCGTCATATAACTACCACGATACATGCATGCATGATCGAGCTGGGTTTAGTTGCAGTTGGTTGGTCAGTCAGTCAGTCAGTCAGCTTGCTACTATGTATGCTACCCATACCATGCCATGCTATGCTACAACTATGCTATAACTATGCTATGCCAGAAGGTCGCGGATAAATGTGCCCACCCCACCTATCTACCTACCTACCTACCACCACAGCTATAAGCATACGACCTACGTCCTACTCCGATATATCCCATCCATCGCTATACCTCTAAAAACCCCTTCACGCCCCTCGAACCATCCCGTGCCCGTCCCTATAAAGCACGACCAACGACCACTCACTCATCCATCTATCTCACGCCCCAACACCAACACCAACGCCGCTTCTCCGCGCAGAAGAAGCAGCAGAAGAAGAAGAAATCGATTCAAGAGAGGTTGCTCCTACCTCGCGACACGACAGCACGCTGCATTACCTGTCCCCACACACAAACCATCAGTCCATCCATTCAGCAGCTCGCTCGCCGTCTATCGCATTCATTATCGCGTATATATCTATCTACCCTACCCTACCCTACCCCCAAGACACGCCCCGTCCTGTCCCACTTTCACTTTACTTTTACTTTTCCGTCCGTGTATAACGCCCGCCAGAGCGCCCATAGGTAGGTGCCTACAAACAACCAACGAACGGAACGCCATCGACCCATCCCGGAGACCCCGCACTTGCGCTTGCTCTGGCTCTTGCTCTTGCTCTCCTGCTACGAGGCTGCGCAGGCACGCAGTTGGCGGGTCCTGCGCGCCCGCCTGCCTCGCTCGGCCCCTTGGCTTATGTGCTTGCTTGCCTGCCTGCCTGCTACTTGCTTTCTTGCTCGCTCTTTCTTCTTGCTTTACTCTGCTTCAACTTCACTGGCTGCGCGGTGCGGCTCCCCCCTCCCGCCCCCGTTTTGAACCCGTGGCGCAGCGGCCGCTCGCGCGCTAAGGTTCTGTCATGGCGCGTTTGCGCACCTGCCTGCTTGCCTGCCTACCTATCTATGTGCCTGCCTGCCTGCCTGCTTGTGCCTCGTCGAGGCTGCTGCTTGGCCATGCGATGCGTCTTAGAACCAGATCTTGATCAGCTCTTCGCTGACGGCGCTGGGGGTGAGGACGCCCGACTCGGTGATGATGCCCGAGATGAGGTTGGGGGGCTGCGCGCGTTTGTTAGTGGGTGTGTTTAGGTAGTTTAGATTAGTAGGTAGGGGGGGAGTGGGGATGTAGTGCGGAGAGATAGACGGGGCAGCACACGTACCGTAAAGTCGACCGCGTCGTCCACTGCGCCAGCAGCCCATTTCTCCTCCCTTGGGTCGCGCTTCGCCGTCTCGGCTTGCGGGTCCGCCGCCGCTTGAGGCCCGGCATTGCTCTCCTCGACGACGCGGTCGTCGCGGCCCACGCGGAACTGGATGACTTTTTGCTCGATCGGCAGATCGTACTGGCCGAGGGGATACAGGCGGACGAACTTGTGGCTCTCAGCGACGACATAGAAGGGCTTGCCCGCGCTCCTGGCCAACAAGCCCAGCTGGTACGTGCCGAGGCGGGAGATGATGCCGCCGTTCTCGACGACGCCCTCGGCGCCCACAATGACCATGTCGACCTTGCCGAGGGCATAGGCGACACCAGCCTCGGGGATCGTAGCCACGGGCACGTTGTGCGCGCGCAACGAGCGCACAATGGCCATGCCCTCGGCGTCGGCGCCGGCGCCGCCCTCCTCGCGCCCGTGGCTCGGCGTCGCGAGCACGTAGATGACCTTGAAGCGGACGCTGCCGCCGCCCTGGGCCGTGGCCTCGGCGGCCGAGCGCAGCAGCGCGCCCACGACGCGCGACCCGCCGTTGGTCAGGATGGTGCTGCCGTCGCGCACGAAGTGGCGCGCGAAGCCCGCGATCTTGGCGCGCGACGCCTTGGCCCGCTCGACGAACAGGCGCCCGTTGGTGAGCAGGTGACGCCGCGTCTGCGCGAAATCGGCACCCGGCCGCACCGACGTCATCAGGTACCGCTGGAAGAGGTCGGTGCCGGCTGACAGCGAAATGGGGTTCGGGATGGCGGCTTTCAGCTGGGCCGTGTAGGTCGAGAGCAGGGCGAGGGTCTCGGTCGTGGTGCTCGTGTCGGCGGCGCTGAGGGCGTGCACCAGGGCCTCGATGGCGGCGACGGGCATGGTCATGTCGGGGTCTTCGCGCAGCAGCGCCTTGTAGGTGCCGACAATGTCGAAGGGGGTGGCGGCGGTCTGCGGAGCGGGCTCCATCGGGTTGAGGGCTGCGGTGGTCGCCATGGCGGTGGGTGAGCAGTTGTGGTGTTGTTTGTTGTTTGGCGGGGCGTGTGGAAAAGAGTCAGCGAAAGGCAGAGCAGGCCCAAGCGCGGCCGAAAATCGTGGAGAAGCGGCAACAACGACCACACACCACACGACAAGATGCCATTCGCCGCCCTCCGCCCGCTGGTGCGCCCAGCCTCGCTGTCCTCCATCCTGCGCGCCACCACCTTCACGCCGCTCACCACCCTCACCCGCGCCTTCTCCGCCTCGGCCCCCGCCAGCGCGACCTACAGCCAAGTGCGGCGCGGGTGCCGCAAGCCGCAGCCCGCGCGCAAGCTGACGTCGCCGCAGCTCAAAGACCGCCCGGAGATGAAGGGCGTGTGTCTGAAAGTCGGCACGACCAAGCCCAAGAAGCCCAACTCGGGCGAGCGCAAGATCGCCCGTGTGCGCCTGTCCAACGGCCGCGCCGTCACCGCCTACATCCCCGGCGAGGGCCACAACGTCCAGCAGCACAGCGTCGTCCTCGTGCGCGGTGGCAGGGCCCAGGATTGTCCCGGTGTGAGGTACAAGCTCGTGCGCGGTCCGCTCGATCTGGTGAGTCCAGTTGCTCCTTTTGTTTTTTGTTGGCTTGACTGCGGACTGGCTGACGTCGTTGTGTAGGGTGGTGTCGGTAACCGCTTGACTGGCCGCTCCAAGTACGGCACCAAGAAGCCCAAGACGACGTAGGGGCGCGGTGGGGGAGCACGATGCCGTCGTCGCTGTATGCATGGGTCGGCGTTTTTGTTATTTCATTGAGCGGCGGGGCCTCCGAGGCAGGCTGGGTGCGTGCCGGTCCGGTACACGAGAGCAAGAGATAGAGAAAGAGAGAGAGAGAGAGGCGGCGGGTAGCGTGTCTGTCGCGCTCGACCATGAAATCAAGGCATTTCACGGTGCTTCTCCGTACGCCTCTTTGCTATGCTCTTGCACCCGGGCGTTTGGTCCTATGACTGTGCTTGAACCACGTACAGTCGGGGCTGGGTTACAACGTGTGAGCTGGCCAGCAACTTTCCGACCGTTAAAAGGTATCCGTTGGTATATCTGTTCAACTACCAACTCCCATCACCGTCTTGCGAGACGATGATTGTACGGAGTGACAAGGTGAAATACAGTTAAGATATGTTTGTATGTGTGTGTGCTCTAAGACCTTCCCGCATATACTCAGGACTTGGGCTTGTAGCTAGATAAGAAGTACTCCGTAGGGACTGCTTGTATCCTTCTCCGTCTCGCTAGACACTCCGCATCCCCACAGCGTGGATATTCCTCAAAGTTGCCGTTTTAGGCTGCAGATTCGTAAAGCCTTCCCTACTCTACTCTGGCACGACTCAGTCAATCGCTTTCACTCCAACTGCGTGTTGTACATGTGTGTAGACGTTTGAGCTTCGGCACTCTTTTGAGTTGCCTCTTTAGGTCGTCGTGGCTTGGTTGGATACCGCAACCTTACTCCCGCTATGCTATGCGCAATCACTTAGTTTTCTCGCCCCGTACAAACTCAGACATTCGACGTTGTGCATGCTTGGAAGTTGGCTTTTTTGGGCCATGGCGTGGCCAGAAGCTACAGCTCACCTCCGCTTCATTCGCGGTACTTGTTGAGCTGAACGCAGTATCTAAGCCATTAGCTAGTCACCAACCTAGGTCTCACTCCCACTTTACACAGCACTCACCCTTATCCCCAGTGCGCAAGAGATAGACGTCCAACCCTGAACACCCCCCGACCTACCGATTCGAGACAAGCTTACCTAAGAGCAGCGGCCAGCAGCAGCGAGCAAGCGCAACAGCACCAACGCACAGTTCCCAGCCTAAGAAGCCAGACGTTCGACGTTGAAGGGCGCCGAGGACCACCCTCCAGTCAGTGCCAGCGACGCGCCAGCGCGCTAAACAGCAGACGTCCGACGTTGGGCGCGGAAAGAGGTTAGGCTGCGTGGGTGCGTGGTAACTAGTGCTAGGCGTTTGGAGTTTGGTTGTTTGTCAAGTTGAGACGGCCGCGAGGGAGGCACGGGGGGACCTGCGGAAAGCAGGGGCCAACAAGCCGGTGGTGCACTGGCGCGCTTTCTTGTCGGTCGTTTTTTTCTTGGGGCTATCACGGCCGTGGATGCAATTGTTCACGGCAAAAGCGAAAATGCTTATGCTCCTGCCCGCCGCCGTCTTCTGTTAACGTTGGAAATGACTGGTCTCGCTAGCAGGAGTGCCGCGTCGTCGTTCTTGTCGCACATGCACGCTTGCTCTCTCCGTGTCTCGGCCTAAACCTGCAAACAAGGCCTTGCCCCAGCGCCACGAAAGGGATGATGCGGCCGAGTAGTGTACGCGCGCGCAGCGGCAACGGCAACAGCAGCAGCAGCAGCAGCAGCAACAACAACAACAGCGTCGTATGATCAATTCCTCCTTCAGGCGTCCGAGGAATTGTAGGCCGCCGAGAGTCCACCTTCGCCTCTCATTCACTTCTTCGCATATATTGGCAGCAAAGCCGGTCGCAGGCCTCGCACGCAGCCCGGCAAGCCACTCGGCGCCGCCGGCCGGCCCCGGATGCCCTATGTGCGATACTGGTCTCTGGGGCCCATTAACAACCCAACAAGCGGGCCTCATCTTCAGCCGAACCGGCAGCGAGCGAGCGGTACCTACGCAGCGGACCGACATCGCGCGGGCTCGCAGCACATTTACAAGCAAACAAGCAAGCAGCTCTCGCCGCGGGCCGTGGCAGTCGCGGGTATAAACGGCGGCCGCGCATCGGCACGGCGCGTGCGTCAGCAGTGACTTGTGCGTGGTGGCGCCTGTGCGCGCACGGCGGCGGGACGGGAGGCCTAGCTCTGCGCCCGTTTTGGGGCTGCGGCACGGCGCACCGTCGGGGCTGCTTTGGCCCGATCTGCCCGTTTTACTGCCGCTTTGGGCCTGCTCCCTTTCATGCCTTTGTGTGGCCAAGCCCCCCTTCTGTATTTTAGGCGCCGCTGCCCGGGGTGTTGACAGGCTGCTGGTCTCGGTCAACTTGAAACGGGGCTGGCCTGGCGCTGTTTGATGGGAGGTGAGGCTCGCTTGCGGTGGTGGTGGGTCGTCAGCTGGTTGTTGTTGTTGTTGTTGTTGTTGTTGTTGATGATGATGTGCGGATTTGGTGGTGATGAGTTCTGTGGTGTTCGTACACTACTACGGAGTAGGTGGTTTGCTTTTCTTCCTCTTCATCCGCTCCTGTTTTCTCTCTGCCATTGAAGTGTGAACGGCCGGATGCGCGCGCATGGTGTTGGAAGGGCGCATGAAGCAGTAGACAAAGGTCAAGGCCTTCTGGGTAAGCGAGAGGACCAATGGGGGCGAGCGGCGCCGATGATGCCCGATGTGGTAGGTGGACGGTGCGGGTGCAATATATAAACTGCAAGACTGGGTTTGGGTGCGGGGAGCAGGTCTCCGTGGGTTTGATCGCCCGGGTAAGTAGAGATGTAATCTCGCAAGCTGCTGCCGAGTAAGCGCATGACTACGTGACTTAAAAACACAGGTAGGGCAGTCGATGTTTATGCGCCTTAAAAGCTGCTGGTATTCCCGTCGTCGTCACCGCTGCTCTTCTCCTTTTCAGGTGTACGCTTCGAAACATTCTTTCTTTTAGCCTTCTTGCTTCATCCGCTATTGCTTTATTACACCAGGGCAGTGCCGGTTTCTGTCTCTCCTCCCTTCTTTTAGCGCCTACCTTGCTTGCTTGTACATACAACCACATACCAGAATGGCCAAGTTCATGATCAATGCTCTGCCGTTGATGGCAGCCCTCAGCGGCACTGCCGCCGCGTGGAGCCAGGGCCACGATCTCTCGTCCGTCAAGGCCATGGAGGACGAGCAGGGCGCCCACTGGATCAACGCCTCGGGCCAGGAGACGCAGATTGAGGAGATTCTGAGTGATGGCGGCATGGACAGCGTCCGTCTTCGGTACGTCACCATCAATTGGAAACCCAGAAGAAGGAACCTCAGCTGACAAAGGACCTAGTCTTTGGACCGGCCAGCAGTACGGCCTCGACTACACCCTCGAGCTCGCCAAGCGCTTCTCCAAGGCCGGTCAGAAGATCTACCTCGACCTGCACTTCTCCGACACTTGGGCGGACGCGGGTAACCAGGTCGTGCCGTCCGCATGGTCGACGTCGTCGATCGATGACCTTGCGGCCCAGACGCGCAAGTACGTCACCGAGACGCTGCAGTCCTTCTCCGACGCCGGCGTCGAGCTCGAAATCCTGTCGCTGGGCAACGAGGTCACCGGCGGCATGCTCTACCCGCTGGGCCAGATTGAGAACGACGACTTCAGCGGCTTCGCCACGCTGTGGGCGGCGGCCCGCGCCGGTGTCGACGACGCCGTCTCCAACGGCGTCACCAAGCCCAAGATCATGATCCACCTCGACAACGGCTGGAAGGAGGAGACCCTGACGTGGTGGTTCGACGGCGTCTTCAACACCGGCACCGTCACGTCCGACATGGTCGACACCCTGGGCCTGAGCTTCTACCCCTTCTACGGCACCGGCGCCACTCTTGACGCCCTGAAGAGCTCCATGAACACCCTTGCCACCAAGTACAGCAAGGAGATCGTCGTTGCCGAGACGGACTGGCCCGTCGCCTGCGATGGCGTTGAGCTCAGCGAGGACATCCCCGTCAGCGCCGAAGGCCAGAAGGAGTGGGTCTCGTCGATTATCGAGAACGTCAAGGCCCTGCCTAGTAACCTGGGCGGCGGTGTCTTCTACTGGGAGCCTGCTTTCATCAACAACACTGGCCTGGGCAGCAAGTGCGACTCGGCTATCCTGTTCGATGTCAATTGGGACAACTGGCCCAACACCCAGGCCACGGCTCTCGACTCCGTTAGCATGTTTTCTTAAACGAACGCGGGAATGAGCATGTGCTAGGATTTTGTTCTTCATTTTGTAAATCAATAGGGTATATCTTTATGCAAGGATTTTATGTCGTTATTGAGGAATAAGAGAAATTACTCTTGCTAAAACGAGGTGCCGGAGACGTCTGAAAACATCTCATGTGGAAGTAAAACGCTACCCTGTACTCACCCTGTCTGTATTCATTAACGTCTGTCACCGTCATCTGAGATTCACCGTCTTGCGAGATAGACGAATACAAGCCGTCTCTATGGAATACTCCTTGTCCAGCTACAAACCCAATTCCTAAAGAGTATGTGTACTCTCCAAATATAGACGGAGAAGGACATAAGCAGTCCCTATGGACTACTCATTGTCTAGCTACATACCTAGGTCCTGGATATAAATGAAGATATCTTTAGGCGTATGTATTCGTATAAATGTCTTGACTGAACTTTGTTTCCTCTCCATGCACGCATCGTTATCTCGTTGGGTTGGGCGGCGAATCTCGCTTGACGGCGACGGACGTTATTATCTCTCGTCCCTCTGAACTCCAGTATATTGTCCTTCATTTCACACGTTACGCGGGGGGAGTATGTATTCCTCGCTGCCGCAGTCGCTTCTCGCAGGCTGTGGGACCATCAAGTTATTCCTGGGCACGGGTGGGCTATCCGTATGCAAGCTGACAGTTTGTACAAGCTTGATCCCATTCTCCGGGAGACGCGAATGGTATTTCGAGGCTCGCGCCGCCCAAGCGGCGAACCTTTCGTTTTCCGAGAGTCCTCCTGCTCCGGTCGTTCTCATTTCGTCTCTTACGCCAAAGTCTTCTTGCAGAGTGATGTTCTGGAAAGGGAAGCTTGGAGTGTATGCGTTCTGACGTTTGTGCTCGCATGACGAATTGGCGAGATCGCTATTGCTCTTGAAGAACCGCGGGAACATCTGCTTGGCGAGAGGCTTGAGGGTAGGCAGGCATCCGCAGATAATACCGAAGTTCTACAGCACACCATTGTTAGCCTCAACTCAACGCAAGCTGACATCAGTGTATACGTACGCCCTCAATCCCCAAGATAACCCATAGCCAGGTGCACTCCCAATATGGATCGCCCGACCTGAAATATCTCTCCATCTCCAAAGCGCGTAAAATTCCAGTTATGCAGACACTGCGTCGTTAAAGGTCAGCACCAGAAGCCTATCGTTGCGGGGCGAGATCATCTTACGTGCAGCCGATTCCAAATGACAGAACAAGCCCAAGCCGCTGACCAAGGGGAAGACGGATACTCCATAGTGTCTTCACGGGCCAAAGGAACACCGTAAAGTCGGTTAGACTGTTCAAAGCTCCCGTAAGGATCAAAACGACCTTGATGTTTAGGCATTTCGAACCGCTTATCCAGGGATCCCAAAATGCCTCTATGGGTCTGTATACATTTTTCTTTTTAGTCAAATTCGTTGTGCTGGAGTTGGTGGGATCTTTTACCGGCACGCAAACGTGAGCAAAAAGATGACTGTGATAGACCATAGGATAAGGAATGTAATGGTGGATAGGCAAAACCATTTATTCGCGCGGGACGGAAACAGTTTGAGATATGACATGCAGAGGGAAACTGCAATGGTTAGCTATAACTCAAAAATATGTCAAACTGGTTACAACGTTTGCGTCGGACAGTAGCTTCCGACTGTTACAACGCTTCTCTCATCTTAGCGCTCAAGGTGTGCGAAAGGCCACGCAAACCCTAGCTCTCCATAGCGATGAACGTCTTTTTAAGTGTCGGAATTTGCTGAGCAGCTCAACCGTTGTAACCAGTCTTGAATATATATGGATCAAACTCACTTTTTGTCATGGAAACACTTGGAATGAACAGTACTGTGTCCTGTTAGTCTCTTGAAGGGTCAACAAATGTTCACTGAGAGATTCCGAACCATATGTTGCGAGATCAATCTGTTCAAGTCAGTGCCACGAATCAACACAGAAAGTCGCAAAGCTTACTTTTCCCCACGTCTTAGCCCATTCGAACTTGACATCCCATGTATGGTAACCAGACCCATATTTTGCAGAAATGCATGCCAAGATATTCACACACATCATCATGACCTATTCCATGATTGTGAGTGGTTTGAAATACTGAATGACCATTGCAATACGTACTGTTGATACTGCCATCGCCCAATCATCCCGACCTAATGAATACTTTGATCTGTGCTTTGCCACCAGCCGTGCGCCACAAAAGAGAGTTGCCAATGTTCCTTCTGCTACCATCAAGCCGACGATCAGAGAGCATCGCGTCTCCGGATTTGCATAATTCGGCTCGGGCCAAGTACTGGGTCGGACAGGACCGACGAGAGACGTCATAGTGAGTAAAGAGGATAAGAAAGTAGAAGGAGGAATAGCAGTATAAGTCAATATGAGAGATCTTCTGAGTTGCTCGCTAAGGGAAAGACAGGAAGGTTCGAGACCAGCTCGAAAAGGTGCCGTCGGTACGCTTCAAATGCGGAGAAGAAATGAGGGGAAGCAGTGAATAAGAACCAACTAAAGAAAGAAAGATGGAAATGAAAGCATAAACGTTCGGTGGAAGCACGGAATGGAAAAGGTCTGGGAGAAGACAATGTTTAAGGACAAGCTACGAGCGCAAGCCGAGACCTTACGACACGATGTGGGATCAGCCCTCGAGGCATGGTGGAACATGGCTGCCTGAGGATGATCTGACAGCCCTAAACCGGAGTTCTTGGGATCAGGCCAATTGAATCCTAGAGGATAAAAACGCTTGGATGTTTATCTGGCCAGCTCTTGGATTGCGCAACGTGCGTCCCGAATCTTCCGATTAACGGCAACGGTAAGGCGAACTGTAGAAACAGGCTGTCCAGCAACAAAGTGTCATGGTTGGTCTGGCCCATCTGACCTACGCTCTGACAACGATGTGAACAAACTAAGCAATCCTCGCTAGTGGTTACAGGATAAACCTTAAGTCTGGTCTACTTAACTAGTCCGAGTATAGTGCTTCCTCTTCACAAAGGCAAGGGCCACAAGCGTTCGAAATTGCGGCGCAGCATGTAAGAAGGGGTCCTAGCCAGACACGATATATCGTAGGTGGCTGTAGATACAGCCTTGCGGTTGGTGTTCAAACGCCCAGGGCGCCCTGAAAAGGGTCCAGGAGGAATGACGAAGTAATAGTCAGCTTCAGAATACCTTCCATCAGACTGTGATTGAGAATTTTCTGTGAGGGCAAGGTGTAGTTCAGGGGTACGGAGTAGTTGTATCCCGTCAGTCATTGGTACTCCTATGGGAAAAGCTGTTGTGGTCCTACATCAGGACATGTCTGTCTCCGTAGACAGTGCTTTTAAGTGTAAGAGTCCCGAGGCGAAGCATTGTAGTGACAAGCAGTTTCCCGATCACAACATGTCCGCAAAGCAAACCAGGGTCGTGAGTATCACGAGGCGCGGTGCTACTCCGTAGTGGTGGCTGGACCTCACGCGCCTGCGCATCGATCCGCGCGGAACCAAGACCGGTCAGAAACGCCTCACGCACCGCAATTGCGCCGTACGCCGATGTCAAAAAGTTGCGGCGCCGGCCGAGACGAAGACACGATGCTGAGCCATGCTGGCCATCCTAGGATTTGTTTGCCGCGTCGTAGCGCGGCGGGGCTTTGCTGAGATGTCCGGGGCTCCAACGAGTCTAGACACGTCTTGTACGCTCTAAAAGAGTTTGTCCCCTCTAGGAGCTTGCTACTTACCGACAAATCTTGCCCGACGCGCGCGAGGTGCCTTGGCGACAGAACATTTGCGCGTGAAACGGCAAATGCAAGAGCGTGGCGTAGCTCAGTCCGCTTCACCCCCAGCCGTGTCGGCCGTTGTACGGTTTTGGGCCAGCTGCCGAAGTCGAAAGAGCGGAAAGGACGGTGTTGGGCTTCGCAGGTCGCTTTCCTTTCAGCGCGCCATGGAACTTTAGCGCCGTTGCCAAGCGGCAATGCGTCACCACCACCAGTTCACCTCCATCTCCGCCATCCTCCACTCCACCTCTCCCAACAATCATATATAGCACCACTCGAATCAGATACCCATATTTCCTCTCCGGTGCCCATCTACCTTGTGCGTGTATTCTGAGCCACAACCTTCACCATGGCATCCTCATCGTCCGCAAGCACGCCGCTCCTCTAGTACGTTTCGCCCGTCGCACCGCAGCGACCACCAAACAGAAGGCACACTAACAAGGCCACCCCCCAGCTCCTGCATCGCCTACAACTCCACTATCCTGACCGAGCACACCGCATCCGCCTCGTCGCAAACGAGCTCACTGGCCTCGCTCATTCTGCCCAAGATCAGCCACCAGTCGCCGCAGAAGCTGACGTACACGCACGGCGCCCACTTCATCCACTACATCTCGGCCGCGCCCTCCGAGCACCCCGGTGCCCCTTCCGCGGGCGGCCTCTCCTACCTCGTCATCGCCAAGTCCGAGCTCGGCCGTCGCGTCCCCTTCGGCTTCCTCGTCGAGATCAAGAAGCAGTTCCTCGCCCAGTATGAGCCGCGCGCTACCGACTTCGGCAGCCTGCCCCCTTACGGCTGCGCTGCCTTTAATGCCACCCTCAAGAGACTCATGGTCGAGCTTGGTGCCAGCGAGGCGGGCCAGAACGACGCTATTCGCACCGCGCAGAACGAGATTGCCGGCGTGCGCGAGATCATGACGGAGAACATTGAGCGCGTTTTGGAGCGTGGTGAGAGAATCGACTTGCTGGTGGACAAGACGGACAGGCTGGGTGGGAATGCGCGCGATTTCAGGGTCAGAAGTCGCGGGCTGAGGAGGCGTATGTGGTGGAAGAATGTCAAGCTGATGGCTCTGTTGATTGTGGTGGTCATCTTCTTGCTCTACCTGTTTGTTGGCTTTGGTTGCGGCCTTCCGGGTAGGTCCAAAGAGCTCTATGAAGCTAAACAGCTGCTAACTGAATCGCAGGCTGGTCCAGATGCCTGGGCCATTAAGCTCAATCGACGATCAAATGGGAAACTCAATGCTCATGGGATACGGCGTTTTAGCGAGGACGGATTGTTTGTAATGGTGAGTAACAAGCAAGCAGATATATATGTATAGCTTGCAAATGATAACGCGTAACGAACTACTCTACTCTACAGACCTACGGAAAAAATGAAATAACTCCCCCTATACCCAGACAAAAAGTATATACATAATATGGGACGCACGTCCCGGGTATCACAGTGTTGTTTTCATACAAGCATACACCAATCACGACGCCGTCCTAATGCTCAAACCCATTTTCTATGTAGAAAAGCCGCCCAACAGACGACTACAGTAGTCAAATCCATTGGACGAAAAAAGCAAATCCAGAACCCCAACCCTTTTTTTGTCGAATATATACGGCGTCATTGAGTGTGCACAGAAAATCGCGACGAATAAAGCAGAACCTGCAAAACGCTCTCACTAGAGCACCATAATCTACGGAGCCAACACTAGAGCCAGCAAAGCCATGCGAGTGTACAGCCCGTATTTCATCTAGCACAAAATTAGCAACAAATTCATCTGGTAACGGGAAGGGGGCAACACTCACCTGTCTGAAGTACGCCGCCCTGGGATCAAGGTCAACATCTTCGTGGATCTCCCTGTTGCGGGGAAGAGGGTGCATGACGATCATGTTGAGCTTGGCGTGCTTCATAACGTTGCTGTCGACAACGAAGCTGTCCTTGACCTTCTCATAGTGAGCCTGGTCCGTGAAGCGCTCCTGCTGGACGCGAGTGCAGTACATAACGTCCGACTTGGCGACAATATCAGGAGTCAGCTCGCTGGCCTCGAGCTCGAGCTGGCCACGAGAATTAATGGCCTCACGCTCGTGTTCGGGAATTTCCAAGCCCTCGGGGGCAACAAGCTGAATCTTGATGTCCTCATAGTGCTTCAGGAGCTCGCAGAGAGAGTGTACGGTGCGGCCATACTTGAGATCACCGACGAAGGTGATTGTCAGACCCTTGACGGTACCCAGCTCCTCACGAATGGTGAACAAGTCGAGGAATGCCTGGGTGGGGTGCTCATCGGCGCCGTTGCCAGCGTTGATGATCGGAATACCGGAAGAGAATTTGGTGGCGATACTGGTTGACTCCTTGCTGGGGTGGCGAAGAACGATGGCGTCGCCGTAGCAGCCAAGAGTGCGGATGGTGTCAGCCAACGACTCACCCTTCTTGGTAGAAGAGTGCGCCTCGCTAATGACGACGGTGCTACCTCCCAGACGCTTCATGGCAGCATCGAAAGAAGCAGAGGTCCTGGTGGAGGGCTCGTAGAACATGTTGCAAAGAACGCGGCCCTTAAGGATGTCCAGACCGCCCTCACGCTGGGCACCAAGACGGAGTTCCTGGGCAACAGTGAAAAGCAAATGGAGGTCGCTGCGAGTAACCTGCTTGACGGAAACAATGTGCTTGCGCTTGAAGGGCGACCTGGCCAAGAGCTGACCCAAAGTCAAGTTGGTTTCACCAATCTTGCTCGTTGCACCGATACCGCTATCCTGGGCGCCAGAGACGAAGGTCTGGTAGTCAACCTTGCTAATCTCAAGATCGTAGTGGCGAGCAATAGCCTCGATGAGCAACTTGGCATTCTTAACATTTGTCACCAGAGGAGTCTGGTAGTCAACGGCCATACGACGAGTCCTGTAACCGCGAGACATGTAGTTGGCAGGGCGACGGAAACGGTTGCTGGACGGCAGGTTGATGTACAGATCGATCAGATTGTTGGCCAAGTGCTGCGTCAGAGAGTACTCAGGCTTCTGCTCTCCATCATGACCAGACTGACCAAGAACCTCAAGGAACTTGCAAGGGATGCTGTGCTCCTGGATGAAGTCGGCGGTACCAGCAGTAGCAAAAAGGTTGTAGCCCAGCTCATGAAGACGCTTGATGGAAGGGAGCATTTCGAACTTGTCCTTGAAAGAACCGATTGATAGAAGAATGTTCTTGTTCGGAAGCCTGAAGCCGGTAGCGATAAGACCCTTGATGTATGCTTCATACTTGGTACGACCGAAGCAAGCGACCTCACCGGTGGAAGCCATCTCCACGCCGAGAACAGGATCAGCACCAGACAGTCTCGAGAAGGAGAACTGAGGCACCTTGACACCGACGTAGTCAGATGGAACGTTGATCGGAGGGTACTCGGCGACCGGCAAGCCAGCCATGGCCTTGGTCGCCATCTCGATCAGGTCGACACCCATGACCTTGGAGACGAAGGGGAAAGAGCGGGACGCCCGAACGTTGCACTCGATGACCTTGATGTCGTTGTCCTTGGCAATGAATTGGATGTTGTAAGGACCGGTGATGTTGAGTGCGCTTCCGATCTTACGAGTGGCGTCCTCGATACGACGAACAGTCTCCGGGTCGAGATCCTGAGGAGGCAAGATCAAAGTGGCATCACCCGAATGGACACCAGCGTTCTCAACGTGCTCGGAGATGAAATGGCCAATCATGGTACCGCCACGGGCAACAGCATCCATTTCGATTTCCTTGGCACCCTCGATGTACTTGGTAATGACAACAGGGTGGTCGCGCGAGACCTCAGTGGCCTGGTTGAGGTAGTTCTCAAGGTCATCCTTGGTATAAACCGTGTTCATGGCTGCACCCGACAAAACGTACGAGGGACGAACAAGAACAGGATAAGAGACCTTTTCGCAGAATTCCTCTGCTTCCTCAAGAGTGCTCAATTCCTTCCAAGCGGGTTGGTCGACCGAAATACGGTCCAACATGCGGGAGAACTTGTAACGGTTCTCTGCGGTGTCGATCATTTCCGGCGACGTGCCAAGGACCTTGACGTTCAGACGGTGCAGAGGCAGTGCGATGTTGTTCGGCGTCTGGCCACCCATGGACATTATGACACCACTGGAGTTCTCCAGCTGGTAAATGTCAAGCACCGTCTCAATGGTGATGTTCTCGAAGTACAGACGGTCAGCCTCATCGTAGTCGGTAGAGACGGTCTCGGGGTTGTAGTTAACCATGACCGTCTTGTACCCAGCCTCTCTGAGCGTGCGAATGGCACGAACAGAGCACCAATCGAACTCGACAGAGGAACCGATACGGTACACGCCAGAGCCCAGGACCATGACACCACGGTCATTGAAGTCAATGTCGTGGGACGTGCCATTGTACGTGACATACAGGTAGTTGGTGAAGGCAGGGAATTCCGCTGCAACAGTATCAATCTGCTTCACCACAGGGAAGACTCCGGCATCGACTCTAGCAGTACGCACGGCAAGCTCGTTGGAACTCCAGAAATTGGCAAGCTGGCGATCAGAGAAACCGAGCTGCTTAGCCTTTTTGAACATGGACACAGGGATGTTGTGCGTGTTGTACTGGGTCATAAGCTTGCTGAAGTCGCTCATGGTCTTGAGCTTCCTCAGGAACCACTTGTCGATCTTGGTCAGCTCCCAAATCTTGTCAACCGTGTAGCCAGAGTGCATAGCGTTAGCAATGGCGAACAACCGCTGGTCAGAGGGGGTCTGCAGCTCCTGGTCGATAGACATGAGAGCCATGGAAGTCTCGTTGAAACCAAGGTTGTTGGGATCGATGGCACGGATCGCCTTCTGGATAGCCTCCTCAAACGTCTTGCCTATACTCATGACCTCGCCCACGCTCTTCATGGAGGAACCGAGGAGAGTGGAGACGCGAGTGAACTTCTTCAAATCCCAGCGAGGGATCTTGACAACGCAGTAGTCGAGGGAAGGCTCAAAGCAAGCGCAGGTAACCTTCGTGACACTGTTCCTGATCTCGTTGAGAGGGATGTTCAAACCCAACTTTGCAGCAACGAAAGCCAGAGGATAGCCGGTAGCCTTCGAAGCCAAAGCCGACGAACGCGAGAGACGAGCGTTGACTTCGATGATGCAGTATTCCTTGGAGTCAGGGTTGAGGGCGTACTGAATGTTGCACTCGCCGACCACGCCAAGATGCCTGATGACATTGACGGCCGTGGTACGAAGCATATTGTAGTCTTCGTCGGAGAGCGTTTGGGAAGGCGCAACAACGATGGAGTCGCCAGTGTGGATACCCAGCGGGTCGAAGTTCTCCATGTTGCAAACTGTGATGCAGTTGTCGAAGGCATCACGGACAACCTCGTACTCGATTTCCTTCCAGCCCTTCATACTGCGCTCAATAAGGACCTGGGGACTGGCGGCGAAAGCCTTGTTGCAAAGGTCGAGCAGCTGCCCTTCGTCCTCAGCGAAACCACTGCCCAAACCACCGAGAGCGTAAGCAGCACGAACGATGACAGGGAAGCCAATGTCAGTGACGACGCGCATAGCCTCATCAACAGAGTTGGCAGATGCGGACTTGGCGCACTTCTCGCCAATAGAGTCCATGGCGCGCGCGAAAAGTTCACGGTCTTCAGTGGTGATAATGGTATCGATAGGAGTACCCAACACCTTGACACCAAGAGCCTCGAACTCGTCCTTGAGTTGAATACCGACCTGCAGCGCAGTTTGGCCACCGAAGGTAACGTAGATGGCATCTGGACGCTCCTGCTTGATGACCTTGCGGACAAAATCGGCAGTGACGGGCAAGAAGTACACCTTGTCGGCGAGGCCCTTGGAGGTCTGGATGGTGGCGATGTTGGGGTTGATGAGGATGGTATAGATGCCTTCTTCCTTCAATGCTTTGATTGCCTGGGAGCCAGAGTAGTCGAATTCGCCGGCCTGGCCAATGCTGAGACCACCAGAGCCAAGAACCAAGACCTTCTTGACCTCGACCTTAGGGTGCAGCTTCCGGTTCTCCTCGATAGTTCCACCGGGGAACTCAACAGGTTGGTTCAGCGTCTCCGGCTTCTCGATGGACTTCAAAACAGTCTGGATGAAGACATCAAACAGGTTCTCAGTGTCCCTGGGGCCGGGGGCGTGCTCGGGGTGGAATTGGACAGAGAAGTAAGGGCGGCTGACGTGCCTGATACCCTCGTTGCTACCGTCGTTGGCGTTGACGAAGAGTTCCTGCCAGCCTGTAGGCAACGTCTCGGCATCGACCTCGTATCCGTGGTTCTGGGAGGTGATATAGCACCTGCCAGAGAGCAAGTTGGTGGCAGGAATGTTTGCACCACGGTTACCGAACTTCATCTTCTTGGTAGAGGCGCCAGCAGCCCGAGCAAGGAGCTGGTGACCCAAGCAAATACCGAAAATGGGAGTCCTAGCCTCCTCAAGCGCAGCTTGGATGTGCTTAACGGTAGAGGTCATCATGGCCGGGTCACCAGGGCCGTTGGAGAGGAAGAGACCATCGTATTCCTTGCCAGCAAGCTTCGGGAAGTCGTAGTCCCAAGGGACGACCTCAACCTCGACACCACGCTTCACAAGGCAGCGAAGCTGGTTGAACTTGAGACCAACATCGACGCAAACAATCTTCACATTGCGGCCGGAGGGGTGTTTTAACGCGGTCGACGGGTCGGGAGAATAGGTCTTTGGTTCCTTGGCAGACACTGGACGCTGTTAGAAGCCAGGCGCAAAATTGGCGGTTCAACGAGCTATCTTACCTTCAGCCACCAGGTTCTTCTCGTTGGGGTTCACCCAGGGTATCTCCTCGTAGACAATGGGCTCGGCATTGCCATTGGCCTGGTTCTCGACGAGAAGACGGCCCAGCATGCTACCCTCCTGCCGTATCGTCTTGGTCAGCTCCCTGGTGTCGACACCAAAGAGAGCGGGAATGCCCTGCTCCTTCAGCCAGTCGCCCAGCGAGCTCGTGGCGAGATGGTTGCTCCAGTTCTCGCCCGAGTAGGAGAGAACGACCAGACCGGCGATGTGGGCTTCGTCGGACTCGAAGTAGGCAGGCAGGTCCTTCAGGAGAGGGTCCCTCGCCTTGCGGTCGGGCACACCGTAGTTGCCGACCATGGGGTAGGTGATGACGAGAATCTGGCCGCGATACGAGGGGTCGGTGAGCGATTCGGGGTAGCCGACCATGCCCGTCTGGAAGACGAGCTCGCCGGCAATGCTCTTGGGAGCACCGAAGCTATAGCCCTCGAAGACCTTGCCATCTTGGAGCTCAAGCTTCATGGCCGGTCTCTCTTCCGGGGCAGCCATGGTGTCTGGGAGCTGGGGGATGGATGGAGAGGGGATGGGGCCGTGAGGCTTGCTGCAGAGCAAACTTGGGGGCTGTTGGGGGGAGCAGAAAAAAAGAGTCGAAGTTCTTCGCAGCCTTGGCATTACGCTACCGCGGGGCACGTCGGGCTAGCTGCATGGGGGGCGGGATCGGCGGAGCTTGTGTCGATGCTCCGAGCAGGGGGCTCCAGGCAGATCGCGCTGCCAACAAGGCGGCCCATTGTATTTTCTTCGCCAGCCACCGCGACTCGGCGCCGCGATGGCGGGTGGGGGAAGCCCATTGCGCCCGTTGCCGCGGCCCTCCTGCGCGCTCGTGCTCGTGAGATGGGCCGTCAGCACGCGGCCGCCCGGTATCTCGAGACATCGCCAAGAGGACCCCGGATGGATCGCCTCGACGTGCATGAGGCGCGAGAAGCGGTCTGGATGCGACGTGTGATTGGGTCCTGCCTTTCTTTGCATCATGGCAGAAGGGTCTCGCGGCGAGATAAGGGCCTTGCGCATGATCAGCCGTCGGGCTTGGTGAGGCTGTTAGGAATCCATTAGTTATATGCCCCCAGGCGCCCGTGTACCTTTGACTGCGCTGGCCGGCTCCATGGCCCATCCTCGTAGCTTGACCACGTTCGTCATTCCCAGGTGTTTCGTTCCGCTTGTCGCGCACTACGCAAATTAATATAAACGCCCGCTCTCCTGCCAACTGCCGTCTCACAGTCTCCCGAGTCCCAGTCCACCTCGTCCGCGATAGCCAGCCCGCCAGCCGCCTCCAGCGCGCCTCACATAGCTACATGCTCGCATCCCTGTTGCGGCCTCGCAAAGGTCGCCGTCGCCAGCCTGAAAACTCGCCCTTTTCCACTCCACGGATCGATGCCCGGGACGCCGAGGCCGACGCGGAATACTTCGCGCGCCGCGACATGAACGCCGACGAGGACCACTATGAGGTCGGCGACGAGGCCTACGAGGACGACGAACCAGACGATCCCATCCTGCCAATATTTTCCGCCGAGCATCTTGGTATGTTCCACAAGCGCATTTTCGAGCCAGCGTCACTGACTGGGGCCATGGTGATCAGATCGCCTTCCCATCTATAACTTGACCCACTCGATACGTCTGCTCGTGGTTCAGCGGTGCGAGACTACGTTATCCTGGGATCAGCTGCGCTCACCGCAGGTTTCGCAGTTCCTTGTTAAGCCGATCCAGCAAGAAATCCAGTCAGGCCTCTTCAACCGAGCGTCGATCTATGCGCTCATCGCCAACTGCCTCCAGTTCCAAAAGGAAGGTCAAGCGAACCCCGGCAACGTCGGCGTCAGCAAAACAAGAGGCATGATATGTGAGCTCCTGGCCATGCGGTTGCTCAAGGAATTTTCCACTAGGGAGTTGATCGATGCCCTGGCCTATGACTTCGATCCGCTGCAGGGGCTTACCCCGCCTGCCACTGTCACTGGACGGAACAAGGCTGCGATGCAGCCACGCCTTGCGCGCATCTCGACGGTCGAGATTGCTATTCGCGCGCAAGCGAAGAAATTCTTGGCTCATCCATTGGTCGTTCAGCAGCTAGAAGCAATTTGGGCTGGTACCATTGTCTTCCACTCTGCAGCAGACAACCTACACAGGATTCCCTCCAAGCGTCCTACTCCTCGCGACACGCCCCGCAGCACCACATATGGCACTATGCACGATGACCCGCAATCGCCAGATAAGGGAGTAGAATTTCAGCCGTTGCTCGGGCCTACAATTCGACGCACTGTAACCTTGTATGATCCCAGGGAGGCGTCGCTGTTCAAATTGTCTCGTTTGCGTGTTCCCCGCTACAGACAGCTCTTCTCCACTTGCTCATTCGCAATCATGCTCGGTTTGTTCGTGGCCGTCCTGGTTGAGAAATCGGTCGACATCACTGCACTCGAAGTGGTCTTCTGGTTCTGGAGCGCAGGCTACATGCTAGACGAGGTTGTCGGCTTCACTGAGCAAGGCTTCAATCTCTACATCCTCAGTGTCTGGAATGCGTTTGATCTCGGCATTTTGTTGCTTTTCGTCGTCTACTATGTTCTACGACTATATGGAATCCTCATGCCGGACGTTCGTAAGCACCATACGGCTAACATGGCCTACGATGTACTAGCTTCGACAGCCGTGCTGCTCTTCCCTCGCCTGTTTTCCGTATTGGACCACTACAGGTACTTCTCTCAGCTCTTGATCGCATTCCGGATGATGGCCGTTGACCTGGCGGCAATCCTTGTCTTGATCGTCATCTGCTGCAGCGGTTTCTTTGTAGCATTTACACTTGCCTTCGGGGATACAGGGTTTCAATCCGGCTCTCAGACAGCATATGCTTTGTTCCAGCTGGTCATGGGCTTCACACCGGCCGCATGGGAATACTGGAGCGTCTATAACGTGTTAGGAAAGGCTATATTGACCCTTTTCCTATTTATTTGTCACTTCCTGATCGTCACTATTCTGATCACGGTCTTGACTAACTCCTTCATGGCCGTTGTCCAAAACGCAAACGAAGAGCACCAGTTTCTCTTTGCCGTCAACGCTATTTCAATGGTCAAGTCGGATGCTCTCTTCTCATACATCGCGCCTACTAATGTCATCGGTTGGCTCCTCACGCCGCTGCGGTTTGTCATGCCTTTCCGAAAATTCATCAAGCTTAATCGGACGCTCATCAAGGCTACTCACTTCCCCATACTCTTTTCTATTTTCTGTTATGAGCGACTCGTTCTGTCTCGCATGGCCTTCCAACCCGAAGAGTTGGTAGAACAGCGCGGCAGAAGTCGATCAAAGTTTGGCATTCGCGGTCCTGGAGACCTTTTCAGCCCTGGTCTACGCCTACGAGAACCGTCAATCACTACCTTCCAAAAAGACCGTGCTTTGGCTGAAGTATTCCGCCGGCCATACAAGGAGACACCCACATTGCGACAGAACACGGCAGGGCCCATGATCGACAGAAGGAAATCAAGCAATGTTGTACGCGATTGGATGCAAGGGATGGAACGAGGCGGCGCAATTTCCCCAATGGAAGAGCCTAGGTCGGTTCTGGACAGGCTGGAGACCGCCCGACGTCCACTCATGCGCCGTGCTAAGACGGCTCAAAGAATGAATGGCTCCAGGAGAATGATATCGTCTATGGCAAGATCGGTGGCTTCAGATCCCGATGTCATCTCCATGGTGCATCCTTTTTCGTCCCATATTATCGAAGAGGATCTTGACGACCCAATTATGGCCATGGAAGATGACCAACCACAACAAACCGATGCAGACGGCGACGATGAACTTGTTACCAATGATGAAAACGAGGATGACCGTCTCACATTAGGGCCTTCCGTACACGGTACTCTCCGACGACCAGACCTGGATAAGGAGAACCAGCGTATCTCCGTATATGAATCATCGAACGGCGAAGACTATTTCAGAACGCCCATGGCATCGAAATCACACACGCCTCATATCCCCAGTTCTGCAGCATCGGCCGCCAACGGCGTCTTTGCTGATTCTAGCAACCGCAGGAGATTGCATGGCCGTAATCTCTCGTCTACTACTATTCTCTTCAGCCCGCAGAAGGAAGATTTTGCTGGTGAGAGCCATGCTTCTGACTCTACCACGCCTGTTAAACGTCCATCAACCGCCATCCAAAGCGGTGCAGCCACCCCGCGTACAAGCAAGACACCAAAACGGCCCGCCCTTCGAAGCAACAACTTGTCTCCGCGCCATTTGAGTCGAGCTAACTCTAACCTCGCTAACTTCTCCAATCTACGCCACCTGCGCGATCGGATGCCTTCGTTCAATGCATTGGCACTGGATCTTGCCTCAGATATTGGTGACAACAAGCCGCGCGTCGACACGCCTGGCGTGTTGGGCGGTAGTTTCTCGACAAATATGGAGATGGCGATAGGAGGGAGAGGAGGAAGACGTTTTGAGCGTTCCAGTCATCACTCGGATGAAAGTGATATCAAGCGCCAGGAGGAAGCGGAAGAAAGGAGCAGAATGAACAGGATCATGCTTGCCAGAATGAACACACTGGAGGTCGGATTCACAGAGATCTTGAAGGAGGTCAGGGGACTGAGGGAAACAAACGTCGCCTCAGCGCCGGCTGTGCCGGAGAAGAAAGAGAAACGGAGGAAGGGCAAGGGATCGCAGCCTCAAACAAAGAGCGCTGGTGGTTCGATTGCTGCTTCGGCTGTTACTTCAGCTGCTGCTTCAACGATTGGAGATGAAGAGGGAGACCACGAGATGTCTGAATAATGAGCGGGTTGGTTAGATGGAGTCTCGCACTGAGCACAGCATTTCTAGGTCGTCGAGTCTGAGACTGCAGTGTTTTCGGTTTCTGTACTCTATCCTGGCTTTGTTCTTTGTGGGCGTCTTTCTTTTGTTGCATCTGCGAGCGTGTACTGATTTTCTGCTTTTATCGCCTTGGATTAATGTCTTTTGAACAGCGTAGTTAGTAGCGTATTTACGAAGATCTCCGAAAAAGCATTAGAAAGGACACGGCGTTTAGCATGATCACGGAGATAAAACTCTATCTCCAGAAGTGGTGCGAGGGTGTTGCGGCCCGCACGCGATGTTCCGCGAAACGACAGGGGTCAACAGCGATTGAATGCTGAATGCTGACTACAGGGCCCTGGCTGAGACTGAGAGACATGGGAGAATGCATTGACTGGTGGGCGATCACAAACCAATGCAGGGGAGAGCACAGCGGAGTAAGATGGGGCTAATTGTCTGACGTGGAGTCAAGACTGTTACCTCCATAAACTCCGTCGACATACAGGCATACCCTGTAAATTTATAGTTCTGATGCAGATGCAATGCAAGCGCTGAGTACTGTACCAAGCGATACTGTCACTCATGTTCAATGCTACGCTTCTCTTCGGTCATGCTAGCTGATCGTCCTAGGTAGTAGTACGACTGTTCGATTCGGACCAGAACTTTCCCGACCCGGTTCCCACGCTAGTCCCCGAAAGTACGAAAGCAGTGGGTTATCGGAATTAAGAGACTAAACTCCTGGTTGGAAGGGGTTGGAGGGGTAGCAGCTGTTGAGGGGGATTGTGACGTTGCCTAACGTAGCAGACGTCATGATGCTCTTGCTAGAAACCTATATATTTAGGAGTAAGTAACGTAAAATGGCGGTCCATCACTGTCTTGTTCTCAACTTCTTACGTCTGATCTTCCGGCTCGAAGAATCGCGACTTCATCTCAACCACTACCCTATACACAAAACAAAGACTCGCGCATCACAATGTCTTGGTTTCAACCTCCCCCTAAGCCCAAGAACCATCTTGGCTTCCACCGTATCCTCTCTTCCACGGCTGGTGTCAGGGTCTCCCCGCTATGTCTGGGCGCCATGAACTTTGGCGACGCCTGGTAAAAGTTAACAACAACGCCCTCTCAGAGCAAGAAACTGATTGTTTGAATTCAGGGAGGGTTTCATGGGCAAATGCGATAAAAAAACGACGTTTGAGATGCTCGATTTCTTCTACGAGAACGGCGGCAACTTTATCGACACGGCCAACAACTACCAAAATGAGCAGAGCGAGGAGTGGGTTGGCGAGTGGATGCAACAGAGGAAGAACCGTGATGAGATGATCATCGCAACCAAGTTCACGACGACTTATCCCGCCCCTGAATCGAACAAGAAGATCAAGAGCAACTTCCAAGGCAACCATGCCAAGAGCTTGCGTGTATCCGTTGAAGCGAGCTTGAAGAAGCTTCAGACCGATTACATTGATCTGTTGTATCTGCACTGGTGGGACTTTTCGACGTCCATACCCGAGCTCATGACGAGCCTCCACCACCTTGTCCAGAATGGCAAGGTAATCTACCTCGGTATCTCTGACACTCCTGCTTGGGTCGTCAGCAAGGCCAACCAATGTAAGTTTTTCCAAGCTGCAGCCCACAGCCAAGACTGGTTATAGCGATTGGGCTAGTCAGCAACTTCCGACTGTCAAAAAGGCGTTTGTCAGTATATCTGGCTGGTTTGTGCACGGCCGCTTGCAAACTTTTACCATTATGAAAAGAGAAACGTTATATATAGTCAACTCTCAATGAACTAACGAGTAACAGACGCCCGTGATCACGCTTTGACTCAGTTCAGCGTTTACCAAGGACGATGGAGCGCCGCTAGCCGCGACTTCGAACGCGACATCCTTCCCATGTGCCATGACGAAGGCATGGCGCTTTGCCCGTGGGGTGCCCTTGGCGGAGGAAACTTCAAGACCGAGGAAGAGATGAGCAAGGGCGAGGGCCGTAAGATGCACAAACAGACGGAGGAACAAAAGAAGATTGTCGGTGCTCTGGAAAAGCTTGCGAAGAAGAAGAATACCCTCATCACCAGCATCGTGAGTCCATCTCTTCTCATAAATTTAACTGCTCGAGATATCTCATCAATCGTTCAATAACTCGCTGACAAACTTTGTGCCAGGCCCTTGCTTATGTTATGCACAAAGCTCCCAATGTATTCCCTATCGTTGGCGGGCGCAAGATCGAGCACTTGAAGGGCAATATTGATGCCCTTGCTATCAGCCTTAGCGAGGAAGAGATCGATGAGATTGACAATGCCGTTCCGTTCGATGTTGGCTTCCCGATGACAATGCTCTTTGAGATGAACGGCGGTAAGTACAAAACCAGCATGACAACGGCCGACGTCGGGTTGCGCACCCCTGCCGGATGGTTGGACACAGTTGAGAAACCTAAGGTAAGTCGAAAGCATGTGTCAACTCTTGATGGTGTTTCTAACGAGATATCACAGCCTATCAGGCCCCGCGACTTGAGTGGCAACTAAGCAGTGGATTGTGGATACGTGATAGTAGCACAGACGGTGAATTGGTCCGCCAGTATGTAGTTGGAAGTACATTGACTTCTTTGGCGCAACAACAAATTTTACATGTGAGCTCTAACGTCCGTCACCGTGAAGCGAGATGGTGATACTTGTACAGAGTAGAAGAAGAGACCTAGTAAGGTGTGTAGAGTCTGCGTATGCTCTAAGACCTTTTTATCCATACCCGGGACTCGGGCTGGGAGCTAGGCAAGGAGTACTCTGTAGGGACTGGTTGTATCGTCCTTTGTCTCGCTATACGGTGGATCTCGGTTCGCAATGACGGACGTTATAATTTGATACGAGTTATTTGTAACTGTTCGACTGCTTTTTGAGGGAGAAAAGATCATCCAGTCATATTTACGGCAAAGACCTTTTCCTAGCCCGGACGCGAGTTTCGTCCGTCAACCGGCAGCAGTGACTCGTGTGTAGAGGCCACCGATGGGACTTTCATGATGATTGGCGAGGGGTTACTTGATAGATAAGATGCCAGATCAGCCTCAAGAAGGCCCAGACGGGCTCGATCAGATAAAAAAAGGACCACGGGCCATGTCGGGAATCCGATACCGCAAAAAGGGCGGCAAGGCGGATTCGTGCGGGAAGTGCGGTGCCGGTGCGGGTTCATCGCACATCGGGATTCGGCGGATCAGGGCCGTCCCGTACGTCACCCATCAAGCAAGTGCCAACCCGGAGAATCTTCCACCTGCCCACAACCATCGAGCCCTTCCACCTCCTGTGTGTCCATGATACAGCCACCTTCGCTTTGCCGTCGCCGCTCTCATCAATTGGCCCCTTGATCGCCCCCCTTGCCGCTATACCGGCTACAGCGCCGCCAATTTAACATGCTGCGCTTGCAGGCTCTCGCGGGCAATGCGCGTGCCAGAGCTCCCAACGCGCTTTCCGCAAACTCCCTGAGCAGATCATGCTCTCGGAATGCTGCCTCCATCAGAGCCTCGTCGACGACCAGTACCACTGCTTCTCTGCGCAAGAGACCCCAAGCTCCAGGATACACGTCACGCCTGAAACAACTTCAGGGACCCAACGCACTTGGCTTCTTCACCCGCTCCGTATCCACCCAACCGGCTCCATCCCGATCTTCTCGCACCCTCAAGCTCATCTACGGGACAGCAGCCTGGGTGGGCATCTTCACGACCGTCGGTGCTGGTATCGTCCTGGCGTTCTTCGTCTATGACTCGACTACCTACAATGAAGAGCCCTTCAATGAAGACATCTCGGTTTCAGAGCTTGCGCTGTTCCCCCGGGTAGGAGGGCCGAAAAATCTACCAATTGCCGAACACCTGATGGACGACGATGATAGCCCTGAGAAGAAGGAGCAGAAGCACAAGCCGAAGCTGGTCGTACTTGGCACGGGCTGGGGCAGCATCGCTCTTCTTAAGGGCTTGAATCCGGACGACTACCACGTTACTGTTGTCGCGCCTTCGAACTACTTCTTGTTCACGCCAATGCTGCCCTCGGCGACTGTTGGCACACTGGAGCTCAGGTCGCTGGTCGAGCCTGTGCGCAGGATAATTGCGAAACTCGGCGGACACTTCATGAAGGCTAAGGCTGTGGATGTCGAGTTTTCGGATAAGCTGGTTGAAATTCAAGGCCTTGGTCCTAACGGCGAGGAGCAACACTTCTACCTTCCTTATGACAAGTTAATCATTGGTGTCGGTGAGTAACTGCTGCCCAATTGCTTCGAAATTTGGCTGACTTGCACAGGATCTATCACAAACCCCCACGGTGTTAAAGGCCTCGAGAACTGCCACTTCCTCAAGGATATCACCGATGCGCGCTTGATTAGAAACTCTGTGATCAGAAACTTGGAAACTGCATGTCTGCCAACCACCAGCGACGAGGAGCGCAAACGTCTTTTGTCTTTTGTGATCTCTGGCGGTGGCCCCACTGGTGTCGAGTTTGCGGCTGAGCTGTTTGATATGCTTAATGAGGATCTGACCAAGTTCTTCCCGAAGATCCTGCGCTCGGAAATCTCGGTGCACGTCATCCAGAGCAGGGGACATATCCTTAACACCTACGATGAGGCTCTTTCCAGATACGCCGAGGTAAGTACATCCCAGTTGTTATTGACTTTATACTAACGGTACTTCAGGCTCGTTTCGCGCACGACCAGGTAGATGTCCTTACAAACTCCAGGGTTAAGGAGGTCCTACCGGATAGGATTCTCTTCACTCAAAAGGATGACGCTGGCAATGTCATTACCAAGGAACTTCCCATGGGCTTCTGCTTGTGGTCCACTGGTGTTTGTAAGCTTGTCTCCGCCGTGCCTGAAGTTAAGGACAGAAACTTATGAATTATCTAGCGCAAACCGAATTCTGCAGGAAGCTCGCCAAGAAGCTCGACGGCCAGCACAACAAGCATGCTCTTGAAACCGATTCTCACTGCCGTCTGGTTGGCGCACCCCTTGGTGATGTCTACGCCATTGGTGACTGTAGCACCGTACAAAACAACGTCTCGGACCACATTGTGACCTTCCTGCGCACTCTGGCATGGGAGAAGGGCAGGAACCCGGAGGAAATGCAGCTCTCGTACGCAGAATGGCGGCACGTAGCGAAGCGGGTGAAGGGACGCTTCCCGCAAGCCGCGGACCATCTGAAGCGGCTTGACCGGCTGTTCGAGGTGTACGACAAGGACAAGAGCGGAACGCTCGACTTCGGCGAGCTGCACGAGCTGCTGCGACAGATTGATAGCAAGCTGACGTCGCTGCCGGCGACGGCCCAGCGGGCGCACCAACAAGGCCAGTACCTGGCGCGCAAGTTTAACACGATGGCGCACATGGCGCCGGGCATGCAGTTAAATCAGGTTGACTACGGCGACCTCGACGACGCTGTCTACAAGGCCTTTGAGTACAGGCATCTCGGCTCGCTCGCGTACATTGGCAACGCTGCCGTCTTCGATATCAACGGCCTTAACTTCTCGGGTGGTTTGCTCGCAGTTTACCTCTGGCGCAGCGTTTACTTTGCGCAGAGCGTCAGCTTGCGCACGCGTATTTTGCTGGCGATGGATTGGACAAAGCGCGCACTGTTCGGTCGTGGTAAGTCACTCCTTCATCCTTCGTTCTGCCCGTTAGTTAGAGAACACATGACTAATCCATCATACTCTGCAGACCTGATGAACTTCTAAGAGTACCAGACCTGGAAGTGGAGCTAGACTGGCATGAATGATGTCCCCTTGAGGTGGTTGGCGGTAACCTACTACGCTTAATTTAAGCATTTTACCTAGGCGCGAAAACAGGCGCAATGCTTACTTGTACAGCGCACCGTTTTATCATTATTGTTCCTTTAAAAGCCGACACGATCGGAGGCGATGAAATATAAACAACAATTTCCGATTGCAATAATACTTCCGCATATCTGGCGTTGATATGTGACAAGAGAAAAAAGAGATCGCAGGTACTCCGACCCAATGCATGTAACTGATATAATGCTCGAAGAGAGATGGATGCAACCAACCAACAGCGGAGGAACAAGCAAAATGCTTACGCCTTCACCTTCTTCGTCTTCCCCTTAACCCTCTCCACCAACTTCTTGATATCCTCTCCACCGCCCGCAGCAGCGCCCCCATCAACAGCCTTCGACTTCTTCGGCCTCCTCACCTCCTCGACCCCATCGTCCCTCTGCGCCTTGCGCTTCTTCCTCCCCTCCTCCAACAACGCCTTCATGCCCGCCGTGCCCTTGAACTTGGAGTTCGTCGGATCAATCGCAAACTCATGGCTCTCAAACAGGGCCGCGAAACGGGGGTCGGTGGTATCCATCTCGAAGCCCGCCTGGCGCGGCTCCTCTCCCTCGTCGCCCTTCTGGTGCTTCTTCTTGCCGCGGCCCTTGCCCTTGCGCTTGGCGGCCTTCTCGGCCTTCTCAATCTCGGCCATGTCGAAGTGGCGCAGGCCCGCTGGCGCGCCCGTCTCGTCGGCCATGAGCAGCTCGAGCTGCGCGCGCTCGGCCGCGTCGGCCGCGGCTTGCGCTTCGCGGGCTTCGCGCTTGCGCGCCTTTTCGGCTTTGCGCGCTTCTTTGGCGGCGCGCTTGGTGGTGCCTTCGGGGTCGTCGAAGAAGGGGTCGTTGAAGGGGTCTTCTTCGTCGTCGGCAACGGCGGGTGCCGTTGTTTCTGCCTCCTTCTCTTCTTCTGCGGCAGAAGCGTCGGCGTCGGCGTCGGCACCCCCGCGCGCGGCCCTCATCTTCTCCTTGCGGCGCTGCTTGCGTTCCTTTTCCTTGCGGACGTACTTCTCCTTGGTTGTCTCCTCGATGACGGGCTCATTTTCGAAGACGGAGCCGTTGGCCTTGGAATTCAGGCCCGAGGTGAAGGTGATCTGCATGTCGCCAACGGGGCGGTCGTCCTTCGACTTTTTCGTAGCAGACGATAGCTCCGCCGACAGGCCCAGCGCAGCGCGCAGCTTGGCTGCCTTGTCCTCCTTTGCCTTCTTCTTGCCGGAGCTGCTGGCATCGACGACCTCTTCTTCCGGCTCGTCTTCGTCCGACGAGCTGTCGCTGCCGATGTAGGCCTGCATGTCGTTGTCGTCAATCTCCTTTTGGCTGAATGCGCGCTTCTGCACCTCCTTGCGCGTCGTGTCATCGGCGTCCCAGGTCAGCTTGACGCGCGAGTGCGTCAGCGCGTCCGTGACGAAGTCGTTGGGGCGGTAACCGTCCGGGAGGCGGGTGCACTGGTCGCGCGGCTTGTCGCCGTCAAAAGACACCGAGTCGGGAACGAAGCGCAGGTCGAAGAAGTTGGCGCTGGAGAGGTACTCGCGCCCGTCCATGTTCTCGTAAAGGTGCTGCGCCGTGTTGGGCGAGTCGGTCGTGATGAGCGCATAGTAGTAGCGCAGACGCTCGAGCTGGTACTGACGCAGTGCTTTCGAGTCGAACTCTTCACCCTTGTCTTCCTGCAGGAGGTCCTTCTTGATCTCCTCGTCCTCCTCGTCCTCGTCGGACGTCCCAGGCGAGGATGCGCGCGCCTTCTTCTTGAAGATCTCCCGCGGCGGTCCCTCTAGCTCTTCGCGCTCCATGCGTTCCCTGCCAAACTCGCTGGGGTAGACCGTCACGTTCATGATCCGCCCGCCTTCGGGCGCGAAGCTCGATGCCACGGCCAACAGATCCTCCGCGCGTATGTTGTCCCAATCCAGATTCACCGCCGCCAGCCGCGCCGACACCTCGCCCATGGGAACGTCTGCGTCCTGGCCCTGCGGGAACTCAATCTCGTCTTCCTCTACCTCAATTTCTGACTCTTCCTCGTCTGAATCGCTCTCATCCTCCGAAGACGAGAATCCGCCCTCGCGCGCAGGATCATACTTCCTGTCGGCCTTGGCGAGCTCTTTTTGGATCTCGTCGTCGTCATCAGCCTCGTCGCTTCCCTCCCCATCCTCCTCCTTGTCTTTCTCCTCATCTTCGTCCTCTACGCGGTAGAAGCGCTGCAGTTCCTTCTTTCCAGCATCTTTCGCAACCTTGCGGCCATAGCGGTCGACGGTGGCCTTCTTGGAGAAGTCGTCATCCTTGAGCATATGCGCAAAACGCTTGTCGAGGGTGACACGGGTGTTCTTCTTAGACGGCAGGCGGAAGCGGGGGTCGGTGTGGATGTTGGCGAAACGGGAGTCCGCTGCGAGTAGACATGTCAGTGATGCAGCAGCAATTGGAACGGCAAGCAATGGACACACTGATTTGCGGAGCTGCCTTGGAGGCACGGCCCTTGGGGGCCTTCTGCTTTGGAGGCGCCATGGTGTTGGAGAATGGTAGGTTTGTATGCAGCTTTTGCTTGGTGTTTTCGGCCGCGAAGCAATGCGATGGAAAGCGTTCGCGGCCGAAATTTTGAGCCGAGGATTTGCCGCAGTTCCTATCGATAAGACTTTCCCGACGGGTGATGGTCAGGCCAAGATGACGTCGGCGCTTGATTCGTCGGCCTCTTTAGTCGCGTGCTCACCCCCAGAGCTCCTGCAATCCAAACAATAACAACCCCTCTCGCCCTACAAACAATCCTCCGTTGCACACCAGCAAGCGCTCTCGATCCTCAGATATAGAGAGTCGAATTGGAGTCCCAATGGCTTTCGCGTACTTGAAGTAACCTCTCTATTCCACGACCATAACAGGCAAACTGACACCACCCCCGCAGTCGCCGCAATGTCATCTTCTTCTCCATCTGCGCCCTTGGCGGCTCATACTTGATTGCCAAGTCGGGCACCGTCCACGCAAAGAACCAGCAGCTTCAACGGAAAGAGGGCGATTTCCGGGTAGACACGTCGCGTTCAGGTGAGTGCTCTTCGTGCTTCCCCCTTCTTGTCGTGTTATTTGGCCGTTTGGTTCACACTGCTGGCGCCAGGTGGAGGTATCTGAGGAAGCTACGATGCCGTCCGGATGGCTCGATCCGCGGGACCATAGTTTGGCAAGACCATGACGCGGGTGATACTGGTTTCATGAACACGCAGAACGAACGGAACCTTGATAGTATTCCTAAGGTAGCCATCCATTGTCGCAAGGGAGCAACTTCGGAGGGTTCAAAACACCGCTTGGTGGTGTCGTTGTATATTAACATCAAGGTGTACACGGAGTTAGTTGATTGGATCCATGAGAACAAACGACAAAAGTACTTCACACTCCCTCTTCTCAATTCAAACACACAATTTGGACGCAACTTCGCAATCACTGTTTCACTGGTGTCTTTCTCACGAGTATCAGTCCACCGTTCCTTTTTCGTGCTCATCTCCGACTCGTGCCGCAGTTGGGTGATCTTCTTGCCCGAAAACGTCATACATCCCCGCACGCTTTGCGGCGGGATCGACGCGGCATGCAGTTGCCGCCGATCACTTGTGACAGACTGGCAGGGTGTTGACAGCTTCAACGACAGCTTCAAAAATGTCAACTGCGAAGCTTTCTTTGACAATTCCGTCAAAAACATTGCTTTCTATTCTATTTTGAAGTTTGTTGATATTTCATAGCGCTAGGTAGGTGATGTAGCTGTCCCCCGTCTTCACCCCGCGCACAACCCCCTGCATATCACCGCCAGCTGCCCACAAAAGCCCCACCTAGCATTGCCTGCACCCGATTCCCTCCCGAACCAGTCGTCGTTGCAGCGATGACAAGAGCGCGCGCTCATTGCCTCGCCCGTCCAATACACACCATCTACTCATTGTATATCTCGCCAGCGTTAAGCCTGAACGGCTCTACTACATATCTTTGTAGAGCTGTCTACTCTAACCTACCAAACCCCTCCTCTCGCACCTCCATAAACCCCCAACCCCGCTGCCCGCTGTTTCATATTGACCATCACACACAGTCCATCACCCCACCCACCACCTCACCCCACCCCACCAACCACAGCTGGCCATCAAGCGCGCAGCATGCTGCCATCCGTCCGCTACCCGAGCCGCGGCGTACGTAGTACACGGCAGACGAACCTCCAGTAAACGCATCGTATCAAATCTCCCTAAGTTCCATCAAACAAATCCCACCTCGAACTCACCACACGCAAAGTAAGCCCGTCCTCCCTTTACAGCAACAGGACGCATCCCACTCAGCACGCACTCCCTACGCCCTATACCAAGTATACAGCACAGCGCAACACAGCACAGCGTGCGTACCTACGTGGTACGTACGACCACCACTCAGCTCTCCACGTGTTCAAGCGTCCTGCCGTGCGCCGCACGCACGCACGCACTCAAACCCAGTGAATAGAGGCCCCAAGCGCGAAGATCGTGTCCCGTACTCCGTACCACACTGCACGCAAGCGCGCACGCACGAAAGAAAAACGGGACTGCGCTACGACGTACGTGCATACATGCCGTGCCAGCAGCACAGCACGTAGGCTAGCCCGCTGTACACGTTTTTTAGTCATTTAGACAGAATCGAGATCTCGCATCTATGGAGTGAGTTCCGTCCGGACCGGAGAGCTTTTTTATTTGTGGAAGAGTTGGTTCTAGTCGGGAGAGGACTGAGATTTTCACATACGTAGGGAGGAGATGATTGTTGTCTGGATGGAAATATGCTTGCTCATCTATATACGGATGACACGATCCTTGTAGCGATGAAAACGTTACTTGTGTATATAGAGAACTTACTTGTTGTTCATACAAGAGACTATTCTTTGTATACAGATGACGTCGTTTTCGTTTAGACAGTTATGATATATTCGTATACAGAAACAGAGGTAAAGCATAGAAGCACAAGGACGCAAGCCACGACTCCAGTGCGCGCTTGTCCCAACTCCTCCAACCCAATCCCTGGGCACGCCGCATAGCGTACACAAAGCACACATAACCACAACCACAACCACACAACCCAACCCAATCCCTACTCGGCCCGCTTACGCACAGCAGGCAACCCCCACCAACACGCGGCCATCACAGCAAACAGCCCGACACAAACCGGATGCAGCACCCAAGTGCCGACAGCCTGCGCCAGCAGCCCCGTCGTGAACGGCGCGACGGCACCACCGCTGCTCCCCGCGCTCCCGATAAACCCCACCGCACTCATCTGCAGCCGCTGCGGCAGCAGGCGCGAGAAAATCGTCTGCGCGCAGGGGTACACCGGGCCTAAGAGCAGGCCCAACACGCTGACGGCCACGGCATCACCGATCACGTTCGGGATTTGCCACGAGAGGATCTGGAATGCTACTGCGCCTGCAATGAGGATGTAGACGGAGGCGCGCTCGCCGATGCGGTGCGCGAGGTGCGATAGGAAGAAGCGGCCGAGGGTGATGCCGCCCTGGGAAGTTGTTAGAGGTAAGTGTTTGGGTTGGGGTTGGGTGGATGGGGTAGGGAGACTTACGAAGAACCCGGCCGTCACGTAACCCACGGCTGCAGGGTCGCCGCCGCGGTAGTTGATCAGGAAGGAGATAAACCAGCCGGAGATGGACACCTCGGCGCCCTGGTACGCGAAGATGAAGAGAGCGCCGATGATCGTGACTCTATTTCGCAGTGCTTCCTTAAGCAGTGCGCGCTTCGACGGTGCCGTGGGCTCCGTAGCTTCCTGCTGCTGGCTTGTCGAGCGATCCAGCGCCGCAAGTAATTGCACCGGAGCCTCCTTTTCGTGGTTCCAGAACGCCCAGCCACTGAACGCCATGCAAGCAGCGCGGATTCCAAGCGTAATGAAATAGAAACGCGACCATGTGACGCCGTGGGAGGCCATAGCCGTGGCGATTATGGGCCCAACCGTGCCGCCGATGCCGTAGCTCCCGTGCGCGAGACCGAGGATCACGGTCGAGCCGGCCAGGTTCGCGCAGAAGACATTGTTGAGCGCGAGGTTGATCGCATAGCCGTATCCCAGGAAAAGGAAGGAGAGCACCACAACGGGGAAGGGCGGCGTGCACACTAGCATGATGTAGCCTATGATCATGAACGCTTCGGAGAGCATGTGCGTTTTGGCCCGTCCGAGGCGCCCACAGATCGCGTCGGTGCAGAAGGCGGCGCCGATGAAGCCGACGGCGTTGGTTACAAAGATTAGGGATACGATCGCGTATCCGATAGAGTAATCTGTTTCCATATATGGGATCAATGCTCCAGGTACCGCATCGTTGATGCCGTTGCCAAAATAGACCAGGCATGCACACAGTACGCGCCACTTGTTCATGGGAGGGTTCCAAAGGGTTTGGACCAGATCTGTCGCTGCGTTTTCCCCTATCGGAGAGGAAGGTGTCGTTCTTTCCACATCACTGGGAGATTTCGGTGTTTGTGCTCCAGTAAGTGCTGCTTGGTTAGTACTGGCGGTTGTGCTAGGTCCATGGGGAGGGTTGCTAAAAGATATGGCATCGAGTTCGTAATCGGTGGGTGCCTTGGTTGCCGTGGACTTGTTCCGGTTCGGTGGAGGGTTGGCTGTGGCTTTTGAGGCCTCAATGTCAAATAACCCCAAAGTGTGAGAGGCCATGACGCTTTCGGACTATGGGTTTCTCATGGAAATGGTTGATTGGACTGAAGAGATAAGAAAGAGAAAGCAACAAAGACGGACGACCACGGTGAAGAAATATCTCTAGCCAAGAGCGAAGATGTCATGATCCAGAGAAAGCTTAGAAATCTCAACCACATGGTTAAGAGCACACATGTAGGAACGCATGCGGTTTGGCGGGAGCGGTGCGGGAGGTATTCCCCAAACAGGGTCGGATCGCCACCAGGGAGCGGGAACTGCTCCCCGAATAGGGTCCAATCGCAATCAGGTATCGGAAGGAATTTCCCGGAGCGAACTTCCCAGCGAATGACATCTGAATAACGTAGTAGCCTCCGCAGCAGTCAGTGAACGGAGGAGAATCCAGCAGGGTGTCCGGTGGTGTTTGGTGGTGTTTGTTTATGCTGCGGAGGAAACGCGGGGAGGAGCGAGAGCGAGGGGCAGCCTGGCTCGTGCAGGGGCAGCCTTATCGATACGTATTTTCTCGAAAAGTCTCAACTCCAAGGCCCTTCACTCGTATCACCAACCACAATCATGGGCCGCCCCAAGCGCAACCTCCTCGCCACCGTCGAGGACACCCTGACCCCTCCCGATGCTTTGACCGCGACCCAGTCCCTCGCCAAAGTCGCCAAGGCCGAGGGAAACAACCTGTACTCTGTCGATCTCCCGTCCGGAAACACGGCGCTGGTGGAGCTCAACCCGCGATTCCGCTCCACTATCTGGATCAAGCGCGGCTCCTATGTTGTCGTGGACCAGAGCACGCTTGCCGAGCGGGAAAACAAAATTCAGGGCGAGATTGTAAACGTTGTCAGGGACGAGAAGGCGTGGAGGAAGCAAGGCTATTGGTGAGTGAGCTACGGCGCGGCACATGGTATCCGTTAAGGCTGACATTAGCCAGGCCAAAGGAATTCCCTAAGGTCTCGACCTATCCGGAGGACAGCGACGACGACGACAACCGTGTCGGCATGATGCCTCCTTCCGATTCCGAGGATGAATAGCTGCGCCCATGTGCGCCCTACGCATTTTCTGCGACATTATTTACGCCAGATACCCATGCAACATCGCGAGCTTACTCGCTATGCGCTTTTTGCTTTGTATTCTTTCCCTCCTTCTTCATGCCCCACCATACACCAGCCACCTGAACTGCCAACACACCCACAGCCACGGCCGAGCTCGCCGGCGTGCTTGGGAAGACGTTCCACGCCCATTCCTGCGCTGCCCAAAGCGCATACTGGAGGATCGGATGGAAACCAGCTTGCCAGAGGAGGAAAGGAGTCGCCCAAGCTATCCAGGAATAGAACTGGTAGTGGAGGGACCTAGCGCAGAGCATCCCCACAGCAATGGCGGAGAGTATAGTAGCCATGGTAAATCGGGGATTGACGCGCTTCGCGATTAATTCCTGGTCGGCTGGTACCTTGAAGATCAGAGAAACGATCTCTGGCAGGGTCCGCTGGGCTGGCTTGTTCCACCGGGTCGAGGCGAAGAGCAATAGTAGCAGGGCATGTACTGAGAGTAGAAAAATCGAGAAATTCTTCGACAAAAACGTTTCCTCAGAGAGGAAGCGCCAATTGACAGTCCACTTGTAGAGGAAGACGCGCGTGAGTTCAAAGGCGCGAGACAAGTAACCTATAGCATTGGATCGGAGGAAAGCAACCCCAAAGAGCAACTAGATTGGCGGTCAGCTTCATATTCCAATTGATGCACTTGCGTGTAACCCTCACCTGCAACTGTCCTATGAGGCCAGCCTGCGTTAAAGCTCGTTCTTGTCCGATGCCTTGTAGCAGAACAAACCCCACAGCGGGCAAAGCCAGCAAAGCGCTCATCTTGACGCCAACCGCACAAGAATAGAGCATAGAGCCAGCGGTCCACATGCGGTTCTGATACGCATAGATCGCAAGGAAGAAAAACGCAACGGCAAAGCAGTCATTGAAGCAGCGCAAGACAAAGATACTATGCAACCGCTTCGACAAGATAAGCATCGGAAAGACGTACGGTGGGACCTTTCATTCTCATTAGTTTTTCTGCTCCAGCGGCATCAACACCAAAAGGAAGCCGAAGCCATTGGCCAACCCACCTTCGCGCGCCGATAGCACGCCATAACCACAGCCAACGTGCCCAGATACAGCACGGCGAAGATCAGCTGCGCGGAGAAGATGTCGCGACCCTGGCCCGTGAGGCCGTACAGCAGCCTGTAGATGTAGACGTGCAGGCCCGGGTACACGAGCGGCCCCGTGCCGCCCTTGATTTGCGTGTAGTCGCGCTCGCCGTCAATGTACTGCGCCACTTGCTCCATGTACGCTTTCCAGTCAATTTCGGTGTCTACGCGATGTTAGCGGCATGTATGGAGCACGTGGGGGGGAAGGGTGCCGTACAGGGCACTTTCCAGATGACGAGGCTGCAGAGCGCCCCGTCTGCTAGGAGGAGGAGCGGACATATCCAGCGTGAGTATTTGGGGTCTTGGGCGATGGAGAGTCCTTGCTTGATTAGGTCCATTTTTGTTGCGTGGTTATGGTTGGATATGAGACTCGACGTCGGATAAAGGGCCACGCAACGCAAGGTCACGTGGTATGTCATATTACGGCCTTCCTATAGTGGAAATTATGCGTCTAGGCCAATCTTTGAAATCCAATATTGATGTTATTTGCTTCTCTCTTCTGTATATACGGGCAAGTTTTATGATGCCTCACAATGTACCTTCTCATACACAACGCAGTAGACAACAGCCAAGTACTATCAACAGCCCAGATACCTCTTCTCCACCCACCGATCTTCATAATCATCTGTCAGTCTTCCTACTACCACTCTCATCTCAGGGTATACCTGCATGAGGCGGCCCACACCGACCCTGCCAGCCATGTACGTGACGAACACAATCTTCTCCTCAGGCACGCCATGGTCTACTAGAATCCTCACAGCCATCAGGGCTGCACCGCCGCTCGACATTTGCGGATCCAAAAGCAAGATGCGCTCATGGTCCTGGATGTTCTTCGGCAGCGCGCGGTAGTGCAGTTCAGGCTCACCGGTGCGGTAGTTTGTCTGGATGAGGATACGCCCCGTACGACAGTCGGGGATGACCCTCCTAAGGCCGGTTTCGAGAGCGCTGCCGCCGCGGAGAATGACGACGGCGCTTATTTCACCAACACGCTTCAGGCCGAGGTAAGGGTTGTTGTGCGGGGTGGTGACTTCTGCGGTCTCGAAATGCATGCACTGTATCGATTGCTCAATCAACAGCGATGCGATCCGGTCGAAGTAGAAGACAAATTCTTCCCGCGGAAGTTGAGGGTCGAAGAGCAAGGTGTTGACTCCGACAATCTGCCTTGTCTGCTGAAGCACTATGACGTTAGAAGACAAAGGAGTTTCCTCAGCAAGCTTGCCGAGTCTCTTGAGCTCGACTTGGTGCAACTTTGACTTCGTTGTCAAAATCTTCTGGATGCGATCGGTAATCATCGATATAGCAACTTTATTCTCCACACCGCGGGGGATGATGATGTCTATGGATGTCAAAGGACTGGTCATAGAGAGGATAGAAAGGGGCGTACCTGCAACCTCGCGCTGAGGAGCTACATATCGGTGGAAGTTTGGCTTGACAAATGAAAACCATTGCTTAATACAGCCTTCAATATCTCTTCCTCGACTCTTCACATCGCGAACGACTGCGATGCAAACCGTCAGTGAAAGCTGGGACACACTATATGGGTCAACACATACGTCTCCTTGACAAGCAAAGATCACCATCGGCATCGGCAAAGATCTGTGCGCCAGCAGTCAGCCCCCTGTGAGCTGACCTATGACGCCAGGGATACAACCTTCAAGTCGAGCAGATCCAGGACACGCGGGTCATGCAAGGCAAAGATACCTTCCAAGATAAGCACATGCGGAGAGTAGACTGTCGTAGTCTTGTCAAGCCGCTGGTGCTTTTGGAAAGAGTACACTGGAATATCGGCTTTCTTTCTATAACATGGTCAGCTGAGCCCACTAACGGAACTAGTGTGAAAATTGGAAGAGAAAATGAAAGACCGGGTTTAGAGAAATGGTGGCGGGGGACTTTTACACTTACCCCTCCTTGATGTCGCGAAGCCTATCTACAAGAACGTCAAAGTCGATCGCCTCTGGCGAGTCAAAATCGTATTCGTTCTTGTAGGCCTTTTCAGATTGCTCCGGCGTCAATGGCTTGTAGAACGAGTCCTACAGCAGTGTTAGTTGATGGTCACGCGAGCTGCAGACGAGAAAACTCGGTATACCATGGACAGGATCACCACCCATGGCAGGTTAAGGGCAGCTATGATAGCCAAGGAAAGGGTGGTCTTGCCAGAGCCGGAGCTACCAGCCACGCCGATGATGCTGGTATTTTGCCATGGCGGGGAATAGTGAGCTCTTTGCACCACACTCATGTTGAAGAGTAAATCGGCGTGCAGCTGGAGTTCAGGGACGATGGTATCAAAACATGGTGCAGGGGCGGGTCTAAAAGGGAAACAAGCGAACACGGCAGGGCCCCAAAACCCTTGCAAAAGCTTGGACTTAAGGATGTTCAGGGTAAAATATGGATGGTGGTGATGGAACCCCCCGAAGGAGGACCCACGCACGCACGCCAAGGCTCGGCTAGCAGAGGTAGCTTTTCCTTTTCCTTCCGCTCCCACGACTTCATCGTTCCTTCTTCCCTTCCTCCACCAACGTCCTCAGCGACGCTTCTCTCCCACCACCACTCTTTCATCGCCACGCCTCTCCTTCTGTCTTCACTGACAGGACGGAAATGACTTATGGCCGTGCGATAGAGTGAATCGTCTCCTCATTCATCATGGTACGTAGCCCCGCAGGCTGCAGCTCGGCCAGCTCCGTGCTAACACTCGCGCAGAGCTCTTCCACCGTAGTTTCGGCGGCCACGCCGACCAAACACCCCTTTGACCGTCGCATTGATGAGGTCAGGCCTTCAAAGACGTACGTATGCGGCTTTTCGTCCCTTCACACGCTGTTGTTCCACCACCCCCGCCCTTGTATGATGTGTTAATATCAAGTTGGGAATCTCTCCGAAAGATCTTATGTGGAGAGCAAATTTTCTTGCGACTGATCTTATGGCACAATCTCATATGCGCATCCTCTCCGAGAAAGAGTACGTCATGGCTAACGTCTCTGATCTCGATAGTGACATCAACAAACTCATCATGGACTATCTTGTCAGCGAAGGGTATCCGGTCTCTGCCAGGCGCTTTGCGACTGAAGCGAACATAAAACCCGCTGCGGCAGAGCAGTCTATCCAAGAAAGGGTTGACATCCGGAATGCGATCCATGCTGGAGACATAGAAACCGCAATCCACAAGATCAACGATCTGAACCCCCAGGTTAGTCCTTCTCTATTGCTTACGTCGCGCAACCCCCACTTCTTTCCATCTTTGCTATGATTATGCAAGTTTCATGCACCACTCATAACCACCTCCGGGTGTTGATGATACAAACTCACACTTCAGTCCTCAGTATGAGCAATCTTTATACAACCCTCTCTTCACAAAAGACACATGTAACCAAGATCGCGACTAACATCTTGGCGTTGTAGATCCTTGACCTTGATCCTTCACTGCACTTTGCGCTATTGCGCCTTCAATTGATTGAGCTCATCCGCAAATGCATGTCGAGTGTTAATGCAGACATCACTCCTGCACTCACTTTCGCGCAATCGGAGCTTGCTCCTCGCGCTCCTTCGAACCAAGAGTTTCTAGAAGACCTTGAGCGTACTATGGCACTGCTTATCTTCCCACCGGAGAACCTAACGCCGCCTCTTGCGGCGCTCTTGGATCCTTCACTTAGGCAGGCTGTTGCTACTCGCGTCAATGAGGCCATCCTTTTCAGCCAGGGTGCAAGCCGAGAGGCTAAAATAAAGCAACTGGTCCGTCTTCGTGCTTGGGCTGAACAGAAAGCCAGAGCAGCGAGGAAGGAACTACCACCCACCCTCAACTTGGGACTGGATCCCAGCAAGGATGAGAACGATGATGACGACGTAATGAATGGTAATGGGGAAGCGGATATCATGAGGGATTAACTATTTGTACTTGCTTGGGATTAGCGACGGCGTTTTTTTGGCACTTTGACGGCGCATGAGACTACTACGGAATAGGCTCACAGGGCAGGCATTGGATGGAACATCTGCATATCACGCACTATTTGCGCGCCAGCAATCTGGCAACATAAGAATAATCAAAGATACCCGTTGGGCGTGTTGCCAACGCACGATCACTAGTCTCATTAGCTCCATCTTACTGTGATACAACCACTAAAGCCCCCCCTACCTGTAGCAAGGATTTAGAGCGGAACGCGAATGAAAAAGGGAAAGAAAAGGTAAAAACGGTTTAAACACTGTCGTACGACGGCCGATCTCGCGATCGGAGGCAGATCCGCGTCAGCTGTCTTGGGTTTTTGCAGGGTGCGGTCGAATAGTTATCCCGGGACGACTGGGGTAGGTTGTGTGCGGTACACAGCTCTAAGTGTAGCCGGAACGACCCTTTCACCGTATGAATTGATATGACGTCCGTCACCGTCGAGCGGTTCACTGGACATCTAACGAGATTGTAGGTTATGCGCTTAGGATTTTCTTTACTCATATCCAGGATTGCGGCTTATAGCTACGTGAACTATATTAGAGGGACTGCTTGTATCTTTGCATAAGAGAATCAGGGTGTTGAGACAGTGTTGTTAGGTTCTCAAATCCAGCGATTAAAGACGGCAGATGATATGCACAATCTCTAAAGACGAGGTGTGGAAAGTCTAATCTTGCTAGACAGTGAATCTCTCTCGGCGGTGAGGGGTGTCGCTAGGTATTGAAGGTCATGTTCTAGTTTAACTTTCTTTCCGGTCGGTGTTTGGCATCACTATAAGTCTGAGTATATCCACAACACTGCACACATGCGCGACAACCACAGACATGAGTAAATAGATCAGACCTCGTTGAGGCCAGCAATTGCGCCGCTAATCCACTGAGGAGCGCGTCGACTTGTTAAGTAACTATTCGTACAACAGCATCTTTGGTATCGTATCTATTCAACGAGCAATGACTGGAAGACGCTTTCTCAAAACGCCGGCACTGCCCATAAAATCTCGGGCAGATGGCCTGTATGAGAATACCATTGGGGAATTTGAGATGTTCTTTAAGGTATCTTTGGTTCCTCTATCCCCATTAAAATAACTGTATGCATTATAAAAAGTACTCCGTCTGTACCTCTTTGCCCTGCTGTTGCTGCTGTTGTTCCCTATGGACGTCATTCTCCGGCGCGGCGTCAAAAACGTTGAAAAAGCGCTCGCCGGTATCGCTGACCTCGAGAACAGAGGCCATGTTGCCGCAGCGGTAGCAGTAATTTGGTGCGCTCCAGACGGTGCTCAGGCGATCGTCGTACAGGACCTGGTAACCTTCCTGGCATAGCTGGTGGGCGCGCAGGATGTGCGACATATTATTGACCTCGAGGAACTTCTTCACGACCTGGGCGCCAAAGGTGTAGCCGGCGCCGCGGGGCGAGAGGCTGAACTCATCGCGCTCGCTGTCCGGGTCGCTCCAGACAAGGTCGGCCATGGGGCCCTCGTGAGGGATCTCGCGGAAGCGGTCAATGATCTTGATCTGATCAATGCTGTGAATCGAGGGCGAGAGGCCTCCGTGCACGCAGAAGATCTGGTTGTTGATGACGACCGACAGCGTGAGAAAGTCGAACATGTCGGTGAAGTAGTGCCACACATTGGCGTTGCCGTACTTGCGCGAGCACTCGGTGTAGAAGCCATACGACTGGGTGACGCCGCGCGACTCGTGGTTGCCGCGGATCAGGTGCACGCGGTGCGGGTAGCGCAGCTTGAGGCAGACGAGGAGAGAGATGGTTTCGACGCTGAAGAGGCCGCGGTCGACGTAGTCGCCTTTGGCGAGGTTAGACGGATTTGGAGCGGCTCGGGGGGCGGCGTACCTAGGAACAGGTAGTTTGTGTCCGGGCAGAAGCCTCCTATCCTGAATATCTCGATCATGTCGAAGAACTGGCCGTGGATGTCGCCGACGACGGTGACGGGGGCGTCAATGTGGACGACATTGCTCTCTTTCATGAGCAGCTCCTTGGCCTTGGCGCAGATGGCCTCGATGACCGAGTCGGCGAGCAGCTCCTTCTTGTAGAGCCGGGCAATGCACTCATCGAGGTCGACGGTGGCTGCGAGGGCGTGAAGTCGCGAGGTCAGTGGTGGTGGTGGTGGTGTTTTGGTGTGGGTCGCAAAGCTTACCCGGGAGGCCTGGCATGTCTGCAGACGGATCAGGGTGGGCAGAGTCGGAGCGCGCCTGGGACCATGGTCGGGAGTCAAGCAGGCATGGTCGCGGCGGCCATGTTGGCTGGTGGTGACGGGATGGTGGAAAGCAGAGCGAATCAGACGGCGGGCGTCACGTGGGGCGACGGGTGAGCGAGCATCGCCATCCATCGTCGCTCGCCCGCTTCTCCCGCGCCTGCTCTTCGACCTAGACTCTGGCCCGGCGGAGAGCTCTGCCGCGCACCCTTTCCTTTTGCATGTCTCGCCGAACGTCTTTCCTTGCGCTCTCTCTCTCCACCCCAGCCCGCGGCACGTCCACGCCCACGGCCCTGCGCTGGTCCTTCCGTCTTGAGGTACCACTACTACCTTTGGATTTCTGCTTCTCCTTCATCCACAAGTCTTATTTTGTTCGGCCTGATGCATGAGAGAGCTTCGTCAATTCCGTCGCTTGACTCTTGTGTGCGCCGCACCACTGCCCCATCCCACCCTTTCCTTCAATCCGACCTGCCGCAGCAGTCATGTCTTGGTCTGCTCCCTCACCCGGAGCTCCTCCCTCCTACTCACAGCAAGCTTCGTACGCTCATCAGCCGTACCCTCCCTATCCGCCGTCAAATGGCGCTCCTGCGCCGCCCAAGTAAGTTGCCATCTACGACATGGAAATTCTTCTCAAATTTGTGTCACATTCTTCCCTTGAGCTTCGTGTGCTTTCTCACTTCGTCACGGAACCCGCCGCCTTTCCTTTTTCCTATTCCTAACTGATTTCTTTGAAGCGCGTCGGTACCCTATCCTCCTAAGCGCAAAGGTAACCCTGTGATTACCCGGTACCCCCTCCCGCCTGGCTATCGTCCTCCACAGGCCCCACCAGGTGCACCTCCATATGGGTCAGCTCCATATCCGCCACAAGGCTACCAGGCACCAGTTCAAGGCTACCCTCCTCAGCCAAACTACCCCTCAGGGCCCCCAGCAAATTACCAGCAGTCTTATCCCGGATATCCGCCGAACTATCAGCAGCCCACCCCAGGCTACCAACCAGGTTATCAATGGCCAGCTCCACCACAGGGCTACCAGACACCGGCTCAAGGTTATGCTGCGCACTCCTACCCACAAGGTTATCAACAACCGGGGGCATCTGATCCTGCCGCACCTCTGGCAAGCTATCCGCCAGGGGGATGGCAGCAGCCACCGCCGCCACCCGCAACCAGCCCACGAGGCTCTCAAGCTTCCCCTACCGATCAAAATGCGACACCCACCTCGGCTCATATCCAGCCTGGCACTGCTAATTCCTCACCTACTTCTAGCCATCGTCCACCAAAGTCGAAGCGGGGTCCGTCCTCGCGGACCGTCAGCATCAGTGCTGACGAAATACCGGAAACCCACAAGCTCTACCAAACAGAGCCATATGTGATCAATCTAGGGCTAGATGAATGGGATCAAACAGACTTTGACGGTGCTATATGGCCCAAAGCAAACGATCCGGTTGATACCGACCTTAGCTTAGGTGTCATCAGTAAGTAATGACCAGGTTGAAAAGAGCAAGGACTAACGAACAAAGATTGGCATCCTGCGGAGCAAATAACACGCGCATTGCCATGGGACTTCCACGAAGCTGAAGAACGGGCGAAACACCCACCACCTCCAGCACTTGGCAATGGGGAATCAGTCTCTATATACTTCACACCGGAAAATGCCCACGAAGCGTTCTTGAACGTGAGGCAGACGGACGAATGGGAAAACATGAAGCATGACTCGATTTTCCATGAATTCACGGAGCCATCTGCGACTATTCCATTGGAGGAGGTCATAAACAACCGCGATCGTGTTCAAGAAGAAGAGGAAATTCCGCATGAATCTGACTGGAATGTTATGGACAACCTGGACCAGGCTCTTTCTAACGAGCAGGATGCTAGCGGCTCGAAGACCACAACGGGCAGCGGACCGTCTCCACCTCCGTTCCAACCTCCTCCGAGAGATGAAGCACAGGAAGATATCCTCGCATCCTTGGGCGTGACGGGTTCACCCAAACCTATTCAACCCTTGTCTGGACCGCAGCCGATGCTTCCACCAAAGCCCGAAAGGAGTGGAAGTATGGAGAGGTGAGGCATGAAAATTCCGTGCCCAAGACCGCGCTAACAATATTTTTAGGTCAAGTCTACACTCGAGACCACCGCCACATCTTCCATTCCACAACGGTTACCATCATAGTGGGCTGCCACCGCATATGGGGTCCTCACATTCCCCACCAATCCCGCCGCCCCCTCCCCAGCGTGAACGTTCACCCTCCTATGACCCCTGGAAGGTGGATCAGTTACCCTCCACCAACAGCAGGACACGCAGTCCGGCCATTTCTGACTCGAGCCAGCACACGGCTGCTGGTTCCGACTTCCACATGGATGATAATGATCCTTTCAATGCTAATGCGCCTCCACCTCAGTTACATCGAAATGAAAGCAGTGCCGGCCGTAAAAGAAGCTACGAGGAAGCAGAATCAGGAGAAGAAAAGCACCGGCAAGAAGATGACTACACACCGCGCATCAAGCGACGACAGCCACGTGTCGCTGCTGCATATGGGTGAGTGAGGGCTTCTGTAACATGTGAGTTGAATTGACAAGGATATAGCCGCCGCTAGTCCCATTCTGCGCAACCCCACAGCATGTGTCTGCAGACAGCTTGCTGTTGGCGTGTTGGTTGCTGCCGCACTTGGCACCATTCATCGTCTGGGTGTTGGATAAAGCTGCTTGATTTACAAAGCAGCGACGAAGTACACGTGTAATATACGGACGGATGCTTCTTTCTTTTCCTTTGGGACTTTGTTCTTTCCCCGGTGTTCAACGGCCTCTTTTCAACGGGGGTGATAGGGCTCTCTCTTCTCGGAGCACTAGACCCGAAAAAAGTAATGTGTTAGGAATTCGCGGGACATGGCGAAAGCGGGCTTTCTTTCCCGCAACCCGGATGACGAAAGAAGATGAAGCAAGCTCTCTTTTTCTCTGTCTACGTCTCTGTCTCTGTCTCTGCCTCTACCTTTCTCATGCAGTCTGGTGTTTCTTTCCAAAAGACGGATCCAAAAAGTTCTTTTTTCTCGGCCAGTTCAGACAGAGCCAGCCTCCAGCCTTGTATTTTCATCAATCTCTTCTTTGCTCCTCTTTGCTCCTCTTTGCTCATTATCTTCCACCTCTCAATTTCCGTCCGTCTCCTTCTCATGTCTTCACATCTCGCTTTTTTCTTCTCGCCTCTTCGTCACAGTAAGAAACGCCTCATGCTTGTTCACCAGACTAGATAATAGCGTCGTCGTTTTGTTCGTTTCTCATTATGACCGTCGCGCGCGCCCGCCGCCACCACCGTCGCCGCCGCCGCCGTCGCCGCTGCTACCGTTCTCGCTACCGCTGCGGCTGTTGTAGTACCCAAGCATGAAGGGGTACCGCCAATGCCCAAAGCGATGAAGCATGTTGGGAATTGGGAAGCGTATATTTGTGAAGTGAGTCTTATCGCCAGGCTATTCGACATTTTCCAAATGCGACACCTAAGCGAGACTTACTACTCACCTAAACAGCCTGCAACTTACGCAAAGTAACCCCCAGTAGTTTCAAGTTTGTTTAGTCTACAGCTCATTTGGACAGCTGGTTGTCTACAGCCCAAAGTCGAGCAGCCTGCGATGCTTTCTGAAATCCTGTTGCTTGAAGCGGGGATATGTCGGGCGGTCTGTCGCTTGATTAGGCCTAGCTCGGCCAACCTTGTCGGGGAAACACCGGCGGCCGCAGGTTTTTCTCAGCACAGAATTTCACACCACCCGCGTTTAACAACCACAACCATGTGAACGTTGTCGGGAACGACATCGCTGTCGCCAACAACTCGCAGATATTTCAGGGCTTGCAGCCGCTACTGACACGGTACAGCCGACTTGTCTAGTGCGAGCTCGCCCGCCACTCGGCTACGACTCGACATTTGGTATGTTCTTTTATTTTTGTTTTGTCGCATGCCGCACTGCCCCTCTTGATGATGACACCTTTTGTAAACCCATAGGGAGTAACACTGACTTTTGTTCTCCCAATGGTGGTTTCTTGTATTAGACTACAACGGTATCTGATCAAGACTGCCCTGTTCTGACTCACTTCGTCAAACTCGTGCGCTGGACTTTCGCTAACGTCCCTCACTAGACAAGCCGCGATTAGCTTCGCATTAAGTCGCAATGGCCGAGGCAGGCGTGATAGCACCGGCCTCTGGTGCGGAAGAGCCGAAGCCGGTCAATGAGAGTCAAGATAGTCAAAATGGCACCACTGGCCCAGCTCCAAAGGATACGATTTCCAAGCAAGATGCAAAACCCACTGTGCAGCGTGCGAGAAGACCCAACTATGCCAAAATTCATGCCCAGCCGCTCCCCGTTGTCGTCCACCCACTACCGGCCTTTGTCCCGCACAACCCGCTGTCACTGCTTCGCGTTGCATGGATCATCATCTCGCAATACTTTGCGCCGCCTGCGTCGCACCCGCCCGCCCGCCACATTGGGTACTGGTCAGCTGAAACACGCTCGATCCACGTCACGGACCCGGCCAGCGTGCGGGCGCTGTGGGAGCAAGGCTTCTTCGGCAAGGGCAGCCTGAGCCGTAGCGAGCCGACCTGGCTAGACCGCGAGCAACAGCGGAAGGGCGTGCTGTCGGGGCGCATAGCGGCCGAGGACTACACGCAGGTGCGCCGCAAGGAGCGCAAGGAGTACAAGAACGAGCGGGCCCGCAAGGAGCGCGAGGCCCTGGAGGAACAGCTGCGCCGGGAGGGGAAGCTCGTCGACGCGGCGGGCCGTGATGCCGCCGCCTCTGCCGCTGCGAAGCGACAGGACGCGCTGGAGACGCAGGCGCCTGCAGGCACGACCGAGGGCGGCGACGGAGAAGCCGTCGCTCCGTCGACGGAAGAGGCAGTCGCGCAGCAGCAGCAGCAGGAGAAGGAGGAGGAGGAGAACATGGCCGACGACGAGCTTCTCGCCGACGCGCCCATCGCAAACCAAGAACACCTCCAGCTCACGCTGGAAGAAGCCTTCTTCCTGCACTACGGGCTCGGCGTCCTCGACATCGTCGACCCCAGCACCAACACTTCCCTCAACACGTTCTCCCTCCTCCGCCTCTGCCGCACGCACTCGTACTTCCCGCCCCTCAACCCCACGGCGCCGCTCCGCCCCGACGACCCCTTCCTGCTCAAGTACGCCGCGTACCAGCACTTCCGGTCGCGCGGGTGGGTGGCGCGCGACGGCGTCAAGTTCGCCGTCGACCTGATGCTGTACAACCGGGGCCCAGTGTTTTCGCACGCGGAGTTCGCGGCTGTGGTCCTGCCGGCTTATAGTCATGCGTATTGGCGGCAGCAGCAGCGGGGTGAGGAGGGTAGAGAGGGAAGGACGCGGAAGGAGCAGAGCCCCTGGTGGTGGCTGCATTGCGTCAATCGCGTGCAGGCGCAGGTGCTGAAGAGCTTGGTGCTGGTGTATGTCGAGGTGCCGCCGCCGATGGAGGGGGAGGGGGAGGTGCAGGATGTTGGCGCGCTGTTGAGAAGGTATAAGGTCCGCGAGTTTGTGCTGAGGCGGTGGGTGCCGAACCGGATGAGGGGGTGATGTGGATGTGATAGGGTTGTGGTGTGGTGGGGAGGCGGAATCCACAACTACCTACCTAGGTAGCCCTTGATTGACGTTCTAGGTGAGTCGGTGTCGGTGTCGGTCCCTTGTAGAGTACTCGTACGAAGCAAGCAAGCAAGCAAGCCACGCTTGCTGTGCTGTGCTGTGCTGTGTTGTGTCGTCAAGCCAAGTCAAGCGCAAGACGAAAAAGAAGATGAAGACGAAGAAACGAAAAATCAACCACTTCAGCAAGGCATTGTGCTGTACTGTCATATGCATACCTACGCACATACACACATGCGCGTCCATCAAGTCGTCTACGTCGTCGTCGTGCGTGTCTGTCTGTGTCTGTCTGTCTACCCGCCATTCCGTCGCGCCGGCCTGGTACAAATAGTCCACCCATATAAACAGTAACAGCAGCAATGATAATAAAAGCACAAACCTATTCCGCCTCATGTTCCTCACTCCTCACCTGCTTCCCTTCCTCCTGCCGTCCCCGCCACCCCCCCCCCCCTATCCCCATCTCATCCCATTCCAGCCTCGGCAGTCCTCGGCAGCAGCGGCGGCGGCGGCGGCGGCGATGGTAGTGATCATGTCCATGTCGGTGTCGATGTCGGTGTCGACGATAAAAGAACCTTGGGCACAGAGGCCGCGAACGGAAGCGCGAGAGCGAGAGAGCGAGCGTGCACAAGGACGTCGTGCGCGGCATGGCATAGCCTCCTCATGTTTTGTTTCCCGCAACAGCGTAGGTAGCCGTAGCGGCAAGCTCCCCTCACCGCACCAATCTCGCATTCTCGCCCTCCTCATCCGTGCTCTCTTCCTCGTCGTCCTCATCCTCCTCCTCATCCTCCTCACTGTCCTCCTCACTGTCCTCGTCCGTCTCCTCTTCACTGCCCTCTTCGCTTTCATCTTCACTCTCATCCTCATCATCCTCATCCTCCTTCAACCAATCATCCAACGACCTCTCCCCCCCACCATTCTGCCTCCTCGCCATCGCCGCCGCCACGCCCGCCATCTCCGCCCCGCCAAAGCCACCACTCTCCCTAACCGCTCTGTCCAACTGCTCCCCCGCCGGCACCGTCCTCACCTCACCATAATAATCTGTTTTAGCCGACGCAGAAGCACCAGCACCACCACCAGCCCCATCCTCCCTCAATCTCGCATCCGGCTCCTCGCCCTCCGCCACCCATTCCGGCAGCTCCTCCTCCCCGCCCCGCAGCCCCAGCCCCCCGACCCCGCGCTCGTCGCCCACGACCAGGCTCGCCGACCCCAGCATGTAGCCGCCGCGCGCCTCGGACGGGCTGGGCGCGTGCGGCACCGGCTTCGGCGCGAGCAGGAGCAGCGTTGCCAGCTCGGTGCTACTCGGCACCGCGAGCAGGGAGCGGTACACGCGCGCCCGGTCGCGCACGTCATATGATGTGTCGTAGCGCGTGAGGAGGAGGATGTAGTTGTACAGGAGCGGGATGGCGTGTGGCGTCTCTTGGGCGGATGGCCGGCGCGCGGCTGCGTCGTCGGTAGTGTCGTTGTTGTTGTTGAATTCGTGGAAGCCGCCCTCGTCTTCGAGGCCCGTGGGTGGTCCAGACGAGCCAAGTTCCTCGGCCGTAGACGGCGCGACGGGCTTGGGCGGCGGGTGCAGCTGCAGGTGGTGCAGGTAGACCTTGGCGGCGAGCAGCAGGATCTGGAGCTTGCTCTCCTCGGCCTCGTTGGCAAAGCCCTTTGCTAGGATGCGCAGCACATCTGCCGCGATGTTGTTCTCGGGATCGACGGCGGCGAACTCGCCGACGAGCCAGATAATGCTGGCGCGGGCATGGGGGCTGGCGGCCGCGTCGAGGTTCTTAGCCAGACGCATGACGGTGCCGGCGTGCGCGCCAGGGTCGCGCTGGATGAGGTGGCGCACGACCTCGAGGGCCTCGGCGACAAGGCGCGCGTCCGGGCTCGAGACTTGCTGGAGCAGCAGGCGCAGGCAGCGGGCGGCAGTGGCGCGGTCTTCGGTGCGCTGGGCGCAGCGGCCGATGGCGCGTACGGCTTCTCGCACCAGCGCGGCATCGTGGCCAGCGGTAAAGTGCGAAAGCTCAGCTAGGACGAGTGACTGCAGGTGCGGCGGCGCGTGGGGAAAGATGAGCGTGAGCAGCTCGAGCTTGAGGCGCCAGACGGGGGGCGCGTCGGTGGCGCGCAGCACAAAGTGCGAGACGTAGCGCACAAAGGGCTGCGGCCGCGCCAGACACACGCGTACCGCATTGTGCAGCGCGACGAGCTGGATGTCGGGCGAGGAGCGGAAGAGCGAGACGAGCGGTCCAATGGCACGGTCGAGGTAAGTCTCATTGCCGAGGTGCAGGTAGCAACGCGCCACGGCAACTATGACAGCGCTGTTGCGCGATTGGAGTAGCGGCGTCAGCGATTTGAGAAGGAACTCAAGATCAGGATCGATGAGCACGACCTCCTCCGTCTCCTCATCGGCGTCCTCTTCCTCGTCCGAGCTGCTCTCGTCATAGAAGCCCTTTGTGGGCTTGGTGTTCTTGCCGCCAGCCGTCTTCTTCTTGGCCCACCGCGTCCGCCGAGGAAAGCACTTGCGCGCGTAGATAGTCATCAAGCGCAGAGTCGCCAATTGGCCCCACTCGTCCATGTCCACAAGCTTGCGTATCAGGCTCCTGTAATGCGGATGTATGAGATCGATGCGGTCCGGGCAGATGTCGGAGAAGGCGGCGACGGCGGCGCCAGCCACGTAGTATTGCTTATCGCCGAGCAGGGTGGAGAGGTACTCGATGAGCTGGGGGAGGGTGTTTGGATCGAGGCGGTAGCACTTTGGGATGGCGAGGGCGGCGGCCTTGCGCACAAAGGGCGACATGTCGCCGGCGCCGCGCTTGATGCCGAGCGAGACGATCTGGGAGATGACGGGGACGCGGATGCCCGACATGACGCGCAGGGCGAGGGCGCGCACATGGGGACTCGAGTCGACGAGCGACTTTTGGATCGTGTTGATGGACAGCAGCGCCGTGTCGGGCTCTTCCTCGGCATGCTGCAGGAGGTAGATGTACACCAGCTTCTTGATCTCGAGGTTCGGCGAGGCAATGTTCTTGACGACGGCGCTGAAGAAGGGCAGGGTTGGCTGGTTGCGGTACGACATCTGCTCCGGGGCGCGGCGGCGTTAGCTACGGAAGGCTCGTGGATTGCCGAGGAGTGCATACGGCTATGACGCGCCGCAAGCCCTCGAGGACTTCACGGTCATGGCGCGAGTCGAGCAGCTTCTTGATCTGCAAGGCGGGCAGCGGGCGCGAGGAGGGTTTGCGGGCGGAGCTGGCATCGCGGGCGGCTTCGAGGGTCAGGTCGCGAGCTGGACGGGTCAGCGAGGCAATCCAACGACAGACGGAGCGACTCACCCGTCTCCAGCATGCTCGATATCCTCGTCATCGACTCCATGGCGGCGAGGTTGCGGGCGGCGGTCTGGTGGGACGAGTTGAGAGGAACGACGTAGTCGCCGCGAGCTCGGGCACTCCCGTCAACCATGCCTGCACCACCACTCCGACAGCCCAAAAATACCAAACATGGCACCACCACCACACACAGTCCTGCACCCCACCACCCTCCCCTCCTTCCTGCACCACCTCCTCACCCCCACACCCACAACAAACACCACCCTCATCATCTGCGCCCCCCGCGCCACATTCGAGCAGCAACTGCTGCACTCCCTCCAATCCCAATCCACTCTCCTACAACCAACCCTGCAAACCCTAACCACCACCTCCGCCCTCCGCACCCACCACTGCACCAGCCTGCCCGCTCTGCGCGCCTTCCTCTCCAGCCTCACCCACACCCACAAACACCCAACCACAAACCCAACAACAATCGCCCTCCTCAACCCCCTCGCCCTCCACGCCCCCACCCCCTCCCACTCAGCCCAAGGCCTCTCGCGCACCCTCGCCATCGCAGTCGACGCGGCGCACGCTACGGGCTCGCGGCTGGTTATGGCTGAATGTCCTTTCACCCCCTACAACGACGACGAAGGAGCAAGCGAAGAACAGCAAGAAGACCCCTGGGCCACCCTCCTCCCGCTGCTAAACTCTTCATCGCCTTCAACTGCTTCAACGACGGCGATGCGGCGGGGCTTTGGCGGCTGGGTGGGGCGGAGCGTCGAGGCGCGGAGCGTCGTGGAGCAGTGGTTTGTGTTTGAGTCTGGGGAGGAGAAAGAGGGAGAAGGGGAGTAGGGGAGGGGTTGGGGACTGAGTGGGTGGTCGTCTTTGTCTTTGGTCAACAGCAGCAGGCATGCCACCATACTCGGACACGCATACCTACCACTCACTGCTCACATCACGTCACCCACACACACACACACAAAACCACCTCTCACAAGCAAGCAAAAGCAACCGCAAACAACTACACACGCAAAAAGAGAGCAAAAGACAGTTTTACCGACTACGTCCGCTCATCGATAATTTCTGCAACCACGCGCACACGCGCACACACAAACACACTACGGCCTCGAGCCGTCCAAATCAAAACACGTCCGAGCGAGTGCCTCTACCAGTCCTTCTTGATGTCAAAGGCCCACTCGAACTTCAGGTGCGTCGTGTTGTCGTCGTCGATGAACTTGGACACGGCGTTGTAGTGGCCACGGGCCATCATGCCAGTGGGCGCCGTCTCAGGCTCGACTGCAAAAGAGCGATATTTAGCATGCTAGGCGCTTATTTATGAGACATGGCTGCGACTACTTACACTTCTTCTCGTAGGTCTGCTTGTCGGTCGTGTTGGGGGAGTAGCTGCCCTGTATCGGGGTTAGAAGACGCGTCACTCGTCAGACCGGGCCTGCCGTCGCCACTTACAATCATTTCTTGCATCTTGCTGCTGACGCCCATCCTCTTGACAACCTGGACGTACTTGAGGCCAGACAGGATCTGGTGCTGGACCTTGAAGATGGCCTTCATGCGGAACTGGGCGCCCTCCTTGATAGTGAAGGGCTTCTCCTTGAGGTGGTCGACCGCGCCGGGAGCAGACAGATCAATGATGATATCGGGCCTGCCCTCAACCTAGATAATGCTGTTAGTTATGCTTGTTCTGCAAAAAGGGAGCCCAGGGGCATTAGGTGCTTACCTCGAGGCCGAGAGACTGGATGATGACAGTACGGGGGTCATTGGGGTCAGAGATGGTGTTGCCAGAGCCGATACCGAGCGACTCTTTCCACTTGCGAAGGGACTCATCGTTCGCATCTGTACAGAACATTATATGATTAGCAAACGCAACTCCCCAGTCTGAAATTATTCAATGCTCCCAAGTGCTGCCCGCGGTGCGGCTGGTCCGTAAAGGCTTTGTCGTTAATGGGTGGTCCGCTTGGCTGCTGGAAAGTGCCCTGAACGTGGATCTCGTTGAAAACCCCGGCTAGAAGTTGGCAGTCTAAATCCAGGTGGAGTCTTCAAAATTGCCGTTTTCAAGTCGGGTTAGGCTATTGGGACACCTGTGATAGCTCGGAACAAACCGACTCCTCTTGCACACCCATCGTTGCAGAAGGGCGTGTGCAAAATTTCAGGAGTGGCCGCTCACCTCTGAAGCTACTCTCTTGAGTGCCGAGTTTTTAGAGCTTGGGGCACACTTAATTCCTGCCTGGTGCCGTGGCTGCGTCACTGGATTTTTCTCCGATTTGGAGCCGTACAAATTGGTTGCTCCGGTTGCCCTTTTCGCCGTTGGGGGAAATTGAATCCGTTCAAACCATAACCAAGGGCTGTATGGGCGGCGGTGGGGGGGTGGTACGGTCTTGAGAGTTTTCGGAGTCTGAGCCATCACGCTCTCGAGGGCCTGGAGGGGTTGGAGGTGTCGGAGGGATGGGAGGGAGACCCAACGTCCTGCGAACAAAGTCTCTAAAGCGATTTTTCTTCCTTTTGTAGCTCGCCTTGGCCCTGTCCTTCCTGGTCGGTGGTCGTGGTGGTTGTGGTACGAATTCTTGTATGAAATGTGGCGGACCAGTTGACCGTGCAGTACCTGCATAGTGTTTTGACATGGTGGTATTTCCCCGAGGCGATTACGAGATGGGTTGGATGTGCCTGCCACAGCTGGATGGGGACAAAGATTGTGGGAGACAAAGAATGATGATGGGTGCGAACAAAGTGCTTTTTGATAACACGGGTGCTCGATAGAAAGAAGCTTTACGATGTGCTGCCGCTGGCAGTGGTGGATGATGGGGACGATGGACAATGGATGCTGGATGCTTGATGATGAATGATGGATGGTGGATGGCGAAAGATGCAAGATGCAAGATGCAAGATGCAAGATGGATGATGGATGAAGCTGGGCGAGGAAAGGGCAAGAGGCCCCGTAGCGGCAGGCAACCAGGACGACATTGTTGTCGAGGGACGGAAGGTGTAACAGCAAGCAAGTTGAAGTTGCCGTTTTTGTCCAAGTAAAGCTTAGAAGAAGCAACTTCAGGTGCAGGTCCCGTGATCTGCGGCTCAGGAGAGAAGGGCTTCCGCGTTGTTTATCCAGGGTTCATACAGGCAGTCGCACGCAACGCGGAGCGGTGGACGTGCGGGACTGGGCGACGGCAGAGCGGGCGGGAGCAAAAAAGAAAAGAAAGAACGACGAATGAAGGAATGAAGACTTACCCAGCTGCTGGTACTCGTCGATGGTCTTCTTCTCGCCGACCCTGAAGCCCTCGGTCTGCTCGGGGGTGAGCTCGTCGTCGTGGGTGTGGTCGGCCATGGTGGTGCTGGGATGTGGGAGCAGGGGGAAGAAAAAGGCTACTTGGAAATGAGAAAGGGAAGAGGGGCGATGCTGAATCCAAGAAAAGGCAATGGGATCGTTTCGTCAGGGACAAGCAGCCAGAACAGCGTGAGGGCTGCGCTTTGACGTTGAGCGCCCCACGCTGCCTCACCGCTCGCCCGCGTCTGAGCATCCAGACGGCGGCGCGTCCTGATTTGCTGCTTCCATTTGCCTCGCCTGCTCCAGGCTCTCCCGCACGCAGTCCGCACGCATTGGAACTCCGTGGGCGTGACTGTGACTCTCTCCTCCCGCGTTTTCCCATCGTCACGTGACCATTATATCTCTCGCTGGCTGACCCAGGATGACGAAACAAAATCGACGGCGAGCGCGCGCGCAAGATAGGTAGAACCAAGACTACTAATGAGAAATGGCGCCCGCCTTTTCGTCAATCCCTTCCTTGCTGCTACACTTCACTTTCTAAACTACAATAGGTATACTACTGCTTCACTTTTTCAGTACGTTGTTTCCCTTCCCCCCCCCTCCTCTAGTGAGTGCGCGGGCGGTCAGTCAAGGGGGGCGACGCCCGGGCGTCCGTGTCGCGAACACATCGCGTTTCCTTCCCATCCCCGTAGCCATCTCGCGACAACTCATCCTCACCAGCATTACCCACCCCCGCTAACCGCCGCCCACAGTGGATTTTGGAGTCACCATCAGTCCGACGAGCGGTGCGACTATTGGCGAGCTTAAGTCCCAACTATCCTCGCACTTCGGCTTCAACATGGTTCACAAGCGCACCCTGCCCGAGGCGCGCAACCCGCTTCTCCTGCCAGAGCACACCCCGCAGCGTACGTATGACCCCGTCGCATTGATGCGCGCCATGGGTATGGAGTAAGTGTCCCTAACGCGCCCCGCAGTCGACATCCTCGCCGAGCGCCGCCGCCTCGGTCAGACCAACCTTCACCTCAAGACCGGCCAGGTCGGCACCACAAACGCCGCAAAGCCCGAGAACCTGGGCCTCTTCGACTATGCTCACTTGCGCGCTCCTCTGCCCAAGGACCTACAAGGCTCGGGCGTCTTCTCCCTGCAGAAGAATGGCGCATACCCGGAGTCGTATTTCTTGATGGTGAATGCTTCTTCTCTAGCGACGCGTCGGGAGGATTTGAGAATGCTGACGAGTACCAGCGTCGTAGCAGCGATGGTTATATAAGTGCGACGGGCATGTTCAAGGCTGCGTACCCCTGGGCAACTCTCGCGCAAGAAGAGGCCGAGCGCAACCACCACAAGACCCTCCCCACCGCGGGTGACGAGGAAGTGGCGGGCAACGTATGGATTTCGCCTGAAGACGGTACGCATTCGCCTCACATGCGCCATTGAAAGCCAGCAAACACTGACATTAGCATCATAGCTCTCAGCCTCGCGGAAGAGTATGGAATGAAAGCGTGGGTGGTCGCGCTGCTTGACCCTGCGCCCATTGAGAAGGGTGCCAAGGACAAGGGCTCGGCCGCAAACGACATCGCGACTCCCCCGCGCTTCGTCGTACCGGACAAGGGATCTTTGTTCCCTCCTGCGACGGGCTCCATGCGCACGCGCAGCAGAGAGCTACGCTCTGCATCTCCCAGCAAGACGGCGGCGCCGCGCAAGATGGCATCACCGCGCAAGCCGCGCACGACGCGCAAGACGGCCAAGGCCGCGGACGCAGAGGCGGCGACGCCAGCAGGCAGCACCAGCAAGCTCGCGAAGGAGGTGGAGGACGGCACGCCCGCGCCAACCGATGCGACGGAGTCCGTAAACGGCGACGCCGCAGCGGAGAAGGGGCTTACGCCTGTGCCGGAGAAGGTGCAAGTCGAGGTCGACGAGTCGGTGCGGACAGACGGCGATGTCGAGACAACCACGACGACAGTCAAGGTGGACGTGCCGGCGGAGCACCCCGAGCTGGCGATCCCTGAAGACCCACAAGAGATGATCGCGAGGGCGCGCGAGATGGTGGAAGCGGCGAACAAGGCGGAAGGGCGGGGCGACGACGCCAAGGCGGCGACGAAGCGCAAGGCTGACGACGTGGAGATGGACGACGCGGAGGGCGCGGGGCTGGAGATGCAGCAGCCGGCGAAGAAGACAAAGGTGCTGCAGGAGGAGCTGAAGAAGGAGAAGGTCCGGACGAGGGCGTTCATGGGGCTGAGCGCGACGCTCGCGATTGGGTCAGTATTGCTCTGAGCCGAGTGAGTGAGCAACATGGCTAACGATGATGACCAGCGCCATGATTCCCTTCTTCCAGAGCTTGCTCTGATGCGCCGCCACCATTGCCGGATGCGCAGACCACCACGTTCGTTGACAGGCTCGCTGTTCGGGCCACAGCACACATACACACAAACCACGACACCACATGCGTCCATCAGTCCCCTCCGCATCCGATAGGTTTCGTCGCGTGCACGCGCGCTGCTGCTGTTGCTGTCTGGGTGGGCGAAAGAGGGGCGTTCCGTGACACCATTTCCTTCTGCTTCTGCTTCTTCTTCTCATTTCCAGGTGTTTAGTTGTTTTTGACCTGTCATTTCTGCGGCCCTTCCAACCAACCATCATCTATTTCTGCGTCTCTGCGTCTGTCTGTCTGTCTGTCTGTCTATGCACCACTGCCACCGTCTTCGTGCCTCGCTAGCCGTTGGGTAGGTAGCTAGTAGTGCATTATTCTGTCCGCGTGCTCTCAAGCTTCTCTTTCTCTTTCGATCATAAAGATCACAAACAAGAACAAGAGCCAGCCAGCCAAGCAAGCAGGCAACGGGCGCTCGGCGCACCTACAAACCTCATAGACGCCCGCCATCAGTCCATCCATCTTTCCCTGGCAGGGCCACAAGCGCAGAGCAAGAGCAAAAGAGCAAGAGCACCACTACGCTTGGACAGTCCAACACACCACACCGCACCACACCGCACCCACGAAAGAACGGCCAACTCGACGCGAGCACCACACGAGCCCGCAATCTCCTTTTCCTTTTCTTTTTTTCTTCCTCTTCCTTCACATTTGATTCAGCTTTTCTTCAGGCTTTTCTTCAGGCTTTCTTTCAGGCACGCGGGGGATTGGGTTGTTTAGGATTTGGTCAGCGGACGAGGGGGGGCGGGGATGGGAGGCTACCTTTTGATCTTCCTATCTACGTGCGTGCTACGCGGCGGTGGCGTTCGTTGTAGATAGCTGGCTTTGGCTTTGGCTTTGGCTTTGGCTTTGGCTTTTTGGGCGGGGATGCGCGCGCGCGCGGGCGATGGGTGGCGGGTGGAGGTTTTTCGTTAGCTAGCGTTGATTGGCAATTGATCTTGCTTGTTGGTAGTGCTTGTGTTTTTGTGCTTTTGTGAGGGTGTTGTGCTGTGCTGGTTTTGGTTTGTGATGAGTTGTGTGGTTGTTGTGTTTTGGTGGGTAGGTAGGTAGGTAGTAGATAGGTAAGCAAAGCAACGGTTCAAGCGCGCAAATTGTCTTATGCCAGCTACCTAGGTGGTGTCCGGACAGTCGTTTTCATGGGAGGTGGGTGGTTGTATATGCCGTGCCGTGCCATAACGAGACAGGCCGCCGGTGATGGATGGGCACCCGGTTGCTAAACACCAAACCAGTAGTAGTAGAGTAGTAGTGCTATTTCGAGCTCTCCGTGCACTGCTCCTACAGAAAGACACGCGCAAGCTCATTTACACACCAATTCCTCATGCACTCATCCAGTCCTCGAACACGAGACGTATTGCTGCCGCTGCTGCGTAAGCATCCAGGTTCCAGCCAACAGACCAGCCAGGCACACCAAAGCCCACGATCCATGACCATGGCCCACGGCGCAGCGCATCAGAGCAATCTAAACCAATATCCCAAACGCTCAAACAAGCTCTCTTCATTTCACCACAGCCCACCACGTCCAGGCCTACTAGCAACACAAACCCCCAGTAACAAGCAGCGCACCGCACCACCACCACCTACGCGCGTACCCAATCATCCAACCATCTATCAATCCATCCCTCCATCCATCCAGGCAGGCAGGCAGGCAGGCAGCAGGCAGGCCACCACCCTCATCTCATCTCATACCCTCATACCCAACACCAACACCAAAGCAAATCAAAGCAAAGTAAGGCAAGGCAAGACGACAAGGCAGCCATGCGGTCCCAAATACGAAAAAAGCCGCGCCAAAAAAAGCATCGCCGCGCCAGAGATTGAAATGAAATTGCGCCGGCCGTTCGGGCCCGTCGTCCTGGCTCCCGCGCGGCGTATAGCGCCGAGCCCGGAGCCCCCCGGGGTCACCCTTGGAAACTGAACCGGCGCGCGCTTGCGGCGTTGCGGCTTTGTGGGTTGGAACGTTGGAGCCGTTGGCGCGCGTGTGGTGTGGTGTGGAGGTGGTGATTGTGTGGGTGGAGGAGATTATGGAAGAGATGGAGTGGGAGGAGGGAGATGCTGCTGGGTGGTGCACTGCGTGCCTTGGTGCTCTGTTCTGCTCTGCTCCGTTTCTTGGGTTTGCTTCGTACTGTACGGCCGGATAGAGTCCTCTGGCTCTACCTACTACGTAGGCAGGCACTGTCTCTGTCGTGCGAGAAGTGGACCTCGATCTCGATGTCGTTTTTAAGGTCGGCCGTCTGCGGGGTAGCAGAGAACAAGCAACGTCATTAGGTTTATGTAAGCTTACCTTCTTCTCCGTCTGCTGGATCCACACCATCCGCTTCTTTGCGCCGTATATCCGTTTCTATATCCGTCTCTTCGCCTGTCTCTCTCTCTGCTCTTTTGCTAAGCGCCTGTGCGCCCGTCTTCAGCTCCACACGGCGCACTCACGCCTCGGCTTCGTCCGTTCTGCCGTCATCGTGTTCAATTCCAATTGCTCTTAGCGCTCGACGTCGCGTACTCTGTTGCTGCGCCAGCTCGGCGCGTCGCGGTGCCGCGCGCTTTGGTCGGCTTTCTCTTCGCACTGCAGGTCCCCGGGCTGGTGGGTTAGCAGCTGCGTGTATCCGTTGCTTCTATATTGGCTCTGAAGACGCCAAAAAAAGGGTTGTTGTGTCTGACAAGAGCTTCGAGTGCTGCCTTGTCGGCCATGACTTCGAGTACAGCGGGACATGCAGGAGCTGGGTGTTCTTCAGCCGGCACTATTTCCGGTGGGAGATGGTGTAACGGCAGGCGGGGTGCAGATGGAAGAGTGGAAGGAAAGTACCTACCTAGCACTAAGCCGGAAGCGGCAGTGTCACGTGCGGGTCAGCCATGTGCAACGCCAACAGCGATCCCGAGCGAGGCAACACAGCATGGATGAAAAGTTAGGTCCCTATGCACCGTCGGCGTTACATGGTGAGAATATAACTAATGGAACCCACGAGTGCCTCGTGCAGCACAGCAGGAGAGCAATAGCGGGTAGCCGGGACTGGGGCGGGCGGTGTGATATCTACGTGGCCGACGATTTTGGTGTTGTTGTCCCATATGCAAACGGCCATGGACCCTTTCAGAGGGCGCTTCGGATGATGCAGCGCCATGACAAACAGGGGCCTGGTCAATCAGGGTCGGCCGGAGCCCAGACTCGCGCAGTGGGGCCGCGAGATTTGGACCCAAGCTCCTCGCACCAGGGACTCCTGGGCTGATTGGCGGGCGTGCTTTTTTGCGCCCTGCTACATACGACGGGCCAAAAATACCAGCTACAGGTACATTGCAGCAAACACGGTACCGGGGTCGACATGGCCGAAAGCAGCGGGCAGCCCACGTTGTCGTCGCTCCACCCTCCCGTACCGGGCACGAGGGAGGACGATTTGAAGGGTTGGCGGCGGCGATCGTTCCGGGCGGTTATTCAAGGTTGGTGGGAAGTAAGATCTCGTGTCTTCGTCACGGTGATGGCAGCGGCGGCGTGCGGATGAATGCTCTCTGCCGTCAGCTGGCTGGGAGACAGGACGCCACGCCGATCGCTGGACCTTGGCCTTTTTCACCTCTCATCATGTCCTGTTTTCCCCCTTGCCCTTGCCTCCTGCCCTTGCCTGCAACACAGCATGCTCCTCGCCCATCCTACTTGTACACGAGTCGCCTCCACGTTTGCGCCTGAGCCATGACCTAACTTGCGCCACTCCGCTACGACCAATCTCCGCCCCGCCGTCGTGTATGCTTGCCACTTCAATTGCAACGCTCGTGCCTCGCCATGCCCGTCTGGCCGTTCGGGCGACGGAAGGGCCGCCGTTCTCGTCTCAACCCCGAGGGTCCTGTCGCCGTTGAAGCCAAGACCGCCAACATCCTTGACCGTCGTTCTAGTCGGCGATCCAGACGACGCAGCATTAGAAGAGACTCCACAAATCGCACCGGCTCTGCGTCACGTCAGTCCCTCACTAATAAGGGGAGAGACATGGGTCCTTCGTCGACCGCGAAGCCCAGACACTGCGCCGACGACATAACCCCTCTACCTGCGACGCTCACCTCGGGCACTAGCCCGCACCTGCGACCGACCACGCGAGAGCATGCCGATTCTCCCATCACCGCCCATCCAGACATGCTCCCAAACCAATCCCACACCAGCCTGTACATGGCAAAGGAGCGAGGCAAGCTCCAGAAACGCCGATCGGAGGATGGTCCTCCGCGAACAATGTCCACCAAACGCAGCAGAAAAGACCCCATCAGGGAGGAGGAAATCCGCCAGATGAGCGCTCCCGTCCCCGTCAAGCGCAGCGCCGACAACTCCGGCTCCATGACGAGGCGCGACAGCAAAAAGGCTCGCAAGGGCCTGCACAGGCACTTCGACCGCCCGACCTCCGACCTGTCGCTGCCCACCAACAACTCGCTGCGCTCCTCGCTCTCCGGCGGCAGCGGCTCCGACTACGCCTCGTTCAAGGTCAGCTCGCTCGACGTCTTCGCCCCGCGACCCACCATCCGCTACTCGGGCAGCCCCCCCTTCTACCAAAACCCCGTCGATCGCGCCCAGAATGACTCGAGGGCCGATTCGCGCAGGAAATCGCCCATCAGCAAGGAAACGCTCAAGGAGAGCAAAACCATCGACGACCTGGCCGATGACATGGACTCGGGGACCCTGAGGGAATTGATGGAGCGCGACGCAAGGAGGAAAGAGAGGAAACGACAGGCAGACGAGGAACGTCTGCGTCGCAAACTGGAACGGAGGGCAGAGAAGCAGCGCCAAAAAGAGCAGACACGTGATAGCGATGCTGCCACAAGAGCTGGCAAGGAACTCAACGCCGCGTTGGGTCTTGCTATTGAGAATGGCAAACCTGTCAAGGGCAAAGAGAGTACAGTGGAGCGTGGCACAGAGAACACGGGCACTTACCTCGATTACCCGGCTGACAGCCATATCCCGAAGATTCCGTCTGAGGGTCAGGCTGGCACGTCTTATTCTCCCGTCCCCCAGACTCCAACTGAGGATGCAGTCATCGAAGACGCGCATGCCATCCGCTACTCCCGCCCCAACATGTCGCCGCCGCATTCGCCCGCCCACCAACATGCCAGAGGATCGTCAAACGTGTCAGAGCTGCCCGAGCTCACCCACGAGGTTACACCGACCGCCTCTGAGAACCCATCCGCAATTACCCGCAGCTCTTCGTTCAACAGAAGGAGCTCTGACGTCAGCAGCAGCAGACGCGGAGGATGGTGGTCTGCTTTCAGGCGCCGCCCGTCGGCCCTCAAGAGGAGGTCAATGGACCAAGGAACCGCCGTCACTGCTCCTTCGGAGGTCTCTTTCTCCAACACCTCCCGTGAATCGATGGGTAGGCAACCGCTGCCTCCCCACCTTGTGCAACAGCCCGGTCGGAAGAGATCTGGTACTCCTGTCCGTACGCAATCGAAGTTCCGCGAGGAACTTCCTGAGCGCCACGACAGGACTCCTCTGTCGCCGCCAGATTCGAGGGTACAATCGCCGGAGTTTGCGGGCTCGACCCACAATACCGTTCGTCCTGGTCAAAATCTTCGCATTGAACCCGGAGCTGCCAACGCTGGTGCCGCCCTCGATGACACTCCCGGTAAAATCCGCACGGATTCACCAGTCAGCCCTGGTGCTCGCACATCTGCGGTCGTGCCCGCCTCTCTCGCATCGGTCGATTCTGAAGCCTCATGGCTCTCCGGCAAGCCAATGAAGCGTGCTTCTAACCCTGCTTACTGGCGCACCAGCTTCGGCTCTGCGTCCACGCGCAGGCCCCGTGAAGATTTCACCGCGTCGTACGAGGAACTTGGTATCCCTGATGATGAGTATTTTCGCCGCCTCACCCCTGGTCCTGAAGGTCCTATGCATTCAACCTCGCGCAAGCCAAGCAGCGATGCTCTGGCTGCCGACGCCGACGCTGGTGCCGAGGATACCGAGATTACGCCGGAGAGCGAACAACCCGAAGAAGCCGTCTTTCGCAACGATGCCGCACACAGGCCCACCGTCGTGCACCGCCAGGAACGCGCCAAATCCCAGGAAGGCCTTCTCAGCTACTGGGCAGAGGAGGCAGCAGAGGCTGAGCCAACTAGCGCGGGTGCCGAGGACGCAATGGAGGGTGTTGAGCCAGCGACGCCGGTAGAAGTGGGCTCCATCCAGGATCTGCCAAGCGAAGAAGACAGCCCCGAGATCAAGCGCGCATCGAGCGTGAACATAAAGAACCAAGTAAAACGCTTCAGCGCCAGCAGCGCAAAGTTGCTGGACATCAGCAGAAGCGGTTCTCTCAGAAGCAACTCATTCGACCCGACCCGGACAGGCAGCATGCCTCCCGTCGAGTCACCAGCTGAGTAAGATTTGCAGTAACTGTGTGACACGCAGGTGCCGTGAATGATTGCCATCCAGCCAACAGCCAGTCGAAATGTCGTCGAAGTCGGACATGCCGCTCTCTCTGCTCTCCTTTGTGCTTTGTCGCTCATTACCCATCTCGAGAGATGTCTAACACTGACCGAAGTCGCTCATTTTGCATTTCCTTATAATTTCCTGTCTCGCGGAGCAATATCCGTGTAAGACAAACACAGAATCCTGAAAAACAAACAAACACGTTTTGTCTGACTCTATCGACATACCATTGGCCTGGCTGGCTGGCATTCCTCACGCACCGCATCACAACACTCCGCTGCAAAGCCGTTTTCGGCGTATCTGCTTCTACTTCGTTTATTTCGGGCATCGAGCTGGCTAGATCCGGACCCTCTATTTGCACATATTCTGGCTTCTTTTAAAAAGACTTTTTGTGGCATCGTTTTGTTTTGTTTTTTTTTTTTTTTTTTTTTTTTTTTTTTTTTTTTTCTTCTATCTTTCGTCTTCATTTTTCGAGCGTTACTGTACAGAACCACGGATGGGCGAAGTTTAAAAGCCCGCCTCCCGCACGTTCGTTCAGTCTCATTTGTTCTTTTTCCCAGGAGTATTATTGCTCATGGATGGGCGGCTATAGATTGCGGCTGGCGGGCTGAGCACTGTTTCCTTCGTAAGGGCCTATTTTCCCCCGGTGGTGAAAAGCATTGGGTCTGACGGCGACGATGGCACTCGCCTTGGAGTCGGCGCGCCGCATGGAGTTGAGACGGATGGGGATTTGCTTGTTGGCATTTTATGCGACATTTGTTCGGGCGGTATTCCGCCCTGACGCATGGCCACTCGCGGCCTAGGGCGCATACCCGCGAGTGCGCGCGCGCATTGTATTGTAGTATTAGTACCTTTGATATTCTTTTGCAAGCACGAGCTGCGTCTTGCGATGATGCAGACGACGAGCTCTCTTTGGAACACTTCAAAAAAGACGATTACATTTGCTTTGCGATAAATGCCGGGGCGGCGATTGGAGGGCAGCGTTATCGGACAAGATCAGCTCTCTACCTTGAAGAGTGACGACAGCGGGATGCATGGCGGCATTACGTATGCGGCTGTGAGGCGATAGGTAGAGAGCCCGTCAACACATGGTTTGTGGTTTGGCTATTGTCAGCAGTTTAGCTTATGCAGCACAGGAGGGTCCCCGGATGACGTGACGAGCGAAGTGGGTGAGTGGGAGGGGCTCTCTTCCGATCTAGTTCGGCGGCCGCCCTCGGTGATTTCTAAGGCAGCATCATAGGTAATCACCCAAATAGCCCGCTCCTCCGACTGTCAACAACACTCCTGCGCACCTCCAGACCTTCCTTCGCAGTCTAGCAAACCTGTAAGTCGATTCCCTCCTCGTTGTGCCGTTGCCCCGCCTCAGCACGTCGTCTGCCCGGCCCCCCCAGCACAATTGCCCCTCCCACCGAACGCGGACGGCGAAATTTCAGACGCCAGCTCGGCGGCGGCGGCGCTCTGTAATCAGCATTCCAGCAACGACCACGCCTCCGCCATCTAGCATCTTCTGAGACGTCTCCCAGCACCTTCGTCTGCTCCTTGTACATATATACATAGCCCGCGCCCCGATGTCTTCCTTTGTCGCTCCTCTCAGACGGACTCTACTCACCTCAGCCTCGCGCCTGCGTACTCCTGTTGCTTCATCAGCTTTTAACGCAAATCTCCGCAGACCCATCTTCACTCCTCGCACTTTTACCACTTCTATCCGCAAAATGGGTGTCCACAACCTCCAGACGTGAGTCGTTCCGCCCTGCCCCGCTTCCGCGACGCCGCGGCGCCGGTACAACAATGACAAATCGGAGGAACGACAGCTGACGGACATGTCAAATCAACAGCAAGACCGAGTGGGATAACGCTCTCAAGGAGCCCGAGCTCGTCGTGCTCGACTGCTTCGCGACGTGGTGCGGCCCCTGCAAGGTCATCGCTCCCCAGGTCGTCAAGTAAGGAACCCCGTCCCGTCCCCCTCCCTTGCGTGCGTGCGTGCGTGAGCACCCCGCGCTGACGTAGCTTGCACAGGTTCTCCGAGGCCTACCCCACGGCCAAGTTCTACAAGCTCGACGTCGACGAGATCCCCGACGTCGCGCAGGAGCTCGGCATCCGCGCCATGCCCACATTCCTGCTGTTCAAGGGCGGCGAGAAGGTCGGCGAGGTCGTCGGCGCCAACCCCAAGGCGCTCGAGGCCGCCATCAAGCAGCACCTCGAGGGCTCCGCTTAGATTGTGTGCGCCTTTGCTAAATCCCCGAAACGGCTGATAATGGCTTTCTGAGTTTGACGCGGCGATGGCGATGGTGAGGGTGCAGAATGGCTGGCTAGGATCGTCGACTGGGTTTTTATTTTAGATCCGACAATCCTGCCCTCCGCCAATCATGAGATGGACATGCAATTCTATGGCTAGATATTCCCCCTGTAGTAGTCAGAAATGGGAGGCATGCTGATACAAAAAAAAACCCAACAACAACAACAACAACAACAAAAAGTCAACGCTTTTTCGTGCTGCTAGGTTTGATGTTCTCGTGTGTGTGTGTGTGTAGGATTTCTATTGCCATTGTTTCAATTGTCGGTACCTACCCGAAGGCGCGCTGGCAATATTTGATATCTCCGCGTGTGTTATACCTCAGCGTCAAGCTTCATTAAACATCACACAGCATCATTTAACTAAGCAGCGTTTGAGCCTCACACATGACCACGCGATCGCCCCTACCGTCTCGTCTCGTCGCTTAGGCGCTCAAACGCCCGCCTTGGCCTTGCTGCTGGGCTGCTCTCCATACGCCCCGTGGGCCGTGGCTCGCCCATCCTTCCGTAAGGTATAGCCCTACTCTTGTATCCTGCGCTGCTTGGGCCCGCCCATCTTGTATTGTAGATAGTGTAGACACACGACGCGCTTGGGCCCGTCCGTCACCCGTCGTTCATCATCAAGTCAGTCAGTCTGTCAAGCAATCAATCAATCGGTCCCTCGGCTCGCGCATTCGCTGCCTCACTTGTGACTTGCACCACGCACGTTATGCTATGCCTGTCCCAATAACCCAATGTGCCAATGTGCCAATCACCCCAAGGCTCAAGCACGTCTATGAGTACTGCTACATTAGTCGTTCCTACGGTAGGCCGCACGATGCGACGCTCCGCCGTGCGCACCCGCCCGCCAGGCCGCACGCGCCACTTGGGCTCAGGCTCAGGCTCAGGCCCTCCCCTCGCACTCATCACAGTCAATCAGTCACGCACCTCACCGCACCGCCACACACGGACTCCATGCCAAGCCAAGGGTCCTGCCGCCTACCGCCTACGTACGCACGTACGGACGTACGGACGGACGGACTGACTGTACAATACCTGCGTACGGAGCTCGCGCACCGCACCGCACCGCACTCTAGGCTCTCTCCCGTCGACCTACAGTCTCGTCGGCACCGGCTCGTCGCCTTCCCGCCCGCAAACGCGCCCACGGAGGCAGGCCCGCCCGCGAATGCACCCATCCACTCCCGGGCGTCGGCGTGCGCGCGTGCGTCCGTCCGCGGCCGGCGCCGGGGGTGAGTTACCTAGTGAGGATTGGCGAGCGAGCAATACAATAGCATTATACGTAGTAGGTAGGTTAGGTAGGTTAGGTTGGATGTGATGTGCGGTGCAGGTTGCAGGTGCCAGCGAGGGGATGGGGCGACGCGCGTCGCGACGCGTGTGGATTGGGTTGTTGGCTTTGGCTTTGGGGTTGGCTTTGGCGCTGGCGCTGGCACGGCTGGCTCTGGCTTTTGCGCGGGTGTGGCGGCGGGCTGTGGGCTGGTGATGGGCGGTGATGGGCGGGTGTCGGTGTCGTTTGTGTTGGGGTGGGGTGGTCGGTGCGTGGTAGGTGGGTTGGTGGGTGGTAGGTGGGGAGGGAAGGATGTGCCGACTTGGCTGGCTGAGGGTGTGTGGGGTGGTGATAGGTTGGGAGGTGTGAGGGAGGATGTTTGTTTTGTTTGGCTCTTTGGGGGCCTTTGGGGTAGGGTTTGGGGATTGGAGGTGAGAGGCTTGGGGGCGGGGGTGCTGGTGCTGGTGCTGGTGCTGGTGCTGGGGGCAGATTGGATAGCCTAGCTGAACGAGGTAGTCCGTAGTCCCGGAAAATATTTGATATGGTGGCGTGTGTTCTATCAGAACGTGGAACAAGGAATATTGATTTTCTTTTTGCTCTAGGGTAGAATAGGTAGGTCTCTGACTTGGAGCCGAGAGACATTTGGCGGAGCACGTCTGACATCTGGTCTAGAAAGCAAATAACAAAAAGTCCGACTGTGCATGAAGGCGTTTGTCGGGAGTGCAAGTGATAGGTCCACCGGAGGATTGTTTGTGGTCTGCCAACTGCTGCTTTGAGCTGCTCCCGCAGAGCGTCGTCCTGCCATGCAGCTGTGTCGTGACGTGGAGTGATGGTCCGCCTCCGCCTCCGGGTTTGGGTATGTCCGAGCCAAACGCCAACGCCACGACATCCCAACCTGCATGTCCATCAGCGCCGGCGTCGAGCCCAGTCGTTCCATTTTTAGCAGCTGCCGATGAAGGAATTGAACCACTAGACCGGCCGAACCGGCGCGCGAAAACACCTCGACTCTTGACGTAAACACCGCCCGCTACAACGCTGGCCATGGAATTCCGTGTATAGAGAACCGCTAGCAACAGAGAGCCTGCAAGATAAGAATTTAGCAGGCCCCGTGAGTTCAGTCACATTGTCTGCCTTACCTCAGTCATGCGTCAATGATCGTGCCTGGGTGGGGTCTGCCACCTTCATGAGGTATGAATGATACCCAAGTCGGACGACGTTAAGAGCATGGCGTACATGGCTTCCTGGTTGAAGGCGCCAAGCGCTCATTCGCGGACGCTTCCACTGGTCAAACGCGGTAGCGAGGTAGCCGTCGTAGTGTTGCGGGAGCCAGCGCGGTCCGACCCATGGATGCCTTGGGTTTACAACGACGACTCGGTTATCGGTGCAAGTCAGAGCTTACGCGGAACGTTTATACTTGTCTGGTTCTTGAAAGAGTGAAGACGACGTCGAGTACCCAGAGTCAACGTCTGGGAGATTAACCAATGTAGGAAGAAGGTGGATATGAATTTTCGATTCGCTCCATTGCCGTACGCTATCTTTTTATCTTCATGCCAATGGCGCATGGTTCCATCGCTGGCTCATTGACTGCACACGCTAACCTTAGTCTAACCTCTGCTTCTCGAGCAACACCATGGTGCAGTCTCAATAGTTGCTCAACAGTGGCCCCAGGTTCCCCATCGAGGCCTAGCCAATATCAATTGAGAGCGGGGTCACTCTGCTCACAGAAATCATTGATCTCGGTTTATTTACTGGTGGCCTCTCCTTCTCCTTTGACGTTTCTATCGCATACCTCCATTCGTTGTCGAAGCTTCCGTAAATTCGTTCTTCACGGAGCACTACGTTCATTTTCTCGACGCCATGGCAGGGATGGCACTCAAGACGGGTGCCATCGCACTGCTTCTAGTAGCGTTGGGCGAGCCGGCTGCTGCTCGCCCTCGTGACCGTGAGTGTGCTGCTCGAAAACGAACAGACCGGTCACTAATAGCATCAGAATCGACTGTCGCGCCTTTTGACAGCGGAACTGAACCGGACGTAAGTGTACTTTCCTCCAAAGGCCATACTGAGTCGATGCTTACGGCCAGACGCAGACCTGCATGCCAGCATGTCCCTATTCCCAAGACCAGTTTTTCAAAGTCGACAACAAAATCTTCAGAATTGAATGCGACGTGACCCATGCCGGCGAGGATTACCTTAAGAGCTTTGGGGAGTCTTTATCTGAATGCATTCAGAAATGCGCAGAGACCGAAAACTGCATCTGGGTCACTCATTACGACAACAACTGTCATCTCAGAACCAACATCGGAGGGTCACTGGCCTCCTTACCCGGCGCTCAGAACGCTATCTTGGGAGAGGAATTACCACCACTAGCGGATGCTACTCCCCTCCCAAGCTGCACGCCGAAGACTTCTTCGCGTGACGACCATAGGCCGAAGAAGACGAAAATGCGCTCGCGGCCCTGGAAGACAACCTCGACTCCAAGCTGCCCCAGCTCGACTCCTGAATGCTCGACTCCCGAGTGCCCCAAGAGTACTCCGACTCCTTGCACTTCGAAGACTTCGAAGATTCCCTGGTGGCCTAGACCATCAAAGACTTCCAAGAAGCCGTCGAAGAAACCATCGAGCACGCCTTGCTCGACAAGCGAGCATCACCCACCGCCGCCTCCTACGACGTCTCCTTGTACCTCGAGCACGCATAGGCCGCCGCCTCCCCCTCCTTCTTCGAGCAAGCATCACCCCCCACCGCCTCCCTCGTCCACTCCTTGCACGTCAGAGAGCCACCGGCCACCACCACCACCACCACCACCACCACCTCCTCCTCCTCCTCCCCCGTCGTCGAGCAAACATCGTCCTCCGCCCCCTCCTCCCCCTTCGTCGTCTCCTTGCACTTCGAGTAAACACAGGCCGCCGCCGCCGCCTCCCCCTCCCTCGTCGAGCAAGCATCGTCCTCCGCCCCCTCCCCCTTCGTCGACGCCCTGTACTTCGAGCACTCATAGGCCACCGCCTCCCCCTCCTCCACCTCCATCTTCGAGCAAGCATCGGCCGCCACCCCCGCCTCCCTCATCGAGCAAACACCGCCCTCCTCCTCCTCCTTCGTCGAGCAAGCACCATCCCCCTCCTCCCCCATCTTCCACACCTTGCACGTCGAGCCACCATAAGTCGGTTAAAGTTACGGTCACTCTAACCACATGTGACTTCAAAACGGCTACTGTGACAATACCGTACCCAACCAGTTCGTGTCAGATTGTCTATAACGGACCGCTCACTACTCCGGGCGCAACAAGCTCCATACTCGGCAGCGCCGCTTTGGAAGATCGGAGACGGCACATCATCAAGGTGATCAACAACCACCACTATGTCAGATCAACTGATCAGGACGGCAAGGACCAGTCCTTGAAGAAACGGTCAGCGGGGGGCCTTGCGGTTTCCCTCAACAACGGGACATACCAACCCGCTGAAGCGGCAATTCCGCACTCAGTGCTTGACCAATTCAAGAACTCCGAGATCAACTTCTGGCATCCCGAGGGCTCGCCTGTCTACTACGCCAAGTTCTGCGCGGCGTGCCAGATCGTTCCTGTTCTGGCATCCAGCGGCGAGTACCTTGCTCCACCGAGCTGTCCGGCTTGCCAGACGCAGACGATGCAGGTCCATGCCGGCACGGCCACGTTTGTGCCGACCGATGAATCGGGGCTCTGTGGCATCATCCAGTTCTCGATTCCCGTTTGCCTGAGCTGTAAGGCGCGCACGTCTGGCGCTGGAACTCCGTCTATTAGCAATGTTGCTAGTACGCGTTGGCCGGTTCATTCTTCGATCGTTCCCTCTTCGCCAATGCCTATTCGGTTTTCGACCCCTCCGGTCTCGTCTAGTCATTGGGTAAGTACTACTTCTCGGCTTTTCAGAGCCACGTGCTGATCTGTTTCTTCCTTCTAGGCTTCGTACGCTACTCCCCATATTTCGACACCTCAAGTGTCCCGGTCTTCTGGCATCCAAGGCGGGTTCTCTACCGTCCATCTCACCACGACAGAAACCAAGACACTGCCATGCCCGAGCTGCATTGGAGGCACGACGACCACGGTCGCCACGTCAATCATCTACACGACTCTCCCCTGTCCCACCTGCGAACCCACGACCAAGACCGTCCATCCATCCACTCCAGGCGGCGGCACCCCAAGCGGCACAAGAACCGTCACGTCCAAGTCCACCAAGACGCAAGACGCCACTTCAAGCGTGATCGGCATCCAATCCAGCCGCGAGAGCACCATCATCAAGACCATCGGCACCCCGATCACACTGACGACGGCGCGGACCCTGACTAGGAGCAGCGCCAGCTCGCCCAGGCCGAGCTCCGGTGTTCAGGGGCAGAGCTCGGTGCGTCCGCCCGTTGCCGTCACGCAGCACACTACGATCACCGTGGCTTGCTCCAGCTGCATTGGTGGCCAGACTACGGTCGTTGTTACGGCTTCGACTCCTCATGCTACGCCGGTGCAGAGCTCGCCGGGCCGTCCAGCCTCTTCTCCGGCTCAGAGCTCTGTCGTTCAAATCCACAGCTCTGTCATCCAGGTCCAAAGCTCTGTCAGCCGGCCCGCCTCCTCAGGAGTGCAGGGCGTCAACAGCACGCCCGCTCCCGTCAAGTCGGTCAAGTCCGTCACCCAGCACACAACGATCACGGTCCCCTGCTCCAGCTGTATAAGCGGACATACCACGATCGTGCTTGCGACCCCCAGCCCCTCGAGCATTGTCACACCCGTGCAGAGCTCGCCGGGCAGACCCGCTACTTCGCAGAAACAGAGCTCGCCTGCCCTACCCTCGCCTTCGGCTGCGTCTAGTAGGGTGCCGGACCATAGCGCGCCTGCGCAGAGCTCGGGTGCCCAATCTGTACATTCGGCTCCTTCGAGTAATGTCGTTGGGCAGAGCTTAGTTGCGACGCCTGCTCAGAGCTCACCTGGTCGTCCGGCTACTTCTCCGGCGCAGAGCTCGCCTGGAAAGCCTGCTACTAGCCCTGCTCAGAGCTCACCTGGGAAGCCCGCTACCTCTGCAATCCAGAGTTCTGCTGGCCAGCCTCAGCACTCTGCTCCGTCCAGTGGGGTGCAAGGCCAGAGCTCTGTTGGACAGCCCGGGAGCACGCCAGCCCAAAGCTCTCACGTAAAACCGGCTACCTCTGCGGTCCAGAGTTCTGCTGGCCAACCTCAACACTCTGCTCCGTCCAGTGGTGTGCAAGGTAAGACCTCTGTTGGACAGCCTGCCCCGTCTCACGCTCAAAGCTCTCCTGGCAAGCCTGCCACTTCCGCTCAGACAAGCAATGTGATCGGACAGAGCTCTGCCGGCCAGCCTGCGCATTCAGCTGGGGCCTCGGTTGTCACAAAGCAGACAACCGTCACGTCTCCTTGCCCCACCTGCAGCAGTGGACAGACGCCTGTTGTGGTCGCTCCTCCACCTACCAAGTCCGCTGGTGATTCTCAACCCGGCATCCAGCAGAGCCAGCCGCCTGCGACGGCTGCTTCTCCGACCCCGCAGCACTCTCAACCGGCTGCCCCTCAGCCTGGCGCGTCACAGCCTGCTGCGTCCAAGCCTGCAGGGTCTCAGCCTGCCGGATCTCAGCCTGCAGCATCCCAACCTGTCGGGTCGCAGCCGGCGGCGTCTCAGCCTGGTGCATCCCACCCCGCAGCCTCGCAACCAGGCGCATCCCATCCTGCAGCTTCTCAACCCGGGGCTTCGCAACCTGTCGAATCTCAACCGGCTGCTTCGCATCCTGCAGCTTCTCAGCCGGATGCCTCACAGCCTGCTGCATCGCAGCCTGCCGCTTCTCAACCCGGTGCTTCACAACCTGCTGCATCTCAACCTGCTGCATCGCAACCAGGAGCTTCGAAGTCTGTTGCTTCTCAACCCGGTGCGTCTCAGCCCGCTGCATCTCAGCCTGCCGCATCGCAACCGGCTGCTTCTCAACCAGGTGCTTCACAGCCTGCTGCCTCACATCCAGGTGCGTCGCAGCCTGGTGCATCTCAGCCCGCTACTTCTTCGCCGTGTCCTTCGCAGCCCGGTGCTTCTGCTTCCCAACCTGGAGCTTCACAGCCCGCGGTGTCTCAACCTGCTGTCTCGCAGCCTGGTGCATCTCAGCCTGCCGCATCACAGTCCAGTGCCTCTCAGCCTGCTGCTTCTCATCCTGGTGCTTCTAAGCCTGGTGCTTCTCAGCCTGGTGCATCTCAACCTGCTACTTCTTCGCCGTGTTCGTCGCAGCCCGGTGCTTCTGCCTCCCAACCTGGAGCTTCACAACCTGCAGTGTCTCAACCCGGCGCCTCTCAACCGGGTGTCTCACAGCCCGGAGCCTCTCAGACCCAGCCAGGCGCATCTCAACCTGCTGCATCTCAACCGGGTCCTTCGCAACCAGGTGCGTCTCAGCCTGCTGCCTCGAAGTCTGGAGCTGCCTCCCAACCCGCTGGATCGCAACCGGGTGCCTCTCAGCCAGGAGCTTCTCAAACTCCGCCCGGTGCCTCGCAGACTCGATCGGGTGCCTCCCAGCCTGCTGCATCCCAGCCTGGCGCTTCTCAATCGGCAGGAAGTCAATCTGGTGCCTCTCACCCAGCCACTTCGGGGTCCGCTAAGGCTCACCAAACAGCCTCCCAGCCTACCGCTTCACAAAGTAAGTCTCAATCCGCCGGACAATCAAGTGGTAAAGGATCTGCGACTGGGTCTGCATCTAAGTCTGCATCTGGATCTGCGTCTGGATCTGCGTCTGGATCTGCTTCCAAGGGGAAGAGCAGCGGTTCGGTGTCTTCCACGGCGAGTGGCAGCGGTGCCAAGTCTTCATCTAAGATGGCGACCTCTACGACTAGAGGTGGACAATCTAGTCGCACTTCCGGTAAGTTTCGTATTCCATTGGATGATATGTATGTTGCAATCACTGACCAACGTGTAGCCTCCGCCTCAGCCACAAAGTCGTCATCTGCCGAGCGCACTGTCGATGTTTTGGACTTCAAGTTGTTCAGCACGGTTGTAGGTGCGGTGCTCGCGGTCCTGATGGTCTGAATTTTGTAAATCTTCACGGCCTTCTACGGCGTTTTCCTATGTTACATTTAGTATTAGAAATGACTCATTCGATAATCAATGATAGCTTCAATACAATCAGAGAATTGGTAATCACTTGAACTTACATGGCGGGGTATTTCGTAGGGTTTTAGGGTGGTTGTGAATATCATTGCTAACTATCTCTAGGCTATCCAGTAGCCCACTTACCTTACCAGAAGGTCGCAAATATATGGCATATACTCAAATATCAAGATTTCTGCAAGCATATGGTTGTCAACTCCGGGTCAAAGACACTTACTCGAGCCTCGTCCAAACCCCGTCTTCAACTTCGCCCCAGATACCATATCGCTTCTCGTACGCAGGACCAGGGAGCAGATGTCCGAACACTTCGATCTCGCGCACCAGCCGGAAGCACAACATAGCGCCAAAGGCATCAAACATAAGCCCCTTGAAGATGGAGAAAATGCTCATAGGCACGCCGTCTATCCTCATCTCTGCATCCATGTCAGTACGAGTGTACCCACAGTTGACAAAGACCCGTTCAGCGAGTCCCATAAACACGTCATGGATCTGGCCGATCTGCCAGACCTGTCCGTCATGCATCCACGCCCACTGGACCAAGTAGTCGTGCATACTCCGCAGCAGGGTAGATTCAGCGTTGGGCCACCGGCCCTGGCGGTACAGCCACTCGTTCACCAGGCTAGCGAAGCTCAGGTCAAAGCCGTCGGCACGGATAGTGATCCACTCGCTCATGGTGTCGGGCACGACGGAGAGCTCCCAGACGCGTAAATTGCGGGTAACGTCATCTTGGCCCATGTCCTCGAGGGCGGGCTCGAAGGGGTAGAAGCGCGTGTCGCGCGCCGCCGGGAAGTCCTCAGACACGGGCAGCGTGCGGCGGCCTTGGGGCAGGTCTGCAGCGTCGGGTGCGGGGCGCGGGTATCCCTGGCTCCGGGGGTCACGTCCAGGGACTTCGTCGGCTAGAACGAACTGCATGATCTCTGAGAGCCGGTCTCCGCTGCGGAAGTTGTCGAGCGTGAATCGCACGCCGTCCACAAACGCGTCGAAGGCGGCGTGCAGCTCTTCCGTCCAATTAGGGCGGGAGGTGAGGGCATACAGCTCGTCGAGGATCGCGTAAATCTGCTGAACATCGGCGGAGTTGTTGAGGTCGGCGTAGGGGTTGAAGCGGCCGATGATCTCGGTGAAGGCCGCAATAGTGTCATCCGTCTCCGTGTCCGACTCGTCGTCGTCAATTACGGACTCGTCCGAGACTTCCTTCTTGCACCAGCGCTGCCGGCACATAGGGCACGTGTTCCCGTTTCCGTTATACACCCAGCCATTCACGCACTCCCTGTGGAAAAAGTGCGGGCAGGTCGAGGCGCGCACCGGGCTATTGGGATCAACTTCGTATTCAGTACAGCAGATCGGGCAGGTGTCCTGCTCGGAGGGAATGTCCTTCGGGTTGACTATCACCAGGCTGTCGAGGAATTGCTCGCGGGTCGGGGTGGGCGCCTGGCCCAGTGAGGTAAACATGTTGACGACTAGGTTAGCGATAATTGAGACTGTTGGGTGTTCGAGACCGCAGTCTCGGGGTCGCTGCTCTGTCTTCTGGTTCCGCATTCTCATGTAACTTTGCGCTAGTTATAAGGTGTTCTTTTGCCTTGTAGCGGGAATTATAAGAAGACAATGATCGAAGAAAGAACAAGAGGAACAATGAGACTGTAAATAGAATAGTTGAAAGAACAGCCAATACAATATCTGTCTAAGACACGTCTTCTTTTTATTCTGTATACTGGACATCTAGTATACCTTTGTTTGAACAATGTTATCGTCCGGAGGTTGAAAGGAAGTACTCCATATCAAAAGTTATGACTATGATTCGAATTTGAACCCGGAGTGAAACTTGACTTCAACAGCTCACTGAAAGCTATAGCACCGGGAAACTGGCTTCACGGGTAAATACTACTCGCGATGGAGTTTAAATCGGCCTCCTGAATAAAGTTATCATCCTAAGTTTTTTGCTATTTTTGAGATATTTGTATTTCGCGATGTTCATCCAAGCATTATAAAACTTATCATGTTCCGAGCCTTGCCACAGGCAGAGCTATTTGAGATAAACACCGCATCATGAATGCTAAATACATATAGACAGTCCTTATAACTTGGCATTCATTAAAGTACATGCATTGTGTTCAAGCACTGGGTAACGGATTAGCAAGCTGTGGAAAGAGAGAGGATTCTAATCAACTTATACGGTCACGACCTTACTCCCTAAACCTTTTATTTCTTGATACACAACTGCCATCTATCAATTTCCATCATGACTGCAGCATTAAAGATCTCGTTCGTCCTTGACCACATACCGAAAACGGCATAGCCCAATCCAGAAATGACGTCGGGGGTCCAAGCTCCCATCGCCAAAGCTCGACCTCTGCGTGTCCAAACACCCAGCATTGATATCCGTAAAACACCTCCAATGACGCTATCACGCCCCCTAACGCAAGCCGCCAGGCTCACCTTCCGCTTCCCTACCGCACAGGTCCGGCGGTTCGCCAGCACGCCGCCTGCAGCCGCGAAAAACCGCGTATACACCAGGTACACACCCAGCGCTCCCTCTTTTACACCAAACCTAGTGCGGAAAGCTGACATCCGCAGCGTTCGCACCCCTGACGAACTGCACACTCTTCTCCTCCTTGGTGCCAGCAGCCGCAAACCGCTCATCACGCTCTGGACCGCGTCATGGTGCGCGTCGTGCCATGCGGTAGAGCCGCTGCTGCGGCAAATGATTGAGGACGAGGGGGTGGGGGAGAGTGTGGGCGGAGTCGGGTATGCGCAGGTCGAGGTCGATGCAGTGACGATTGGGGATTTGCCCATTACGTATAGAGTAGTGCTCACCTGACAGATGTTTGGAACCTGATTGTTGGTGTATTGGACTGACGTATTTGTTTAGATTAATTCGATGCCGACCCTGCTGGCTTTTGATCGCCAGGAGGCGCAGTTTGAGACGAAGGTTACGAGGTTGGAGGACTTGGAGAGCAGGCGGTTTCTGACCGAGTGGATTGAGAAGGAGGCACGGAGGGGAGGGGAGGGTGGTGGTGGGGGTAGTTTGTTGGGGAAGTGGTTTGGTTGAGAAAGAAGTACGTCCAAGACAAATCTCCCAGTAGTTTTGATACGACTGCTTTCGGTTAGAAGTGTGGTGGTTAGAAGTATGGCGTACCCGGCTGGCCGTGCTGATAGAGTAAAATATCCATAGGAATGCTTGTAGTAGTGAGTGGAATAAGTGCACTATTATTTCGCGTTGCTATAGACTTGCAAACTAAGAAATTCTAAACTCCAAAACTCCAAGCACAGAAACAAAAAGACGGTATCACATAAAAAAGTTTGAAACAAAATTACACGCCTATTCTCCGTCTTTCCTCAGTTTCTTTGCCTGGCGCCTAGGCTGCCTTCTCTCTGGTGGTATTTCCGGTGCCGTCGCCCGCTTCTTGGGTGCGGGTTTCTTTACTCCAGCCTGCGTCGATCCCTTCTTTTTTGCAGGTTCCTTCTTTTTCGCGGGTTCCTTCTTTTTCGCGGGTTCCTTCTTTTTCGCAGGTTGCTTCTTTTTCGCAACTTGCTTCCTCTTCTTCCCAATCTCCTTCTCTATCTCAATTTGCGTCTCCTTTTCTGTGATTTCGTTCTGTGCGTTGTCCTGTCGTTGCCTTGGAGATTGTTCGCGGCCTAGATCATGAATGGGCTCTGCAGCTGGCGGGGGTGGTGGTGAATGCAGCGACGATGGAAGACTACTCAGTGGTGAATCGCGATCATCGTTCACCCTCTGTGGTTTACCACCCTTCTGGGAGCCGTTACCCCTCTGGGAACCATTGCCCCTCTGGGACCCGTCACCCCTCTGAGAACCATCAGCCCTCTGAGAACCACCAGCCCTCTGGGAACCATTATCCCGCTGTGAAGAACCGTCTCGCTGTGGACGCTGTGGAGGCTCAGCCTGCTGTGGATCATTGATCGGCTGTGCAGGATTTTCACGCGGCGAGCCCCTCTCTCCTTCAGCCTGATACTTTTGCTTCTTCCGGAAATAATACTCAGCGGCATCGACCAAGATTCTCTTCTGGCCACGCGTGAGTCTATCCCTCGTTTCAGGATCAACACCGAAGAATTCCTCTAACACACCCTTCGGAACCTGTTTATATATCTTCCTGTCAGCTTCACTCGTTGCTAGTTTTGGTGTTCGCATTTACCGTGTGGACCATATTGTCGTTATACATATCCTCCATATGAGCCATCAGGTCAAAGTCATCGTTGTCTCGACTTATCCTCTCGAGATGACGGTGGTCGACTCTCAGTGCCTCGAGGCGAGCGGGATAGGATAGCTCTGAACGTGGCGGTGGCGGTGGTGGTAGTACTGCTGGTTGTTGTGCTGGTGATGTTCGAGCAGGTCTGCTTCTTTCTTGAGATTGACGGTCTGTGGGGGGAGCCGCCGATTGCTGGACCGGTCTTAATTGCCTAAGCACGTCCCTGGTATTCTCAAGCTGTTCCAAGGTAAGTGCTCTCGAGTTCAGCATTTCCCTCACGTTGCTGACGTCGTATCCGAAGCCGCGCAGATCGTTTATCACCGCGGTGGGTGAAGCTGGAGGTTGGGGAGTCGGAGAAGATGCTTTTGGCCTAATCCATCCACGTTTGTGTAATTCGTCCCAGACTCCCAACTGGTAGAGACCATAGCCCTCCTGTGCACTCGCATAACCAGCAGCGTGAAGACGTGCCAGGACCTCGTTGGTTTCGACGTCTTTCAAGATAGGGATCTCGGCATCGTTCTCAACGTATCTTGCCCTCGCAGGCCGCCGAATGTAGGAACGACTATGCAACTCATACCACACACCCAGCTGGCGTTTGCCATGAGACTCACGTGCCATATCGTATCCGCCATCCTTTTTGAGTCGCTCTACGAACTCGCTAGGTTTCATATCCATTGGCTTGATCTCGGCAGGGTTACCCGTGTAGTCCAGCAGCTTTGCATATGGTTCGCCGCACCGTCGTACCTGGTGTTCGAAATGTTCTCCCAATTTGTTTTGGCTTCTGAAATTGAACGTCTTCATGAAGCGTCTGTTGCGTGGCATATCCGTGTCATATACCCAATCGAGCGTACGGAGAAGTGCAAAGACAGCTGCGCATGTAGCATGGCCGTAAATTGCCAGTGTGATGATATATGCAGCCGCTTGGTACTGACCAGGATTCAAAGAGGGCTGGGCCTCGGTTTTTATTGTAAGACCCAGCGCAAGTGACCAGGCATTCAATATCGCGTGGATGCCACAAGCAGGATATTCTGCCTGTGTTTTTGCTTCCCGCCAGGTTACAATTGGTTCTGGCAGTTCCTGGTCGTTGTCTTCGAATGGTCCATACCACCACTTGAGGCGTCTGACCACTCTTGTGATTTCCTCTTCAACCCCTTTCCGACCGATGCCTTGGAAGTAGTTGGGGAGACTGTCATAAATGTGGATTACTGGTCTTCCCGAACGGCCGCTACGACTTTCCTGACGGTGGACGTTGACCGCAACGATATGGCCCTGGGTCTCACCCATTTCCCTGTACATGTGTGCCTGGGCTGCTTTTTCCCTTGAGTTGAGTCTGCCCTCTCTGCCTTGATCCCCTTGTATCTGGTTTTCCACATCGCTATGGACCCAAGCGAACAGTAGCTGATTTTGCTGCCGGAGTGCCAGATTTCTCGATTCCATGGCGGATGTAGTTTTTGCCATGGCGAAAGAAGCATCGTCGTAGAGGCTTAATTGTTCCCCATTACCGCTCATGCTAATTGCTTCCGTTACGCTTGCGATTGCTAAAGTTACCTGGACCTCCGACAATTGGCTTTCGGGGTTTATTGCGCCTACACGGTCTTCCTTTCCAGCTATCCTTTGAATTTGATTCCACTGATGTCCTGTGCCACGGAAAAAGTTGCTTAAAAGGTTGACGAGATCACTGTCGTTTAGGATGTCGTCTCCGTCGCAGTGCCCTGCTACTGGACAACTGGTGCACATATTGTCATTTCTATCTTCGCTTGTGCAGTGTCCTTTGACATGGCAATTTCTGCATTTGAATGGCGTTGTTGGGTCCTCGCCCGGGTCGTCGTCTGAACCGTCGCCGCCCGAGCCGCCAGATGGTTCGTCCTCAGGCAGTTCGTCCTCAGGCAGTTCGTCCCCAGGCGGTTCGTGCTCAGCCAGTTCTTCCTCGTACTGTTCTTCGCTCGGTTCGACCGGTCCCTCGGGATTGCTTATGACGGTATTCTCGCTGTCGCTGGTGTCATCATCACTGCTTCCAGGTTGACGCTTCCCGACGCCGCCGTCATCTTCATTGCCGCCATCTTCACTGCTTTCAGATCCCTCACTGCCGTCGCTGCTGCCATCTGCGGCAAAGCCTTCGGCATCCGTATCCCCTTCTGCAACCTCATACTTACGAGCATCATCGTACATCTCTTTCAGATCATTCGCAGTAGGCAGGGGACGCGTACGTTTAAAGCGGTGATCTCGTGGGACAAGACTATCAGCATCCTCTTCTCTGATGAATTCCAAGCAGCGCAAAGTTGCGTAGATCGTGGTGTCGTCCATTTGGCCTTGGATGGCCAGCAGGATGACTTTGTAAGCCATATCGTATTCACCCTTACGGGTTAGCTTTCGGGGGATTTCGTTGGCCGGGGTGAATCCAAGGGCTATTGTCCAGGCGTTGAAAATGGCGTGGATTCGATCATAACGCTTACTCTTGGGATTGGCCGTAGCGCGGGCTACGACCTCTACGCCATCGAAACTGCATTCCCCATTTGGATTGGCCGGGTTTCTATGCCATAGTTTGCTTCGTAAGAAATTTTTTACTTCTCCCAGGATACCCATGATCTTTTTCTGGTTTCTGGGGGATATTAAGTCCTGTGGGCAGTAGAGCTCAATGACTGGCTGATAATCATCGCCTTCGTTGTTATTCCTGCAGAAGGCTCTAGCAATCAGCTGTCGACCGTTATCGCGGTCTTCCCATCCCCATGGGATGAGCACCTCCTCTCGAGGGCCAACGATTTTCCGTACGTCAGGAGAATCCCAGAGAGCTTTGTCGTAGAGACTGAAATTTTTTCCAGCGTGATTTAGAGATATGGCTTCTGTGACGCACGTAATTGCACAAAACATCAAATCGTCATCCGGTGGTGGAGTGAATTCATTCCCGCCTCTGTCCGTGGCTGCATCCTTATACCACTTATCCGTGGCGTAGTTCAGGTATTTGCAAGGGAGGTAGCCGGGAGGAAGGAGATTGCAATGGGCATGGAGAGGGCAGCCTTCGCACTCAAGCTCAGGGTCGTCCGCCGGTATCAATCCGCCCTTGTTGCTTTCTGGTATGACACAGTGTCCCGGTATTTGACATTGCGCACAATTTGGCATGTGTCCTAGCGGGGGTGCTAAGCGGTTCTTGTATTCTTCCAGATCTTCCACGACAACAAACTTCTGAGTGCGCAGAAATTGAGCCTTTGGAGGGACAGAATCTTGAGGGTTCGTGACCCATTTGGTGCAGCATAGCAAAGCGGCGATAGTGGTGGAGTCCATGTTCCCTGCTCTTGCCAGATTGATTGTCTCAATAATCTGCTGATAGATGGGTCCTTCCAGATGATTAAAAGAGACGTCTTTTTTTGAAATTGTCAATCCGAGAGCGATGGCCCAAGCGTTGAGGATGACATGAATACTGGAAGAGGATGCGGATCCATTCGAGTTATGCTTTTGTTGTTTGGAGACCGCGATATGCTTTGTGTGGAATTCTACATTTTTCTCCTCCTCTGAGCTGCCGTGTGATCCAGTCCACCAACGTAGATTGCGGATGAAAAGTTCTACATCATCTTGAATCCGCTGTAGATTTGGTTCCATAAAGTGGGGGGCGCTGTCGTAATACTTGATGAGCGGTATCATATCACCGTCCTTGCCTTCTACCGCCTCGGCGTGCACCAAGATGGAGTGAAAATCCGTTTCTGGACCTCTGTAGACCCACGGAAAGAGGAGTTTGTTTCGGCTGCGATAGGCCGCCTGGCCTCCCTCATAAAAGGCGTTATTGTAATCCGACAGAGTGTAGAGGGAAAAATCCGAGTTGGTTTTCGCTTCGGTGACACAAGCAATGCTGAGTATCATGTCTTCCGCTTCCAATATTTCCCCAACGGTGAGATCTGGCGCTGGGTCTTTGGATTGGCCTTTGAAAGCCGCGAATCCCTTTCGGAAAACACTGCATGCAGTCTCTTTCTCAGGGGGCTTCGCCCTCTTCGACTTCGGCCCGAGATTGCCATCTTGCGGAGGGCGTAATGACTTGTTCAACCTTTCTTGAAACGTATCAAAAAGTTCTGAGAAGGACTGCTCCTTGTTCTTGGCCATTTTCGTGTGGGTGAAGTTGGGTGAAAAGTAAAAAGAGTTGAAAGTTGACTGAGCGAACTTGTAGAGATAGTCAATCCGGGAATTCTTTGTTGAGATGACAATACCTGAAGATGCACCGGAAACGGACAGGGCCAAGTAAATGACTATTGCAAACACAAGTATCAAAGGAAAAAGCAACAACTCAATCTTCTAGACCCTTACAATTGCTGAAGCCATTTCAAAAAATTGAGTATCTGTGAGTTTGTGAAGTTGAAGAAATGGTGAGGATAGGAAATACTTGCAATTCAAGCGCAATACCTTTTTAATATTCGCATCTCATCATTATCCAAACTCTTCCTCGTCGCTTGTGCCTCTTTTCTTTCATCAAGCATTTTCCCGTGCTTGAGTGCGGTGAAAGAACGTTAGCAACCAACCTTTCCCATGCACCAAACGCTTGTCATGGAAGCGAGGCATTTCCGTTGTCATCAATGTGCTGGCCTCTTAGATCTTTGACATGGTTTCTTTGTCTTCATTAGCTTTCCTAAGCCGGAAGGTGGCTTTGCATGGATTCGTCACTTGATAGAAAGTCGTTTTCATTGTTCAATGGTGGTGCGTAGTGCCAAGAACCACGAACAAAGGCCGCATAGCATCAACGCAATTTTGTTACATCCCGGACCATCTAAAATCCCAGCACTCTTGAAAGGGGTATGCAACGCCAGGTGAGCCGTTTCTTGTGCTCTTCTAAGAACTTTCTCTTCTAACTTCGTCGTTGTGCTGTTTGAAATTTTTCTGCATGAGGTGTCGCTGGTGACATCCAATGTCCGTATTTGCGAGTGTTTGAAAGTCAGATTGGCATGCCGCGCTATGTAGATTCGTCCATCATATTGCTGGTCCAACCAGGATCCATGGATGGTGATGAGATATCCGGATGAACATTGTTGTCATAAGCGCATATGTTGCTCCATGACATTGAACACAAGTGTATTGTCAACCGTACAGTCCTGGTTTGGATCAGAGCATCCTAGGTCACGTTCCAGTTCGGGCCCAACATCATGCTGCATACCACGAATGACGTTGGCAGCATGGATGCAGGAGGTAGTGTTGTCGGCGACCATGTACGTTCCTGTCGCGGCTTGAGTACTTGGGTCTGGATAATAGGCCCATGTGGCTTGCGCAGGTTCGTTGAAATAAGAAATGGCGGAGCAAGGATTACTGTCGTACATGAACGTCGAAACCGCGGGCCCGCTCGTAAACGGCGGCGGAATTGAATCGATGCTCTCTGCCGGAGATGGCATCATGCCAGAAACGCTCATCGGCGAGCGTGCTGACAGGATGCTAGCCGTGCTAAAAGTAGACATTCGCCGACTGTCCATTTCCGCGTAAGAAGGTTGCAGTTGCGGCAAAGGCTGCACGGTTTGTTGTCTGGACGTGTCCACCGCGATTCGTGGTATGGGGACAGGATCTTGGCTAGACTGGCTCTTCCCACAGCCACGCTCGCCGTTGCAAGGCCTTTTCGTTTTCAGCATAGTATCGAGCTGCTGGACAGACGACGATGAACATCCCCCGCCCTGGTTCATACAACTGTCGATTTCAGTATCGCTGACACCCTTCTGTCGAAGAAGAGCTTTCAGCCGCTTGTTCTCTTCTAGCACTCGCCTGGCAGCCGCTTGAATCTCTGCGGATGCTTCAACACCCTGCTGTTCGCAGTTGCGATACTTGGTCTCGAGCTCCTGGAGATATTCCTTCCGGCGTGCGCGCGAACGCCGTTGATTGTCCCGGATACGGGCAAGATTGTCTCTCTACATCTAGAGTCAGCCATTGACTACACACAACGCTAACAGCGAGTAGAACTACCTGGGTATGGCTGTCCATCTTTTAAAAAACGCAGACTTGGGGTCTGGAGCGGCCAGGGTGTCCCGACAAGTTGGTTTCCAGAAATAAAATTCTTAGGGCTCAAAGGACCCCACGGAGAACAGGCAATGGAGGGGTGCGGGAGCCAACGGGAAGAAGCAGGGGTATGGAGAGGATCAAGAGACTAAGGGAAACATAAAAGCCTTTCTCCTTTTCGTATAAGCCTTTTCCCTCGTTTCGGAGCCGCCCGAATGACCAATCGCCCGTACGTCAGTAACCTCCTCCAGGCCCCTTTCGTCCCATAAGTAAGAGCTTTGCGTTTAGGTCGATCAATGGTACGGTGTGGGACTGCAGGTAGGGTCAAGGGCGAAGGAATAAACGAGCTTGGCATACCTGATTTTTCCTACTCCTCACTGCTTTTTACACGGAGTACCACAGCCTACACTGCGACTCCAAATCCTCGATGAACGTGAAGTACGCAGAGCTTGGCTTGGTACCCACGTGCCGTAGAGCGTATCCGATATCTTCCCTGAGTGCCCGTGGTTACTCTGAGGCCAAAGCGCGCGTCCTAGATCATGAGGGTTAACGCTAAGGGTCTGGTCTGGGTCCGTTCGGTTGGGATGGTCGATCGGCAAGTCCATGCATGTGATCCTGTCAATGGACGTGGCTTATTGAGTCGGCGGTCCTCACTGTCGATAGGGTTGCACGGAGACTGCGCTGGAAAACGTTGCTATGCTGGCCGGGCTTTACGTTGTTCCTTGCCTCTACAACAGCCGAGCTTGATCGTCCGAAATGAAATGATTACGCGGTGGCGGCCATATTACCTCGTCTAGCCGTAGCGGCTCAGAGAACCATCGGGTTCTCGAGCGCGGTTTAAGCTCATCTAGATGCGGCTTCAACCGCAGCCCCAAGCCTTGGCTGAAGAATTCGAGTTCTAGAGGACATTTGCTTTGCAATTCAGGGCTGGTTCTAGAAGCCAACTCTGTGAGGCGGAAGCGCCTCAAGCTTCATGGACTATTAGACGGCAAAAATGAATAGTAATCGCGTGTTTTCTGTTGTTATAAGATATGCACGCGATCAAAGAGTTGGTGCGAGGATGTTGAGGCAAAAGAAATAATAGGGATACGTGTGGAGTGTGGAGACGACCGAGAAAAAAAGCAAAATATCGGATGCGCGACTTGAACGCGCGACCTTCAGTGCTCACAAGATGCGATCCTGTTAGACTGACGTGATAACCAACTACACCAACCCGACTTCTATAGAGATATATAGTGCAAATATAAAATATGTAGTATTATTTTTTGGACATTTTGCAAGCTATGCATCCATGGCATCGACCATTGTTGATGCATTGTCAATGAATAAAATCAAACGAACGAAGAAAATCGTCTCAAAAAGCAAACCAACTCCTCGAAGAAAACAGCAGCACAATTAAAAGAGGAAACGCCTCACAAAAACCGAATAATTTAATTACCAGACACCTGCAACCAACCAACAGTAGCTACATAACCCGCATCCCACGCAAGCAAAGCAGGCAGCAGGTATCTCATCTATCTAACCACGAGAAAGCAGCAACAGCAAGAACATCCTTCCCAACCACCCACCACAATCACAACCCCCCACCGAAACCCAAACCCACACAAACCCTCAAGCCCTCCGCTTCCCCTTCGAGCCCTTCGCCGGCCCCAAAGCCGGAAACTCATCTCTCCCTACCGCAGCAGCAGCAGCATCATCATCATCAACACCCACAAACCCAAGCCCGACACCGCCGTCCTCGTCATCGTCCTCAAACTCATCCATCATGCGCCGCCTGCCCTCGGCACGACTCTGCTCCTCGGCCAAGCTCAGCTGCAGCGCGTACTCTAGATCGGCATCCATGACGTTGCCGGCGGAGCTCGAGCCGCCCGCAACAGCAGCAGCAGCAGCAGCGCCAAAGCCATCGGCGAAGCCCAAGGGCGGCGTGCGCCGCGACGACGATGACGCGCCCGAGGCCTTGTGGTGGCTCTTCGCGTAGCGGATTGGGATGTCAAACGCCGTGTCCGGAACAGCCGTCGGCGTGGGTTCGTCCGGGAAGGATGGGAAGTCGTTGGCCTCTGCTTCCAAGCTGAGCCGGATGGCTTCGGCAATGTCGGCGTCGAGCTCCTCTTCGCTCTTTGTTGGCGGACTGCTTGACGGAGTCTCGGTGGCCAAGACTGTCGGTGTGTCGCTTATAACTGAGCTGGCTTGGCTCTGGCTTTGGCTTTGACTTTGCCGTTTCACCGCATCGTTTTGAGCGCTCTCCTGTGAAAGCAACGTCGCGTACGCGAGAGCTTGCTCTTCATCATCGAGAAGGTCTACGCCAAACCGGCCAGCCAAATGCTCAGCGTCGCGCTGCCTCTGCAACTGGTCGCGCTCCATCTCGAATTGCTCATGCGCAATGTAGTCTTTGATCTTCGAGCGACCAGAGGCAGAGAACTTCGGACCCTCACCGCCATTGTTGCTACCGCGTTCGGAGCGGCGCAGGCGACGCTTGCTGGTCTTGTACTGGTCTGCGGCGCTTGAACTGTAGCTCCAATAGCGGAGGTGCGTACCAAGTGAGACCATACCGCGCAGAACAGTTGAGTCCGGGTCCAAACAGACGGCACCAGCAGCGAACAGGTTAATGCCCACACCTTGGGCGGAAGCCTGCGCCTGGACCAAACGACGCCGAGCACGAGAAGAAAACCGCGAGTTGAGTGTGCGAATGGGCTGCATAGAAGATGCCAACGGATCCCATGCTTGCACAAGACCATCGTTACCGCCGTGAACGAGATAGAGTGCGGTCATAGCAAGGCATGAAATCTGAGGCGAATCCGTATAGATGATGCGCACCGGATCCACGGTGTTAGTTAGCTCCGTTGATTTAGAAGTCGGAGCACGCATATCCCACAGGAAGACACTGCCCATTTGCGTGCCTGCAGCGACGAAGCGGGCTCGTTGACCGGGTACGTCCGCGGGTGTGGCAGGTTGGCTACCAGTCGAGAACGGCGATGCAAATGGCGAAGACGCGTTCGAAGCTCCAGAAAACCCAAAGATAGGGTCTTCGGACAGCGTCATGGTAGCGTACGTGGAAACGTCAAGAGTGGTTGTCAAAACTTGGACGTTCTTTGCACCACCAAATGCTAGATCGGAGCAACGCCATTCCTCAGCCATATTCGCACGTTCCGGAGAGCCTGTCGCCGAGGATTGGATGGAGAGACTGCGCAATCTCTCCATTGGAGGCGGTTTCGGTGCTGAGACCGGCTCCGAACCACCGAAGAGAGATGACATCGGCTCAGTCGTCTCCAAAGCATCAGCCACCAGCCTAGGCTTGACCTCCAGCTTAGTAGAAACCCTCAGGCGTGTGAACCGTTTCGCCGAAGCTGTACTATCTTCTTCTTCATCGAGCCCGCATTGGAAGACGACTATGTTTTCTCCAGCAAAGTTGCCGTCATCGCCCGCGAAATCAACTTCCATCCGCCTTCTCATATCCCAACCGAGACAGGCTCTACGAAAGTCAATAGGCTTCATGCGTAAGTATGACTCGATCTCTCTAGTCTCAGCTTTAATTTGGTCCTGGTTCAGGCACATGCCGTTCCAAGATGACCGAGGAGAGTACGTGCCATCAAGCTCCGCATCTTTGTACGGGTTAGGGCGAGCCACACGGCGACTGGGTTCGACTTCGTTCCAGTAAACAGTGCGACCGGTTGTCCAGGCCATCCGTTCCAAAGTGGGCTCATCAAGACGAGCTCCACGAGCAACAGGTGCCCGCTTTGGGAGCTTGGTAAGGTAGAAAAGCTCACCCAACGCGTTGAGAGCAACGCACCAGATACGGTTTTGAGCTTGACGCTTTGGCGAGTACGAATCATCTACCGCGAGAGCGATGATGGGAACACCAGGGCTAATGACCCATCGAGCCGTAATCTCGCCCCTGGTAAGACGAGAGTCTCGCAGACCATCGGCCCCAAGGCTGTAGGCCGTGATGACACCGGAGGAAGAACCACACATGATGCCTACAAGACCATCGGACAAAGAAGGGATCGTGTTCGACTTGGCGATCCAAACCGAGCATATGGCCTCGGTAGTAGACAACAGACGAGGGATTCCCAACTCCGGTGATTCCATTTCCATGGGCAGTGACAGAAAGCGTCCCCGCAGTTCCTCCGTCGAACGATAGTAAATGCGGCCTCCGGGATTTCCTTCTCCATGCACCATACCATAGGGTTGCCCAACATCCATGACGTTAGGGACGCCAATGATATTGCCAGGGCCAAGACCCCACATCGCATCTCCTCGGTGGAGCTCGTCGAATTGGAGGAAGAGCTGCGGATCGGACAATCCCCAGTTATCAATTTTGCCAGCACTAGGCTCACTGGTTGACGCCATACCAACATCGTCGGCTCCGTGGATGAAGGACGGAAGACGCTTGTTGAGCCCGGTTCCAAATGTAGCATGCAGATGATTCACAGTGGTGTACAGCTGCGAATTGTACATGATGATGGCGCTTGGGACCTGGGCAGCTCCCGAGCGTGCGTTTGTCGAAGCATTCGGCAACGGCATGGGCTTGCCGCGGCCCAGAGACCGTAACAGGCGGGTACGCAGAATGTACTCGCTCCTCCATGACGCCAGAGCAGTAAGCCGAGCAAACGCTCTTCTGTCAGACCGCAGGTTATCCTGGTCTTCATCCGAAGCCAGATAATCGGAAGTCGCGGTGAGCGATTCCGGCCCGGGGAAGTATCGAGCGAAGGCGACTCGCCACGCGTGGGGAGTAGTTACGAGGTCATGGAAGCGGTGAGAAACGAGAGCCACAGCGGACAGATCGTTTGGCGGGAGATGAGAAAGAGCGTGCGTCAAAATTTCTGCGGCGTATATCAGTTGCTGCTGCCTATAACCATGCGCTCTGACTCATAGTTTTGGGCGTGTCCGTACCGTTTGGCAGCTTCGCGATGGCGGAGCTCTTGTCGCCGGGCTTTCGGCTCTTCTTGACGACCTCGAATATGGGCAACTCGGGCTTCTTCAGAGGCGAAGGTGCCAGAGCATTCTCGTATTCTTCGATCCGGTTGCGCGGCGGAGGGCTGGTCTTCAACCGCGATTTGGTGTCGCGTCCGTCAACAGCGCCCTCGGGGCCTGGCTGCCCTCCCGCGCCGCTCCCTGGCAAGAGCGGCGGGAGGGACGCATCGTAAGACTCGAGTCCATGCTGGGAAGGAGTGGCTTCGGGTTGGGTCGCGGTTGGTTCGGTGGACGCGTGGTGGAGGACGTCAGAGAGCTCTGAGTGCATAAAAATTCGTGGGAAAGAAACTAGGAAAGGTGGTACTGAGCCAGGTCGACTGGTTCAGTGGTGAGTCGGACGCGGTCGCGGTGGGTGAGATTCGCCTTCGGAGTGGAGTGGAAGAGGGTAAATCTGCGATGTGACGTTTGGATAAATCGGGGTCGCGTCGGCCCTCCTTCACGTGGCGATTCCGACGCGAGAGCTTCCATCAACGTGCCGGCTAAACTTCGATCTACATAGGTACTCCCGTGTACTCATTGCTAGGTATCAAATAGGACATCTGAAATCTGTCATTTTGTCTGACAGTCAGACATACATACATCCTCAATGGTCGATGGCCACCACTTACTCCTACCATCTTCAACTCTCGCACCACACACCACGCACCCGGAACGCACCCCAACCCGATTCGCCAATGAGTCCCCCGCCACCACGCGCACAGACAGCTGCAGATAGCCAGCAGCCAGACGCCCAAAGTTGCAACACCAGCCTGCACGATCCCCAAACAAGCAACCCTCTGCACAAAAACATCCAACGTCTCAAGAAGTTGGCCGGTAGTAGCACAGAGGCCAACGCGGCTCTTCAACGTCCCCTGCACCTCTCCCAAACAAGCATGTCCACAAGCATGCCCCTCCCTTGCAACTTCCTACGTCTACACTCGTGGTTAGTCGTGTCACCATGCCACACTCGTGCGCCCTTGACTCTGCTGGGATTAACCGCGCGGTTCAGGGCCTCGTCGTGTTGTGTGGTGCGGCTTGCGGCTGTGACCAGGGCTTCTGCCGCTAGACAAACATGGTGGATTGTCTTTGTCATTATTGGTTAAGTTTGGCTTTGACGTCCGTATCTTTGCGCTGACGGGCGGCTGTGCTCATGTGCTATTGACAAATTGGCAGTTATGGACAGATTACATTGGAACTGACGCTTTCCTTTGACGGTTTTATTTTAAGGCACCGGATAATTTGCCCACCCCACGTGATAGCATCTACAGAATTATATAATATATTTTCTACTCTTTAAAATCTTAGGTCTCTATACCCTTATAAGTACCTTTATACCCTTCGAATATTTTATTTTTATACCCTTATAGATACTCTAGTAGTCGTATATATCTATACCTCTATACTCTCGTAGTATACTCTACTACTCGTATATTTTTACTCAATATATAGTTAAGGGGTGGATAAAATATCTAGAAGGGGTAGGTAAATTATCCGGGGCCTTATTTTAGTTAGTTGATTAGTTTATCTAATATATCTATATGCAGCTGGAAACTATGACGGACAGGCATTCATTTAGTTACTTTGCCAAATACACAACTTCGACTTTCACAATCCCATGGATAAGCGCAGTGAACATCACATCTGGAATTAATCTGAACACGGGGAACAATCTAATGTTATGATATCCATGATTAGGTAATCCAGCTGGAAGCACGCCCGTAATAGAGAATATGTACATCTATCTCATCGCACAAGGAACCACTGATCTCAACGCCGAAGCAAGCGATCGATTGAATGATTGATTCCACGCTAGGGTATCTACAGTCCGCTCTACCCACCTTATACCACGCACGCATCTAGCTCTACCCTCAAAGCCCCTACCACAGCCCAAAAAAACAGCTGGACCAAGGAGCAGAAGAAGCAGGAAGAGGAAAGCCCACCTACTCCGCCTCCTTAGCCAGCTCCTCCTCCATCTCCTCCAGCAACTTCTGAATCGACCGCACGCCCCTAAGCAGATTCTCATCGGGCCCCTGGCCCGGCGTCCAAGCCGCATGCGCAAAATCGATCAACTTGACGACGGCAAGCTTGGGCTCGTCCTCATCCTCATCGTCCACATCCACATCAACCTCATCATCGTCCTCTTCATTCCAGCCCTTCGCCCCCGAACTCGTGGCCGTCTGAACATCGCCTTCAGCCTTCCTCGCCGCGTCGCGCAGCTCCAGCGCCGCCTCCGCATCGCCCTCGTACACGAACAGCAAGCTGGCGCTGTACATCCTGCTCTCCTCGCGCTCCAAGACGGCGCGCACGGCCTTGACGTCGGCCAAGAAGCGCTGTGTCGTCTTGCGCGCAGCAGCAGGGCCGACACCCGCCGCGCGCACGACTAGAAACTCCCTGAACGCGTCGCGCACGCTGTCGGCGCTGAACGCGCGCCCGTACAGCTTGTTGAACGTCTTGTACCCGCTCGTCCGGTCCAGCGTCGCGAACTGGTCCGTCTCGGTGGCCGTCGCGCGCGGCGCGTCGGCGCCCTGCTGCGCCGGCGTCGGCGCGCCCTGCCAGACGCGCATGCCCGCGACGCGGAACCCGAGGCTGGAGCTGGTGGTTTCGGCGGCGACCTTGTCGAGGCGGGCGCGCTTGGCGGGCGCGGCGTCGTCGTCGTAGAGGCGCGCGCCGAGCTTGAGGTCGAGGATGTTGGGGCGGGCGAAGCCGGCCGCCGCGTTCGCCAGCACGATGCTCGTCTCCGTGTCCAGCTTCTTGCCCTTCATAGGGCCCGGGTCGTCGGGCTTCAGCGTCGCTGCTGTACCTGGTGCTGCCTCTTTCTCCTCTTCCTCCGCCTGCTGCTGCGGCTGCTGCTGCCATGCAGCCTTGGAGTCCACGCCGCCCATCTTGCCCGCCATGCCGCCCGTCTCGCCAAACGAGCCCCCGAGCACGCTGTCCTTAGCCGCGGCGCCCGCCTCCGGTATGGCCGGCGCAGCCGCAGTGGCGCTGTCCACAGCCGCGGCGCTCGACGCCGTCGCGTCCAGCTGCAGCGTCCCCATGAACGTGGGCATGTACGCCGCCAGCGCGCCGTGTTCCGCATTGGCGGACTCGTAGAAGGCGATTTCGGCTGTTGTGCAGGGCTTGATGACGAGCTCGCCCGAGGGGTCCGACAGCACGCCGTCGCTGCGTTGGGGGGGCGCGTGTTAGCTACGCGTCGCGTGGCAGCTTGGACAGCGTGCGTGGATGCGAGAAAGAAGGAATCAAAACAAAAAAGGCAACTCACTGTCCCGCAGCCGCGTTCTCAAACGCGCTGAGCGTAGCAGGATCGATCTTCGACTGCGCCATAGCTCGCCTCGTTACTCCCAATCAACAAAGCACCGACAAGTAGGTAGGTAGGTAGGTAGATAAAACCGATAAACAGCGGCGATCAGTATTGTGGGGCCCCAAGCCTCGCTATTGTAGTTAGATAGATAGCCAGCTAACCAGGCAGTCGGTTGCGGGGTCGTCGTAGTGTGTCTCGCAAGGGAAGCGCGGGAGTGTGTGCAGACGGAAGAGACGGCACGCGGGGGGGGGGGGCAGCGTGGGCCTTTAAATTAAGCTCCCGGGACCAGGGTGCCGCGCGTAGGGCTGATGTCTCCAGATCTCTGCCCTGCTGGCCTGCCCCGTTTGATGACGATCTTCCCACTCTGCCGTGACGTCGGCGGCGCGTGGCTTTGTTGCGACGTCGAGTCGAGTGGAGGAGGTGGGGGCGGGGTCGGCTAGGTGGTGTTTTTTTTTTTGTTTTTTTTTTTTTTGTTGGAGGTTGCGCAAGGTTGATCTCATCGCACATACAGACAGTAGTACATATACGCATCACGTACAATAGGTAGGTAGCTAAAAGGCGATAACTAGATAGTTGGTGATAGGCCGTCAATGTCCTGAATTTTTCTCGTTGTTCCAGTGGACTTTCTATGTACGTACGTGCGTGACAGAATAGGACTAAACTAATAAACGTTCTTGGACTCGTCGCAATACTACTACAAATACGTATGGGGATGTTGAAAACGCTACAGGAGAGGGTAGTCAGGAAAGAAGCAGAAAAAAGGAAAAGCCAAAGAAACCTCTCTATGCCCAGGAGAACACGACAGCGGGTGATCCGGTACGCCACGCTACTCTGCTCTCTAAGTACCGTCGTGAAAACTGCGCATTGTTTTGCAAAAAAAAAAAAAAAAAAAAACACCTACGCCTATGTACACCTTCGCCCTCAAGGCTGGGTATCCTTATCCTTGCCATCGCCATCCCCGCCGCTGCTGCCTCCATCCTCTCTGTCAATCTTCGGCTGCCCCGCGAACGGCCCCAGTCCGAAATTCGGCGTCAGCTCCGTGTTCTGGCTGGGCGGGTTGCCCGGCTTCAACGCCTCCTTCACTACCACTGGATCCTCTGGCCTCGTGTCTTGGTGTACACCCATGCCCTCTTGCGCTTCAATGTCCGACTTGCCTCGCGCACGCGAGAAGCTGACATCGCTGCCCTCGTTGTCGCGACGCTCGATGGGACTCCAGCCCGCAATACTTCCGGCCACGATACCGGCCATGGCAGCCGCGGGGCCGAATGCCGAGTTGGAGCGCGACCGGTTGCGGCTGCGCGAGTGCGAGCTGAGCGGCGTGGGCGGAGCGGGCGTACCGCCCTCGCCGTCGCTGCGCTCGTTGTTCGGAGTTCTGGGCAACGAGTGGCTGCTACGAGAGCGGTGGAATGCCTCGCGCGGGTGCTGAAGCTTGAACTTGAGAGAGCTAAGACGGCCACCACGGATCCGCTTGATGAAAGCCAGTTCATCGCGGATCTCGAGAAGGCCTTGGTTCCACTCAAAGTCATCAGAGATGACGAGATCAGGCGTGGGCTTGCGCTTGAAGCGCTCCGGAACACAGGCACTGATTGCTTCGTCTGGAATTAGGCGGATGATAATACCAACCGGAATTGAAAGAGCGCCAAGCACAATCGAGTAGCCCCATTGAGCGCCATTCAGCTTTGTTACTGAGAAAGCAGCGCCACCAACGAAAACAATCAAGACTTGACCGCCGATCATGATCAAAGTGATGGCAATGAAGAAATAGTTGCGGTGCATGCCCTCGAAGATGTTGAACTTGTTGTCAAGGCGTCTGTTGTTGAACTCGTTGAAGATTTGCATCCACACGAAGGTGTTGAAAACGAGCGTCTCCAACTGGTCCTTCTCATGTTCGCTGTGGTAGGAGAGGATGCTGCTTCCAGCAAAGTAGAGAATGAATGTGACAACGAGCTGATAAATAGCCTGACCAATGATCATCTTCCACATAGTGAGCGTAATGAGTGGCGCCGACTTGGGGTCAGGCTTGCGCTCGAGCAGAGATGGGGTAGGCGGATCCGTCGCAAGCGCCAATGCCGCGAAAGTGTCCATGATCAGGTTGACCCACAAAAGCTGGACAGCAGTGAGGACAGACTCCTGGTTGGGGTTGGCGACGGCCGAAACGAACGTCAAGAGAACGGCAGTGATGTTGACAGTGAGCTGGAACTGCAAGAACTTCTTAACCGAGTCGTTGACGGCACGACCCCATAAGAGAGCCTTGACGATCGAAGAGAAGTTGTCATCCATGAGAATGATGGCCGACGCCTCTTTGGCGACTTCCGTACCAGCAATACCCATGGAGAAACCGACGTCGGCAGTCTTGAGCGCAGGCGCATCGTTGGTGCCATCACCAGTAACCGCAACAGTCTCACCAAGTTCCTTGAGACGCTTGACCAGAATCCTCTTGTCCTCGGGGCTAGAACGTGCAAGCACGCACAGCTTGGGTATAGCCTGGTCCATTTGGCGTTTGCTCAACTTTCTGAACGTGGGGCCCTCCATGACCAAACCACCGGGAACGAGGATACCGCAGTCTTCAGCGATGGCCTTTGCAGTCAAGACGTTATCTCCGGTGACCATGCGAACAAAGACACCGGCTTTCTGACAGTCCATAACCGCGTCGCGAACGCCCTCACGTAGCGGATCCTGAATACCTACGAGACCGAGGAAAGTCATGTTGCGGAAGATGTCGTCGAAGTCGGCCTGGCTTGGGTCGTCCTCCAACGTATGTGCGCCCTTCGGGGGCCATTGTTCAAAGTCGCGATACAAGAAGCCGATTGTGCGAAGTGACCGAGAAGCATACGTTTCGATGAGGTGAGAAAGCGCCTGGCGGTTGTCTTCGGTGAGACTCCGGACAGAGAGGTCCTTGGTAGCATCGACAACGGTGTCCGCTTTGGACAGCATGATTTCAGAGGCACCCTTGACGTACATCCGGTATTTGCCGTCATCAGTCTTCACCACAGCAGCCATGCATTTCCTTCCAGAGTCGAACGGAACCAGCTGTGCAATAGTCGCGTTGGATCGCTCAACGTTGACCGGTCCCATACCAAGGTAGTCGCGCGCGAAGTTCAGGAGTGCTGTTTCGGTCTTGGAACCAATAAAAGCTTTCTTTCCGTCTTCTTCGCCTTCGAACGCGGTAGAGTTGATGACGATGGATTGTTCAAAGAGTTCCTTGACGGGAGCGCCCAGAGTAGAAGCGAATTCGGTTGGGGAGACATCATCGACTTGATCGTCAGCCACTTGCTTTCCCTTGGAAGGGCTGTCCGGACTGCCTGGCTCCTGCGAAGGCCGACCCTTGCGGTCACCGAATCGAAGAGACGTGCCAAGCGAGCCTGCTACCACAGTCATCTTATTTTGGGTCAAAGTACCAGTCTTGTCGGAGCAGACCGTCGTAGCATTTCCCATAGTTTCGCAAGAGCGCAGAAGTCGCACCAAGTTGTTGTCCTTCAACATCCTTGTGGTAGCGAAAGCGAGAGCCAATGTCACAGCGAGGGGAAGACCTTCCGGAACAGCGACGACGACGACGGTAATAGCGACGATGAGGATGTTGAGGAAGTCCTGTCCCTTGTCGCTAGGGCTCTTGTCGGAGTGCGGAAGCTTGACCAAGAACTCGATGAAAAGGACGACGAAGAGAAGCAGCGCAGCACCACCGCCAAGTTTGGCAATGTACTCAGCGAGCACGTTCAGCTTGGACTGGAGCGGGGTGACCTCGCTGTCTTCCCGGAGAGCCATCATCGTCTTTCCGTAACTCGAGTGCACACCCGTCGCGGTGACCAAGAAAGAACCAACACCTTCCGAAACCTTTGCGCCGGAAAGGATGAACGGGTCCATCTTCTTGACACTCTGTCCAGCTTCCATGGCGCGCCAGACCTCATCCGCGGGAGTTTTCTTGAGGAGATCCGATTCACCCGTTGCCGAAGATTCGTCGCACTTGATGTTGTGGCCCTGGATGAAGATGCCGTCGACCGGGACCATGTCGCCCGGTTCCAGCAACATTACGTCTCCCACGAAAATGTCGTAAACGGAGGCCTCCCTCGTATCTCCCGAACGGATGACCTTGACGAGTCTGTCGGACTTCTTCTTGTTAAGCTTGACGAATTGGCGCTCCTTTTGCCAATCGTTTATAGCGCCAACGACAACAACAATGATGATGGCGACCATGATGGCAACACCTTCAACCCACTCGACGTGAGGCTCGCCATTCTCGCTCTTCGTGCCCAGAGTCTGATATAAACCGAGAGCAAGCGAGATGACTGCCGCGATAGTCAAGAGAATCAAAACCTTGTCGTTGTAGGCCATCCATGCCAACTGTAGGATGTTTTTCGGCTTCTTTTCCGGCAACCTATTATCAGAAAACACACGTAACCGATCCGCAAAAGCTCCTTCTTTTGGTCCATTTCGGTGCGAAGCGTTCGTATCCTGGCGAGCGAGATTTTGAGGCCGGGAATTCTTGTGATCCGTCTCCGTGCTCGAAGGCGTAGTCGCTTCCTCGAAAGATATGTATTTATCCAGATGCTGTTCGTCCACGCTAAGACCACTCTTCACATCGGTTTGCAAACCCTTCGCAATACCAGCCAATCCTCCCAGGGCATGGAAGGCTCCAACGCTTTTCGGGTTGTACATTTTGGATAACTGGCCGGGCGAAAACGCAAACTTATTGTCGTGAACTTCGAAAGCCTCCTCGGTACCCGGATCCGGAAGTAAGGCATCATGATCGTTAAGGATTTCGTCGTTGCCCTTGAAGTTCTTGCGGGTTTCCGGAGACGTGGGGGAAGTGTTGACGTAGGTCTCCCCATTGCTAGAAACGGACTGTCCGGTTTCCGTTTGCGAATCCACCGAGTTGCCTCTTGAGCGCGGTCCGTTTGGTACGGCGAGGTAGGCGGTAGGGTCGTGCAAGCGTGCCGTAGGCGAGGAAATATTATGAGGCGAGGTTGGTCTATCTTGGCCGCTCTCGAAGGAATTGGGGCTGCGTAGATTAATGGGCGAGGTGCTGGAAGGCGACTGTGCGCTCGAATCGAAACTCCTAGAGGACGCATTGTCGGGCAGATCTCCCAGCGGTACGGCGTTGCCCATGTCGGGGTTTACGGCTGAAGTGTCAATGGTGATGGTGGGGGCGCGTTGTCTGCGAGCGGGGCCAGGAGAAGGTGTATCGCGCCCCTCGTGCTCAGTGCCCTTGTCAGCCATGTTGACCGCCTGTCACCGGGGTCCTGAGGCTGAAAGAGAAGCAGGGATTCGTAGGAGCCTAGTGAGACAAGGCTGGAAGGCGCTTTTATAGAGGCGCAGCGGTAGCGATTATGGCGAGTCCAGCATGGGTGTACAGAGAGAATATGTATGCCTAAAAGATGGGCTGTGCAGATCCAGTCAATAAGTGTTGAATTCCAAGTAGCGAAGAGGACTTCTCCACGTGCGCTAGTGGCGATCGCGACCAGAGGCGAGCGAAGGATAGAGCCGGGGAATGGAGCTGAGCTTGCTTGGGTACATTGGGGCTGTGCCCGGCAACCAGAGCACGGAGCGGGCTGTGCAAGAAAGATTCAGGAAAGATATGGACGTACTGGCCGCGCGGTGGTGCTCAGGTTCAGCAGCAGGGAACTCCAATGGGAGGCGGACGGTGCCAGCGAAGGCGGAAGGTTTTGGAGTAGTGGTACTTGTCGAGCAGGAGTGGTGAAGCTATGGGTGACAGGAAGCCCGAGCAAAGCAGTAGCGAGTTTGCGAGCGAGGTGGATGGGGCGTCGAGGATGGTGGTGGTCATAGAGTGAGGAGAAGCAATCTAGGCGGTTTCCCCAAAGCCAAGTCGGACGTGAGAGGGAAGTAAAGCAGCAGCAGCAAGAGCAATCGCCCTGTGCTTGAGAGGGCGCGAGCGAACGGTTGTGGAGCCAAGTGCACTGCCTCAAACCAAGCCGTTTCAGGCCAAGCGCCGTGCGCTCCCGCGTTGCGCTTCCCTGCCACCACAATGCAGAAGGTGCCGCATCCAATCGTCGCGCGATTATATTACTCTTTTACCACTCGCTGCCCAACCTTGAACTCGCAAAAAGTCTCGTCTCTCGTCTCGACTCGCCCGCCAAGCGCGCGCGGAGTCCAAGTCGCCCATGGCCCAGGCCGCGCGGCGGGAAATTGACTTCAGGCGAGACCCCACGTGTCCCGCGCCAAACCTCATGAAGCCAAACCGTCTGGCCATCTCACACCGTTTCTCACCAGCCACAGCCCGCTAGCTATACAATACTGCTCACGGACCAACTGCGCCACATTTAGCTCAGCCACACTTCATGCGATCCCCAACATTAATCTGTAACCACCACTATCCACTCTTCCCTCTCTCTCGCCACCACTCGCCATCTACTCTAGGATACCACCTCAGCCACCGGCGAGAGCGATGTGGCGTCGCAGTGGCTGTCGCATATCGTACTCTACTCTACGCCATGCTACTGCCCAGCAACGGCTCAACATAGCGTCGGCTGGGCATCGTCATTCAACCCTCTAGATTCTGGGTCGATGCGACAAGCACACCACAGGCGTTTCCGTTACCGGCGCCTCCGTCTTGGATGCACAGCCCCCAAGTCGGTGTAGCCGCCGGAAGATTGCTCCGGAAAGCCAGGAAGCACAAAGGGAGGAGGAGCTCGGAAACGTTAGGATCCGGCGGCCATCGAGGTGCTTCAACCCCTTCTCCAGGAACCATCATCATCATCGTCATTTCTCTCTCTCCGCAGCAAGCAGCTGAGCGTCTCTCCCATTCCGGTATGCTGCTTATTGCTTAGCGTCGCCGCGTATGAACACCGTCTCTCGTACTCTATAAACAAAATATCCACAAACACTGATTTAGCAGCCGGCCAATCACAACGCCGTCTGGGGGAATAGCGCGAAATTTGACAAGCGCGTTTGAATCCTCACGGCTCACCCTGACGTAAGGTATCTTTGATGATGAGATCTGCCCATCTGGCTTATCTATTGGCTCGGCGCAGTCGGATGCGCAGCACTCTACTCTTACTCTACCTGATCATGGTAAACATCATCAGGTACTCTGCCATGTCGCATCTAAACTCCAACCCCCATCACTCAATCCCAGCCATACGCAGCACGGACGACGCTCATTTGACCACTTGCACCAAGCCTTCCCTTCTTCGGAACATCCAATATATTGCACGAGCTGCCAACCTGCCACACTAACGTGGTACGCCAGCTAGCCTCGTGCGAGTCTGTAACATTCCATTTCGCCAGCGTCCACTGTCAAATGCGTACGTCTCGCACTCCGAGTCGACTTTGACTTTAGCTCTGAAACTCTATCTACGCAAATATCGAATCATGTGAATACCACGTGTAGACGGGGGCGTCAAAACCATAACAATTCATCAAACAACTCAAACCCCGCACTCGTCCGCTTCAACGTCAATTTTTATTAACCGAAGACAACACACTTGGGAAATAGGAATCGAGACAAACTTTGCTATACCAATCTGGAATACTTTACGTTAAGTCTGCCAAGCACCAGCGTAGCTCTTGGCACGGGGGCAGTGCACCTCAGCCCCGCGTTCCGCTCTCATAGGCAGCTTTACTCGCCGGGAAAGGGGGCTACGAAACGCGTGATGAAGCCTCGCGGGGGGCGGCGAAACTTGGAGCGCTTTAGTTCTTGCCTTTGTTGAGCCTTGGCGTCCTGATGCGCAACACCAAGACCGTGGCGACGACCAGAGCCGCCACAGCAGAGAGGAACGCGAAGCGCAGGCTGTGCTCGTACGCGTGGATAACTGCGGCGAGGCAGAGTCAGCCTTCATCTCTCGCGTAGTCGTGAGGCTGACCAGCCGCCCTCCGTACAAAATACGGTGAGCAATGAGTTGACTGATCAGATCAGGCTAGAGCCTGGCGAGGGTAGGTGCTCAGAGGGATTAAGGGGCTGCGTCAATTGTTTTCCTGCTGCTCACCTTCTGTCTGATGCTTGGGCGTCAGTTCAAAGATTGCTCGAACCGACTTCCGCACTCGCTGGATGATCTGCCATGTCGAGGTATCAGTCAGTCTCCGGAACTTTTCAAGTAAAGAGCATCGTCAAGTGGCATGACGGCTTTGCTTCTGGGGTTGGAAGAGGAAAAGCCACTATCACTTACCTCGTCCTTATTTGGCCCTGTGACAAGTCTCTCCAGGTCGACCGAGAGTGCGTTCTGAACAATGAGACTGCTGATGGCAACGCCAAAGACGGAGCCCAGGCTCCTGGCCAAGCTCAAGGTACTCGACATGACGGCTTGGTCGACCTTTGTGCTGGCCGCAATAACCGTCAGAGTCGATGCTGGGAACGAGAAGCCCAAACCCCCGTTGACAGGCACTGCAAACACCGTCGCCAGCCAAACAGGGATACCATCCCACATGCAGCTCAATGCGATGGTACCGCTCAAAGTCAAAAGCGTGCCGCAAATAATGAGTGGCTTCGTGCGGCCTGTCCAGGTCATGATGAACCCAGAACCGACGCCAGTCAGCATGGTAGCAATCATAGGCGCGGTGAGCCGTAACCCCGACTGCGACGGCGAGTCGAGCTTGACGGCCTGGAAAAAGAGCGGCGCATTGAATATGATAGTGTTGCTTCCAATGTTGGAGAAGAAATTGGAGAACACGAGGTTACCCCGTGGTGAAGTGAAGAGCATGGATAGTGGCAAGACAGGGCGTTCAGCTTTAGACTCGACCCAGATGAGCATTGTACCTGCAATGCACGATACGACCAGCGAGATTATAACAAAGGGATGCAACCACGCAAGTACATTACCTCCAAGATTCAGCCCCAAGATCATGGATGCCACGGTCGTCGTCAGCAGGAAAGAGCCAGCCAGGTCGAAACTCTTAATGTGCTGACCGACAGTCTTGTTGGAGTGCTTTGCAAGATGCGGCCCGAGCGAACTGGGCATGGTGAAGCAGGCGGCCACAAGGATCAAAATCTGTGAGGGGATCTGTACGCCAAACATCCAGCGCCATCCCAGCGTGTCGCAGAGATACCCGCCGAATGCAGCACCGCACGCTAGGCCGCAACCATAGAATAGGTTGATATACGCTTGGTAGGTACCCCTGATCTCGAGAGGCACCAAGTCGTTAGACAAGATGGAACCCATTGACAGCACACCACCGGCGCCGAGGCCACAGAAAGCGCGGGCGGCGATGAAAGAGCCGATAGACTGGGCCAGACCACACCAGGCCGTTGTCACCATGAACATTACAAGCGAGAAGAGATAGACAGGTCGTCGGCCAATGGTATCGGAGACGCGAGCCAGGAGCGGTTGAAAGGCGGTCGACGTCAGCATGAATACCGTCGATAGCCAGGAAGCCGAGTTCGAGGAGTGGAAGTATGATGTTATAACCGGGTGACTGGAGGCCATAATGGTGGAGTCGAAAGAGGCGACCTGGTAAGTCTTAGCGGACACACATTTTCAAATGATAAGGCCGTTAGAGGTCATGTCAACGGAAATACCGGCTACAGACACTTCCTGCGTCACAGTAGCCGTGGCACAATCCATCGAAAGATACGGATGAACACGTAGGCTTGGTTGCACAAGACGATTCTCTTGTGTACACAGCCTGACAATCGAGGGAGAGGAAAAGAAAGAGAAAGAGAGGGAAAGAGAGACCCGTACTGTTGAGATGCAAACCGGCTTGTCTTCATGTATTTTTCTTTAAAAAACAAACCCCCAATCTTCTCATCAACCTCATAAAAAGCAACAACGAAGGAAAAGAGGAATTATAACAACTCACAAAGTACTGCAGCAAGACACCGCCATATATCAGCCAAAATCTCGTCACGCTAACGCCATTCAGGTAAGGTGATTTAGAACGAGTATCCTCTTCTTCCTCCGCCAGAGCAGGGAACGATTGAGCGCCTGGGCTCAAACCAGTCCCATAATCAGACGGGTGACTGTTGACTCTCGGTAGGCCTTCGTCTCGATTGCAATCCTCGGCGTCGTCAGCGGTCTGAAGGACTGACGATGATTGATTGCTGATGAGTGGTGTCCGCTCGTCCGGCCGATAGTCTGCCATTGCGTGCTGTTGAGGCAGAGGGAGACACTTGGTTGTTTGAGGAACAAGGGGTGGGAACTGCCAGCAGCCACTGCGGGGTAAAATTAAATATCAACCGCTATTGTTGGACACCAAAAAGAAAAAAAAGAAAAAAAAAGAAAAGAAAAAAAATATGAGGGCTTGCCAGGCCGGAAGACGGTTACAACCGGATGACAGGAGACGGGTTTTTGCCTGTGCTTTAGGAGAAGACGCCGCCAGCGCTTCCGGGAGTCGCGAGCTTGCAGGGAGCCTGGCTGTGTGTGGCTTTGTTCGGCGTGGTGGCGGAAAGTGAAAGTACTGTGCTGACTCCTTTCACGTACGTACATAAGTGTTTTTCCTGTGACACCTGAGGCCATCAACTGTTGTGACTGTGCGATGGTCAAAGGGCGCGATCCGCGATCAATGGCGGGTGGAACGTCGCGCTATGCCACACGGGGAAAGAGCGATCAGACCGACCAGTCACGTCATGGCCGGCTTCGGAGGGTGGGTCTGGAGTGAATGAGATAAGCATCGGTGGCCAACGCAGCCCTACGAATCCCAGAGTGTCTATTTGAGGATGACCATGACCATATCTTTGTCAGGATCCCATATCGCTACGCCGTGCAAATGAGACCGCCGTTCAGGATAGCTGTGCTCGAGTGCGACACTCCGCTCGACGAGGTCGTGAAAGAATATGGCCGCTATGGCGAGATTTTTGAAAAGCTCCTGAAGCAGGGGGCGGACGAGCTGGGCCAGCCGGACGTCGCTTCCTCAAAGGACATTCAGGTGACCAAATGGGACGTTGTCGAAAAGGAGGACGAGTACCCGGAGTTAGATAATGTTGACGCCGTCCTTCTTACCGGCTCCAGTAAGTAGCAATGCATGGTTGTCGTTGAGAGCAGCATATCTGATAAGAGGCGCCCAGAACATAACTCTTTTGACGACAAGTCTTGGATCCTGAAGCTTGTCGAGTTTACCAGAAAGGTGCTTGCACAGGACCGTGTGCGCTTGATAGGCGTCTGTTTCGGGCACCAGATCATCGGGCGTGCGATGGACGTCAAGGTGGGCAGAAGCGACCTTGGATGGGAGCTTGCAGTCCTGCCGATGGAGTTGACGGGAAAGGGCAAGGAGATATTTAAGCAAGGCACACTCGTACGTCAAACGCTGGTCACCACCCCTTGGCTGCATCGAGCGCCCACTCACCAAGCCTGGCATAGAACTACCACCAGATGCACCGCGACATAGTGTACGAGCTGCCTCAAGGAGTTGAGTTGCTGGGTCACTCGACGTTGTGCAACGTGCAGAGCATGTACGCCAAGGGTCGGCTCATCACGGTGCAGGGCCACCCCGAGTTCAACGAGAGGATCATGACAGTCCTCTTGTCGGCTCGACACGACCAGGGCATTTTTGATGACGAGCTGTACGAGAAGTCGATGAGGCGGGCTGGGAGTGCGCATGATGGGCTTGTGATTACGCAGGCGTTTGTGCGCTTCCTGTTGGAGGATTAGTGGCAGGCCCGTTATAGACGCCCGTTCCAAGTTTTATTTTTTTTCTTAGATAGATTGTCAATAGAGGCATTTTTCTTCGCTGGCGACGTCGCTCGTGGCCGTTGCAGATCAATCGTTTCAAGTGGAGGCGATGATATCACTCGGAGTGGGCGCCGTTTCGAGGGCTTGCGGGTGGCTGCACGCTGCGTGCTGAAGGCGAGTGGCCAGCCTTCACGGACGAACAAGCTCCTCGCAGTTAGCGTGCCGCGTAAGTGGCCAGGGCGGGCAGGAACAACCATAATCTTCACCCTTATCACCGCTCTCCACACTCGTCTCTCCACTCTCCACTGCTACTCTCCCTGTGCGCTTGTTGCTTGCAACCTTGTAATAATCCCCTCGAGTCGCTCGCTGTCTCACCTTGCGCCTGGTGCCATGTCCATTCGCTCCACCTAATCCTCACCATTCCCCGCCTCTCGTTCTTTCGTATAGTACCTACGCCATTCCCGCAACGCGCAACCTGCTGCAAATGGGCAAATGTACGTCCTCCCGTCCGCCCGACATGCTTCAACTGCCTCTAACCACCTGCTCGCAGACAGATATGGCGTTATCCTCGATGCTGGGTCATCGGTGAGCCTTGCGCATTGCGACAGCTGAGGCTGCGTCGACTGACACCACCTCGTACAGGGGACCCGTGTGTACACCTATCGCTGGCTTAACCCCGCGAGAGCCCGCGCAGATGCCGACGAGGAAGACTTGCATTCTCTCCCCAAGTTGAAGACGAAGAAGGACTGGACGCACAAGATTCACCCAGGTATGTGGTATTCTCGCCTTGCGGACACATTGCATGCTAACGCCCCGGCGTACGTTAGGTGTGTCGACCTTTGGCAAGACCCCCGAACGCGTCGGTCCGGACCACCTTCAACAGCTGCTCGATCATGCGCTCGACGTCGTGCCCCCGGAGGAGGTTGAGAATACGCCTATATTCCTTCTCGCGACAGCCGGTATGCGACTGCTTCCCGCAAACGAACGAAGTGCGCTTCTCGATCAGATATGCACGTACGCGAGGCAAAACACGAAGTTTCAGTTGCCCGACTGCGATTTACATATTCAGGTTATTCCAGGAGAGACTGAGGGCTTGTACGGATGGATTGCTGCAAATTACCTGCTTGGCGCCTTTGATAAAGCAGACGAGCACCAACATGGAAAAGGCCACCACACGTATGGATTTCTGGACATGGGCGGAGCTTCGGCACAGATCGCATTTGCGCCGAATGCGACGGAGGCTGAGAGGCATGCCAATGACTTGAAGCTGCTGCGCCTGAGGACGATAGGTGGCTCGCAGCTGGAGTACAAAGTTTTTACGACCACCTGGCTGGGGTTTGGTGTCAACGAGGCCAGGAGAAGATACGTGGAGGCATTGCTGGAGGCCTCGCCCGATGTGAAAGAACTACCGGACCCTTGCTTGCCCCACGGCCTTGAAGTCACGACACAAGGAAAGCCAATCGAGGACGGGTCGGACGAGAGCAAGGATCTTGTGCCACACTTGGCTGGTACTGGCAAGTTCACGGAATGCCTGAGCAGGACCTTTCCGCTCCTCGATAAGGATGCGCCCTGCCTCGACGCGCCTTGCTTGCTCAACGGGATGCACGTGCCGGCGATTGACTTTGACGTCAACCACTTTGTTGGGGTTTCAGAATACTGGCACACCACGCATGAGATATTCGAAATGGGCCACAAGGACAAAGCGTACGATTTCAAAACGTATCAAGAAAGAGTTAGCAACTTTTGCAGTCAACCTTGGGACAAGATTGTCGAAGGTGTCAACAACAAGGCATGGGGAAAGAAGGTGGATGAGGCCAAGGCGTTTGAGGTTTGCTTCAAAGCATCTTGGATCATCAACGTTCTGCACGACGGCATCGGCGTCCCAAGAAAAGGCCTTGAAGACATGAAGAGCGGACACAATGGTACCAAGGCAGTGCTGGACAATGCCAAGGAAAAAGGCTATCTCGACCCCTTCCAGGCCATCAACAAGATCGACGATACCGAAGTTAGCTGGACCCTTGGCCGGATGGTACTGTATGCTTCCTCTCAGGTCAACTCGGAGCCCGAAGCACTTGCCGTCGGTTTTGGCAGCAACCAACCCGGCATACCATCCGACTTCCAGTATGCAGGCGGCAAGTACACGGCTCTGCCCGACGATCTGGACGACGACGACTGGCATGACGTTTTGTTCACTGATTCGCCGCGCCGTATTCCTGGATTCCTCCTATTCTTCCTTATCATCTTGGTGGCAATGTACTTCCTCTGTGGCCGCGATCGGCGCTCCTCCATCTCACGCAAGACCCGCCACTTCTTCCACATTGGCTCTCCCGCAACGAAGAAGCGCCCCAGTGGTGGTGCCGGTCTTGGACTAGGCGGCAAGCTTTTCGGCGGCAACACCAGCCCAACCTACGAGCGTGTACTTGAAGGAGGAGATTTTGAGCTTCAAGAGTCCGCGGGTGATGCTGACCCGTATCACTCGGATTCGAGCGACAACAGCAACTCCAAAGTCGGTCGCACGTCCGGCTGGGCAACGCCACAGCTCAAGCCCCACAACGGTATCAGCCTCGATCTTGGTCCTGGCTATTTTGACAATGCTGCCGGGCAAGGAGTCGGACTGGGCCTGGGACCGTCTTTTGCGGGCCGCGGAGCAATGATCAGCAATCCCATGGACCGGGGTGGACTGATGGCCAGGAATGAGTCGCGAGAGCGGCTGAGCGCCATGGTGGGGATACCGCGCGCTAGGAGCCGGAACGGCAGCCCCACGAGGGGAAAGAGTCCGCTCATGACTCCGTTCAAGGAGTCTGTTGACTGATGCAGTAATTGGATGGACGAGTAATGTGGTATTGACGCTAACGCAAGGAGGATTCTCTCTTTGTTTCTTTTCTATAGGCGCACTCAAGGAAAGGGTTTGGATGCGATTCGCTCCGCTTTCGTTGGGGCTGCGAGGCGTTACGTCTGGGCTCGAGGGTGCTTTGTTGTTGCAAGCAATGGCATTATCGATAAAAAGCATGGGCGCTGCTGCTAACCACTGCTGCGATGGGAGGAGCTTCTTCCTTCTGTCTCGCTTGTGGTGTTGTTTGCTGCTCCCTTTCTCTTTCCGCTATTTTCGCTTCTTTGCTTGACTATCGCTGGCACCTGCTTTGGGGGCTCGGCGTCGAGCTGCTTTCTTTATAGATGTAGGAATTTTTTATTAGTTGCTGAGAGTAGGCAGGCAGGCAGGCACATACGCGCGTGGAGAGGCGTGGCTGCCTACCTAGGTATTTAATGACAAGCTATGTGTACTGAAATGATTTGAGTGGAAGTTTGGTGTTTGCATGAAGTGAGAATTTACATCAACTCGGCCGCGCTACCTACCTACCTAGGCACCTACCCGGAACCCAACGCCGGCAACCGTCGTCGCCAAGCCAAGCCGCGGGAGCGCTGCCCGTACACACGCCGGTAAACAACCATTCCACCACCTCCAGCTACCTACCACCACCCAGCGCGAGCTCCCACCTCATCCGCATACGCTCACGGGTCGCACACACACACACAAACACACAAGCACACACGAACCTACATACACGCACACGCGCGCGCGCACCGAACTTCAAGCCGAATTGAACGACAAGAGCGAGCATACACACATACATACGCGCACGCACGCACGCACGCACACTCCGCAGCAATGGCAGCGCACCGCGAGTTGTCGTATTTTGACCAGCAGCGCGAGCTGCTGCTGGGGGATATAGGCCAGGTGAGTCTGCGGGTGTGGGCTTGCTTTGCGCGCGCGGGCTAGGGTGAAGAGCGTGGTTGTGAGGGATAGGGTGCTGTAGGGGTTGTCCTCTGGGCGCTCTCTGAGGATGGTTTGGATTGGAGTGGGCTTAGGATTGGGCTGGGGCTTTTGTTTGCGCCCTCGTTCTGCGCCCTCGTTCTGCGGCCCCGCGCCCGCCGGTCCCTGGGGCAGAGTTATGTGGAAGATACAAGAGCAAGAAGCTAACGTACGCGCGCGCATAGAGTCTCGAAAACGTCCTCCAGAATATCAACAAGCTGAACCGTAGCCTCGAGGGCGTTATTGCGGTAAGCCCGTTTCCTTCCATACTCCTTCTCCGCCCGCACCGCCATCAGCATCGCCATCCCACAAGACAGCAAGCACCGCCACCATCACCATAGCCATCACCCGAGTCAAACCCCCCTCTTGCCTCCTCCACACAAACACGCACACATGACACACAAATGATGAGCACCACGGACCACTGCCCCCCAAAAAAAAAGTTGTGGAGAAGCGCGCGCACGCCCACTTGGCTCCCCCAGCACGCAGCACCTGCCAGGCATCAGCAAAGGCCACCACAGAAGGCCAAAGCAGAGCCGAAGGGTGAGGCGAGCGAAAACGCAAACGAGGCTGTGCGCGCAGTGCGTGCGGCGTGCGCTCGCTGTGCCCCCCCACCCCCTCCGTCTAGACAGACGGCTTGTCCCCACAGCAGGCGCGCATCACGCCGCCGCATCCGTCACCGCCCCCACGCCTGCGCCTAACCCGCCCCACGCACACCGGTTCCCGCCCGGCTTGGCTGGCGCCAGGTCAGGCTGCGGGCCGGGACGCCAGGCGCGCAAGCGCGTGCCTTGCTGCCTATAGTACCTTGGTAGCTAGGGGGAGGAGGGGGCAGGTGAGCAGGCTGGCTGGCAAGCAAGCAAGCAAGCAAGCGCTCGGCAGACAAGGCAGGCAGGCAGGCTCCAGCCGCGCCGTCGTCGTCGTCGTCGTCGTCGGCGACGCCGATGGCGGAACAGCCGGATCTCAGCCTCACTCGCTCGCTCGCGCGCTCTCTCCTTCCCGCTCTCCCCACCCCACTCCACCCCCCACACGCACGCCCCACCAGCACCAGCACCAGCACCAGCACCGCACCCCTGTCCACAAGGCCAGCCATGCAAAACCAAGGCAACGCAACGCAAGGCCAAAATAAGGCCAATCCCAAAACAAAAAAACAAGGCGCGCAAGCAAGGCTGACTTGTCCGCGTCCAAACAGGTCGGCAACGAGTTCGGCTCCGTCGAGGCGCTGTGGTCGCAGTTCGAGGGCGTCATGGCGCGCGACGCTGCTGCTGGAGGCGCCGCTGCTGCGGCCGGAGGCGCGAAACAGCGGGATGATGAGGGAGAGGGCGAGGGCGAGGGCGAGGGCGAGATGACTGTGGCGGGGGAGGAGGGGGGGGATGGTGCTGGTGTTGCGGAGGGTGAGCGCGCTGCGTAGACTTGTTTGTTTGGTTGGGTCTGCGTTTGTGTGAGGGCTGAGTGGGCGGGAGTAAGCAAGCAGGCGGAGTGGAGGGGAGTGTTTGCCTTGTCTTGTCTTGTATGTGACGGGATGGGGAGTGTGCGGGGTGCGTCGAGTGTGGAGTGGTGGTGGTGGTGGCGTCGTAGCATGCATGGCTTTTCTACATATATACATACGGATTCAAATGATACCCAGCGGCAGCCGTTCACTTTTCCGACGCCCACCACATGCGCGGTTTCTGACCTTGATCTTTTGCATAAGTACCTAGGTACGTATGTATATGTGTTTTTCTGTTTCTTTCGCAGCAACGTCCGCGTGGGTAGTTGGTTGGTGAGTTGGTGAGTTGGTGAGTTTGAATTGGCATTTTCTTCAGTCATTCTTCTCCAGCGAAACACGACACGGGGAAATAAGTAAAAGTGAAAAAAAAAAAAAAAATGAAAAAAAAAGGGGGGGGGGCGGGATGGCGGCTGCTATAGCTAGCTATACTACTACTATACGTTGCGCCCGCGCCCTCGGCGACAAGGGAATTACAAAATCGGAAACCGGGTGCCGGGGGGAATGATGGTGGTGGGTTATGAGAGCCGTTAATAAAAGCATGATTGCAGACGCGTCCGTCCATCCATCGTAGTCGCATCACTGAACCCCACTCCACTCCGCTCCGCTCCGCTTCGCTGCGTGCTTCCTCCTCCAAGCCAAGAGAGTAAATCGAGGACGGGGAATGGGCATGGCATGGCATAAGGGGGGATAAAGAAAAAGAGAAGATGACAAACGCCGTGATGTATGCCCTTAATATCGAGAGAGGAAAGAAAAAAAAGAGGAAAAAAGAGAACCCCGTAATTATGCAATGCCCCGCTAGCAAGGAGAAAAAGAGAAGGAAAAAAAGAAAAACAGAAAAATAGAGGAGAAAAATGCTTTCTTCCTCTGGGTGAGAATATGCGTGGGAGGCCTCGAGGGGGGGTTTTGTGAGGCTCGCTCTCGCTCGCTCGCCAAGAAAATTTAGGCCCCTGCGTTCTTCCGTCTCGTCGTTCGTTTCTTGATGCGTCGTCGTCCGTCGTCGTTGTTGGTGTTGTTTGTTGTCGTTTGTTCCCGATGGCACCCCGCCCAGCGTTCGTCATCGGTCGTATAGATCCCATACAGTCGTCTTTGCTGGCGGCGCGCATTTGTCGCGAGAGAGAGAAAGAGAGAGAGAGGTGTAGTCGTCGGGGTGGAGGGGGGAGGAGCTCGGCAGATTTACAGAATCTTACACCTGCTCTTCCTGGGGCGCTTGCCGCCAAAAGCCGGGGGGCCAGAGACGGAAGAGCGGTTGCCGGCGCCGCCGCCGGTGGTGGCGGGTTTCCACTCGTCGCCGACAGCCATGATGACGGCCGAGTCGAAGATGTCGTCGACGCCGTCCATCTCCTTGCTGCTGCACTCCATGTAGGCGGCGCCCATTTTGTCGGCGACGGAGCGGCCCTGGTCCGGCGTTACGGGCGTCAGGCCCTGCGTCTTCAGCAGGTCAATGCACGTCTTCTTGTGGCGCAGGTCCGACTTCAGGCCCAGCAGGATGATGGGCGTCGTCGGGCAGAAGTGCAACACCTCGGGGTACCACTGCGAAAAGCGCGCGCGTGTCAGCGTCTGTGCGCGCGTCTGTGCGGGCCCATCGAGAGTCTCCCTCTTATCTTGCTTACCTTGTCCATGACGTTTTCGAGCGAGTTGGGACAGTCGATGGCGAAGCACACGAAGAGCAGGTCCGTTTCGGGGTACGATAGTGGTCGCAGCCGGTCGTACTCTTCCTGGCCCGCCGTGTCCCACAACGCCAGCTCGACCATCTTGCCGGTCGGCGGGTGCGGCGTGTGCGTAATGTAGTTTTCGAATACGGTGGGCACATATTTCTGTAGCGACGTGTCAGGCGACGCGCACTTTTTTTTTTCTTGTTTTTGGATTTTTCTCCTCTCTCTTGCTCTTTTGCTTTTGCCCTTCTTTTTTTTTTTTTTTTTTTTAAAAAAAAAAAAAAAAAGAAAAGAAAAAAATTGCGACTCACCTCGGGGAAGTAGCCTTGGCTGTAGCTAATTAAAAGGCATGTCTTTCCGCAGCCGCCATCGCCGACAACGACGAGCTTCTTGGAGTAGGCGGGCGGCTCGGTGATGTTGGTGCCGGCGCTCATCTGGGTGCGGTGGGAGAACTGGGAGCTGACGGTGCCGTTGCTATGGCGCTCTTGGTGTCTGCGCGAGTTGGAGGCCGAGTAGTACGAGGGAGATTTGCCAGAGGATTCTTTGCGGCGCAGATAGTCGTAGTTTTGAGAGGAGGCGGCCGGAGCAGCCATGGCAGGGTGGTGATGCGGTGTAAAGTAGGTGGGCGCGATGGATCGGAGACGTTGACGTGTTTCTTAGCGTGGCTAGGCGGCTCGGGTATCAATATAGACGGTCGAAAAGGGAGCGCGTCTTGACGAACATGCGGCGGGCGATCGGGACAATATGTACCATGGGCACGGGGGACGCGCGCGTTGGCCCTGGTAGCCCCAATCAATCACGATCGTTGACCGGGCGACTCGGAGCAGCTGCAGACCAGGGCGCGTCCGTCATCACGCTTCAGCTTCAGCCACACTCGCGTTTCCAAGGCGGTACAGCCCGCAAGCAGCCCCACTCGCATCACCGCCAGTCTGAGTCGCTGTCATCCTCCCCTTCTCCCCCAAATAATCTCCCCCACGATGGCTGAGCAGCGCTTTGATGCTGGCGTGCGCAACCACGACCACTGTGCGTGCGCTTCTTTCTTTTTCAACTACTCTCTTGCTGCTGCCGGCTAATACGCCCCCAGACCAGAGCAAGCTGCCGCCATGGCGCTACAAGCTGAGAAACTTCCTCATCCCCATTGTGCGCTGGGAGACGCCCTACCTGGCCTACATGCAGCATGCCCTGCGCTCTCCCGCCCTCGACTCGTACTTCGCCTTTACCGCTAACCTCGGCACCCACACCTTCTTCATGATCATGCTGCCCATCCTCTTCTGGTGCGGCTACACCAACCTGGGCAAAGCGTAGGTTGCTTCTTCTCGCCGCGACTCAACTCGCGAGCCGCCGCTGACGACGGTTCAAGAATGGTCCATGTCCTGGCCTCTGGCGTCTTCTGGAGCGGCTTCGTCAAGGACATGCTGTGCCTTCCGCGCCCGCTGTCCCCGCCGCTCCAGCGCATCACCATGTCCGGCTCCGCCGCGCTCGAGTACGGCTTCCCGTCGACCCACTCGACCAACGCCGTGTCCGTCGCCATCTATGCCATCTGGCTGCTGCGTGCCACCGACGAGGCCCACGTGCTCCTCCAAACCCTCTTTTACTGCTATACCGTGTCCATTATCTTTGGCCGCCTGTACTGTGGCATGCACGGCTTCTTCGATGTCGTTATCGGTACCATCATCGGTGCTCTGCTGGCAGCCATTGAACTGGCCTTTGGCAATGCCTTTGACCACTGGGTCTGCAGTGAGAGCTGGACCAATCCGCTCATTGTCACGCTTGTAATTCTTGTCCTGGTCCGCATCCACCCTGAGCCCGCCGACGATTGTCCGTGTTTTGATGACAGTGTTGCCTTTGCCGGTGTCGTTATCGGCTGCGAGATTGGTGTCTGGCACTATGCCAAAAGCTCGTACGCCTTGGATGACCCCATTCCCGGGACCGTTCCCTTTGACCTTTACAAAATAGGCTGGCTTAAAGCGACCTTGCGTATCTTCCTCGGCGTACTGATCATTTTTGCATGGCGAGGTCTAATGAAGCCAATATTGCTCAAGCTTCTCCCGCCCGTCTTCCGTGTTCTAGAGCGTCTGCGCATGAGCCTCCCTCGAAAGTTCTTCCTCGCGGCGTCGTAAGTCTGATTCCATAACCGCTTAGGGGTATCAATAACACTAATATTGCCGGTTCCAGTCAATACTCCACTATTCCTAGGCTCCGCGATGATGACCACGTCATCCCCTCCGCATCCGAAATCCCCTCGATGCTCACGAACCTCTCGCACCCCCGCAAGCGCGCCGTCTCCGTCGGCCCGCAGAGCATGGCCGATGCCTACGAGACCCTTGCGTACCGCCACAAGCGGCGACGCGAAAGCTCAAACACGCCCGGCGCCGAGCGGCCTAAGAGTCCTCTCAGGAGGAGCGAAAAGGAGCCCAGCCCTGGAGGTTACTTTACCGTTCAGCCGGAGGCCAACTCGACGTCGAGCAGCAATCTGGGCACGCCTGCCGGCGTCAACCTCCTGCCGACGCCGATGAGCAGCCGTGTGCACTCGTACGAGCAGATGATGGGCAGTGGCACTGCGATGGCACGTCCGCCCACGCCGCCGTCGAGCGATCGGGGCGGGAATGGCGAGCAGGTGTTGCTGGAATGGGAGGAAAAGACAGAGGTGGGTGACAAAGAGGAGGAAAAGGAGGACCGGGAGATCTTTTTAAAGCTGGAGAGGCCGAGAGTAAGATATGATGTGGAAGTGGTGACGAAACTGATTGTTTATTCGGGTAAGTTCCATATCGGCCGCGGGCCATCAGTGTGCGAGAAGATTAAGTCCATTTGCTCATACGTACACAGGTATCGCTTGGTGGGCGGTCGAAGGTAATCCCATTCTGTTCGAGCTCTGTGGCTTGAGCATATAGCAAGAGGCGTTACTGTACCAGGGCGTGGGGGGGGCAAAGGCGCAAGGTGTAGATGATTTTTTGCATAGGGGAAAAGTTCCGCCCGTTGAGGCGACAGTACTTAATTGCGCAAGGACATAGTTTCGAGGGGGACGACGATAGACTTAGGACCACGGCCATTGAAAAAAACGTTTCAGCCATGTTTACGAATGTAGCGGGTGGGTAGATGGCTTGGAAGCTTGCTGAACACCACGACCACCGGTGGCCAGCCGGAAAGAGATATGATACGGACCAATCGACGTTATTACAAGCTGCACAGGGATGCGATGGCGTAGTTGGTGGCTGGGCTCCTTCGTCTCTCAGGCAACTTTCATCTCTTTCCTTTTGCGCTAATTGCTGACTGCAGGGCTTGGCCTGGCGAGCCATGCAGGTCCGGATTGGCATCACGACCACCACGACCAGTGCCAGTGCCGTGGCGTCCTTCAACACTAGGCAGGCCGAACCAGGCAAATTCGCCTTTACATATACGCCCTACTCTACCTACCCTACCCTACTACCTAACTATATACCCACGCCTCTAAGCTAGCGTAAAAGACCGCATAACCAGCACCGCGCTTGCGCACAACAGCGCACAGCCACCATGCAACAACGGCGAGCGCACAGGATGCAGGATACGAGGCGGGCGCGTCCAAGTTTTCCGCCTTCCTTTTCCGGACAGAGCTGATACAGGGGCGTTAGCTTAGTAACGGTCTTGTGTAAAACCTGCACAAGTAGGCCTTGATTAGGGCATAGAGCCCCCGTTTTTAGGCTCTCTAGGCTTAGAAAGGGCACAAAGAGACGCTGACGCACGGTAAAGCAGAGGCGCGTTGCTGAGGCTGCGTACAGTACCCTGCATCTGGCTATTCCTAAACAGGAAGGCGCGAAACTTGAACGAGCCGGGCTTCCGCTGCTGCAGGCACGGTGGTACCTGGTGGCCTTGTGCGATGGGCGGGGCTTGGCGGCGCGTAGCGGAGTATATAAACGGGTGCGTGGGTGGCGTGCGGGCGGGGAGGGTGCATTTGCGCTTGTGTTTGCGTTTGCGGTTGTGTATCTGGAAACGATATGCGGCTTTTTGAGAGAAATGGTTTCTGGGTTTGGGCGGGCTGCGTGGTGGGAGTTGTGAGAGCGAGGTCGGATGGTGCGTTTTGGTACGGGGTTTAAGGTTGAGAGGTGATGTGCTGACGGGTTGTAGGTTTTTCGAATGGGACTCTCCCGAGCAGCTCGAATGGCTTCGTCACTTCTTCTCGGCTGCCTCAGAACGCGTCCACTACTGCTACGGACGGCTCTAGCTGGGCATCGGTGCTCAGCTGCTATGAGACTTGGACGTCCTACTTGGACGCTTCGTACTCTTATGAACATAACAAGGATCTATGGAAGACTTCGTACCAAGTAACAACCGGAATCACGACAACTACCTCAACGGAGACTATTACACTGAATTTTACCGGCCCTTACATCACTCTTTGCGATGGTATTCCCCGCGGTGGTAAGAGAGAGACTGTTTATTCGACACACTCTGGAACTAGTAGCTTCAGCCGTACACGGACATCCACTGTTCAGCCAACCTACACCAAGGACCCACCCTCTTGCAGCTTCAGGCGTGAAGACTGCTCTAGCCTCGATGATGTAAACGAATCCTGGTTATCTACGGCTACAAAAATTGCTGCGAATCACATGCCGCCTATGTGTTCTTCGTTGACGTACACCAGCTGCCAACCATGCTCGCTCTACGGCGCCGACCTGGTGCAGTTGTATTACTGGCCCGTGACGGGAGACGCACAAACGCTGTGTCCCAACGGCACGACGGCGCACAAAGCCAACGCGATGATCACGGCGCAGCCGCGAGCGCGAGCAGCCGAGCCCGTGACAACGACAATCGGCAGCCTGACGTTCGTCTCGCCGTCCGTGTACCTCTACTTCACCGGGCTCAACGCGCTCGGCCTCAGCGGCGAGCACTGCGGCACCGTCGCGCCAAACCGCACCGCGCTGCTCGCACTCCCCCCCTCAGACCTCTCGACCCAGCACGGCTACAAAGGCGCCGCCGGCCCCACCTCCTTCAACCTCGACAACCTGGCCTACACGACCGTCGGCGACTTCGCCTACCCCCTCGTCCCCTCCAGCGCGTACTGGTACCCCAACTCGTGCTGCGGCGACTCGCCCCAGGGCACCGACTGCCCCTTTGCCGTCTCCACCTGCGCCTCCAGCACCATCTACGACAACTACCGCCCCAAAATCGCGTTTCCCTCGCAGATCACCGACATCGAGCCCTCGTGGGCCACCTGCACCCCGTTCTGGGACTTTGAGGGCTCGATTGACCCGCCTATTGCTCTCAAGCCTGCTAATGGTCTCTTCGGCACTACGACTAGGGGCAAGCAGGGCCAGGCGGTTGAGACGACGCCCGCTTCGCCGAGCTCGCCCCTCGACCCCCCGTTTGCTTCGAAGACGGCGGCGCCCGCCGTCCCTGTGTCTGACCCTTTGACGCGGACGGGGATGGCGACGGCGACGGCGCTGCCTCCTCCGTCTGCCACTTCTGACCCCCCAATCGCAGATCCTACTACAGCTGCACCTGGTTCTGATGCCGAGGATCCGGGGGAGGGTCAGCCCGCCGTGCCGCAGACGACGGAGGCGGCGACGGCAACGGCAACGGCGACGGCGGCGCCTGCTGATCCGGGGACTGGGGCTTTTCAGCTCGATCCGACTGGTGGCGCTTCGTCCCCTGATGCCGCTGTGGGAGAACACACACAGCCCGCCACAGCACCCAGCAGCGCAGAAGACAGCGCCGGAACCGCTCCCCAAGCCGCTGATCCCCCAAACACAGCCAAAGACGAAGACCCCGCTGCCGTCATCGGCGACGCTCGCACAGGCATAGCACCTACAGCCACAGCCGTAGAGCAGCTTCCCGGCGCCGCTCCCGCCACAGACAAAGACACAAACACAGACAGCGCGACCACCGCCCTCCCCCTCCCCACCAACAACCCCGCTCCCGCTCCCAACCCCCCCTCCGCCACCGCAATCACCACAATCGCAATCGCAGGCCAAGGCCAAAGCCAAGCCCGCACCTTCACCCTCGCCCCCGCAGGCGCAGGCATCATAGTATCGGGCTCCACGCGCGCGTACTCCGCGCTCGACGCCCCGCCCGCTCCCGCGCCAGCAGTGTCAGTGCCAGTGTCCGCCGCGCACGCCGCCACTGCCATAGTTGCTGCTCCCGCTCCCGACCCCGCCGACGCCAAGGCCAATGCCAACGCCAACGCTCCCGCCGCCGATGGCGCCGGCGCCCCAGCCGCCCTCATCCTCCCACCCGCCGCGACGCTAAGCCCCGGCGGCGCAGCGGCCACAGTCGCTGGGCGGATCGTCAGTCTGCGCGAGGAGGGCGTTGTGCTCGATGGGGCGGTGGTGCCGTTCTCGGCCGTAGCATCCGCGGCAGACGCGCCCATGGCTAAGGCAGACGCTACTGCGGATGCTTCAGCTGACGCTGCGGCTGTACCAGGCGTGCCGGCGGCGGAAGCGGGTGCAGGCAGCGCAGTCGTCCTCACGCTGGACGCGTCGCACACGCTGACGGCGCACGCGGGCGCGCCGCTCACGCTTGCTGCTGGCGCACAGCCTGCGACGCTGGTTGGCGGGCAGGCTGGTGGTCTTGGTGCTGCGGGCGTGGTGGTCAATGGGGTGACGCGCGCGTTTGCTGGCTCTGGCACTGCTGCCGGTGGTGGTGCTGCTGCTGGTACTGCTGCTCCTGCTGTTGCTCCTGCTGTTGCTCCTGCTGCTGGCACGGCGCCAGCGCCTGAAGGCGTAGTCCTCACGCTCGATGGGCTGGGCGTCGTCACCGTGACTAAACCTACAGACGCGGACGCAGACGCGACGGCAGCGGCAGCGTCAGCGTCTGCAGCGGCGTCCGTGGTGCTGACCGCGCCGGGCGGGACGAGGATCACGGCGTTTGAACGCGTGGCTGGCGGGTCGGCTGGTGCAACTGGTGGTGCTGGTGCAGCTGTGCTTGCGGATGGGCGCGCGCTCGTGGTGGGCGGGGAGGCTATGACGCTTGCAGGGGCGGGGGCTGGTGCTGGTGCTGGAGATAGGGATGGTAATGGGGATAGAGATGGAGAGGTCGCTGTTGCTGTCAGTGCGGTTGAGGGCGGGGTCGTGGTGCTGGAGGGCGGGAGGGTGGTGGAGACGGGGCTGTTTGCTGCTGCTGTTGGTACTGGCGGCAGTGGTACTGCTGCTGCTTCTGTTGCTGCTGGGAGTAGTGCGGCCGCTGGCGTGGACGCGGCTAAGGCGACGAGTGATGGTGATGTGAGTGTGGCTGTAGCGGCTGCGGCGACAACGGCGACAACAACGGGGTCGGTGGCTTTGTCGCGGACGGCAGGGACGGCAGAGGCGGACGACGAGGGGAGGAGCACGACGGGTGCGCTGGGCTCGGCCTCGGCATCGGCATCGGCAACAACATCGACTTCCGCAAAATCGTCTGAGGGTTCGGCGAAGGAGTCGACGCAGACGGGCGCGGCGGGGGTGGGGAGGCGGAGGGAAGGGACGGGGTTGGTGTTGATGTTGGTGTTGGTGGTGCTGGTGTAATGTGTAGCTTTGTTTAGCGCATGGATGGGTCATGGATGGGATGGGAGGGAGTGTATAATAGTTACTGCATTGTTAACTCGCATGCTGGCTTCCGTGGGTGTGGTGTGTGGTGGTGGATGCTCACTGTGTAGATATTACCTAATACGATACCTATGAACGTATTAATAATGACCGGGAGAATCACATTAGCGGCTAAAGTCAATACATAAGAGAGTCTTAAGTACCTAAGATTCAACGTGTTTTCTAGAAATCGGATATACAGGACAAAACCCAACACGAAGATAATCTAGCCAATGCATAATTGTGAAGAACAGAGGGGATTGGCCGTATAGATATATATATATATATATAAGGCCACGAGAGTATTCTACAGAAATACGAGGATGAGAAAGTGTGAGGGCTTGGGACAAATTGTATACTTTGCAGTGTCAGTGATTAGAGAAGTTAGGAAAGAGTTAACTTGATAGTCAATCCCAAGTAGCTCAGTAGCATTGGAGTGAAGCACTTTTTATGTTTGTAGGTAAGAAGTTTTAGATTAGTGTGCAGCAATTTGTCTGTCGAAGCCATAAATCAAAACTTTTCCAGTCAGAATAACCGTTCGGTCTCCTACTGCGTGTCCAATCTGCCTAGACCAATGCCTATCCAGCTTCCACTCCAGACCTTTGAGAGCTAACGGAGCACCGACTTGCCATGCAATTATGTTTCTCGGGCTGAGGGCTTCGAAAATTCGCACAATTCAGAGATCAATCAGATACCTTCCTCTCGGAGAATCTCAATGAGATCGGTGGCCTTCTCCGACTTTCCTGTAGCCACCCACTTCTCATATCCACGGCCAATGGCACTGTAGACATCGATTAGTTCACCTAACGAAGCCTCCCTATCCTGGGGTGAATTAAAAAGGATATCCTCGAAGATTTCCCTGAAATGAAAGTGTTAGCCTTGCCACAATATTGAAGGTCGCAAGTACAGCTATACCAGAATTTTATATCTCTGTGACTGTCCGATTTCAAAACCCATTTTCCAGTGTTTTTGTCGGGACGGTCAATCCTGGTCCGCCAATCCCACGTGAAGACGATCCTGTCAATGTGTTCCGCTTGGATCCTCTTTTCCAAGCGCTGCAACTGCCAAGTGCGGCGAGGCCCGTATGCTAAGAACCTCTCAATATCGACATCTTTGGGTTTGGTTGTTAAGTCTGCCGAACGTTTGATCACGATTGACAAGATCAGAACTCTTAATTCCGGAAACCGCTTCATAATCACCTGCTCAGCTGTCAGAATTGTATCAAGGGGCGACCAGCGATATCCAGGCGAGGAACCAAAACGTGACACAACGGTGGAGTGAAACTCAAAAATACGGATTCGTGGCCGTTGGTGCGGTGTGAAGTGTGGTATGACCGGATCTGCGAACTCGGCCGCATACCAACGTCCCTTGCGAACCTTTATTTTAATGTTGCCCGCCATCCGAGATATTCTTGAGACTGAATCACTGTACTCTTCTGCCGTCTGCCTATTGACCAGTAGCAAGACACGAGGAGGTCCATAACTCAATGCCCACGTAGTCTTGGGGTGGTATATTGGCTTGTCAAAATATTTTGGAGTGAACCAAAGAACAGTCTCCTCCCAACAAACTCGAATGAGTTGCTCATAGATGTTGTCGCGCAATTCTCTGGGGATACTGAGGAACTTAGATGACTGATCCATTGGGGCATCTTGATCTATGTCTGTCCCGCTCAGAGATGAGCCGGGTTCCATGGCTTCCTTCATAGAGTGAGACATCTTTGAGAGTGTGTTGATCAGACGCGACCATCAAGGGATAGGTGTAGAGACCGGTGACCAGGTGTACTTGGCTCAGGACGGGAGACTTCACTTCCAAGTTGGCACTTGAAAGCCGTCACTCTGTAAAGGCTGCCGGGGACCGTTGTTTCCAGTCCAGCGAAGTGAACTTGGGTCTGAGTTCGTTGATGAGTGAGGATGTAGATGTACTGTATCGGTCCTGGGCAGCACCAAGGCAGAGCAGCCAAGGTTGCCCGGGAAGCAACGGTAGGGGAACAAGAATCGGGCCTCCGACTGAGGTGGTGGAGAAATCGTTGGGTTGTGGAAGAAAGGGTGGAAGAAAGGAAGATGGAGTGGGGGAAGGATGAAATAGGCACCTACTGACAGCCACGTGACGACCTTTGTGGGAGGAAGGCGCGCACAAGAGCTCTTTCTTTCCCTTCACAGCTAGGAAAACCCCGCACTTTGAAGTACATAGTGAAAACATTAGTATATAAGGCCCAGATGCAATTCATTTTGCAAGCCGAACAGCCGTTGGACGTATCTCCTCCCGTTCTTACTAGTTTACCGGTTTACTGGTCTACTGGTTTGAGCTGATAGAGCGGCGCACTCTTGAGCGGGGTACACCTCAACTGCCTGTTCGGTGCTTTTTGCAAGTTCGATTGTTCGATTCCTGGTTAGGCCAATACTTTTTTGTCCATTTTTCTTAAGCTTAATATCTTCCGGCCCTTAACATATAGTGAAGGGATGTACCTGATGGATGTTAGTAGCTTGTATGATGTGTTGCGTGTGTGTACGTGAAAGCGAGGGTGAGGTCGAATTAATTGTTGGGGGCAGTGTCGGCCTGATTGTTGGAACTGTTGTCGTTGGTTCTTGTGGGATAGTTGCAGGCATACTGCAAGTATAACAACATTTACTTCAAAAGAGTATCTCGGAATTATGTAATAGGCTCTTGGATATTGTTTATTGTTTTTGTTCTTCCCTGGAGCGAGCCCATGCGAGCATCAAGTGAAGTCGCGTTGACAGTGTCGAGCCAATTCCGACTGGTGCCCTCTACCCGTGATTTCTGGCAGCCTGGTTACTCTCTTTCTATTATATTATGGGAAAAGACGTTTTCCTAACGCAACAAGATACTTAAACAAGAAAGGCAAACACCCACCTGGAAGGTATCAGGTTTGAACACCACCACGACCATAACACGCAAGCATCACAATATAGAAAATATAGTAGTTCGTGAATTATAGATTCAAGTAGCCTCCGCAGCTTAAGCGCGGGCTTTTAATGTCGTGACGTACATAAAAAATCGTAACAAGTCCCAACCAGCAGGCCTGTCAAAGGACTTTCCAATCCCTAACAGCCTGACATTCCTCTTCATCAAGCACGGGAAGGCACCAGCGCCGTACCCTGTGACAGCTTCATGTCACATGCTCGATCCGGTATTTCCCAGTACGGTCGAAGTCCTTATTTGGGGTTCATGCGCTTGCTCTCAACAGACGCAGGGAGCTGGTCGCCAGTGCCAGAGACGACGCCGCCAGTAGCGCCGTGGTCCAAGCCAAGTGCGGTCGCGTTATCAGCGGCGGAGTGGACGTCGGCCGCGCCGAGCGGGTTGTGCGACGAGTTCTCGGAGGTCTGGTCGGCGCGCGCAACCGAAGGGATGGTGTTCATCTTGCCAGCGTCGCCGGGGACGGTGGTGCCCTTGACGGCCATGTCGGAGAGGTTACCGCCGGTGTGAGCGTCGGAAGACATGTTGTTTGAGGTGGGTGTTTGGAAAGTTGAAATAGTGGAGGTTTAGGAGTTGTTGGTTGTTGTGAAGATGAGGAATCTGAGGTTGAATCGATGCGGACTTGCCATTTTTATGTACTTCCCTCGTCTCTAAGATTCCTCGAGAAAGATCTATCTGATGTCACCTCTTACATCGCCGTTGGAGGTCGTTACGTCATCATGGCATTTTATTATGGCGTTTTATATTGCGGTGCAAGGGTGATGCAATTCTGCCGCCAGGTGTTCAGGGTTGATCGATGCCGCGTTGCTCACCGCCCTGGACCGCGACAAACCGCAGCAGCACGCGCGAGGCGGAAACAACATTCGCTATCAGGGATAAGGACAGCCTGTACCCTTGATCCCAAACCGAATTGCTGCAGCGAAGATCCAGCAACTTAACTCGCGCCACTAGAATCTCACGAAATGCCTCCCCAGGAAGTCGACAAGCGCCAAGCCGCGCGCGAAGTCATCGACATCCTCCACGAGATCGCTACGCTTCTGGTACCTTCCCTTCCCTGGCTCTCGCGCGCAAGAAATCCTGCCTGACGTCCTCTTCTTCTAGAACACCAACCTCAACCGGACCCAGCTGTCCTTCTGCGTGTCTTTGATCGAAAACGGTGTCAATCCCGAGGCTCTAGCCGTGCGTGACCCGCATTTCTTACCCCATCTAACGCTCTAGGCTGATGAGATGGCGAGCAGAACGTCATCAGAGATCTCCGCGACCAGTACCCAGAACCCCTCGAATCTACCCTCTCTGATGACCAGATTGAGGGCCAGCCCTGAGGACTGTCCTCATTATCGCATCCGTGCTTCTTACGCCATGACGTCGCTCAGAACTGTTGTTTTGATAGTAGACGCTTGATATGACATCCTCATCCGGGCAGTCCCTGCTTATGCCTCCTTCTCACGACTTTACGATGCACGGGCATCGCCGACTCAGATGTCAATCGGACTTATGAAAAGAATGCAATGTACTCTTTCTTGCAGGCCGAAAGCAATCCCGAAAAGAGAGGCCCATCTTCATCACACGGGTCCATCAGCCATGGAAAAGGACATGGGCTTCTGTTAATGCATGGCTAAATGAAGACCCTTGAAAGAAGGGTCCGGTACTGTAGCTAGTTTGCTCTAGCTAGTGTACTATACCTCTGGAACATGAAGGCGGTCCTGTATGCCAGCATGTCAGCTATTCTGCAACGGCCTGCCGACATGCAGAAAAGGACATTCTGGCTTGAATTTAGAGTTACTAGATACCCAAGAAATCCAGTCACAGTTCCCTTCCACGGCAGCACGTCAATTAGAACGAACAGCTTGCTTTTCGCTCATGAAGTGCATACAATTATCACAATCATAGTAAGTTATCTCCATTTTGATCGCCGTGTCACAAAAAATCAAGAAATATAAAATCAGTCAACAGTAAGGAGAAAGGAAGAGACCATCCACAAACAGTAATTCCATGACTTTTGAAATATCGTGTTAACTCAAAGGGTAACATCGCTGAACTAAAAGAAAAACAAGAAACAACATGACTTTCCCCTGACATGAAGTCATGGGTATACTTCGAAATCCCAGTATCTTCCCTATCACTCGAGCGTATTACTGTGGAGAGACCGTAATAGCTGCTTGCGTGCTTATGTGTTGAAAGATTTGACTCAACGTTGTGGGCGTTAAGATACTGCAGAGAAGGTGTGTGCGTTACGATGCGTATCAAAGGTGTCGACTCGTAGAGCATCGAGCCGCTGAACGCTTTCGGTTGGCGATATGTATATCGCCGAGCGAAACCGGATAACCTGTGGGCTGCGTCCAAAACGGACTCTCGATTGAGGCCAGAGATCGGAAATCAGTCGAATCAAAACCTACTACCAAGTAGCAATTGTGCCGTGGAGCCATTTTACCACCAGCCGCAAATTTCGAGCATCTCGTCCACAACTCTCTTCACGTCTTTAGCCCGCATCTCGCCTTTAGCCTTCTTCTCCCAAAGACCTTTGACGTGAACCTCCAGAATTTTCTTCAGCGTGACAGCGACCTCCCTCCCGCCAAGGCAGCTCACTATCTCGACTTTCCCATTCTCATATTTCTCACTGAGATCAATACTGTACGTGGTGTAGCTGTATTTTGCCCGAGAGAACTTGCGCTCGAGCTCTAGATCATGGATATGCGGACGAGCCCTTGATTTATAAAATAGGGGACCACGGAGGCTGAGATGCAGAAAACGGAGGGCCTGTACGCTGTAGCGGTCCAGTGATTTAATCCATTTGACAAAGCCGTCATAGAACATCTTGTACTCCGTTTTGATTAACCATGTGTTGGAGCTGTAATAGATTTCCGAGGCCTCGGCACGGATCTGGCGACAGATGCCGGACAGAGGATGGTGTTTGCGCCCATTGAAAACAGACGTACAGTAAACGAGTGGTTGGTCCATTTTGAGGTACGGGATCTCTAGGTAGATCATATGGCGAATCTCGTAGGGGATGGTGAGAAGAGTGGGACCTTGATGGATCGAAACAGGGGTCTTTGAGATCGAGGTTGCCTTCCCGGTGTTTTGTGCGGACTCCTCCGTACAGGATGTGACTCTTGCTCTATTTAAGAGATATCCAAGTCTCTGCACAGGTTCCTTGAGCGCGGAGGCCCCTAGGGGGCTAGCTGTATTCGCAACTGGGGACCGCGAAATTGACTCATTGTTTGAGCGCCTGCCCGCTGTTACAGGTGCGGCTTGGCTGCACTTTATACCGTTTGTCGATACAAAGGCACCTCGGCCGTATTCCAGAAACGTCGGCGTTTCGCTGCAGACAGGCTCTTGAAATGAAGCTCTTGCATAACCAGTAAAGGAAGATTGGCCCACATCACTTGGATCTCGAAAAAGAAGAGAGCTTCCCTGCGTTGCGTGGGGATGCGGAAAAGGGGTATGAAACGCTGGCATGGGTTGGCCATGATTGTTGTGGGCACCTGCACGAACCTGGCTTTGGGGGATAGTCCAGGCACCGGATGTAGGTGGTGTAGTATGGTCAGGCTGGACCGAAGAGTTGGTTCGCAAAACATGTGAGTCCTGCTTATTGCCAGCAGTTTTGACCGGGACAGTACTGTAGACTTCTGGTTAACAAATCACAGATCTGGAGGCAAACAATCACTTTTAAGATCTCACTCAGGATGCGTCATCTCAAACCGCGTTGTGGAGTCGGTGACGAGAGTAGAAGGCGCACGTGATAGCTGAGGGGGTTGTTTGAAATCGGCAGTTTCGGTAATGGCGTTGCTGTGAGCTTTGGTTAGGTAAGGTCCACGGGACAGAACGATGTTGAGCACCTCACCCAGAGTTCGTTGACTGCATATCTTGTGCGAGCCTCAACGAGTAGAGGCGTGAGGCGATAGACTTTACATAGCTACGATAAGGCGCATGGGTAGCTGCAACCTTTTTTTGCTTATTGGTAGTGTTCTTGTCTTGTTTGTCCCTAGGCGGCTTGTTATGTGACGTGTTGGGTTTGCTGTGAGCCATGTTGAAGCCAGTGACGCCTTTATCTGACTAGTGTCACGAGACAATGGACATCAGATGCGAAAAGCCGTGTGGAGGATTTAATGCGCCCGTCAGAAAGGGAATGCTGGGAGTTTGGGCTGTAAGAGCAGCGATGACGCGCCGGTGGTGGTGAGAGGTGGGTTATTGTAGGAAGGTTATTGGAGGAACGTTGGAGAGAACCTAATGTAAAGGGCCGCTAAGCGAGAGACAAGCTTTACCTCTATTCCATCTGCTGCGTTAGGGTTGTGAGTAATTTATGTCGCAGTCATCCACGGTTGGAGTGCGACTAGTTGGTTGGTTGCTCGACGGATTCGGCCACCTTAATGCGGACCTGAGTCTAGCGGGAGCGCCCGTAAGCCGCTATCCGATTTGCTTTGTACATGCCCCTCCGGTATGTCTACCACGAGGATTTTGAGGTCAGCATATGCAGATGCGAGTGGAGTGAGGCTAGACGTGGTCTTGCGGGCGCTTTCCACCCCCGACAGCCTTGACGTGGCGCGCTCTAGCTAAACTCGCCGATCTATCTCCTCAACGCCAACAATAGGGTCGTTTTGGATGGTTGTTAGTAAAAGAGCTGATTATCATTTGCACAGAAATGGAGAGGTCATTTGAGATGGTGAACGGCATTAAAGCCATTATGATTCATGAAGAGCAAAATACATTCCAGAACAGGCATAAAGCCTTCGCTGATCTCATGCAAAGCAAGTGTAGGTGCGCACCGAGGCGCAAAGTCAATAGACCGAAGGGGGCAACGAGTGTGCTCCGGCCCCTAATGTAAGAACCCGGTTCCTGTAAACCCCGACATGCTCTCATCCAGGACGTGCTACATGATATCTTCAAAGAACGGGACGTGTCGCCTGGCCTTCACCTGGAAAATCAGTAAACACGGATGAGAGCCAACGGAAAGTGACCAAAGCAGAGATATTCCCGAGACCGAGATCGCCAATTAAACCTCAAACAAATCTAGTGAACCGCCCCAGAGGTACGCCTGTTCCACGGATTGTTGGTCCTGTTGGTGTTGCCCCAAGCGCCGCTCGGCGAGGACCTCGACGACGCAGCTGCAGACTGCGTCTGCGCAGGCGAACCCGAAGCCTTGCGCGAGCGAGGCTGTGTGCTGCCTGTACCATTCTCGCGTGGAGCAGAATTCCTCTTCTTGTTGTAACCAGAAGACTTGCGACTGGCGTTGCGACGCCTAGCCATGACCTTCGTCTTGAGGACGTTCGATGACGGCATACGAATGTTGATGATGAAGCCCTGCGCATTCTGCTCACAGTCGGCCAAAGTAATGAACATTGGATCGATACTGAAGACATCAGGCGTCTTGTAGAAGCGAGAGCCGGGACGCGAAGTCGGGCCGGGGACAGGAGAAAGACCAGCGTTGTGGTGAGCTTTCTTCGGTAAACAAACAGTAGGGCTTGAGAAAGCTTCGGGCGTGCTCATGAACTCGTCCTCGACGGTCGGCTTGGAGGCGGGGCTGCTATCATAACCAACGATGAAGGTGACGGCAGGTGCCTTGCCAGTGTTCTGCTTAGAAGGCAAGGAGACTGAAGGACTGGCGCGATGCGCGATATGGTCGAGAGGTTCTTTGCTCTCAGGTGCAACAGCCAGTGCCGTAGAGACGGGCTTAGGTGGGGAAGGCATGGTCGGGCGTCCGAGCAGACCGTTGATTCTTTCTTGCCAGCCCGGCTGGGCAACTATCGGTTGAGATCCGAACCGTGGAAAGCCTGGTCTCGCGGGCATCTGTACTGATGGCGGCTGCGACGACACTGGTGGAAGCTTGACAGTAATCTTCTGGGGCAGCTTGACGACTGGGCGACGAACGTCTCCGGCGAAGACGGGGTGGCTGGAGGTTTCTGGAGGCGGTGGTGAGTCGATGGCAACAGAAGCCGAAGTGGTCTGTTGCGCGGACGACTCGACAGCATCTTGCGCGCGTGGGAAGAAACGAGAAGAGCGAGCACTCTGAGGGTGTTGCGAGACAGCCGGTGCGCCTGGCGAAGATTGCGCCTTCTCGGATCCGATCGGTGCGAGCGCAGGTGAAGCCTCACTTGTCGTCGGGGCCCGGTAAGGCTCGCTCAAAGGCAGCGAAGTGGAACGCGAAGTCGCGTCTGTGTGCTGACTGGGAATGGCCGAATCCTGAAGAGTCGCGTCGGCCGGCGTGGATGCAGGCTTCTTGAAGTGATGGACGACGGACTCGGTCTTCAGCACGCGACGCGGACCGAGAGAGCCTTCGATGGCAGTCTGTTTGAATGTTTCCTTGAACGCAGGCAAGTTCTTAGGACCAGTGCTGAACCTCTCCTCTCTGATGCGAGCGAGCTGAGCGTCTTGCTCAGCAATCGAGTTGGCGCTCCAGGCGGAGTGATCAAAGGGCTGCGGTTGACGTCTCGATGGACCAGTGGGAGGAGCGATGGGGCCGGGAGGCATTGCGACCGCGCCGGCAGCCATAGTAGACGAGGGTTGTCCGGGCTGACGGGCGTCAGCGGGCGAGGGAAACGGTGGTGGTTGCTGCTCGACGACTGGAGGTTGCGTTGTGGGATGCGAAGGTGAAGTTGAAAGCTTGGACGTGGTGGATGGCGGGGCAATCGGGCCCGGAGCGGCAGGTCCCTGTGGCTGGACAACCGCGAAGGTGCCGTTGCCAATCGCTCTTTCCCGATTCGGATTGGGAGGGCCCCAAACATTCGAGGCAATGGGGCGCGCGCGCACGTTGCTCCACACTGTGTTCTGTTCCGCCTGCACCGACGACTTCCACGCCGACGGCGTAGCAGATGGCAGCGCTTCAGTCTTATCTTGCGACCGAGCCACGCTCTCAGCTGGCGCAGCTGGCGATCTAGCCGGAGACTTTGGCTTATATTCTGGCGACCGCGCTTCGCGACCGGGCCCGGCTGCGCTGAGATGCGGCTCCGAGACGTGCTTGTCTTCATGCACGGCCGGCTTCCTCACCGGATGCGCTTGATGAACTTTCATCATGCCGTACTGAGCAACCTCGCCATCCGCAGTGGGAACAGGCGGCTTGGGTGGTGACTGCACGCTTTTCGGCGGCTCGGCAGTAGTCGTTGGGGGTGGGCTCGTCGTCTTCTCCGTCTTAGGTGGCGGAGGACCCATAGCTTCCAACTTAAGGCGCAACCGCTCTTTCCTGGCTGCCTCCTCCCTCTCCTCTTCTTCTCTACGCTTTTGCTTCTCTGCCTTTGCACGCTCAATCTTTTCGCGCATCGTCTGCTCCTGTATAGCGACAGCATCCTGCATAGTTATGTTCCCAGCTGCTGCATCATGGACGGACTCTGGAGGAACGGGAGAAGCCGCAGATCCAAATGGCGATGCTGGTTGAGCATGAGTGACAACTGGCGACGATCGTTGGGTCCAAGAGCCTTGATTGGATGCTGCAGGAGATAACGTACGCTCCGGAAAAGGCCCTCGCGGTGGATATCCTGCCTTTGAGGGAATTGGTGGTGGCGGCAAATCGGAAATCACTTGTGAGCCACGGCGGTCCATTGGCGGCATGTCATGGCTTCTGTTGAATGACATCCTCCTGCCGCCGCTAACATTGGACGAAGAGCGACGACGGCTCCAAGGGTCATCGACTGGACCAGTACGAGAAGTCTGGAACGCTGCCGAGGGTTCTGCCGGCCCGGCGTGCTGAGAGGGGCGTTGCAACACTGAAGGCTGTCGAATGTTTTCGCTAGGACGGGAGCCACGACGCGAGTCCTTCACCGGCTCGTATCTGCCAGAGTGTGAATTGAACAGTTCTCTCGGACCTCTGTCGTCCCTCCAAGACCTGTTGAAATCGTCCGCCGCGATCTCCTTGGTTGGCGCTGGCGGAAGTGCATCAAAACCATGTGGATCTCTGTGGCCAAAACGGGCTTGTGGGTGCTGTACAGGCGGATTAATTACCACAGGCGAGACCTTTTCAATTGGCGGAAGAGGGGCCCAAGGTGACTTAACGGGCGTCGGTGCAGACGGCTTAGCAACGAGAGTCGGCTTATCGGGCTGTCCTTTCAGCACGAGACCCCCTGGCTTCGCCTGGTTCGCAGCAGCACCAGGCTTCAAAATGGTCTTTGATCCGCTCGTTGAGCTTGGCCTGGGAGCAAGAGACGCAGGCGCGGGAGGTTTCGAGTCTTCAACAGGTTTTTCCTCCTTGGGCGGCTCAGGCTTGGTTTCTTCTGCTGGAGGCGGAGGCTCGTCGGTGCCTTTGACCGTGGACTTCGTACCGTCCATCCATTCCACTGTATCCGGAGCCCAATCCTCCTCATCGTCCTCGATATCAGCCCACTTCGATTCCTTCGAATCTTCGTCTGCCTGCAGTCTAGTTGCCAAATGGATGCCAAACTGCTGTTTGAGCTCCTCGTCGGTGAATTGCTTGGGTGGGGGCGGAGGCACAGCTGCCGGCTTAGTTAGCGATGATGGCCAGGTGTTTGAATTTGAACCTATATAGATACATACGCCTGTTCTTGTTCCAAACCGTGGCCGGATCAGGGGTACTGGCTCCATTGAGTCTTGAGAGACCAGAACGCGGAACCGCGCTTCCTACCCCGCTGCCCGATTTTGCGACCAGGCGAGGTTTCGCAGTAGGCGCTGGAGAAGACGTCGGCGGAGTCGGCGAAGCTATGTCGCATTCAAGTCAGTAACTTCCCAGGTAGGAGTAGATGTAGCTTTCCCGTTGGTACCTTTGTCGCCAGTCTTCGAGGGCGGCGCCACCGCTGTCTTGGCAAGGAAATGCTTCGTGACCGAGACCGATTTAAAGGATGTGGGTTTCTTCGTCTTAGGCCGACTCTCCCCGTCCTTCGCGCGACTGGTGTCTGTATCCGATCCTCCACTCGTATCTGCCGCGGCTTGCGGTACCGTGAGGTCTTCTGAAGCTGACTGATCGCCGGGTGTCCCATTCGTGGTAGACTCCTTGGACTTTGCTGAAGAGCCTTCGCCGTCCTTAGCCTGCTCAGAAGTAATGGCTGCGGGCTACAAAAGGGTCAGATCCTCCACGCCAGCAGATCCCCAAACACGACTTACCTCCGTCTTGGTCTCATCGGTCGGGGGGTTGGAAGGCGGGTTCCTGTCTTGCGGGGCGGTGTCGCCTGAAGCAGTCGAAGGTGTGATCGCGGGAGTATCTGACGAGGACTTGTTGTTGGCAATGGTCGTGTCCGGCGCCGCGCCGGCGGGAGAGTCTTTGGTAGTTGTCGCATTAGCGTCGATGGGCGAGGGATCACCCATCGACTGTGCTTCGTTTACCACATCGTGGGTGATCTGCTCTGCCATAACAATTTGCGGAACTGTGGCGGCAGTGAATGCGTAGTTAGTGAGTGCGTCGTTACAGCTGTGGTCTTTGTCTGACGAGGGCGGGAAGGTGCTGGCCTCGGAGTCCACGGTCGCCGATGGATCGGGACTCCTCGCGCCGGGCGCAAGTGCGATCGGCATATATATACCTAGGTCAAGTCCTGGGAGTCGCCACGGGGAAGGATTCGGCGGAACAGTCGACTGCGGGAGCTTGCGCCGGCTATTGACGAGCTGTAGTTGGAAAAACGACTCGGCCGGTGGGGTGATGCGATGCGCCTGGATACGGGGTAGGGAGAGGCTTCGGGAGAGGAAGCTCTGGGCGCGAGGGAGAGATATGGAGGCGTCGGGGCCTTGCGAAGCTCGGATGTCGTGGGGAGGTGGTGTTGAAGCGTAGGGGTCTCGCATCTGGAGCAGCGTTGCCTCTTGCGGGCCGTCTTGGCGCGATCACGGACTCACGGACTCTGTGTCATCAACCGCGCCGCCAGCCTTACCGGCGATCTGAGCGTCGAGGCTGCCTGTTCGCTTGCCCGCTCGCGTCAAAGTCAAAGATGCGATACTCTCTTCGCCGCGGCAATTCTGCCTCAACACACGGTGCGCCTCACTGTGTCACGTTGATGGTGCCGAGAGTTTCTGAACCAGGCAATGCGCTGCCCCGCTTTGAGACTATCACAACCACAAGCACTCGTCCTCTTGCACCGCAAATGATCGATTCAAAGGCGCGCTCGAGGCTCTTGGCATACTTGGGATATTTACATTTCGCTACCACTAATGCATCGCTTCAATCCTTAACGCTGTCGCATTTAGTGAGCGTGGTTCTTGTGGTGACCTGGCGCATCGTTAGCAGCGTCCCAACACCGGGCGCTTTCTCCATGGCGGCTTACGCAGGTGGAAGTAGTAGTTCTGGGCGTAGCCGATGAGGAGAAGGCCACCGATCACGTGGATAAGGGCTGCCAAACGTCAGAACTGCATGCAAATAGGTTCCGAAGAGACTTGACGTACGCATGCCCGAGGGGTTCTTGCCGAAGTACCTGGCCTGGTACCTCTCCAGAAGACCCTTGGGCTGGGGCGCGGGAGCGGGGCCACGGGGGAGCTTCTCGTAGAAACTGACGACGCGCTGCATGCGGGCAGCATCCTTGGCGCCACCGATAGCCTTGAAAACAGGAGACCGTCAGCCTGACTCACTCCGAAGTGGTCCTCCCTTCTGCTAGGTTTCCCGGCTGGCCGGGTTTCGTCCATTCAACGCCGTCGGGCAGTCGCGGGGGTTCGGACGATGCATTGGAGCTCGGGAATGGGACTTACAGTCGGCGAGGCGACCTAGAGGCGTGAATTAGCGATGATCTCGAGCTTTGCAGAGATAAATAATACCTTAGGAGGGATCAGGGTCGAAAGACCGCGCTTGGCAATGAAGCTCATCTCGACAGCTCTACCACTCGTCAGTACTCATTTTCGGAGCATTTCGGCCTGGATTGAAGGGCGCAGGGGCCGTACTTTGGGGTGGAGAGGAGAGGGTTGGCGGGTTGTGCTGGCTCTGTAGGCTGGCAAAAGCAAGCGATGAGGTCGAAGGGAAGTCTCACGGAAACGCTAAACTAAAAACGCCAAGAAGCCGCGCCCTGCGAGGCTCAAGCCGGCGGCCGGCATCACCAGCGAGCACCTCCCACCACCCAACGTTCTCCAACTCTCCACTCCGCCTCTCAATTGCAGCAATGCAGCGGTCCCTCACTCCCAGGCTGCTCGCCGCAGCTTCGCGCCCCGTCGCTCAGCGCGCCGCCCTCCCTGCCCGCCGCTTCTTCGCCGACAAGGTCGACGCTTCCTCGGAGCCGGCTCCCAAGAGCGCCAGCGATGAAGCTCCTGCCGCTCGCGCTGGCGATTCTGCCATGATCCGTCAGGAGGGTGCCCTTGAGGGTGCGCCCAGGCACGCCCCGGACTACAATGTTGCGATTGACTACCGCACCTCGTACGCCAGCCAATGGGAGGGCAGCTAGATCACGGGAGGGCATTGTTGACGGCGAGCGCAGGACCTACTCTCCCATTCCCAAGCGCGTCATGGACGGCAGCGAGCCCGGCCGGACCGTCCCCGCCGCTGTTCTCTCTGGCGCTCCCACCGACCTGCAGGCCAGGACCGTCCGGTATGCGCAACGTCTCCCGTACGTCATCCCGCACTAATCTCCTCCACAGCATCTACAGGCCCACCAAGACGGCCACTCAGTCCGGCGACTGGCACGGGCACATGTGGCAGCTGGACTGGGACCCGCTTCCCAAGGGCCACAGATGGGAGAACCCGCTCATGGGCTGGCAGTCGTCCGCAGACTTCATGCAGAGTGAGCGCGTTGCTTTCAAGTCCAAGGAGGATGCCATTGCCTTTGCCGAGAAGCAGGGTTATGAGTATTATGTCCAGGAGCCGAACGAGAGGAGATTCATACCCAAGGCTTACGCCAACAACTTCACTCACAGCCCCAAGAAGCTCAAGATCATCAGGACCAAATAAGCATTCTGTGAAGGAATGGAGTCTGTACATATATTGACTGTCTGCAAAACACACCACTAGCACAGTAGCTAGCTGCGGTCGTTTTCTAAATTTTTGCCATATTTTTATCCCTACAATATCGTGAATTGAATTCTCGCAAACTGGAGATTAAATTCTGTTCTCAATACTAGATATATTACAATGCTCCCAAAGTACCATGTCTTTTTATAAAGAGGGGCCTCGTTTATTCAAGTAATCGGCTACAGGAAGGGTGGACGTCCATCAAAAGTAAGTCCTTTACGGTTACTTTAGGGTCCTACTGCACGAATCAACTAAACAATGTACTGAATGTTCGAGAACATGGCTACCTTCCCATTCCGCCAATTCTTGCAGGCAGGTCGTATCTTTGATGCTAACCCTTTATTCCATCTTCATCTCCTTGTATGGTAGCCCCTATACCGCAATGGGAGGCGCACAGCATGATTTCGGCTTGGATTCACCATTGCAGATCAATTCAAGGAGTAATTCGTAACACTGTCCTGGACTAGCGGGACAATTCTGGCCTTCCTTACAGGTGCTGCAGTGAAACGCTGTAAGAAAGCAACACTCGTATATCACAATGTTGCACTCGCACATCAAACTGTAGACAGTCATATTTCTTGGTTGAAAGTAGTTGACAACGACCTTCAAGCCCAAGAAGTATCGATTGAAATGAGAGACAAAAACACCCATTGAACCCAAAATGTCCACATGTTAGCCAGCAGCTCAGTGCAGCGACGCAGATGAGCCAAGCACAGCAAGTTGCCAAATCGGGCCATGGCGCGCACCTCACCAGCCGGCGCGCCGATCATCCCTCGCATGGCGCATCGCTCGCATCTAACCGCTCCGCCCAAAGTGAACCCCAGCAACGGCAAATCCTCCGCCCAAATCTCAGCTACCCGCGCCCAACCATGTCCGCACTCAGATCAATGCCCCTCTGGATAGGGGTCGCCATAGCCAGCGGGGCCTGCGCGGCCTTCAACGGCGTCTTCGCCAAGCTGTAGGTCCTTGTCCAGCGTGCGCACCTGTCGCTCGCTCGCCTGCTCCCTTTCCCGCTCTCGTCTATCTACGTAGTAGTGCCTACTATGTGCTCGCTCGCTCGCTTGCTAGTGGCTGGCTACTACGTAGCGTAGCTTGCCTCGTTTGCGCTCGCTCGCTGACGCGCTCTGCTTGGTGACGGCCAGGACGACGACCGAGCTCACGACGTCCTGGGCCAGCGCCGTAGGCGGCGTGCTGGGTCTCAGTCCGGGGAACCACATCTTCGAGTACCTATTCCGGGGTGTACGTACCTACCATGCAGCTCGCAATAGCAAGAGCAGAGCCCAGAAAAGGCGACACGCGCAAGCTAACGCAAGCACAGTTCTTCTTCGGGCTGAACCTGCTCTTCAACGCGGTAATGTGGGCGCTGTTCACGCGCGCCCTCACGCTGGCCTCGTCCACCGTACGCGTCAGCGTCATCAACACTTCCGCCAACTTTATGCTGACGGCCGTGCTGGGCGCCCTCATCTTTGGCGAGGCGCTGCCGCCGCTGTGGTGGCTCGGCGCGTCGCTGCTCGTTGCTGGGAGCGTCATCATTGGCCGCCGCGAGGAGGGCAAGGAGGTTGGCGACGCGGGGACTGCGGGCGCCGAGCCTGCCGTTCTTGCTGAGGAGAGGGAGCGCTTCTTGGATGATGTGGGGGAGGGAGACGGGAGGAGGAGCAGCAATGAGGGCGCGGAAGAGGACGATGCGGTCGAGCTGGCGACGGTACTGGAGAGCGATGAAGAGGGCGATGGGCGCCGCAGCTCTCGCACTTCCTAGGTAGGTAGATTAGGTAGGTACCTAGCCACCGCCGCCATAGGCCCCATTGCACTATACTACAAACTCCCTGCCCCGCGACGGCCTTCTCTCGCCGTCACCGCAGCGGCACACGACTTCCGCCCCGCCGCATGACGGCAGGCGGACAGGCGCCTCAAAAAAGCCGTTATGATCCGCACTCGCTACGGTACGGACGAAGCCCTGCGTGTACCTAGAAGTTGGCCCCCAAAACCGCGGCGGCGCCGACATCGCCGGCCCCGCGCACAGGTACCTTATGTACAATACAACGTGTACAATAGCAGCAACAGCACCACAGGGCCAGGCAGCAACACGCGTCAGCCTATATTAGACGCAGCGCGCGCCTTGCAAAATAGGCGCAGGGCACCCGAAATGACGGCAAGGAATGACGTACGCGTGTCCGCCTCACGCTGCGGGAAGGGATCTGCGTCCCGTTCCCGACGCTTCGTATAACCTATATGAGACAATCTCAATCACCGCCCTTGAGGCCCGTGTGCGATATGTTTGACGCTTGCTGTGGCGTTGGTGGTTGTCGTGACCCTGTGTAATGCTGCGCGTGTGATTGGTTGCTTGTTTGTGCTGTGGCTGTGGACGCGACTACATGTCTTGCCGTGTGGGATGGCGGCGCTTATATTTGGCAATTGAGCGTCGAAGACATTCATGTTATCGAGTAAGCGTGATCACTAGTCTTTCAAAACAACCAGGGCACTCGGATAGCAGAACAAAAACGCAGTTGGTTACTGTGCCACAAGACAAACTCCCCAACAACGCAAACGAAGTATTTGGAGATTGAGAAATCCAGAAGACCAGATATTAAAATGCACGCAATAGCAACAGCACAACAACAACAAGAAGTGGGTATCTCGCCAGTAACCACCAAGCCTCGCCTCCCGAATCTCCTCATTTTTGAATTTGGCTTCTACGCAGAACGCTAATGCCCGGACTCCTGCTCCTCTGCCAGGTGGCCATGCAACCGCAGGCGATACAAGCAGGTCCACTCGCGGCCATGGTTCTCCGTCACACGCACGACAGCCTTGTTCGTGGCAATGTTATAGTTGGCGAAGGAGACGTCCAACGGGAACGTCTGGCGGAAGTTTGTGCTCGAGACGTCGTAAAAGTACGACCCGACGAAGACGTAGTTCTCGCCAGGCGGCTCGGGCCCATTGGGGTTGGTATCGTGGTGAGATGATATCTCGCGATAAGCATTGCGGACTCTGTTGCGCTTAATCTCGTCATTGACCTCGAACCACACTTCGAGCTTCTTGGGCGCCGATGCTGTGTCCAGAGTAGCTTGCTGTGGGACGTGCTCGACCGTGAGTTTCGTTGGATAGATGGCTTGTGGGATCTTGATGCCGATTTGCGCTTTGCCGATTGAAGACGTCGCGGCTGTGCACCAGCAGTCCCCAGCTTCCTCCCATCGTTGCAGGGCGACGAGAGCCGGGTTGGGGCTGGGAAGAAAAACTACATTTGTGTAGAGCCATTGGCTCCATGTCAGGTTTCGAGCGTAAGTAGGCGACGTGAGGCTCTGAATAACAGTGGCTCCGGTGGTTGCAGAAAAGAAGTTGTAAGACCGCAGATCGAGCATGGTGTTTTCCATTATGATGGGCATGAGCCATTCAGTGCTTTTCTCTTTGGCAAGCCACTGATCTCGAGATTTACCAAACTGCTGTGGTAGCGTCTTCTGGAAGTCTTTGAAGATTTTGTCGATATGTCGGTTGGCCTTGCTGGTATATTCCTTTTCGAGCATCTTTTGAAAGGTGGCCTTGTCAACAATTGCATCATTCGCGAGGGCCTTCTTTACTTCCGAAGAGACCTGATCGGAAAGCAATGCCTGGAGTCTGCCTTCGTTCTTTTTCCAGAAGTCGTTCCATGAAACTGACACACCGTCGCTGGATTTTTCATGATCCAGATGATTGTGCGCAATATCCCAGAATCGTTCGGGGATTTTCGCCTCGCCAGTAACTGGGTCCTGTTCAAGAACAATCATCTGGGGGACCTTGGCCAACAAATCTTCAAGGTCCTTTTCAACGCCGTTTACACGACTATACAGGTTATTGACCCGGTTGTTGTCACCACCACCACGGATAATTGGTAGAGAGATCGTTTCGAAAGCTTTGCAAATGCGTGTATAAGGATTGGTCCGATGGCAGCAGAAATCCACAAAGCAGGCAAAGAGTGCAAGCCAGAATATGGCTCCGAAGAACTTTGAGCCGAATACCAGCGCAACGTTGATCCATCTGTAAAGCCATTTTAAAGTATGAATGGCGCATCGCTTAACCGTAGCCCATGCAGTCGGCACAGGTGATTGAGGGGGCTCTTCGCGATCAGCAGGCTCTGGAACACGGCCGTCGATCACCGGACGGGGGCCAAGAGTTTCCGGTCTCTTACTGGCGACGCTACGGCTGCTGGGCGTATCTTTTGGACCAAGATATTTACCAAAATCTTTAAAGAATCCAGCTTCCCGCTGGGTGGCGTAACTTTTATCAGCTACCGACGAGTTGCTCCTGGCATCGGAGCCCGCCGTCGCGGGCCTCCCTGTCTGGTTTTCTTCGAGGATGTCCGGGAGATAATAGTCATCTTGAGGCGCGGGTTGGCGACGTCGGTTAGTGCCAATTTCAACCCTGCTTGTAAGTCGTCGAATTGTCTCGCTTCTATCTTGATCGGTTGTGGTGTGGTTGCTTCTGTCCGGACGGATAATGGTGCGGGCAGTGGTTCTATCTTGACTGGCTGTGGTGCGAGCAGAGGTTCTATCTTGGCTGGCTGTAGTACGAACAGTGCTCCTATCTTGGTTGGCTGCGGGACGAACAGCGCTTCTGTCTTGATTGACTGCGGTGCGGGCAGCGCTTCTATCCTGGCTGGCAGCATTTTGGACAGAAGTCTCTGCGAAGGCTTGACCGAGAGTTTGAGCGGCACTCGTTACAGGCGCATTCAGCTCTCGGGCAACGGAAGCTCTGCCTCTGGACCCATAGGCGTGGGACTTGGCTGGGCTTGAATCAGCCAAGCGGCCGACACCACCAGCATCAGAAGGAGCAATTGAGGGTTCGCGGGAATCGCTGCGGCTGGCAATTCTTTCCGACCTGCGTGAAGGCGTAGCGCGAGCCATGGGAGCTTTAGGTGCACGAGCTTTAGGTGCGGGAGCTTTGGGTGCTGGATCAGTTTCAGATGCGGTAGGCTCGGCAGAGGTGCCGCGCGAGGTTGATTCTGTAGTTCATGTTAGCACGAGTCCTCGAACCGCGAACTGAAATGAAGTGAAGAACTACTAACTACGATGATTGAACATGACGGGGGGGTACTGAGATATCCACGAGGGAGCAGGGTAGCTTCGTGGCATGGTGTAAAGAGCGAGCGGGTGAGGGTGGAAGAAAAGGAAGGAGACCGGGGCATTGTGAAGGAGTGCATTGCCATTATTGTTGCAACGCCCGGATTTAGAGTAGCTACTTACAGATGCTTTGCAGTGGGAGAGACAAAGAAAGGGCAAAGAGAAGACGGGACCGGTCAAGGGTCGGATGCAAGCAAATGGTCAAGAGCACGGCTGCTTCCTTGAGATGGGCAGCAAACAAAGCGAGGCAATCGAGGCAGCATGATCCTGCGCAAAGGCCGGCTGTTTGCAGAAGACTCGTGGCGCGTCTGTCTTTGGTGGTTTGGCGATGTTGTCGCGGCGCGTCGACAAGCCACACGGTCGTGCGTACTTTTTTCACCGCCACAGAATGCGGCACACTTAGGTACTGTGGCGCTGTTGGTGCGACGGTGGCGGCACCACCAGACGGTGCAACGGTGGCGCCGATGATGCGGTTGCGTGGCTCGTGGGCGATGAGGCAATGTTTCATACCCGTGCAGCCCAACGATTGTGATCTGCTGCTCAGTGCGTGGGTGAGAGTCAGTGCGCCATCCTCCCCTCATTTCCCCTCCAAACTTTACTTATCTCTAGCCTGCGCCCAAGTCTTCTGCTCTCCAAACTTGCCTCTCAATTCCTCCAATTCACATTCTTCATCATGGTCGTCGGCTCTGTTCTCGTCACCGGGTAAGTTGCTCTCCTGCCCCGCCCCCTCCATGCACGCCCACGCCTTCAACTTCTACCATCATCCCACCAGACGCGCCTCGTAGATCACCTTTTGGAGGCGCGTCATCACTCGGTGTTGATGTCTGGCCTCTTTTGGCCCTCGTCGCGCGCCCCCTCTCGTCTTTGTCCCGCCGCTAATGTGTTCCATCCGGCAGTGGTACCGGCTACATTGGCTCCTTCACGACTCTCGCCCTTCTGGATGCCGACTACAAGGTCGTCATCGTCGACAGCCTGTACAACTCGGACGAGGAGGTCCTCAACCGCATTGAGTTGATCTCCGGAAAGCGCCCCATCTTCTACAAGCTCGATATCACCGACGAGTCCGCCCTTGACAAGGTGTTTGACGAGCACCCGGACATTGACAATGTCATCCACTTTGCCGCTCTGAAGGTACCCTCATTTACCAATACGAACCTGGCGTGGAACCGAAAAGCTGATTTGTGCTACCCTAGGCCGTTGGCGAGTCGGGCGAGATCCCCCTTGAGTACTACCGTGTCAACGTTGCCGGCAGCTTGGCCCTTCTGCAGTCCATGGCCAAGCACGATGTCACCAACATCGTCTTTTCTTCTTCCGCGACCGTCTACGGCGATGCTACCAGGTTCCCCAACATGATACCCATTCCTGAGCACTGCCCTATCGGTCCCACCAACACCTACGGCCGCACCAAGTCCACGGTTGAGGCTATGATCACCGACCACGTTGAGGCTGAGAGGAACAAGGCCAAGAAGGCTGGCAAGGACGGCTCCAAGTTCAACGGCGCCCTGCTGAGGTACTTCAACCCTGCCGGTGCCCACCCCAGCGGTCTCATGGGCGAGAACCCTCTGGGTATTCCTTACAACCTGCTCCCTCTCCTCGCCCAGGTTGCTATCGGCAAGCGGGAGAAGCTGCTCGTCTTCGGTAATGGTAAGAAGCCCTTACAAGCATCTCATATTTTTGTCATTCGCTCACTGTGATCCCCAGACTACTCGTCCAAGGACGGCACAGCCATCCGTGACTACATCCACGTTCTCGACCTTGCCAAGGGCCACCTTGTCGCTCTGAACTACCTCCGCGAGAAGCAGCCTGGTGTCAAGGCGTGGAACCTCGGCTCCGGCAGAGGCTCCACCGTCTTCGAGATGATCAAGGCCTTCAGCCACGTCGTCGGCAGGGATCTGGCCTACCAGGTCGTTGAGCGCCGCCAGGGTGACGTTCTCGACCTGACTGCCAACCCTTCGCTGGCGAACAAGGAGCTTGGCTGGAAGACCGAGTTGACCCTCGAGGACGCGTGCGCCGACCTCTGGAAGTGGACTGAGAACAACCCTGAGGGCTACGGCCAGGCGCCGCCCCAGGAGTTCGTCGAGGCGCTCAAAGCTTCGAAGCAATAGATGAGGAGCCAGGCTGAACCAGGCGAGGTTCGAGACGACGAGAGCACGTGTTGTGAATCGAAGTAATGCATAGGATTAGGAGCTCTTAGAGCATATATTATTTAGCATGGCAGCGTCAGGTCCCCGAGAGCAGTGCTTGGTTATCCAGGACGATCGGCTGCATATGAAGAAGGAATTGAAATATTTTTTTTAAGATGACTTGCATTGGAATTGGACCTCGTGATGGCCGTTTGGCGATTCAAGTGGGGTGCATTTGCAGTGACTTCGGACTTTGTTCGCTCGCGTTTTTATGTAACTGACTCACTGTCGCAATGAATTTGTTGCCCCGCCGCAGTCTTGGTGCATACTGCCTACGCTACGCCTACAACACCACTTCCAGACAACTCAGAACATACAGACCGACGACAGCATCGCCAATCCACTTAAAACTTTCACATTACCCCGCATCAGTCTCTATCTTTCGCCCCGCATTCGTCACGACCCGCACCATGGCCACCGTGACCTCTTTCGACGAGACCGTCCTCTCCCTCCTCCAGAAGTCCTACCCAGAGGCTGGAGCGACTGCTGACGCCGATGCCGTCAAGCTGTCCAACGCCATCTTCAAGGACGTCCAGTACACTGAGCCCGAGAAGGCTGAGATCACTCAATGGCTGATCACCTCCTCCCACGTCGGCTCCTCCACCGAGGATGAGGCCAAGAGAGTCGAGCGCCTGTCCTCGCTGAACACGCACCTCTCCGCCCGCACGACTCTGCTGGGCTCTAAGCCCTCTGTCGCCGACGTCGCGCTGTACGCGAAGCTGGCTCCCGTCGTCTCCAACTGGTCCGCGGAAGAGCGTACTGGCGAGCAGGGTTACCACCACATTGTGCGCCACGCCGACTTTGTGCAGAACTCGCCAGTCTTCGGCCTGAAGCTCGGCGAGGACGAGAAGGTCAAGATCGACACCAACGACGTCAAGTTCACCATCAAGCCCATCGACGCCAAGGCCGAGAAGGAGCGCAAGAAGAAGGAGAAGGAGGCCGCTGCTGCTGCCGCTGCGGCTTCCGGCGCCACCCCTACCTCGCTGACTGAGGAGGGCGGCAAGAAGAGCAAGAAGGACAAGGCGACCAAGGACAAGAGCGAGAAGGAGGTCGGCGAGACGGTTGCCGCGGCCGTTGCGGCCGAGGTTCCCGGCGTCGAGAAGAAGAAGGAGAAGAAGCAGAAGCAGCCGAAGCAGCAACCGGCTAAGCCGGCGGAGAAGCCTCTGTCGCCGGCGCTGATCGACCTGCGCGTGGGACACATTCTGAAGGCGGAGAAGCACCCGAACGCGGACAGCCTGTACGTGTCGACGATTGCGGTGGGCGACGCAGCGGGCACGGACAACACGTCCGAGTACGAAGGCCAGGTGGTGCGGACGGTGTGCTCTGGGCTTGCGGGCCTGGTGCCGCTGGAGGAGATGCAGGGCCGCAAGATCGTGGCCGTGTGCAACCTCAAGCCCGTGACGATGCGCGGCATCAAGTCGTGCGCGATGGTGCTGGCGGCGTCGCCGAAGGTCGCCGAGGGCGAGGACAGCCACAAGGGCCCCGTCGAGCTGGTTAACCCGCCCGAGGGCGCTCAGGCCGGCCAGCGCATCTACTTTGAGGGCTGGGAGGGCGAGCCTGAGGGCGTTCTTAACCCCAAGAAGAAGGTCTGGGAGACCCTGCAGCCTGGCTTCACGACTACGGATGGCTTGGAGGTTGGCTTCGAGGTCGGCGATGTCCCTCAGCTTGCTGGCGAGGGCGCCGAGAAGAAGTCTGGCTTGGGCAAGCTGAGGACTAAGGAGGGCCTTTGCACTGTCAAGACTCTTGCGAACGCCACTGTCAGGTAAACGATTTGCTATGGCAAACGCTAAGATGGGATACGAGAAAATCAACAACACCTAGTAGAGTATGGAAGATTTCATAGAATCAGTGCTTTGATATTGTCTTTTCAGTGACCTTGTGGGGAGCCTTTCTGTAACGACCTCGCGTCTTATACAGCAGACCTTATATTCTCTTTACCTTAAGACAAGCCCCGCGTATTGGTGGAGTATACCCATATCCGCGAACTCCTTCTGTGGCTACGAATAACTTTAACTCCTTACTCGGTATAGCCTAACTTCGTAGGCCACAACGTATAAGTTGCTTACTCTCAGTCTTCGCCTCGACCACCAAAACAACTCCCACCAGTACCTATCCAGTCATTTCCAGCAGTCTTCACTCAACCCAGCTCAAAACACCACCAGCATAATACCGCAATCAGCACAGACTTTGAGCGAAGAAACCGCAAAAGCTGCGCCCGAACGTGAGCGTATACAAACATCTATAGCAGAGGCAGAGGTTGGTGAAGACTTTCTTGACAAAAAGTAGTCGGTAACAACATATTCGAAAACAGGGCGACGAAATAAGCCGCATCACCTACCTTGTTCTGAGCTAACACGCTCGAAGCATGTCGCCCTACAGTGGCCAAGGATGGTTCCCACAGTAAAGAACTAGCTACAATGCCCAAAACCAAAGCGATGGCACTAGCATGTTTGCTATATTGTGGCCCACACACAACCATGCGCTTCATCTATCCATCAGCCCTCACTCCACCTCCTGCATACATACACACCACGCACCTATTCTCTCGCAACAAATCCCAGTATGAAGTGAAGCAATGTGATGAAGTCTTATAACGAAGCAGCTACCAAACAAGCAGCAATAAAACAGAGAAGAGATAAGTGTTTGCTGAAAGCAGGGTAGATATAGCACATTTGGTATTGGGAGTAAATAGGACAAGAAGTAAGCGGCGCTGGCTTTCAAAATAGTAGCATGAGGTTGGTTTTAGGTGCTGCGTTTTGGTTCTATAGGTTTGTCTGTCTGTATACGTTGATGTGTATGTATGTAAACGTCATGCTGTTCTTCATTTTCGTTCCTGTTTCCTCTCTTCTTCCTGTCTCTACTCTTCTTCTTCTTCTTCTTCTTCTTCTTCTTCTTCTTCTTCTTCTTCTTCTTCTTCTTCTTCTTCTTCTTCTTCTTCTTCTTCTTCTTCTTCTTTTTCGTTCTTCGTTATCCACCCCAGCCCCATCTCTCTCTCATATACAGTAACTCAACACCATCCACCCGACACCACCATCTCCTCACCCACCTGTCCAGTATCCACGCTATCTCAACCCCAACTCTTCGGCTCCCACGCACGCGCGCCCCTTTCCCGCCTACCCGTCCCTCCGCGCCTCCGACCCCGCCGTCACACCCGTCCGGCCCGGCCCGCCCACGTGCATCATGCCCTGACCGCCCGGTGTATAAAAGCGACGTTATAGATGCGGTGCGGCTTACAGCTTACCTCAGTCGCTTGTAGCGAGCGACGGGCGGCTGCACGTAAGCTGACGGCAGCCACCACGTGTACTGCGTCAGCAGTAGCAGGGACATTGCGGGAAGGCAGGGAACTTGCGACGGGACGAGGGCGAGGAGACCAGGAGGGTGAACGATCTTATTTTTTTTTTACGAGGAGAAGGGGGAGGTATGGAGGAAGGGAGGGAGAAGATGTTGCTGTTAGTGGTGTATGTTTGGGTTGTACTCAGCTTACTTTGCCTTGTTTGCCTTGTCTTGTCTGCGTAGTAAGACGGGGCTTCTTCTTCTTCTTCTTCTTCGGCGTCGTCGTCGTCTTCTCCGTCTGTGCTACTGCTACTACTGCTCTTTTTGGAGCATGTGCGCGTGCGCATGCACTTGCTGACTTGCTGGAGGGTTAGGGTTCGCAATATTCGCTTTAACTGATCTAGTTTGATTTAAGTCTTACATCTAGCTTGTCCTGTCTTACCTACTCTTCATACCTCAGGCGTAGGTACAGTATCTACCGTACAGGTCCCCCCCCCCTCCCTCTCAAGCACCGTCAAGCATCATCAGACACGAAGCACTCGGAGTGGCGACTCAAAAGAAAGGCAGTCGGGCAGTACTCGGGAATAGGAGGGAGGGGGGGCATAAAGACGCATTGGCGCTTCCCTGTCGCCACCGCCGTGTTCTCGTTCTCTAGCCAGCCAGAAGAAGGAAGGGCATGTAAGCACTTCAAGCAGCAAAAATGCGCAACCTAAGTCTTCCGTATCTCTGTCTTTGTCTAGACAGCCAGACACCCCTCTACCTAGGCAGAACAGGCAAGTCAGGTCGCGAGCAAAAATGCTGTGCAGTATCTAGGTAGTCCTCTCAGCCCAGCTCAAGCCAGGCAACACGCCCAACCCCCGTTTCAACCACCAGCACTGCATCCTCCTCCTCCTCCTCCTCCTCCTCCTCCTCCTCCTTCTTCTTCTCTCCAGCGCACAGCTTCCCACAAGAAGCAAGCAAACAGGCAGCCATCAGCTATGCGCCCGCTGCGCGTGCCCGCACACCTGCTCCCAACCCCTCGGAACAAGCACACACACAGACAGGCACCCACATACCCACGCCATCACGCCCAGCCCAGCCCAGCACAGGACGAGTACAGCAACATACATACGCGCGGAGCCAGCTACAGCGACGAACCAACCAGCCCAGCCATGCAGCCATCCAGGCAGGCGGCAAGCGGGCAGTGGGCAGTCATGGGCACGCGAGTCAGCCCGAGTCACGTTGGCAGCGATGATGCGGCCACGCGGTCCCGATGCGGTAGTAAGACGGGCGAACCTCAGGCCGACGCGCCGGGCTGCCGGCGCGGGGACGAGTCCAACACGGGTCCCGCGCTGCCCTGCCCCCCCCTCCCACGCCCCTCGTAGGTAAGGTAGTTACGTCCTCCGAGCTCCCTACCTAGGTCCTAGGTTCCAGGTCCCAACTCCCTCCCAGCTCCCTCCCTCGCTCCCTTGCTCCCCGAGCTCGCTTCGACGCGACGCTTCTGCCTTCCACCGGACGGCAGCGAGCGAGCTCGGCCTCGGCTAGTGCGTGGTGCGCGCGCCGACCTGCGGGCTTGGGCTTGGGGTACCTTTTTCCTGTCTGGGATATTGTGCGGGTGCGCGCATGCGTAACTACACGGTACGGATCCGTGCATGCGACGAGACTACTCCTACCTAATGGGCTGCATCCAACCTGGCTTCGATGCGCGTACAGTACATACATGCCTGTGTGTATGGGCCTACTTACTTACTTACACAATCCATCGAGCATAGGTAGGTACTGTACATATACAAACCAAACCAGCGCCAGAGCAAAACGCCAAACCCACCACGCGCCAAGAACTTACATAGCCAGGGCCGGCTACACACATACGCAAGTATGTACCTAGGTACATGTACGCATGTATGTACCAGCAGCAGCCCCAGCCAGGGAAGCCGAGGCCGAGACCAGGACCAGGGCCAGGGCCCATGGAAGCGATCTCTGCCGCCAGCCGTAAGCCGTCCGGCGTCTGCGGCCGGAAATAACTCCCTAGGCACCTATCTCTATGTAAGACACAGACAGATACGAGCGAGCATATGGAAAGAAAGAGAACAAACGAGAGGCAGAGGCAGCAAACGCAGTACCAACCTACACTAGCTAGCCAGCACACGCAGCTAACTATGATAAAGCACCGCCTCGCTTGCACGGGGGCGCGCAAGAGAGCACCAAACAAGCAAGACTTAAGTAGGTAGACAGCCCCAACCAGCAAGAAGCCCACCAATGTCCAATCCGCAATCCGCAATCCACACCCAGCACCCCAGAGCCCCACCGCGCAGCAAAGCAAGAAGCCCAGAAACCCCAGCAACCGAGCGTGCAGAAAGTCGCCGTACGCCCAGAGCCCAGGCCAAGGCAAGGCAAGGCAGCACCCATGACCAAGCCCGGCACCGGATAATTTGTCGAGCTTGCCGCATGCATGCTTACATACGGGTTATTTGATACCTACACACAGAGCTGCCTACAACATTAGGCCGAGTGCACCAATCGCGCGCCCGGGCGCGCCTGCTGCTTACGCTGCTGCTTACCCGCCTAGTTAGTGCCTTACTCTAAGCTATGTGTGTGTGTACTTCGTATGCTTCTCGTGTTTGTAGGCACAGTTCCTACCTACGCTGTTCGCCGATAGCTTACGCAGTCTGCCTGCCTGCCTGCCCGCCCATCTATGTACCTACAAGCCCACGTACCTACCTACCTATCGTACATACATACCCACAAGCGTCCACATAATCCCGTATCCCACGCACGCTTACGCTTGCAAACATCGCCTAAACAGGCCCGCGTTACGACACTAGCAGACGTAGCGCGCGACGCGCGACTCCACCGCTCGCGCGCCACGCATACGAACGAGCAGCCATAGCTAGGTAGGCAACGGCGCCTCCATCGACATCGACATGGACACGGACAAGGCCACGGACACGGACATAGACACGGACATCGCCGTTGCCGTCGCCGTTGCCGTCGTCAGAACGAAAGAAGGAAGCAAGCAAGCAAGCAAGAGAGAGAAAGAAAAGCCATCGCCCTCCGCGTCCACAGCCACGTCCATACCTAGGTAGGAACACAGGTAGCAACCGGCACGCCTCAGGGCAGCCACGCCGCCACGCGGACTTGAGCGCGCGCGGTATCCCGCTCTCTACCACGCACGTAGGAAGGAGACTTTTTTCTCGAAAATTTCTTCCGCGTGAAACACCGCTGCAGTGGCCCGCTGCCCACTCACTGCGCACAGCGTACAGCCGTCAACGACCAGCGAGCGAATAACGCCTCCGGAGACCGGCGCGAAGGATTCGCATCGTGGGCGCCTCCAAGGCCCCAAGGCCCCAAAGGCCCACTGGATCGACATCGCATCGCAGCAGCAGCTAGGCCGAGTGACGCAAGCCCCGGGTTTTGTGGCTGCGAGAGTGGGTAGAAACATGGGCAGCAATAGCATGATATGATAATGAGCCATGATGAGCCATACATATGAGGGGCGGCCGTGTTGGCGGCCGCCGGACGCTTTTTACTTGCCTGGCTGCCTGGCTGCCTGCTTGCCTGCCTGCACCCGCCATCATCATCATCATTCATCATCATCATCTCACTTCCTTCTTCATGCAGAGGCGGTTGCCTGTGAGGTCACATTCCACGTGGGCCGGAGCATGAGAGAGTGAGTGTGAGTGGTGAGTGTGTGTGGTGTGTCTGCTCGCCTAACATGTGGTGCCCTTGCCTCTGGAGAAGCGTGGTGATGGGAGGTGCAGCTTGCGCGAGTGTGATGCGTCGCGCCCCATGGTGCCATTGGCATGCTTGGTCGAGGGGAGGGAGAGAGTGCTCATGATCAAAGTCAAAAATCCTGCCAGCGGGTCGATGGTGGAGATCGCTGACGCTGACGCGGCTGGGCTGCCCCCAGTCCAAAGCAACCAGGGCGTTGCGAGATGAGCTCGAGGGGGGAGGGAGGGGTCTTGTTTTGCTCGTTTGCCTTTCTGGTCCTGTTCTATTGGACGTTAGCGAGGGCGCCTTGGTTGAATACGGTCTCTTGGTATTTTCATGTGCCTGTCTCTTCTTCCTCGGGGCAATAACAACCTAGAGGAGCAATGTCCACATCGCAGCATCGCGTTTTGCAACATGACCCCTCCCCCCTGCGTCCTGGCGGATACGACCCCCAAGTGCAGTGGACCTCTCTCCTGGCTGGGGGAGACAGACATGAAGGATCTCAATCTCGTCAGTCAGCACGCACAACGATCATCCGGCGGGAAGAGGGGAGTCTCGGTCCTCGGACCGTCGCGCGCTCGAGGAACAGGTGGCTCGTGGGTTATGTTCCGTCGTAAGATCAGGATCATGATCCCCGAGAGCTGTGAGGCGGCTTTTTGGCTGCATGACTCTGCGTTTATCTTTTTTTGGCGACGCCCCGATGGCCGCTTTGGATGCCGCGCATTTGGCGCAGGGTTGGCGGAATAAAGTTGAGACGCGGATGACAGCGACGTCAGCTGTGGCGGGCTTTGGAGAGAATAATGCAGGTGCTCGCTAGCGCTTCCGGCCCCCTCCCCCCTTTGCGCGGCCGGTCGCTGTAGCCTGTCGCCTCGACGCGGATGTTGCTGGGGTTCCAGAAGGTTGGGTGCGACGAAGAGGGAGTCTTCTCCACCGTCCGTTGTGCCTCCCGCTCCGCAAGATCTGGAACAATCCTTCTGGGGCGTCGCAAATGCTCCGCGAGCCCGATCTGGCAGGCGGGATTTGAAATGAAAGGGCATTCCGTGAGGCGGCAGGCGCGCCCGAGTCAGGGAGATGAAGAAAAAAAAAGAAAAGAAGAAAAAAATGTGACGAGAGATGGATGGGGTGCGTGCAACGCTACTATGGACGGGGGGAGCAAGCCGAATCGCCAACCCGCAAGCCTGGGTTGACAGCTGGCCCGAGTCGAATCAGGGCTCGGCGATCTACTGGTGCGCAAGGCGTCTGAGGTTTTGAGTGGCATATGATCTGCGGCCTCAAGACGGCTTTAGCGGTGGAAATCCATGATTCCGCGTTGTGCGTGTGCGTTCGGGAAGGATGTTACGATAAGCTCGGGCTGACTTGAGGCCGGCTGACAGCGCGATCGGGTCAGCAACAACAATGGAAGAAACAACATGGCATGCGAGATGTGCGCGCGCGTGCATATTGCTACCTGTATAGTTGGTGGTTGCCTGCCTGCCTGTCTGTTTGTCCATGGCTATTGTACGTTGGTGGCGCGCAGTTGGTGGCGGTCATGTGTGTGTGTGTTACATATGTAGTTACATACACATACATAACATCGCGGGAGGTGGTGCGGTGGTGCATGCAGGGCGCGGCGCCGAGACAAGAATCAAGTATCGTCGCCGAACCGGCGAACGGGGCACTGGTACGGTCGATCGCAAGGAGCGATGTTGAAGAGAGTGTGAGGTGACGAGAGAGAAAAGAAGGACCCTCAGGCCCACTTCCCTCAAGTCCCGAGCCAGATAAGGCCCTGTCTCGAGCGCGGCTGTAGCCCGTTCGCCGCCCGTTCGCGCCCGCCCGCTTGCCGCTGAGACCCCGCTGGACCTGCCTCTTTTTTCGCCCGACAGTCGACTTTCAATGCCCGTCAACGGCCCCCAAAAAAAAGCCCCCGCCACTCCCAGGCACCGCGTGCAAACTAACTTCTCTCAATCAACTCCATAACTAACTCACACTAGAGGTACTAACGACGACGTGGCCACCCCCTCCCTTCCTTCCCGTTGACGCCTGACGATGAAACCAACCTCCCAGTCGCAGAATGCAATGAATGACGCAAACATGCCGCCCACCGACCCTATTACCAATACCTATCCCCCCCGCTGCCTGAGCGCCAGGCAGCTCCTTCCGCCGCGTGCGCCCGCCTGCAGCTTGACTGCTTTACGCTTGGCGCACCCGTCCTCTGCATGCCTGCCACGCGCGCCACGTTAGCCCGAACCTGTCTCAACCCGGATCCTACCCTACTTACCTTCTCAGTGTATCTTTGCGCCCAAACATGTTCCCGCATTGCACGCACTTCCAGTCCTTCTTCTTGAGATGAACCTGCATAATCTTCGTCAGCCCGTCCGCCTTCTCTCTCTCGCGAATAGGAGCTACCCACTGTGTTCTCATGCCTCTCGAGGTCGGTGTTCCGGTTAAACGCCCTGTTGCATGTGTGCCGCGGGCACCGGTGCTTCAGTTGTCGGTTGGGGTCGTGCGTCTCCATGTGTGCCTTGTGGTTGTAGTGCCGCGAGAACAGCGTCCCGCACACCTCGCATCGGTCTTTGGCGTTGGCGAGTGTTGTGAGCCTCCTCGTCCGCGTCCTGCTGATGTCCGTGTTGAATTCCGCCTTGTCCTCGGCGCTCATTTCCTTCGCCGGAGCCTCGAACGGCGGGAGTTCCTCAAAGGGCGTCGGGCACTGCGTTGTCGCCTGAGCCACTGGGTATCCTGACGAGGCCAGCCGGTCCGGCGAAACGGTGAGTGCCTGTTGTCCGTACGCATAGTTGGGTTCGTCGTCGCTGCTCTGCCACTCAGCCTGAGGTTCGAGCTTGATTGGGCCGTTGAACGCGGATTCGGAGCCGTCCTGGGAGTAGAGCGAAGGATCATACGTCGAGGATACTGAGGAACGCTGGGAAACCAGGCTACCGTCTGAGTAGATGGGAGACTGCCGGTTGTGGTCCAGAGCGTCTGGAGGGTAAGGGACATATTGGTGCTGCCAAGGCACTGACATTCTTTCAAAAGGAGGATAGTCCTCCTCCACCAGGTGGGTCGGGGGCGTCCATGTTGCTTCCGAGGGGTTCGGGGATAGAGGATACATGGCTTGGTTGGGAAGTGACGGCTGCGGGTGGTAGTAGGCGAGACCGAGAGCATCTGTTTGCATGTAGGCTGACTGGTCCACCTCGGACTTTGCGGGCGATGGGTAGATGGCGGGATGCTGGTAAGGAGTCGGCTGGCCACAGTTGCGTGGCGGGTAAGGAGAGACGGAGCAGCGCGGAGTGGAAGCTTCCACAATCATGATGGTATTTTGGACCGGTGATGACGAACGATTATTTGCTTTTTCTTTCTTTTAATGTTTTTTGTACTTCTTCAGTCGGGTGGGGATTGGAGGATGTGGTGTTAAGGAGATCCGGGGAGAAAGAGTGGCAGGCGAGCAGAAAGCCAAGGGATATATATCCAAAGCGTGGTCTTGGGTAACCCTTCTGCTGGGACGCTGGAGATAGTATTTTCTGCTACATTGGGGCGGTGTGGGGGGAGGGGGGCATGGGATACAAGGCAGACTTGGGGGGGTGGCAGGCACGGCAAGCGGTAAAGGGATCTCGTTGAAGGGTAGAGGTCCAGGGTGCCAGTCACTAGCGGGGCCCAAGATGAAGGTTCCCCTACACTCCCGCCCACGGTGGGCGGACCGAATCTTAGTGCCCCAACTCACAGGCTTAACCGCACAGGACTATTGCTCTCGCGTCCAATTTGCTGATCTGCTGCGCGAAGCATGATCTTCGCTTCCAAACCGAGCCCGTCAAAGCCCTCTCCGCACCGCTCTTAGCCGGGCACGGCCCAGCTCCGCGCTCCACGCTGCTAAACGCATTGCGCACCGTTGCCCGCACTGGTCCCACCCGCGCCTTCATTTCTGCCCCTGCCTCTCGGCCACCTGCGCCTGGAGCTGCGCAACCTGAGCCCTCAGGGCAAGCACCTCGCTCGCTCCGGCCGTAGAGCCCCGGTTCTTGTGCCCCAACCCCGGCCACTTTCCGCTCCGCCCAAACAACGCCGTCCGCGGCGCCTTGAGCGACGACTTGAACGACCGAGGCTTCGCGCCACTCTTGCCCGGGGTGTCTGCTGCAGCTGTCCGCTTCGAGGATGCAAGCGACCCGCGCAGCGACGGGGTCTGAGCCATGTACTGCCCGCCGTTCTCGTACAGCCAGATCACAGCAACGTACGGGGCGTGCGTGACCTTGAGCAGCAGGATGCGCGCCGCTCGGAGCTTTTCTGCCGGTGCCACCAATCCCAGCGGCCGCAGCAGCACCAACGGCAACAGGTTCTGTCATTCATCTGTCAGCTAAGAGTCCTTACTGGGCTATACAGCCCTATTTGTGGCTGGTGTGCGGCGTCGCCGAATCGCGTGCCCCATGCTGATGCTCCGCCACGCCTGCACCGCCATACTTGACACGTGCGCCACCACACTTATCTTCAGGCGCGGCTGCATCTTCATGTCACATATGCGGTGGTAAGCGCCGTGCGGCGCGGCCTTTATTGCGCGGCACTCATCCATGTCGTCTGGCGCTTAGGCGCCAACACGCTGGTGTGGTTGGGTGGACTTACGAGTGGTGGGAAGAAATATGTCAGTCGGTCGGATGTGGAGGCCTCGAGGACGTAGATCGAGTAACTGGTACAATATTAGCGGGGCTCCCTTGAGGACGCCTTGCAGGCCCATGTTCATACACATAAAGATATTCCTCTCTAGAGGAGTCCAAAACCTGCATCGAACCACGTCAGCCAACCAAATTCGCGCAGGCCGGGGGCGGTTGGGATCAGAACAAGGGCTTTATGCAAGCTCTAAGCGCCAACGGCTTCACCGCACACCAACAGCAACACCCACCTTAGTTAAACTGGTACCGATGAAGCTGGTCATCGTAGTGATCAAGAGAATATTCGTCATGCAAACAAACACCAACTGCATCAACGTCAGCATATGTCAATCACGCTTGCTGCGCCTTTACCAACCATCACGGGCAAACCCAAGTATGGCGAACTGGAGTCGGTTAGCAATCCGCGACCAACACGCCGAGGGCTCCACTCTTACATGTCATTTGCCGCGTCCTAGAAGTTTTAATTAGCCGCTATTCCCAAATCCGGAGAGTCGCCTCTCGGACGAAAAAACGGGATTACTTACAAATCCAACAACACCCGCCCTACTATGTCCGTTAGCCGAGAGCAATGCATGCAGGCGCTTCATTGTCACCTACCCAAAGAAGACTTTCATCGAGACCCAGGCGACGTCGTTGATCTGAAGGTTACCCCGCGCAAGCAGAGTCATTGTTGAGAGAAACCCTAAGATGCGCCGCAATTAGTTCAGCTGGTCGGTCACATCAGGAAGCTCCGTTCCCGGGATCTTTCTGTGCGTAGAGTCCATACCGAAATAAGCCATGACGACGATGCTCATAAACTTGGCAAATTGCTTCGCCTATTTTCCGGTCAGAAAAGTCGGTCAATGCGACCACCGGTCAACGCTTACCATTTCCTTGAGACAGGGTAGCTATACCGGTCAGTCAGCTGAAACGCGCTGCAGATGAGTCGAAACTCACCAAAGTACCAAAGTAAGGGTTGAGACTGAGTATGGAGAAGATACTGCAAGCCACGACATCAGCACACAGCCACCGGTCACCGGTGTCCTGCAAGCTGCACTCACCGCGGGACCAAAAAGATTGCTTCCAGTGACAAAATGTCGAATGCTATCTTGATGAGATGATCGGACTCTCTCGTCACACCGACAATGCCTGCAGCACACCAGTCGTTAGCACAGCCGACTTGCATGAGGGTGCAATCTAGGTCAAGGAAGAAAAAACTCACGGAGTACAATAAACGAGATTCCAATGGCTATGATTGACAGGTCCCACCAACTCCAGAAATCCGTAATGTAGAACAGTTCGCCGGCATCATAGAATTCGCTCACTACAACTTTGTAAGTATCTTGCCATACTATAGCGTTCAATGACTTACACTCGTCGTAGGTGAAGCTCGCGATAAACACGTACAAAGCAATCTCGGTCGCATTGATGTAATGCAACGGTCGCTCGATCAGAACAGCGTAGTACAAAGCAAGGAAGACAATAAAGAAGACAACTTCGAATGTTTTGATGTAGCGAGGAACGCGCAGGCGACAATACGGGTCGGTTTTGCTGTGTCGTTTCCGTTAGCTACGAAGGTTTGAAGACGCCTCAGGCCGGACAGGCCAGATCTGAGTGACTGTTTTGCTGACTTACTGCTTGTTGTAGAGCTTGGGCACCTTCTTGGAGCGTACACTCAGACTCTCCCAGAACACAATGTTACCATGCCAGATACCGTTGATGACGTCCTGCACAATCTGCTGCATGAGGAACTTCTTCGCATTAGAGACGGCGGCAATCTCGAGAGCATTCAGTGACTCAAACTGATGTTCGAATTGCTCGGCGTCCGTCATCTCGTTCTCATGCAACACATGGTCGGTACCAAAATAGGTTGATCCATCCTGGTCATCCGCGAAATGCACTGCCGGCTCAGAGACATCGAGGCTGCCAGGCTGACCCTGGTCCTTGGACAATAGAGGCGTACTCTCGTCCGTGTTACCATTGGATGGCTTCCCGGCTGACGGTCCGATAGACGGCCCCGCCGTTGGCTTTCCTACTGATTTGGTTTTGCCAGCTGTCTTTGCATCCTTGCCATTCTGCGCCTCGGGATCGTGTCTCGGGTGCCTCGGGTCATCGACGTCTTTGGCGTTGGGCGGAAGCTCATACAAGAGGAAATCGATGACCTCTCGCTCGGAAAGGTTAATGACAAATTGCCAGGCGACAACCTCGCAAGCATGGCCGCGAGCTAGGTTGACGCCGCGGTTGTCGATAACCTCGGCGGCGGCGAAATGGCCACTGAGGGCGAGCAGGGCGGCCACAATGGCCGGGTGGTGGGCATCGGTCGAGAGCCAATCGATCAAGGGCTGCAGGCTTTCGATGTTGGGACTTTTGAGAAGCTTGTCAAACGTAAGGGGCGTAGTGACGGCCTCGACAAAGTAACTGGCATGGTGTATCAGTGTCTGCGATGAATGCAAGGCTGGCTGCACGATGGAAGGCGTGTCGTCACGGGATGCCTTGCTCCAGGGTCCAGCCGGGTAGGTAGTACGTAGGTAGCACCAATAGGCGGCTAGTACCGCAGCCACCGACCGAAACAAGCAACGTCATGTCTTTATGAGACGGGCAGAGATGCACACTTACAAGGACAGCTTCCGGGCCAGCTCGCCGAAGGAGTCGTTGTCATTGATTTCGGGCACGTCTGGTAGCTTGGAGACAATGGACGGCGTCGTGGGCTGCGGCGGCGTGGCGCTGGGAGGTGTAACCTGCGAGGCCTTCGCCATGTTTGCTTGCTTCCTGGGCGCCATGAGGACGGAGATTGCAATGCTCGACGACAGGCAGACCCGGGCGTCAAGATTTTCTTCGTCTTACCGCGAGTGATCCACATAATGCCTGTCAGTGTGGGCACGCCAGTTCATCGCGCTAGACGAGCGCGTCTGTTTGACGCGGTACGCGACTGCGCGCGGCAGGCGTCTGGGAGCGATCCCCTTTTGCCGCCAGCCGCGCCAGACTACCCGCCAGCCGCGCTGCCGTCCCGACCCGCTGGGTGATGCTGGTCCCGGAGACGTCAAGGCGGCAGAGGACGCCACGGCCACCGGCTCCCAGGCCACGGCGCTGTCGCCGCCCATCTCTGACCTCGTCCGTCGATCCGCTAATCTTTTCCGATCCACGTCAGCCAGTCAACCTGCAGTCAAATGTCGACCTCACCAACGCCCATCGTCGCGCCGACCAGAGCCCCCGTTTGTCCGACCAGAGAAAGGGTCCGCCCATCGAAAAGGCCGCGTCGGAACATGGCTCCCACTCCCCGGCACCTGTCGTGTCCAATGGCGACGTCGCGGCGAAACCGGCGAAAAAGAAACGACGACTCCCCCGCGGCCAGCTCCCGCTCGTCCCCTCAGTATATGTAGACGTCGAAGCAGACGTGGCAGCTGACGTGAGTGCGGCGTAGAATAATAGCCTTCCCCTCATACTAACAGGGTCTCGCCGCGTAGGATTCGCATGCCTACGACAAGGCGGCCGCCTACTCTCAGCCAAGCGACCCGATTGAGGAGGCTGATGTCCCACAAGGGAAAAGGTCACTCCGGGGCCGCGGCACAGCACATTCCGTCAGCCCTAAGGCGCGGCTCAGCAGCTTGAAGAACATGATAAAGCTACCTAAGCCGTCAGCTGATAAACGACCAGAATTGACCATGTTCAAGCTACCACGGGAGGCGAATCGCAAGGCGAATTACAATGCCTGGCTATCTCGACATGGTTCAGACAGTTTCACTGGCCAAGAGCGGTCTGTGCCGTTTAAGCAAACAAAACGACGCGGACGACGAGGTCCATTGGCCACTATCTCCAAAAGTCTCCGGGTGGTTTCCGACAAACAGTCAGCTTTTGTTTCACAGGGTCGTGACCTTGCCTCTCCAAGCACGCTCACCCGGGTGCAACAGATCTCATCACTTTCTCCCGTACCGTCGGTTCCTCCAAAACGAGGCGATCCTCTACTTCAACATGCTAGGCAGGTACAACTAAACGTAAACGATTCATTGTCAAGTTCGTCGCCTTTGGTGAGGTCGAACCTGTGTCCCATGTTATCTCTACCGTTAACTAGGACCATGACACCTGCTACGACTCCTAACAACAACGAACGGACTCATAAAGCCTACAATAACCAAGTTACCGAAGATTATGACCTTGATTAGGGAAGCGATGACCAATTACAGTCATCTCAAAATATACATCCAAAACGGTTAGCATTAGCCCTGTCGGTGGACTTCAACTTCAGCTAGACGGTCATCAACAAATTGCTCAAATTGCTAGACTAGAGGGTAAGCGCCTCGAGCCGGTCACGGTTATCGAGCACCTGGACCGCACATATACGTGCATGCGCAATTGGCGCCGAGCTAATCAAGACCATCGCCGTTGCCATCATCTGGCATTTGGAGGGTGAGAAGTGGGCCAACCAGCGCGGACCAATATCCACCGTAAAAAGGAACAATTCCAGTTCACTCCGCTCGTCGATGCTCTCACGTCCAAGCCGCCTTTTGGCCGCAAAGGCTGCCTCTCGTCCTCTAGGTATAAAGACAACGCAAGTTTCGATCGCCTCCGTTCTTGATTTTATCGAGAAGTCGGGATTTATGAAAGATATCATCAACGGAGATATGGGTATAATCTCTTTGCTAGACAATCTGGTCTTCCATTGCCACCTGAAGCGCATGAGACGGTGCAATGTCATGAACTAGACGGAGAAGAGCTACGGCAACGGTCCGCACAGGCGCCTTACGACTAGTGCCCCGCATTCAACTTTGCGAAGAAGACGGCCTCGTCAGCACTAGCAATGGCTTCTAGAGAATTGACCGAAAATAAAAATTACCTACTGTTATTTACGCAGCAGGAGAAATCGACTTCCGTACACCTGATATCAGCTCATGTCAGGCCGGGAGAAGTCCAGCCGTTGGTCGTTGTGGCGGTCATCAAAAGTGTACAGCTGACTTGCCGACGGACCTGTGTATGTTGGTGGGGAGGACCAAACCAACATCGTGTCATGACCACTCGGGAATACATTTATGGCTGCATTTCAACCCACCGAACATTCCAGTTGTTGCTTTTGACTGATTATTATTAAGGCTTGCGACTGGCATTGACAGGTCCACACGGCTGGCTGCGCGATGGATGTTACACGCGGATGGCTTGCCTACCTAGCTTACGAATGAAACTAGTTTCGCGTCGCGCGATCTCAGCTGTGGAAGGTGGCGCGCGTGCTGGTTTCTATTAATACGCAGGGCGAGCGGGGTTTCAGAGGAAGGTGGAAGGTGGTGATGGTGCGCATGACGGCAAGCGCAAGACATGCATCTGTCGCTCGGCCGAGGTGGAAGGTCTGTGGCTACCGACACGCCGTTAGTCGCACGACAACAAGTATTTGCTGTCGCACACAACAAAAGTTGACTGCTGCGCCATGTGCGCGACACGGCTGACGGCTGAGGGGAGCTTGTCGATGAGCTACATCAGCCAGCTTGCTCCCCCTCTCCGGACTCCGAAGCCTAGTGTCTAGAGGTATGTAATCGGCTTGCTCATATATGCCTCCTGCCTATCGGGCTCCCCCTTTGCTTGTCAGGTGCTCCGTCGTCCTCTTTCCTTCTCCCTGCTTTGCTCTGCTAGCAAAGTTGACACCTAAGTCTTTTTTCGACTTGCGAGCATGGCGTCCGCTCAAGGCACTCCGCCGCCGGTAAGTCCCAAGATGGAAATGCACGATAAAGTTAATTCTCCGAGGGCCCTTGCTGACTGCTGCTGCTGCTGCACCAGCCGCGCTCGGCACCCTATCCGCCAGAGACGTGGGCGCTTGGCGGGCAGGTGCAAGAAAACCCCGATATCCCCATCACGGCCGTACTGCTGGCCTTTTATGTCGTTGGCGCCGCGAGCCACATGACCATCTTCCAGAAGAACCGCTTCCGCGGCCACAAGTTCATCATGTCGGTGCTCATGTTCGGCTTCTGCATGTGCCGTATCGTGACGTGCAGCCTGCGCATCGCGTCGGCGAAAAATCCACGCAATATACGACTTGCCATTGCGGCGCAGATATTCGTTGCGGCCGGCGTGCTGCTCGTCTACGTGATCAACCTGCTCTTCGCGCAGCGCCTCATCCGCGCCCAGCACCCTCGCTGGGGCTGGTCATTGCCCTTCTCGCTCTTCTTCAAGGCCAACTACTTCCTCATTATCTCGTCGCTGGCCATGGTCATCACCGTCACCGTCCAGTCCTTTTACACCCGCAGCATCAACACGCACCGCATCGACCGCGACATCCAGCTGTACGTCGCGACGTACTTTGCCTTTGTGGCGTTTCTGCCCATCCCGCTCGTCGTGCTCGGCCTCGTCGTGCCGCGCAAAACGCGCATTGAGAAGTTCGGCTCGGGCCGCTGGCGCACGAAGCTGGCCGTGCTGCTCACGTCGTCATTTATTGTCTCTCTAGGCGCCTGCTACCGCTGCGGGACGGCATACCTACCGCCAGTGCGCCGTGCTACCGCGCCCCTCCCGGCATACTACTCCAAGGCCGCTTTCTACGTCTTCAACTTCGTGCTCGAGATCCTCGTCATCTACCTCTACATATTCCTGCGCATAGACCGCCGCTTCCACATCCCCAACGGCGCCCGCGGCCCCGGCAGCTACGTCGTCCAAGCCAAGCCGGGCGCGAACGCCGAACTGCTGCCCAAGCGTGGCATCCTGCTCACGGGCAAGAAGCACGACAGCGTACAGAGCGGGCTCGACCGGCCAGGGACAGGCGTATCAAGCGCGACGACGACGGGCGGCACAGGCGTCTACACCGAAGAAGAAACCTTTGACGACCTGCCGCCGCCGCCGCCGCTGCCCCTGCTGCTCAGCCAACAGCACGGCCACGGCCACACCCACGGCCACACCCACCCCGCCCTCAAGCTCCGCACCCATGATGTCGAAAAACGCCGCGCCGGCAGCGGGGGCGCAGGAGCCCGCAACGACGTCGAGGCCCAGCTGCTGCCGCCATCAGAGCCACAGAGCGCCATCTCCGGCACCACGGCCGCGCTCTCAAAAGACCACCTCCTGCTCCCGGAGTCCCCGGCCCCCGCACACGTCAAGCCCTCAGCCCTGCACGACGTACCGCCCGTTCCGCCACTGCCGCCACAAGCGCTCGCAGCAGCAGCGGCAGCGGGGACAGCAACATCAGCGCCGACCGCAGCTCCCACAGCAGCAGCAGCAGCAGCAGAAGACGCCGCGGCGGCCGCCGCCAAGCTCGACCGCGTCGTCGACATCCTGCTGGGCCTGGACGCGCGCCTCGCGCACCTGGAAGCCGCGCCCGCACGGCAGCAATCCGCGCTCGACCCACTACTGGAGCGGCTGGCGGCACGGCTGGCGCGCCTGGAGCGCACCGAGGAAGAAGAGCAGCAGCAGCAACACGCGCGCCAGCGCGCCTCCTCAACCTACAGCTCCGCGCACTCGTCAGGCTCGCCATTTGCGCGGCCCGCCGCGCTCGCAACCGCGCGGCCAGCACGCTCCCCTGACCCCATGGGAATGGGAAATGACTTCAATGGCAGCACGAACCCCTTCTTCGCGGGTACGCGCTACGACGACACCGCGCTGCTCCACCGCCTCGAGCACCGCCTCTCTGCGCTCGAGACCTGGGCGGCGCCGCCCCCTCCTCCTCCTCCTCCTCCTCCTCCTCCTCCTCCTTTTTCGGCTGGCCACGCAAACCTCGCCGCGCTGCAGGCGCTGACGGCACGGCTGGAGCGCATCGAAGCGGGCGCGGGCGCGGGTGCGGGTGCGGCGGCCCTGCCACAGCACCACCAGCAACAGCAGCAACAACAACACCAGCCCGAATGGCGGTCCTCGCTCTTCTCGCCCGGGCCTGGGGACGTCGGGCTAGCGCTTATGGGCGGGGATGGGACGGGTGCACTGGGTGTGGAGGGGGGCGAGAGGCGCACCAGCGGCAGCGTCAACAGCAATAGCGCTACTGCTAGTGGCAGTGATAGTCTTGGTGGCGGCAGTACGAGCGGCACCGGCAGCAACGACACGACGGTGCCGGTTTCGCTGGCGCAGCTGCAGCTGCAGCACGAGCGGGATAGGGAGCGTGAGCGAGGGAGAGAGAGGGACGTGGGTGTAGGTGCGGGTGCGCAGACGTTCCATCCGTACCGTCAGGGCCATAGCCAGAGCCATAGCCTGCCTCAGCAGCAGCAGCAGCAGCAGCAGCAGCAGCAACCGCAGGTGTACGAGGCGTATGCGCCGGAGCGGCGTGTGGTGCAGGAGACGGAGCAGGAGCAGGATGAGCATGAGCAGGAGCAGTATCGGCAGTATTTGAGGTATTTGAGACCGGGTTCTGAGGGAGATGGGGATGGGGATGGGGATGGGCGTAGGAGTAGTGAGGAGGGCGAGAGGGGGAGGCGGAGGGAGAGGGAGAGGGAGGATGAGTAGGTGAGTGAGTGAGTGGATGGTCACTGCTGGTTTGGGTGGTGCCGTGGTTCTTGTATATGCTTATTTTTTATTTGTTTTTATTCTTGGACATTATTCTCTATCTGTCTACGGTGCAGATCCGGTTGGGTTGGGCTTTGTCCATGCCATGTACATAGACGGCCATGAAGCTAGGCATCTATTCTACTCTACGGACCTACCTTGAATGACCTCTTGCTCCCCGCCTTGCGCCGATAGCTCTACCAGCATCGAAGTCCAGTACGGAGGGAACAAGCATACCTACCACCTACAATTCCGTTAGCGCGCCGTTCACACAATCAAGTTCGTCGCCGCAGCAGCAAAACGGAAAGATTAAAACCTCGCGATCAGAATAGCCGGTTTACTCATGCCAGCGCGCCGGCCACGGGTCCACGCAATCCATAACGGACCAACGCAGCCCGCAGCTCGCGGCCCAGCATGACGCCGCCCCCTTGAGGGGGCAACAACTCCACAACCATCCTCCCCGTCCACACAAAGGCAGGCGGGTCCGGTGCGGGAGGGTGGACCGGCGCGCCGGCTCATTGAATGGATAGACTAAGTGCTCATCTTTGCAAGGAGAGGGGAGGAGGGGAAAAGAGAGGGGTAGGGCTTGGGGGCGGAAAAGCACAGAGCGGGGCGGCGGCTTACCGAGATGCTGGCTACGCTACGCTATGCTGCCAGGTCGACGCGTCATGCTATGCTCTCTGGTGGAGGTGAGGGCGGGGGCGGGCCGAGACAGCGCGAGACTGTCGCTCTCTGCGAGATAAGAAGAGAAACCTGTATCAGACGGTGGTGGTTAGCGGACTGATCGAGACGCGCAATGGTGGGATGAAAATAGATGCGTCAAGTTGTTTGGGTCAGACATGGTAAGCTTGGTAGTAAGGTATCCACACGAGAGTTCAGTAGCAGAACTGATAATTGAAACCGATCATCATAGTAGAGTGAGAGTTTGAGACGAGACGGCGGACTTACGCTTTGCAGCGTGGGGCCACCGGGAAATATTCCCGCAGCCCTTGCTTTTTGCTCCACCACTAACCTGGCGTTGCAGAGTCTCCTCATGCGCGTCGCCATCTTATGCGTCGCGAGCAGTGGCCATGAGAGACCATGTCTAGTTGCTCCTGTCGCGGGTGTTAGCGAGACGGACGCGTGAAGAGCGGGCGTGCTTTGCAGTGCGCGAGAGGCGGAGTGCGATTCAGATGGTAGTGCATGTTTGTTCGTGGCTCACGGAGGAATCTCCAGAACTGGTTGTGATGTGTTTTCTTCCTGCAAGAATGGAGGCGGGTGCGAGGAGGGAGGGCGGCAGAGACTTACAGTGAGAGAGCGGGCGTTGTGGGAGAGAAAAGAAAGCGGGAGGGAGCGAAGGTTTTGAGTGGCAGAAAAACGCGGCGGGCGGCGCCGAAACGGGCCGGCGGTGGAGCAGACCTGACCTCACCACCAATTTGTCCCCGCCTATTGTAACTTTACTTCCATTCCACCACCACCACCACCATGAACGACCGACGCCGCACCAATGCCCCCAGCGGCGGCACCAGCGCTCCTGTCTTCGCCCCTGCCCTCCCCAACTATTCCGGCCCGCGCCCTCAGCGCCCCGTCCGCAGTCGCGCGCCCAACGAGCTGCGCAAGATCTGTACAGAGCCATTGCCTCCCCAACACCACCAAAACCACACTAACAATCCCTCCTCCTCGCAGTCCTCCAAACCGGCATGACGCCCTCGGCCTCGGGCTCTGCGTACCTCGAGCTCCCACCCCCGGCCAACTCGCCCACCTCGCTGGCCTTCCGCGCCGCCGGCCTCAAGCTCTCCTGCACAGTGCACGGCCCACACCCACTGCCGCGCTCCGCGCCCTTCACGCCATACCTGCACCTGAGCGCATCCCTCAAATTCGCGCCCTTTGCCGCGCACGCCCGCCGGGGCTACGTGCGCGACGCCGCGGAGCGCGACCTCGGCCAGCACCTGGAAGCCGCGCTGCGGGGGATCGTGCTGGGGGAGCGGTGGCCCAAGAGCGGCGTCGACGTCGTCGTAACCGTGCTGGAAGCCGAAGAGGACGCCTGGCTCGGCAGCGCTGTCGAGGCCAGCACGGGCGCCGCGCGTGCCCAGGGCCAGGGCTGGGCCGCTATGAACGTGCTCGCGGCGTGCGTCACGGCCGCTAGCGCAGCCATGGCCGACGCGGGCATCGACTGCGTCGACCTTGCGGCGGGCGGCATGGCGGCCTTGGTCCACGACGACAACAACAACAACGGCGTCCTCGTCCTCGACCCCTCCCCCGCTGAACACCGCGCCCTGCGCGCCGCCTGCGCCGTAGCATACCTCCCCGGCCGCGACGAGATCACGGAACTCTGGCTCAAGGGCGACGCAGGCGAGCATGGCGACGCGCTCGTGGAGAAGGCGGTTGAGGCCGCGGTGGGCGCGCAGGCCGTGCTCGCCGAGGCGGTGCGCGAGGCTGCGGCGCGCAAGTTCCCGGCCGAAGCGGCGGCGGGGGGAAAGGTTGGAGGTGCTGGTGCTGCGGATGTGGAGATGGTGGCGGCGTAGGGATATGCCATTCATTGTGCGTGGAGAAGCGGTGCGACGCGAGCAGAACATTGCTTCCAAAAGCAGGGGCATGGCATGGCGCAAGGCTCACCTTCAGGGAAGGGTCAGAAAAAAAGGACACAGCAGTCCGTTGCATAGCGTAGGCGTTAAGGACATCACATTCAAGCACACACGGGCAACGAACGAGAGGAGAACAGCCCATCGTCGTGGGAAAAGTAGTCATTTTAAAGGAAATACAAAAGTCATGAATACACCACTTTCTTCTTCTTCTTCCCATGCGTCTGCATGTTTATGGCGCAGTACCAAACAAAAGTCTAATGCCATGTATGACCAAAAAAAAAAAAAAAAAAAAAAGAAAAAAAAAAAAGAACAAAGAAATCAAGCAACCAACAACGAAACCCAAAGCAACGCCAATGAGCAAACCCACACAAGACGCAGCCAGCAAATAACCACCGAGTCAGCATCACTCATTCCCATAATCGATCGTATACGTGATCTGCAAAGTACTATATTTCCCGATTTCCCTCCCCAGTATAGCCTACCCCAAAAACGCCATTATCATTGTCAATGTCTGTCGTTATTACTATACTTGATGTGTTTTTCGCTAACCGATTAACTGATCATCAGTGAGCGAGTGGCTGAGTGGAAGTGTTTCAGCTCGCCGTTCATACTTTCTCGGTATTCACTGCTCAAGTTAGGAGTACTAATTATCGCTATAACTGTCGTAACCATCGTCAACAGCCCATCACCACTCTCTCACTACCCATCCACTTTAACAGTTGAAGCCTGTCGGCTTACAAGAAATCTCGGCCCCCGAAGCCGCCGAATGGGTTAGGGGGCATCCCGCCCATTCCGCCTCCGAACCCGCCTCCGATACCCCCGCCGGGGAACCTCGGCACGCCCCGAGAGTCTTGCATCTCATCCCCGGGATCAACAGGATCATACCTCGCGCCGGGCGGAGCCTGCAAGCCGCCTCTCCCCCTTCCCCCGCTGCCCGCAAACAGCGGATCGTCAAACGTCGGGTGCATGCCGCCACCGCCCCTGACGCCGCCACCGATGCCTCCTCCCCACGCCATCGGGTCCCGCGGCCCCAAGCCCGCCGGATAGAGGTCCGCGTCGCCGTAGCCGCCGGCGAGCGGCGAGCGCAGCGGCGCGCCCCCGCGCGGAGGCCTGTGGACCTCGAGCTCGTCCTCGAAGCCGGGCGGAGGGAAGTCGCCGGCCGGGAGGGGGTGGCGCGGAGGCGGGTCCGCGAGGGCGTCGTCGAAGGGGCGGGGGCGCGCGGGGCGCGGGTCGATAGGGTCGTCGCGGAGGGGGTCGTGTGGAGGGATGTCGTCGGGGCCCATACGGGGCGGGGCTTGGCCGCGGCGGCCCGAGGAATAGTCCGCTGCTGTGGGCGACGAGGCGCTCTCCTCGTAGCCTTCTTTGCGGATGCCTGGGGCGAGTTTCTGGATCACGCTGATTTTGAAGAGGGAGCCGAGGTCGCTGAGGCGGCCGGGGGAGATGAAGACGTTTTGGATGGCCTGGGTGGCGGCTTCGACGGCTGAGTCGGAGGACGAGGACAGTGGTGTCGCCGGCAGGTTCGACTCAGAGATGTAGTCTTGCGCGACGACTTCGAAAGAGGCGGTTTTGTCGTCGCCGAGGCCGATGGCGAGGATGACGGCTTTTTTGCCTAGGCGGTTCACTTTGACGAGGTATTCCATTGATGACTGGTCGTGGGCATAGCGGAAGGCGTAAGAGGATGAGGTGTTCCATTCAGCTGGCAGCGCATGTGGCGCCGCGGCCTCTGAGCTTGCTTCTGCGGGCTTGTTAGAATACACGCATGCAGGAGAGGAAGTGAAGACAATACCGATCTTGTGGTCCTCTCCCAGGCCGACCAGGCGAAAGCCCACAGCTATCATGGCAGCATGGGCAGCGAGGGTGATGGCATCGTAGGGCGTCTTGATCTGCGGCGAGGCATCGGTGGGCAAGCTCTTGGCCATAAAGAGGGCCAAGGAGCTGGCGCTCAGCGGATTGCCCAGAGTTCCGGAAGTGCTTGAAGTCATGTTTGATGTGTGAGAGTTGGAGTTGCGGGGTTGAAAGCTTCGTGGGAGTTCATGACGATAGGTGCCGCCGCTAGGCAGCCGCAGCCGTTACACACGGACTTAACGCCACTGACGCGGACTTTAGCTTGGCGCGCGGACCGTGGACGGCGGCCCCCGCGCGCTAAGCGGCACGACAAGCGCGACAACATTTCATGGGTTCGCTCAACTCTCCACCACCGCAATCATGGTCCGCCTCAAGCACCGCTACCTGCTCGTCGACTTCCTCTACCCATCGGCCGCAACTACTGCCCCCGACCTCCCTCCCGCCGTCCAGTTCCACCAGCCCAGCTCCGACAAGCTCACCCCCGGCTACCTCGTAAAAGTAATCCGCGACGCCATCGCCGAGCAATTTGGCGACTATGGCGCCGGCATGACCAGCGGCACCCTAACCAGTACGTCTATACCATATATATATATATATATATATATATATCTAACACGCGCAACAGTAAAATACCTCTCCCCCGCAACCTCCACCGCCATCATCCGCGTCGCGCGCGACCACTACCGCCTCGTCTGGGCCGCGCTAACCATGCTCTCGCGCCTCCCCGCCCCCATCAGTCAAGACTGCGTCATCCACGTCGTGCGCGTGTCGGGCACCATCCGCAAAGCCGAGGAAGAGGCGATCCGGCGCGCGAAAACCAGCATGCGGCGAGCGCGCGGGGACAGCAGCGCGGGGCTAGCAGATGCGCTCACGGGCGCTGGGCCGGCGAGGACCGAGGCCGAGCAGAATGCGTTTATGGGCGGCATGCTTGACGATGAGCCTGAGAGCGAGTGATGCGCTGTTGTTAGTCGAGACGCCGAATGACGGCTGTCTGAGTACTAGGTGCATACATCTGTCGCAAGAAGGCCAGCCATCCCATATGGCAGAAACACGTCGCCTAAGCAAGCCATCCACCCACCCACCCACTCCACGCGTCGACAAAACCTGCGCGTACGCCACTCCCGCCAGCGCTGCTTCTCTCGCACCACGCAGCAGCACTGTAGTAGCACGTGCGCACCATGCACGCGCTGCACAACCGTCTGTATCACCGTATACACAGGGTCTGTGACGCAGTGAAAGAGGCAGGGAAAGGATAGAGGAGGATAGTGGGCGATGGTGGTGGGCTCGGCTGTACAGTGGGTGGGTATGGCGTAGCACCTTATCTATCCAATGGGCCATCGCCATAAAGGGAACGCCCACGCACATCAGGGACGAGAAAGAAGCAAGAAGTCGTAGATTCAGAACAAAGCATCCTGGCTTGTCTGCTTGTCTGCTCGTATCGTATCGTAAAGCTGTCTATCTGTCCGTGTCTGGCCGTGTATCCCATCACTCCACATCCACTCCGCTCCGTAGCTCTGCTAGGTAAACCATGAGTACGGACGCCCGTCTCATACCCAGCACCCCCTCACTCACTCCCCACCCACCCATCAGCAACCTCATCCACAAAACCGCAAAACCGCAAAATTGCAAAACCATCACCATTGCCAACCCCAAGAATCCCAGAATAATCAGCAGAGCCAAAGAGTACCTAGACGACGTATCCGTACCCAGCAACCCAGCCACCGCCAACTAAACCGAATCCCTACCCTCAAAATACGCACCGTACCCATCATCATCACCACCACCCTCGCTGCTCTCACTGCTCACGTCCCCCACAACAACTCTGCCAGCAGCAAACGCGTCGGCGAAGAAGCCCTGCTCCTCCGGCTCCTCTGGCTCCAGCTGTGCCGTCTGCTCGTACTGTATGCCCTGCTGCATACTCTGCTGCGCGGCGTCCAGCTCAGCACGCTCAGCGCTCTCGCCACGCTCGCTCAGAGCGCCACGAAACGCGTCCGCGAGGCTGTGGCGACGGGGATACACGGAGCCGGCGCCCTGGGGGTAGTCGATGCTGCGGCGGGGGTCGGCGGCAGCGTCGCTGTAGCCAGTGTGGTAGACGGGGTGAGGGGCGAGAGCGGCTTTCTTGCTTGTGGTTGCGGCGCGGGGATGGGCTTGCGTCTGGGTCTGCGACTGGGTCTGCGTCTTGGCTTGCGGCTGGGACGCGGCCGTGGCGTACGTGCCGCTGTTTGCGTACGCGCTGGGCGCTTTGCTGGTGTAGGGCGCGTTGGGGTAGGCGTGGTTGGCTGCGCTGGTGGCGTGCGAAGCGTTGTTGTCGTGAGACGGGTGGCCGTGGCTTTGGCCTTGGACTTGGTCGGCGCTGTAGGTGTTGATGACTGTGTCTTCGCTTGTGCTGGTGGGTGTGGGGAAGGCGGTTGCGGCGGCTGTGTTGGGCGGGACGGCGGGCACGCCTACGACGTCGACCTCTTCGGTCGCGGAAGACTCGTCGGCTTCGTAGCCGGAGGTGTTGCCGGATCTGGTGGTGGGCTTGGCCTGCTGGTGGGAGTGGGCGTGCTCTTCTTCCTCGCGCTTGATAGGGGAGCGCTTGGGCTTGGTGTCGAGGGTTGCCTCGCTCTTGTTGGCGCTGGTCTTTTGCTTCTTGCTCGCTGACTGCTTTTGCGTCGAAGACGTCTTCTTGCGGCCAGTCGAGGCGGCAGTGGTGGTGGCAGCGACATCATCGGCCGTCTCTGGCTTAATCGAGGTTTCCTCGTCGTCCGTATCCGTGACGTTTGCTCTCTTGCGCTTGCTCGCACTGGCAGCCTTAGTCGTGGGCGTAGTATCATTGCCGTCGGCGGTGGCGGCGCTGGATTTTCCCTTGCCCTTAGCCGACGTGGTGCCCTTGGACTCTCCCTTGTCACCAGTCCCACTGTAGTTGCCTTTCTCCAGCGCATCCTTGAGACGCGAGAAGCGCTTGGACGACGCACCAGGCTTGATGTCAAAGGCCTCGCCGACGGCCTTGTGGTCGACCTAGTTCACGTTGTCAATCGTGCTGTTAAGTAATCTCATTTCACCTCACTTTACCTCACTTCACCTCGCCTCGACCCATCCATCACAAGACGAGATGTGACAAGAAGAAGAGAGGAAAAGACAACGACGGCGACTTACCTTGCCAACGTTGCTGGCCTTGTAGCATTGATACAGGAACTCCACGGCGGCCTTGTCTGCAGGCTTGCCATCCGCAGCGGCAATACGAAGGCGACTAAGGCGTTTGTTGGAGGCTCCGGCCGTGATGTTCAAGGCCGCTGCGACGGCGGCGTGGTCAGTCTGTGAGACGGGTTAGTTCTGTTGAGACTTTCATGTTGCAGAGACAGGAGTGAAGCGTACTGTGCTTGCACCACCGTGTTCCATGCATAGAAGCAGAAACTTGACGTTGTCTGTGTCGGTAGGCATCGTGCTTGGTGTTAGCTCAGACGCGAACCAGAACTCTTGAGCGAGCTAGCTTGAAGAAGCTTGGTTGAGCTGTTGATGTGTCTTCAGAGGAGGGTGTCGTGGTTGAGGTGCAGTGTCTAAGGTGAGCTGCGGTGGGAGACAAGCAGCAGGCGGACAAGAAAATCTAGAAGAACCTAGAAGGGGGAAGGTGAATGACAGTGATGAAAGAAAATCTTTTGGGGGTCGACGATGATTGTTAAGCGTCACTTGTGGCAAGGTGCAGGCGGTTTGTTAATAGTGTCGTGACGGTAGGGTGTTAGAGGACGACTGGACAGAAACGGGTCCAAAAGATGACGGGCTGTCGTGAAGGAGAATCGTGCTGAGTGTTTGTGAAGTAAGGTCATGAACTATTCCCATTGTGGAAACATACCTTCAGAAGACATTATCGGTGTCTTCAACGCCGTGTATCGACTATAGGCTGTCAAAGCAAAAAGCAATAATCCCAACTGCTGAGTTGCCCCCTCATGAGCATACAGCAACACAGCTCAACCATCTCCGTGGTGTAAACTATCAAAGTCAAATTGGAACCCGACCTACATTTAACCACACTTTGCACCATCCCAAAAACGACCATTCCATTCTCTTCCTCCCCCAAATACCTTCAAATTCTACGCATCTACGAAATTCCCAAGCCCTGCTCTTCCTCGTCCCCGGGTCCTCCGCCAAACCCAATCGCCGAGTCCTCCATATTATCTATCTTGCCAACCAGGTCCTTGAAGTCCAGGCCCACATCGGCCAGCATGCCACCATGCTCCTTCGCCCTCGCCATGCACTCCACCCACACCGGGTTATCCTGCTCGACAGTGCTGAGCTGACGGCTCAGGATGCCGTTGAACGACTCAACGTGCTCTTTAGCCCACTTGACGCACGCCGACATCGACGTCGCTGGGAAGCACGATTGGTACGTCAGGACCGTGTTGCGGATGACGGTGAAATAGATGAAGGAGAGCTGGTAGATGTACTGGTGCAGATCACCATCGAAGATGCATTGCCTGGCGTCTGAGCGTTAGCGCAGTGGATTTCTAGATCTTGGGGGACGTGCTCACCGAGTGCGCTTCTTGACAATACCACTGCGCGCTTCTAGATATGCTTCTCTGGCTCGGTCTTCGAAACCCAGCTGGACTAGCCAGTCTACGTGGCGCTTCGTCGCTGTGGGCCAGTTATGCGTTTCTTGAAGTTGCCTTGTCAGAAGACCTGCAACTTTCGCGGCTCGTTCATTGACCTTGAAGACGATGATGTCCTGCGCAACGGTGTTTCCCTTGATGCCCTTAGATATCCGCCCCAATTTGTCTACCTGCTCCACGGCTTGCTTGAAGTGTTGCAGAGCGATATTGATATCCAGCTCATCAAGCTGGCTTTCGACCCACCGTAAGCTCTGTCGCTTTCCGTCCACGTCCAAAAACAAGCTGGAGCGGTTATGAGCCGCGTTGTCTCCCAAACCCTCGAGTAGGTCTGCTTCTTTCAGGACGCTCAAGTCTCGCATGGCATAGTAGTTGACGTCGGCTTGCGTCTTTCCGCGCTCCTCAGACTCCGCTTCCAAAGTTCTTCTCAAATCTTCCATGGCTTTGCGGAATGAGGAAAGCAACGTCGCCTTTTCCACCTGATCATGTCCAGGGTTTGCAAAGGTGAACGACTCTGAGCCAACACGAACGTTAATGGCATCGGCCGCTCGCTTCCTCTCTCGGTCTCCCACTTCGCCAGTGCTCTTAGATGTTGATGCCTTGGTCGCCAAGTCCACCATTTGCACGTCCTGCAGCGGCCAGCATCGGACAGCTACCAGCTGTGTGTGCTGATCCTTATGCTTCGCCTCCTTGGGATTTTGCGGTGCTTCGCGCTTCTTTTCTGCTGCAATGAGCAAGTGATCGTTGAGCAAAATCAAATGCACACGCCTCTTCGTTTTCCAAGTTGCAGAGTTCAGTTCGACCCATCTGCCAGACTCGTACACAATGTGACGTCCAGGAGTTGCCGGCAAAAACTTCTGCGATCCTTCGACGCGCTTCCACAACGTCTGCAAATGGGTATTCCACAGTGCCTCAAGGTTAGCCACAGAGCTGCGGTTCGCCTGTTTCCGCGCAGTCAAGGTGTCTGTGGAGCCGAGTCCGCTTGCCGACGTTGCTTGGCCCAGCGTGCCCGTCAGTTCAGACATGAGCGTGCGCAAAGTGCGCATTTCGCCCTTGAGTTTGTCCGCCTCTTTACTGATCTTGATAAACTGGGTACGGTTTTGGTATACGTTATGCTGAAGGTCTGTCGAAGTGCGGTTCTTGACCTTGCGTAGGTCTTGCTGATAGATCCGGATATCCTCTTCTGAGGCGTCGGCGAGAAGGTTTGCAACATCTGTCCACGTACGTCAGCCTTCCTCTTAGCACCGCCTTTGTTCCTGTCCTACACTGCTCGGGCCTCAGGCTGGGGTCCCTGAGGGTCTTGATATCGACTTTGATCCTCTGTCCGGTAACAAGTGGTAGATCTTTCTCCACTGGAGGTGGACCACGCGGAATGCGATCTGGTATGCCGGGCATGGCTGGCACAGGAGGCGCGGAACTCTGGTCATTTTGGACCTGATTGAACCGCGTGGAGTATCTCTTCTTGACCAAGTCCGACGTCTTTCCTCCAACAGGCTGTCCTCGTTCGCGTGGAACTGCTAAAGACGATCCGCTCGCAGCGCTGGCCTTCCGTTGAAACTCCTCCGGTATCGTGACAGGCTGCAGGTTGCTGGGGAGGGGTCCGCTGATTTGCTTGGGCGCGCTGATTTTGGGGCGGGCCGTCTTCTTCTTCCGCAGCGACAGGCCTCTGCTGGTCTTCTCTTTGGGGTCTTTGTCGTCCATTGTGGCGGTGTGGTGGTGGTTGTCGTCGGGGGGCGGGGAGGTGAGGTGTAGGTCTTGTCGTCAGGCAGCTCCGGGCAAAGGACAGTTAACCGAACGCGACCGGCGGGGAGGGACGTGGATACGTGGTTGCGCCTGCAAGGTCTAAGGACGTGGCCGGGTGGCGGGGACGATTGGGCAGACTGTATGTAGGTGTAGGGGTACGCGGCGCGGGCCAGAGGTACGTAGGTATGGCCGCCTTTGCCAGGGTATGGAGGTCGGGCTTGGCTTGCAGCGCAGCGGGAGCCAGCCGCACACGAGTCAGGCCGGGCAATCGGGTCAACGGTCATTGACTCGTGCGAGCGGGGCACGGGCCTTGACATTGCGTCGGTTGCTGCCGTTTCAAAATCTTGACCTACTTTGGCCAGCAGCTTCCCTCGCCTCTGAGATCGATCTTGCGTCGTCACTTCCCCCAATCCACCAACTCCATTTCCGATCCTTGTCCACAGGCATTGTCTCTTTCGCCGGCCACCCACCACCTCCTCGCACAATGTCGACCGCCAACTCCGTCAGCAACAAGACCATCGCGGTTGCCTCCATCGGCGCCGTCATCACCGGCTTCGTCGCGTACGCCTTCTACTTCGACTACAAGCGCCGCAACGATGTCGAGTTCCGCAAGTCGCTGAAGCGCGAGTCCAAGAAGCTGGCCAAGGTCGCGAAGGAGGAGGCCGAGGCCGGCGCGCAGCAGCAGCGGATCGTGATCCGCCAGGCCGTTGACCGCGCCAACGAGGAAGGCTTCCCTAGGGATCCGGAGGAGGTCGAGGGCTACTTCATGCAGGAAGTCGCGCACGGCGAGCAAATGACGCAGGATGGTGAGGCATTATGAGAGCTTCCGTGCTTCCATTGAGCAGACATCGCTAAGACTACGCCCACAGGCTCCGACCCTGTTGACGCCGCGCTGTGCTTCTACAAGGCGCTGAAGGTGTACCCTCAGCCCAAGGAGCTGATCAACATCTATGACAAGACCGTCCCCAAGGTACGTAGCGAGGTCGACCACTCAGCGCCAGGCAGCATACTTACTTCGTCTAGCCCATCCTGGACATCCTCGCCGAGATGATCGCTCACGACAAGTCGATACCCATTGGTAAGCCCGCCTCGGCCGACACGAACATCGATGAGTAAATCTCCCGGGACTGGTCGAACTAGACATGCCTGGCAATTGAATTGCAATGCCGGATGAGATGCAGCTTCTTACTAGCTCATTTTTTACTCATGTGTAACGGCGCCTGGGGCGCGTCGGCGCAAGTGCCATTTACACCTTCCTGTACACCACTGTATATACACTGCGCACCTGCTGGAGTCTGGGGAAGGGTTTTCAAAAGGCTCGCTGCGGGCATCTTGGCATAGATGGGGGAGGGGACGGTTGTGCAGGCGGATGATGGGACGCGACTGCCGAACAAGCAGCCGCTGGCGCCTTCCCAGTTGATTAAACGCGACTCTACTATCTTCACAAATTTAAGACTTGACGAAAGCATCTCGTTCTAACGTAAAATGTCTTCATGGCGTACTACGTACTAGTCATACAATTCGTACACCCCAACGAGTTATCCGCTACCATGGCCGCCAGCCACCTATATCCTGTTCGACTCACCGAAAACGCCGTGCTTGCAACGATAGGCCCGGTGTCCGGGCGGACGGGCCGGGCGGAGACATTAGAGGGGCATTTACAGAATAAACACGCCGCATGCGAGTTTATACAACATCCGAAATAAATCGTTCGAAATCGAAACGAGACGGGGGGAATTTAGCAGGCGCAGCCCTGGCCCTCCTCGGGTGGGTTCGGGTTGACATTGACGTCGATCACTGCGCGCGTTAGCCTGCCAGCACGACAAAGGCAGCGGGGAGCGAAGAGACTTACTTTGGCTTGGCTGCTGCTGGCCCTCGCCCTCCATGCCCGGCAACGCCTGCGCAATGCGCCTGAACAGCGTCTTGACGTTGTGGCCGACCTTGGCGCTGGTCTCGATGAACATGAGGTTGTTCTTCTTAGCCTCGTCCTCGCCCTGCGCCGTCGTGACCTCGCGCTTGTCGTTCAAGTCGGTCTTGTTGCCGACCAAGACAATGATGACGTCGTTACCGCGCTCGCCGCGCACGTCGTCGACCCATTTCCGGGTGTTCTCGAAGGATTTGCGGTCTAGATTGCTGGGTCAGCGGGATGGTGGGGGTGGGTGGGGGATGGCGTTGGGTCGTGGGAAAAGGGGATTTTTACTGGAGATGTCGTAGACGACGACGGCAACGCTCGAATCGCGGATGTACGAGGGAATCAAACTGCGGAAACGCTCCTGACCGGCGGTATCCCAAAGCTGTAACCGGACGGTGCGGTCCTCGAGGTACATGGTCTGCATGGCGCATGTTTAGCTCAATGCACGATGGCGTGTCTCTTGGGCGGCGCACCTTTGACAAAAAGTCGATGCCAATTGTCGCCTGATACATGTTGTCGAACGAGTCGTACATGAAGCGCGTGATTAACGACGTCTTGCCGACTGCGGCGTGGGAGTATTAGCCTTGTCGTCGTCGAGATGCAGTAGACAGCGTAGGCTGGAGCATACCGCTCTGCTCGCCCAGAAACACCAACCTGTGCGCCAAAAGTCAGTTGGGAGCTCCGTAGCAGCGATAGCGGGGCTGGCGGGGCCTACTTGAACTTCTTCAGCGGGTTGCTGTAGCCGGATTGCGCCGCCATGGTGACTGTGGGTCGCGGAAAAGCTTGGAGCAAAAGGATCAAAGGAGAGGAAAGAAGAGGGAATGGATGGGGTGCGGGGGAGCGGTTGAGGTGTCTTTTTGTATATATCTCGAGCGGTCAGCGAGTCTCCACGCTCACGGGCGGTCAGTTGCTGTTCTCCTGGGCCCGCTGGGTTATTGACTGCTCTGGCGCCCCTGCTCACGCTCGCAGGGATCAAGTCCCTTTGCGCTACCGCTTTAGCGCCAAAACCTATCGATTGCCCGGAAAACTTACTTCTTTGGCCGTTGCACCTGAGAAGAAATTCAACCACCAGCCATGTCCGCCCCCGCCCAGCGCAAGCAAGCCTCCCGCAAGGGCAAGAAGGCATGGCGCAAGAACGTCGACGTTTCCGACGTCCAGTCCGGCCTCGAGAACCTGCGTGACGAGGTCATCCAAGGGTACTGTTTTTTTCCACCATCATTCCCAAAAATGCGCACCACCACTGACTCTCCTCTGCAGCGGTGTTATTGCCGAAAAGTCGGCCGACGAGCTCTTCGCTCTCGATACCACCGGCTCCGAGGCCATCAAGAAGCAGGTCGCCAAGCAGTACAAGCCGCTCAAGGCCGACGAGATCCTCGCCCAGCGCTCCGCCGTTCCTGCCGTCGACACGCGGAAACGCGCCTCAGGAGTCACCAATGGCATTGTCGAGCCCAGCAGCAAGAAGCGCAGGTCCGGCGGCGTGTCGCACTCGGAGCTGCAGCGCCTGAAGTCGCAGTACAAGGGCGACGTCGAGAACAAGGACATCATCCTGCAAGAGGGAGCGTCGCACGACCCTTGGGCGATGGAGGAGCCGAAGCAGGACCCGCGCTTCTCGTTCCTGCCGCAGAAGAAGCCCATCCGCGAGCCCGAGACCCTCAAGCATGCCCCCGTGGCCCTCTCCGCTAGCGGCAAGCCTTTCCCCGCCGTCAAGAAGCCCGCGGCGGGTAAATCGTACAACCCGCTGTTCGAGGATTGGCAGGCGCACTTGGAGCGCGAGGGCCAGAAGGAGATCGAAGCGGAGAAAAAGCGCTTGCAGGAGGCGCGGGAGGATCAGGAACGCCTGGAGCGCGCAATGGCTGCGGCGCAGGAGTCCGAGCACGAGTCTGATGGCAATGAGAGTGCGTGGGACAGCGAGTGGGAGGGCATCCAGAGCGAGGCCGAGGAGAGCCACTTGAAGCAGAAGAGGCCAGAGCGCAAGACGCCGACGCAGCGGAATAAGATCAAGAGGAGAAAGGAGGCCGAGAGGCAGGCCAAGTGGGAGGCGCAGATGAAGAAGCGGGAGCAACAGGCTATGCAGATCAAGGAGCTGGCGAAACAGATCGAAGAGAAGGAGAAGGCGAAGAAAGAGCAGATGGCTCTGGCTAAAGCGGAGGAGTCATCGTCGGAGGAAGAGGAGGAGGTTCTGCGGAAACGGAAATTCGGCAAGGCACCGTACGTCCACCCTCTTGGTCACGTCAACAGTTCCAGCTCACTGACATTAAAACAGAATTCCCGAAGCGCCCCTCGAAGTTGTCCTGCCGGACGAGCTGCAGGACTCCCTGCGCCTTCTCAAGCCTGAGGGCAACCTGCTCAAGGACCGCATGCGCAACATGATTCTGCGCGGCAAGGTCGAGAGCAGGAAACAAATGCAGCACAAGAAGCCCAGGAAGGAGGTCATGGAGAAGTGGTCGTACAAGGACTGGAAGCTGGACCGCAAGTGAGCGTCCTTCGGCCATTCAGTTGTGTCAGAGATACCTTAGAAGTAATGGAATTCCAATGGCGTTTGGAGCGCGCTCTGTCTGTCGGTACTTGACGTTGTTTGTGTGCTTGTGGTGCGGGGTGGACGTTTACGTGTGGGCTTAAGGTGTTGGGTTGTGAAGCCTGTTGTCCTTCTGCAGGAGACTGGTCGAGGGCATGTCACGGCTGTGAGCTATACATTGATGGGTCATGGAAAAGGGTAAGTTTATAGTCATTTACATTATGCAGAGCCGCAGGCATAACACCCCGTTGTCTTCAAGTTCTACAATAGAGCTCATCATAGCAGATCAGTATCTCAGTACACGATTGTACCAGCAGTCTCATACAAGGATGTAGAAGTCGCCCGCCAATGTTTCAATGGAGAATCAACACGCCAACTACCGTCATACGTATTTAAATCGCCAAGTCATGTTGGGATAGAATTTACACCCTCAAGTAAAATGACAGCGAACAATTCCAGGTGAAACAGCAGGGCACGGGGTTTCCGGCCCTGGAACCAACAAGTACCTCTGCACTGCAACACAGTCAAAACGTCCGGCTTTCTGTACCTGGCATGCACGAAGAATGCTGCTGTTCTTCGTCACTGGCGGTACGTATTGGATGGCAGTATTCATCTCTTGTCATCACCATCACCATCATCATCATCATCGTCGTCGCCGTCGTTGTCTTTTGCAACCGGCATGCGGTGCGTACATTGCCAATTCCACTTCCCAAAGCCATGAATGAATGCACTCGCTCTAGCTATTTACCAGAGCTGCTCCACAAGCGACGCCAGATAAATGTTATCTGTGTGAAGAGGTATCTTTTGCCCGGCTTTATAGGCGTCAGGACACACCCACACACACAAACCCATCAGCAGCCAAGGCAAGGCAAGGCAAGACAAAACAAGACAAAACAAGACAAAACAAGACAAGCCCTCCAAGGTAAGCAACCTCAGCACACACCAGCACGTCAGCACATCAACACCATAACACAACACACCCCAACCCCACAACCGCACAACCGACCAACAGAATCGAATAACCCAGCTATTCTGCCTACTACTACCACGTACAGCTTTTTTCTTTCATCGAAACTTGTTTCAAACAAACGAGCGGTTCTCCATTCCATCCCATCCCAGCCCAGCCTGTATTCTCTCTTCCCAATCTAGCAAACAAATTAACGAAACAAGGGCGCGGCTCTGGCGCCGGGATTAAGGTGCGTAAAATGCGAGGTGAGAGAGTGCGTTCGTGTGTGTGTGTGAGGGAGGATGTGTGTGATGGGAGAATGAAAAGCAAGAGAGAGAGAGGGAGGAAGGGTGAGTGGGTGAGTGAGTGCCCGCTCGCCAGCAGCGCGCATGCCAGCCTGCTAGCTAGCCATCACACCCACCCGTCCCATCCTAGTCCGTCCCAGTCCAACCTGTCTCTCAGCAGAAACGACAAAAAGAGAAGAAGAAGAAAAAGGAGAAAAAAAAGAGGAAGAAGAAGACCAAAAAGGCCAACACCACAACTAACACCATCACCAATTAAGCCAACTGCTTACCCACCAATCCATCATGTCTTCCTCAGCACCACCTTCTCAAAACCCACCACCCGCTCCCTCTCACAAACCGAGTCCCCACAACAACACCCGCCACCCGCACTCCTCAGGCCCACCTCCCTCGCCCTTCGAACCTCAATCTTCCCATCCGCCAGCTCCAACGACTCGAACGACTCCCGAGAGTATCCCGAGTCCTCCGAGCACCGCGTCCCCGAACTGCTATCGCTCTCGAACTGGCTCTGCATGCCCGGCGTCGCGCCGCACACGCTGCTGTTGTGGTCCTCGACCGCCTGGTACGCCGACTGCAGCGGCCGCAGCGGCGACGCCACGTGCGGTATGTGCACGCTCAGCCGCCGCGTCGTGCGCGTGATCACGCGGTCCATGCGCGAGGGCGACGTTTGCGCCGGCGTGGGGCAGGGTGTCGAGGCGGGCGATGACGTCGTCGTCGACGAAAAGTGTGATGCCGGCGTCATGTCTGCTGCTGTGAGGTTTTGTGTTGATGGCGTGATGGTCGCGGGCGTGGTGTTGATGAATGTGAGGGAGCGGATGAAGGCGCGTCTGCGAGTTTGTACAGGTTAGCGTTTGCTGTTGGTCTGGGCATGCATGGGTTGAAGGTGATTTATTGGAGGTAGGGGTATCGATGGGTGGGCTGGGCCCTGCACGTACTGGTCTGCGTTCATGCTTGACATGTCGAACTTGACTTCCTCCCTGCGGAAGTCTGTTGGCGCTTGCTGCGTATTGGTCTTTTGTTAGCCGTTTTTGTCGGACTAGAAGAGAAATAGGTTGGACCGTACAATGACGAGACGCTTCTTCCGAGAGCCGCAGCATGACAGTGCCCGCCGAAATGTGTCCTGGATGCTGACAAGCAGCGACCCGCTGCCCTTGGCAGCTTTTCCTGACTTTCTCGCCATCTCTTTTTGCTCGTTCGGTTCTTTGTGACCTGACACGGAGCGTGATCGATATACCGGGCGTCGTTGGTATGTCGTTGCCAGGATGTAGGTAAAGATATACCTCAAATCGAGGTATGTTGTTTGGACATTTAATAGAAGGCAAAAATCAAACGCAAAACACACGCTTCTTTGCACGCTGGTCGTAAGAGGGAGAGACTGATAACGAACACACAAAATCCACTCAAAAATGATGATGCTTTAGGTAGCAAGATGTTGCGAGGAGGATAGCACGATTTCTGTGGTGGAGTATCTTGAAGAGATATACCGTGGTCGTCTCACCGTCAAAATTAAGGTCCCCTTGGGTATGAATTGCCACGCGGCGACGGTCCCCATTCCTTGCGTTTCATCCATCCTAGACCGTAAGGGTCGGGTCAACCTCAGAGATGAAGAATGGGAAGTATTCCGAGCGGAAGGTCCTCCCGTACCGCGAGGAATGTGCCGATGGAATCCGCAGTGCCGTGTGCGGCCATCGCAAGTGCGGCTTTCTCGCCCACCTGCAGAAACGACTATGGCTATGAAGAATTATGTAGGCGTACGCACAGGTGAGGGTGTGATGCAGGCTTATCGCGCGTGAAATAATCTGTCACGCGCTGCTACACGGTACCTGTCGTCGGGGGGTTGTCCGATATCTCGCTTGTGCTGCGCAACCACTCCTTGCATGTTGGTGACAGGTACGCATTCCTTGATAGCGCACCAGAAACGCGTGCAGCCAGACGCGTACGTTGCTACAGTCATATATTGGCGATGGACTGCTTAGCTGTCGTACTCCTATCACTTGGCGTCTGGGCGGCGGAACTGACCAATGCCGTGCATCCTCAGGCCAGGGCAGTGGGTCAGGTGAATACGCGTTCGCGCGTGTGTGCGCCTTGCTTCTTGTTAGCACGCAACCGAGGCACATTGATCTTCATGGTCACCCAGGTAGAGGGAAAGGGTAGTAACAGCACGGACCCGTGTCCGCGAAATTGGTTCCTAGGATTTGCTACCTGTGATTGGATTATTTCGGGTAGTCCTTGACGTGGTAGCTCTTCAGCTTGACAAACTGGTCGAAGCCAAACTTGCCCAGAGTCTGACCTCTGCCAGAATCCTTCCATCCGGTCCATGCAAGGTCCTAGTTGAGACATTGTCAGCTCATAAACTCCGCGAAAATCGTGCATGAAATGATGTCTTACTGGCGCAGGGTAATCGCAGCGGTTGACAAAGACGGTACCCGCCTCTACGTCATCCGCCAGTTCGTGCGCCTTCTCAACGTCCTTGCTCCAGATGCTGGCAGTGAGACCAAATTGACTGTCGTTCATGAATTTGATGGCCTCCGCGTCGCCCTTGACTTTCATGACGGGAATGACTGGACCAAAGGTCTCTTCAGTCATGACTTCCATGGAATGATCCACGTTAGTGAGGAGCGTTGGTGCAACGTAGTTGCCGTCCGCTGGTGGGTTTTTGAAGGTGTCATTCTCCGGCGTCGCATCCTTCGCGCCCTTGTCAAGAGCACCCTTGATGTGGGAGCGAATAGTCTCGGCAGACCGCTTGGAAACGACGGGTCCGATATGAGTCTGCGAGTCAAAGGGGTCGCCAAGCTTGTATCCCTTGAGTACGTCTTGAACAGCGGTGACGAACTCGTCATGAATGCTTTCGTCCACGTAAACCCTCTCAATGCTGCAGCAGCTCTGGCCGGAATTGAAAACAGCGCCGTCAACGATTTCCTCAGCCGCCCACTTGATGTCCACATCGGGCCTGATGTATGCGGGGTCCTTGCCACCAAGCTCGAGCCCAACGCGCACACCTATCCTGTCGCTCGCCGCGCGTTGAACAGCCAGTCCACCAGCAACGGAACCAGTAAAGCAAACCAGTTGGATCGCCGGGTCCCTGATAAGAGTCTCGATCTGAGTGTACGAGCCGCAGTGGAAGACTTGAACCACGTTCTTGGGGAGGCCGGCCTCGACGAAGATTTGCTGCATATGCTCAGCGATGGTGGGAGTCTGCGGCGAAGGCTTCAAGATGACAGAATTGCCAGCAAGGATGGCCGGGACAAGTGAGTTTATGAGGGTGAGGTAGGGGTACTGCCGCAGTTAGCCATGTGCGAGTTCGGTAAGGTAGATCGAAAGGGCCAACTTACGTTCCACGGAAACAGGATCAGAACAGGGCCAACAGGAACCTTCTTGATGTAACGCTTGAAGCCCTTCTCCGGTTCGCCGTCGGTTGAGCTTAGAGTCTCGTCGCTGATCTTCGTCAGGTACTCGCCCCGCATGACAGCGGTGGCCACCTCCTTCGCCGTATACGCAATGGGGCGACCCATCTGCTCCGTGATCTCCTTGGCGAGCTCATCCTTTTTATCGAGGATGCCCTTCATGGCCTTCTTGACGATGGCCTGCCTCTCGGCGAGGGTCGTCTTCTTGAAGCTGTTCCAAGCTTCGAGAGCCGTGGCGGGGAGAGCGCGGAGGTCGGCATCCGAGAGGCCATTGCGGGTGACAATGGGCTTGTTGGTGTTGGGAGAGATGGTGGTGATGGTCTCGACGGACATGTTGACGGCGTGCTCCTGGGGTATCTGGTGGTGAGAGCTGTCGAGTGAGAAGGTGTCTTGGTGTTGTTGCTCTGAGGAGCTCCACTCGTATGACGTGTGTTATCTTATCGCCACGACCCCTCCGCGATCGGCCACACTGGTGACTCTCCCGAATCCAGCGTGGGCTGAGCATCTCGCAGAAGCTTTCCTCTTCTGGCTGTCTTTCAGCCATTGTCTTGCGCCTCTCAATCCCTTAGACGCGTTTCCCTTCATGCCACCCGAGTGGCTAGTTGCCACAGCCACGTCCTAACTATCAAGCCGGACATGTCAACAGCACAAGAGAGTTCCAGGAGCAATGACGGTTTGAATCTCATCACCTAGCTCTTTTGTTATGGAGGTGTATATCAAACTACCTCTTATGTCCTCGATCGTTGGGATCACCAGTAAGCGAGGCTGCCTATAAATCCCATATAACATTCCCAAAACGGAACTACAGCCAGGCTTACCAAACTCGTCAGGCGGTGATCATTATTGAAGACAATCCACATACGTCGGCGCATCAAAAATCTGCAAAAGAGATGGATACTTAGCCAGGGGCGCAGGTGGATATCGACCTCTCAAGAGCCTCCGCACCAAGCGAGTCATGTCATGACGGCTTTTGAAAGAATCTTTCGTCCTTCCCTGCTCTTGTCGTCCTCGGGCAGCGGCTGAGCGGAGACCAAGATTGTCGTGCCGGGATTCCCCGTACACGGGGGATCGGCGTGTCCAGCTTTTTGTCTTGAAGGATCTTGCAAGCTGTTGGTAACGGTTACAACGGGCTCCCATTCATGATCCGACTTCTTGATGGCTTGTTTGACGACTTTGCGGTGACTGATTGAGCCTCATTAGCGCCTGCTCGAGACCAATCATTCCCATGACTACTCGTATCTGCTTACACATAGCTCGGTTGTGAGGGAGAGCGGCTCATGGACGCTTTGGTCAAAGGACGATTCGGCCCCACGTCAATGAAAGCCAGCTGAATGTGACCCTACAGGCCCCCAATTATTGTTGCGGCTCGAGTTCCTGTCAGCCATGAGAAGGGTCGGGCTTGTGGCCCAGAATTGGAATGGCGGTTGGCCTGTTTCTATTTCATCTAACGATTTTTCGATTGCAGGGCCGAACAGGAGCGCGTCAAGCAGGATTGGACCAGTGCTTTTGTCGCAGACCCCGGCAGCCTTGCGCGCGAAGGCTGTGACCCACGGTTGGCGGAGACTCCGCTTGTGGGCTCTCACGCGACCTGGACCCCATGGGCCTCCGTTGTGGAGAACGCACGAGTCTCGGAGACCCGAATGCACGCGGACTGGGGCGCAACGACGGCCACAACGATGTCAGGCGGAGAAAATGCTCCGACGCGGAGCACATTCCAGTGCACCCAAAGCGTGTTCCTGCAGGGCCACGAGACAGGTCCCATGAGAGCAGCAGCGCATCCAAGGAGAGACGACAACCTGATCGACGGGGCAAAGCCATACTTTTGATGCGGAACGTTCGCAAAGGTTGCGCTCATATGGGATCAAGGTTTTACTAGCTCGATCCCTTGATGAAACGGATCGCATGTCCGAGGGCGGTGGCCTCATGTTGATTGAGGAGCGGTCGTTCTCGGATAGAAGGAAGGAGAAGCATTTGAGTGTTGTCCTTGATCCTTGCGAGGTGGGTGTCGTTGGGTCTGGGGAACCCGCACGCGCGGCAAGGACGCACCCCTCGAGTTGGGCTGTGGCTCCAGGTCTGGGCCGCCCCGAGCAGACGTTGTTTCGACTCGGTGCAGCGATTAGGGGCGTTAATTTGGCGGCGGGCGAATCACAATATTCACTCATGAGACTCGACGATGCGACGTCTCGTCACCATCGTACAAAGACCTTCTGTATGCAGCATACTCACATGGCCTCTGGGCCAGCCACACATCGCATTAGCGAGCTAGAAAAAGAGTCAGCGCTGTCATGCAAGAGGCTTGATCGCCGACCAGCCCTGTCCCCCACGAGTGATGTATAAGCGCCACGCCCGTTGTAGGAGTATGTATGTACATATTGACTTCTAGAAAAGTGCAGGGGTGAGGAGGAGGGGCGGCAGAGACATCCGGGTCGGAGGCGAGCCAGGCAGTCCCGTGCCCCTCTGCCGGTGCTGGGTGCAATGGCTGGCAAAAAAGCACGGCACGAGGATGCCCGACGGGCCTGCTAACGACGCTGTGGAGCGCCACATTACCGCAGCCGGTCCCACCTGGGGCTCCGCGTTGGCCCCGAACGATGACGGCTTGGGCGAATCTGACGGCGAGCGCCGAGCGCTGGAAGGGGCATCTGCTATGATGCTATGGACCAGGTACAGGTATTGCTGACGGACTCGTTTACAGCGACGCATGCGCCGCCCGTTCCTTGATGTCTGCGACCCCCGGCCGATGGAACGCAAGCTCGGAGGAGCCCCCCAAACTCAGCCAAGCGCCACACCCCAAGGCCCGAGCACGGGGCGGAGTGTTGTAGGCTTCCTGAGCTATACCCCGCGCACTCCGCGTTTGCCAGCCATATGGTACCTGGGCACACCGCAAAATCCACCATAGAGCTCGCCACAAGAGTTTTGCTGCGAATGTTTGCCGCCTCCCGCCCCGTCTCTTCGCTCTTCAAGGCGCGCATCAGACGCGACATTTTCTTCCCAGCGCCGATTCTCAACCTCCGCCCTCTCGGTGTCAGCTAGCCCGAGCTTCCCAAAATGCTCTCTACCAGTCTACACCCTTATACAGTCTCGGCCTTCAACCCGCTGCCGTCCCCGGACCTGCTCAACCATGATCAACACCCGCGTCTCCCCACGTCCGGCCTCGACGCACTAGCACAGGGCTCGCAGTACGCGCTGCATCACTATCCTCCCCCAGCCCAGCATGACCTAGACGGAAAATCTTTTGCGAGACAGAGACATCACCCCTATGTCAACCCGTCGCCCTCCGCCACCCAGAGACCAGCCATGGCCCCAGACCGGATGGCCAGGAACTCCATTTCCGGCGCTCCCGTGCGACGAAGAATCAGCCGCGCCTGCGACCAGTGCAACCAGTTGCGGACGAAGTGCGACGGAAAGTCTCCTTGCGCGCATTGTGTCGGTCGGTAGATGAGAAGGCCTGTTGTGTGGCGGTGATGCTAACTCTGCGAAAGAATTCGGTTTGACATGCGAATATGTCCGCGAGCGGAAAAAGAGAGGAAAGGCTTCTCGGAAAGACATTGCAGCGCAGCAAGCAGCCGCAGCCGCAGCCGACAATGGTCAAACCAGCCCACCACCACCAGGGACTGCTTACGCCAGTGAAGGCCAAAATGGCAACGAATTACCAAACCAAGAGAGGAAACGACAAGACTCCACAGCTGAGGTGCTCCCTCACGGCGTCCGCCCGGATAGGTCCGCCAGCATCGCGAGCAACCGGAACGGGACGGCGAGCGCAGTCTTTGCAGACATAGCCTCCATGCCACGACCTAACGAGTACGAAATCCCAGAGCATCAAATGCATGGGCAGCCAGATGGCATGGTTACCGGTCTAGCAACGCCACGTCTGTCAACCAACGGCGTTCACGACCGCGGCATGCCCCTGATGAGCATGTCCGATTACGGTTCCATGGACGAGTACCATCGAAGCGTCGCTTCGCCCACTCATGGAAACGGGAACATGATGCTTCAAAACGGTGGTGTCCTGCAGCACCCCCTGATGTCCGCCAACGGTATCCCAAACTACCATGAAAACGCTTACCCGATACTTAGCCCACAAGGCCAACATGCAGCACACAACGGATTTCGCATACCCACCGGGGAGAGCCCACTGCCAGGTTTTCTCGGGCACTCTCCAGTCGCTGGCTCTCCTGGATGGCTGTCGCTTCCCTCGCCTTCGGCAGCACTATACTCACAGAACCACCTTTCTCACTCCCAAGTCCTTCGATACCCTGTTTTAAAGCCTTTGATACCACACCTTGCGGGCATTATCCCGACCAACCTCGCATGCGACCTTCTTGACCTGTATTTCCAAAGCTCAACTTCCGTTTTCATGCAGCCAGTTTCTCCTTATGTTCTTGGCTACGTTTTTAGGAAGAGATCCTTCCTCCGACAAAACAACCCTCGAATTTGCAGCCCAGCTCTCCTGGCTAGCATGCTCTGGGTTGGCGCTCAAACCCACGAATCCGCATTCCTCACATCGCCTCCATCGACGCGCGGCAAAGTCTGCCAGAAGCTGCTTGAGCTCACCGTTGGCTTGCTGAAGCCCCTTATCCATACCCCTGACGCCAGCAACTACGCTTCACCGAATTTTGCCGCCAACACCGTCATCAACGGAGTGGCGCTCGGCGGATTCGGTGTGGCGGTGTCTGGCAGGCTACATGAGACAGAGGGAGGCTCCCCAGGCAACTCTGGGGCACTGGACGACATTGCAACCTACATGCACCTGGCGGTAGTGGTGTCGGCTAGTGAGTACAAGGCGGCGAGTCTGAGATGGTGGAACGCCGCGTGGTCGCTGGCAAGGGAGCTGAAACTGGGGCGCGAGCTGCCACCTAACCCGCCCCCACCATCAAGGGGAACTGACGAAGACGCTGACGCAGAGGGCGAGGTCGATATGGACATGAACATGGGCGACGGCCGCCAGAACGGCTTGGGCAGCCACCTCGAGACTCCTCCTGGAACCGTGACTGAAGAGGAACGAGAAGAGCGCCGGAGGATATGGTGGTTGCTGTATACCATGGACCGACACCTCGCCCTTTGTTACAACCGGCCACTTTTTCTACTCGACGTCGAGTGCGACAGCTTGTTGCAACCGGTAGACGAGCACAGGTGGCAGGCCGGCGAGTACTACACTGGCGACTCGGACCCAACGTATGCGGAATTCAGGCGACGAGGTCCTTCCCTTGAGGTGACCGGACACGGTATCTTCGGCTACTTCACCCCCTTGATGACGATTCTGGGGGAAATAGTCGATTTCAACCACGCGAGGAACCATCCCATGTTCGGGAGTCGCTTCCGCGGTGGGCCAGAGGGGAACGATTACGCCGCAGCAATTGCGGAGCAGCTCAGAGCGTACGGCAGAAGTCTCCAAGAGTTCGAGACGCGATTCACGAACAGCCTGAACGAGAACAACGAGAGCGCCGAGAATAACACAGGTCGCGACATCGGCACGCCATCCGCACACTCGGTCAACTCGTCTAGCTCACGGGTGACGGAATCCATTATCCAGACCAAGATCGTAGTGGCATACGCGACACACCTGATGCACACGCTGCACATACTGCTTAACGGGAAATGGGACCCGATCTCGCTGCTAGACGACGAAGATCTTTGGATCAGCAGCGCGTCCTTTGCAGAAGCGACGCAGCACTCGGTGCTGGCAGCCGAAGCACTCAGCGACATTCTCGAGCACGACCCGGATCTGAGCTTCATGCCCTTCTTCTTCGGCATCTACCTACTGCAGGGAAGTTTCCTGCTCCTGCTGATCGCGGACAAGCTGCGCGCAGACGCAAACCCCAACGTCGTCAAGGCGTGCGAGACGATTGTGCGCGCCCACGAGGCCTGCGTCGTCACCCTCAATACGGAGTATCAGGTGAGTGATAGCGTGACGCCGCCCCCAGCCCAACACCAGACAACACGAGAGACCGAGAGAGAGAGAGAGAAGAGACAAAGAGGCACGGATGTTGCTCCGCCGCCACCCGCTCGCCCGCCCCAGAAGTACCGAAGGAATGTCAGGCTAACGTGAGAACCCCCCACAGCGCAACTTCCGCAAGGTCATGCGCTCGGCCCTCGCGCAGGTCCGCGGCCGCTGCCTCGAGGACTTTGGCGAACAGCAGCTGCGCCGCCGCGAGGTCCTCGCCCTCTACCGCTGGACCGGCGACGGCAGCGGCCTCGCCCTCTGATCCGGTGCCTGGCTCCGCGGAGGGCTGCTCCGCTCTCCCCTGCGCAGTGCTGCACGGTGCGGCCCAGACCAGGGCAGGGCGGGCGTGCCTGCGCCGTCGCCGCCGCCACGCCTGTTTGATTGATCAATCAATCAATCAAGTTGTCGCTCGATGATGATGTTGATGACGATCGAAGCACGCCCGCCGACGCCCGCGCTGCATCCAGCTGCTGACTTCTTGTTTACGGGCTGGCTGGCTCCACGGCGCATCACATCAGCGGCACGCGCTGGCAGCTCCGTCGGAGACGCGGGACGAGACCGCGGGCTCGGGCTGGGGCTGGGCTAGGCTGGGCCGAACGCCTGAACGCCTGAACCTGAACTTGAACCTGGACCTGAATCTGGGCTAGGGCTGCCTGGCGTAGATCAGAGAGGCGGGTGCGGGGCGAAACGGCAGGGCGGACGGGGCAAGGGTGCCAGGGAGTGGGTTGGGTTGGTGAGGCGAGACTGACAGGGCGGGGCGAGACAGGGCACGCCAGTGCAAGGCAGGGCAGGGTTGTGGCGGCTCGTTCCGCCGACGGAAGGGCGCCGCCCGCGCTGTGTGGGTGCTTGGGCTCTGGTTCTTGGTCTTGGTCTTGGTCTTGGTCTTGCGCTCATGCTCATGCTCTCGAGTGAGTGATTAAGTGAGCAGAAGGTGACAGCGAGCAGCAGGCATGGACGGGGAGGGCAGACAAGCGTGGCAGGACAAGACAGGGCAAAGCAAAGCAAAGCAAAGCAGGGCAGCGCATCAACATCATCATCATCTTTATCTTCTTCTTCCTCCTTCCCTTCCCTTCCCTTCCCTTCCCTTCCCTCCCCTTCCTTCCGCGTATTACCCTTCCTTTGTACCTATTCCATGGAGGGCTTGCGGCGCTATGATTGGGCTGGTCACGATCGAGATATATACCCCCGGGGGCGGCAGAGCTGAGACTCGCGTGCTTGTTTGTTATATTGGTTTGGTTTTACTTACTTACATATATGCATACATACTTATATACATATATAGGAGGTGGGTGCTTGCTTGCTTGCTTGCCTGGTACAGTAATGTGGCTTCTTTTTATTGTCTTTTCTTTTTCTTTTGTCTTTGTCTTTCTTTCGTAGCAGCAGCAGGCGGGCAGCGCCAGTACCGTGCCTAGGTATTGGTGTTGGGTGTTCACGTATAGTATAGCACACGCACGCACGCACGCGCGTATGCATGCTTGCCCCTCTATCCATCTATCCATCCATCCAGCCAGCCACCTGGGACCCATCGCGATACGTGACCGCCTTCCCGGCTTCCTTCTTGCCGCCGTAGGTACCGCGCCTAGCCCCCGCTATATGTGCCTGGCCCTGGCGCCCTGGGTTGTTTCATGATCGCCACGCGCGCGGGGCACTGCATGCATGCGTGCGTGCGTGCATGCGCGCGTGCGGTGCCTGGGTGTGTGCGTGCGGGGCTGCTGCTGTCTGGGGCGCATACATTATGTGTGCGTCTGTGTTTGTGTGTATGTATATGTGTATGTGTATGCGGACATGGTTGGGGTTGTGGGGGAGCTGCTGCTGCTGGTGCATGTGCTTCTGGACCGCACTGATGGGGCGGCTCGCGGTGGCTTGCCTGGTTGGTGTCGTGTTGCGTGCCGTGCTGTTTCGAAGTATACTGTATGGTAATATAGTGTAGCAGCAGCAGCCGGCCCACAGGCACTGACACTTACTTACTTAGGTACTTTGGTACTTACCTGCCTGCCTTTGCGGCTGCTGCGGCTATGGATCAAATACACTAGCTAGCTAGCTACAGTAACCACCGCGCTCTCGACGCTTCATCTATCTCTTACACTCTCCACACCACAACGCTATAGCAGCCATGGCACCACCACCATTCTCCCCTCACTTCCAGCTACCTAGGTTCTCAGCATCACTGCCCGCACATCCGCCCCGTCGGCTGCAGATCCCATCACCACGACAACCACAGCCACTAAATCCCACACGTGCTCGCCCCAACCATAACCAGTGAACCACAGACAGCAACCCGCAGACAGCAACCCGCAGGCAGCCACAACAAGCTTTAGGCTAAACACCCCGCCGCCCAGCGGGCCGTCAAGTTCCTCCGGCGCCGTCCACGGCCGCCCAGGGCGTGCGGATCCGCGGTATACAGTGAGCACTCTACTCTACGTAGGTCAGCGCGGTGGCTGCTTATGTACGCCGGATTCGGACGGCCGCGTTTGTGGCGCGGTGGTGGTGGCGAGGGACTGTTGTTTGGTTGTGGTTGTGGTTGTTGTTGTGGTGGTGGCGTTTGCGGTGGTGAGTGCTTGGGTGTGGGTGTGCGTGCGGGTGGGTAGAGGTACCTATAAGTGTGCATGCAGGGATGCGAGCAGGGGTGTAAGTGACGGGCGATGGTTCTGTGTGTACGTGGTATGTCAGGGCAGGTCTATCTTTCTCTCCCTCCACACACGGCCCGTCCTCCGTTAGTTGCCTAGGCAGGTACTGGAGCTGGGTTTGGCTTTCGCGCCTGCGCGTGCCGGGCTAGGCTGGACGTTTGTAAGTGGGTACGCCCGTCACTAGGTACCTAGGTGATCACCCGTCCTTGTCGCTCATCACCTCTAATCACACACATAAATAACATCCCCACTATAGCCTAGTCCTAACCCTAACTCAATCCAAACCCTAACTCTAACCACCCCTCCCCCGTTCCCTTTCCACCCCACCCTACACTAGCACACCCAGCAACGCGGCTCGCCCACGTATGATCACCAATAGTGGATATCGACATCAATATGCCCGTTCCTGTCTCAGGCACCCACCCACCCACCCCACCGGCTAACCCTACCCTGCCTTACCTATACCTACTTATACCTATACCTATATACGTATACCTACGTATATGTAAGCCTATGTATATGTATATGGAAAGCTATACGCCTGCGCCGCTATAGCTGCTGCTCTGGGCGCGGAGCCGCCTCCGTGCCTGCCGTGACTGCCGTGGCTGCCGTGGAGCCGGGCAGCGCTTCCGTGCTGTGCTTGTGCTTGTGGGTGTGGTTGTGATTGTTTTCGTGCGCTGTCCTGAAGAGGACGACAGGAGACAAAGGTGGAGTGACGATGGCACAGCAAAGCCAGACGTCCAGATGGCTACCTTACCTACCTAGCACGCCCTCGCCGCATCAGAAGAGCAGAACCTTAGCCGCGCTACGCCCTCGCCTCCTCTCCCTCAGACACAGGAACCACGCCCTCAAACAAGCCGCCCAGCCGCCCCTCCACCTTAACCAACTCGGCACACTCTCGCTCCCAGACCCCCCGCCCCAGCGCCTCGTCCCCACACACCGCCCGGCCCAAAACCCCCACCAAAGCCCGCAACTCGCTCCTCACATCACCCACACCCACACCCTCCGCACCACCCCCGTTCCCCACCACCTCCCCCTCCCCAATCCCCACCAACCCAACCCAAGCCCCCCCCACCCCCCGCAGCACCTCCCCTCTCCACACCCCCGCCCTAACCCACGCGCACCGCACCAGCACCCCCGCCGCGGCCGCCGCCTCCCGCAATAACGGCAAACAAGCCGCGCCCAGCGGATCCGCCAGCACATCCGCCAGCAGCGGCACCAGACGCCCCAAGTGCTTGACAGCATGGACGCCCAGGTCGTGGAGCAGCGGGCCCAGCTGCCGTAGCAACAACGCCGCGACGCGGACGTGCTGCCCCGCGTGCGCGAAGCCTGCTACCACGCCGTCCGTAACCAGGCGGTCGAGGGCGCGGGCACGAACGAGGGTAGCGGAATCGAAGGGGGCGGTGGGGGGGTGGGGGTTAGGAAGGGGGTGCGCGACGCGGGCGAGGGCGCGGAGGGCAGGGAACGCGGCGTGCAGGAGGGGGAGGGCGTCGGATTCTGGGGTCAGTGGCGGGAGGTACGTGAGGCAGGGCATGAGGGCGGCGTGGAAGACGGGGGCGAGCCCCGTGCGCTGCAGGAGGGGCGGCGGCGTCACGAGCAGGAGGGCGTGCAGCAGTGCTGCGCCTGTTGTTTTGTGCGGGGGCGAGGCGTCGTCGACGAGCGTGAGTATGGGGGGGACGAGTAAGGCCCATTCTTGTTCTACGCGCGCGCTGGACAGCGTCAACACCGTCCAGCGCAGCAGGTCTAGTGCATACTGCGCGCGCGCGCTCTTCCACGGCTGCGTCTCCGTCTCGTCCTCCAGCAGCGCTATGTTCGTGCGCGCCCGCTCCGTCTGCATGCTTTTGCGGCCTTGGCGCGTGATCTCGGGGTTACGTGCCTTTGCGAACAGCGGGCGGATGGTAAGCCGAAGGAAGTGCGCTGCGAGGTGGGGCGTGAGAGGCTCACCCTTCTTTCCTTTCTTTGGCTTTGCTGGCCTTTCTCTCTCAAACTCCCGGCCCGCGTCGGGGTTGGCTTCGCGCCACACGCGCACGTCCTCGATCACGTCGCCTGCATCCGTGACCGACGGGTTGCGCAGCTGCCATGCTGTGACTACGTCGAGCGCGGGCTTCATCCACGGTCCTGGTGGCGTCTCGAGCGCTTTGGCAAGCGCCTTGCCGTCGAGAAGAGGCTTGAGGTTGTAGGCCTCCCCTACGTCGATGTTTTGGATGTGGGACAGGAAGTTGCTGTAGGACGTGATGATGTCTATCAAGACAGGTCAGAAAAAGGATACTTTTTGAAAACTGATGACCAGATATAGCTTACCGTTCTCTGCACTCGCCATGTTCATAACTTCGTAAAGCAGCGCATACACCACCTGGTTTCTCCAGGTTGGTCCCCACCGACGGATCGCCATACCAAGAGTATCACGAGCAGCTGGGTTTTCTCCTTCCAACTTCCTATCCGGCCGTTTCTGTTGCGCGTTGAAACGATCCTTCAAGCCTCTAATCTCTTCGAGGTTCTTGATCGATGCGATTATGATATCACAGACCCTGTTCGTAGTCTTGATGCCTTCTCTGGCCACCTGAGCCGCTATCGGAGGGGGAGCTCTCGACCCTGGCTTGGACGGCTGCGGCTCAGGAGCATCTGTCCAGGGAACGAACGCAGAGATCAGCCAGGCCAAATACCTATCATCGGCATCACGGATGGCAAGGTCGCGGATAGTCTGGTGGGCGGGGCTACTGTCACCATTGTCTCCTGGGCCACTGCCGATGATTCTGTTCAAGCATTGGTACGCAATGGGCCACTCCTTTGGTGGTGTATAGTTGTGGTCTTTGGTGGGGTCTGAGAAGACAGTCTCATACAGGCCCAACTTTTCGATGCGATAGAGAGCAGAGACGGGGTCAGGACCTAGAGATCCTTGTGAGCTTGTGTTTGTTTGAGCGATTGTGCAAATTACCTTTGAGTGCCTTTTCTAGCTCAACGCCGACACGTTCCCGACTGATTTTAATGCGCAGCGCTTCCTTGATGTCCGCATGGCCCATGGCTTCTTCGGCAGCTGGATCGATCGTGTAGAAGAGCCTGCTGGCAAACCTAATCAAGCGCAACACACGCAGAGGGTCGTCTTTGAAGGTCTGATAGGGCTCAAGTGGGGTGCGAATAACCTTGAGCTGCATATCTTCAAAGCCCTTGCCGGTAAAGTCTTCAATCTCTGAGGTCTCCAGATTGTAAAACATGGCGTTGACGGTGGCATCACGGCGCAGAGCATCTTCTTCGGGCGAGCCAAATTCCATTTGCGGATTGCGGCTGTCTTCCGAGTACGTCTCCTTGCGCAAGTTTACAAGATCAATGTCAAGCCCCATGATATTCGTAGTCACCGTTTCAAGGTGTTTTGACTTTTCCGGGTTGGCTTCGATCTTGTGAAGACCACCCACGCGCTTGCTCTTGTCAGTGGTGCCGGCCTTGGCGTCAGCACCGTCTTTTGCAATGCCCTCAAGCCCATACTTTTCGGGGTTTCCGGGAACGCTCAGATAGTCTTTCATGCGAAGACCAAATTGATAGCCGGTCATCTTGTTGATGGCGACATCGATGTCATGGCTTCCCACGCCCAGCAGTTTGTCCCGCACCCAGCCGCCGGTGAAGCGGAGCACAAGGTTAGCATCAGCGAGCTCTTGGGGAAGTTCGACCTGAGAGTCGATGCTGGGGGCTGGGTTCTCGTCGATGTACTTGGCAACATCGAGAAGCAGCCGACGCAGCGTTTGCTCAATTTCGGTGAGCTCTAGCATCTTGGCAGTAGGAGCAGCGGTCGCCATGGTTCTTCTCAGGTCGACCAGCGGGTTGAAGGGCGACGCGACTCTGCGTCTCTTTGAACAGCGCTCTTCTGTTTGTGGTGATGGTCTTCTGGCGGACATGCAGCGTGCGAGCTGGGGAACGAGACGAGGCTCAAGGCGCTGGAGAGACAGGTGTCCGACGCGCTGGAGCAGAGAGAGCCTGGTCAAGGTCATACACGGAGCCGTGGGAATAGGTAAGTGCAGTGGGTTGGTTGTGCAGTGCATGCAGCAGACAAAAGATCCAAGGCGGCGGCCGGCTCAACCACGGGCGAGCGAGGATGGATGCAGTTGCGCGTCGATCGGGCGCCGCCATCTGCCGCGACGCAACACATCCATTTACCCCAGATCTCCTGCTCGCGACTCCTTGGCTCCGGCAATCCATGCGCTGCAACGCGCCCCGCACGAGGCCACAGCATCCACATTGGGCAGCAGAAAGCTCCCATGTCGCCTTTCGAAGATGACGCGACCCTGCACACGCACCACCGCCATTCCGATCCTGTAGACTCGTCGACCATCCTGCCCCAGCGCTCGTCGTCGCCCGCCTCGTCCATAACCTCCTCTATATCCAGCCTGCCATATCGCCGCTCCAACGCCACTCTCTCCTCCCTCTTCGCCTCCACCTCCACCCTCCGGCCCTCTAGTCCCACCTCCGGCACTGCCACGCCCACTGCACCCCTCGTTGCCGGTTCCGTCTTCTCGCCGCCTCCACGCAATGGCACCTCTTCTCCCCGCTCGCCGCACTTTGCCGGCGGCGGCAGCGACGAGTCGAGAATCCTCATACTCCGCTCGTTTGTCCCCCACGTTGCGGTGCTGGCATCGGCCGACACGGAAGAAATGTGCAGGCTGAAGGGTTTCCCTGGAGGCTTCTTGGAGCTGCTCCGACCGTATGGCGAGCTGGTGCAAGGTAAGGTTACCATCCGGGACAGCGTTGGCGCAAGCAGGAGCTGGGACGACTTTGGCATCCGCTTTGTCGGTTTGAAAGATGGCCTTGGAGTGCGCCCGTTCACTCCAAGGCAGAGCTCCGACACGAGGCCAGGTAGCGTCAATGAAAAACGGGCCCCGGGAGTGCCGTCGCAGACCTTCGCCCGGGTTGGCGGTGACGTCGGTGCGATAGAAGATGCTGTTGACAAGCATCTGTTGTACGCAGAGATGCAGTTGGGAAACACCGTCACGGACTATTTCAACTCTAAAAGAGCCAGTGGAGAAATGGCAAACTCGTCATCCCCATTTTACAGACTTTATCTTCGCCGATTACTTTCCGGGCTACCCATGACACCCCACGAAACCTTCTCACATCCGGTGGCGTGCGTTATTGCCATCAGTTCGCGCAGCCCGTCGCCGATAGAAGAATTGCGCAGGCTGTACGGAGGCACGAATCAAGGGGAGCAAAGATTACCGCAGTGGGTCAATAACGATTATTTACGATATTACGTGCTTGTGCACGACGAGGATCATGACGACATTGCCAAATCTACGGCGTTGTACGAGCAGATGAAGCGGCATTTTGGTTTACATTGTCATTTGTTGCGGTTGAGGAGCACTCAATGTGTGTCTTCGGATGATGATGCCGTCCGACTGCCCATGTGCGATTGGCTCTCTGCATCCGAGGAGCTAGCAGAGATCCAGAAACGAGGTAAGTGTCTCATATCCACGAGGTACGGCGCCATGTCTGACCATGCAGAAAACCTGGAGGACGTCGAGGACCCGACGCCGTGTCTGTTCGAATCCGATGCCACGGCGTTGCGCACTTTCATCCGCGAGCTCGTCACGCAGTCCGTCGTTCCCACGATGGAACGCCTCACCGTCACATGGAATGAGCAGGTGGCATCACGCCGACGAGGCATTAGCGGACGCTTCATGTCTCTATCAAAGCGCTGGACAGGGTTCGGCACATCATCGCGCCACTCGGGCGCTCTCCAAGGCGGTTCCGGGAGCAACTACGACTCACTTCAAGGCTTCTACCGGCCGGATACGCCTGAGGCCATCATGCGCAAGCTGGCCGACTATGCATTTATGCTGCGCGACTACCGGCTCGCGAGCAGCACGTACGAAATCCTGCGTAGTGACTTTAATAACGATAAGGCGTGGAAATACTACGCTGGAGCCAACGAAATGACAGTCATAGCCACACTTATGACGCCGACGCACGTGTCGTCGAAAACACGTTCCGAGAACCTTGACCAGATGCTCGAAACCGCCAGCTATTCGTACATCAGCCGGTGTGCGTCGCCATACCACGCGCTACGCACGCTAGCGCTCGGTCTCGAGCTACTCAAACTCCGTGGCTCCTCGGCCTCGGAAGATGCGGCGCGCTGGGCGGCGCGCATCCTGGAACTACGGCTCGTGGGCCCCATCGGACACGCCCTCTTCACAGAGCGCATGGGCGCATGCTACGCCAGCATCCAGGGCATCGGCACGATGCAATGGGGCGTCCGGCGGCGCAAGGCGGGGCTCTGGGCAGTGCTAGCAGCAGACGCCTGGGTACGGATGGAGAAGAGCGTGCAGGCAGAGAAATGCCTAGACGAGTCAGCAGCGCTGTACGGGACGCGCGCTGGCGCCGGCGAGGACGACGGCGAAAGTTCGTCGGCGCGCGGCCCCATCGACGAAATCGAGGAGCACAAGGACTTTCTCCTCGACCCGCGGCGGCCGCGCTCCATCGACTTCCAGGGCATGCGGCGCTTCCTGATCGAGCTGCGGCAGAGCGTGCTAGCGACGCGGCTGGCAGCACAAGGGTACGGCGACGCCGACGCCGACGCCGACACGGACGACTTGCCGCCTTCGGCCTCCATGGCTGCGGCTCCTTCTTCCGCTGCTACCGCGCCTCCTGGTGCCTCGGCCGCTGCGGCGGCGCACCCGACCCTGGAGCCCGTCGACGAGGTCAGCGAGACCCTCGACGTCACGCCTATGGGTGGCGGGAGGCCGCACCGCCGCAGCTTGATGGGCGGTGGGCCGGCGCCGTTTGCGCAGTTGGGCGAGAACGCGCTTAGTCCGATGCGGAGCAGGGAGGAGGAGCCGCCGCTCATGGTGCTGGAGGATACGAAGGGGAGGGGCGGGTTCGAGTAGTGTAGGGGGTAGGGGTGTGGGTTGCGGTGAAGGGGTTAGAGGGGGAGTGCTGGGGAGGGGCCGGGGTCGGTGCGATATGTGGCTGTGCTACAATACGACACAGCCACACTACCACCACGACTGGCACTGGCATTATCTCCATCACAACAACCCCTACCGCCGCCGGCAGTACCTACCTACCTACCCTCCGCAAGTAGACGGGTGTGCGCAGCAGTAATGACGTCGAAGCCTCCAACAAGGGCCAAGGCAGCGACAGAACCTACGATCGAGAAGGCAGGCAAGGAAGGGAGGGACGGGTCAGTTGTGTGTGCGTGTCTTGGGAAGGAGGTGGAGGTTGTTTTGTTTTGAACGAGTAGTCAGTTGGGTTGGGTTGGGTGCGAGAGCGCGTTGTCCTGCCGCGTTTGTGTGTTGTACTGTACGTATGTAGATATCCTGAATCGAGCGCGTTTGTGGGTTGTTTGCGTGCGTGGTTGTGCTGTGCTGGTGTGGTGGGGGTGTTGGTGCTTAGTGGTGATAGGTAGGTAGTGTTGCATGCGGTAATGTGCTATGCGGCAATACACAGGCGTGCTTGAGGGTATCGATCAGTGAGGGTAATGGCAGTTGGTAAGTGAAGTAAATAATAACAAGTTAGTGATGCAGATAGCAGCAAATTTATAGTGAAACAAGTAGTAGGAAATAGAGCAGGTGATAGTAATCGGAGCGGATAGGGTTATAGGGAAGTGATAATAAAAGACCTAGCGCCCTCTCTAATTTCACTACGCAGGTTCATCCCTATTAAAAACCAACAGGGATGAACGCCCTATTCTATCCAGTAGTATAGCTATATATAATACTCTCCAACTACGCCCAATTCGTCTAGAAAATATGAAAGCCCATTTATAACTGCGGATTTTATTTTTATTCCTTTAATTTTAAGACTTATAGTCCTGCTTTTTTATCTATATTTGAGTACGTGATGTTGCTGTCGTCACTGAAGGATTGGCCTTAAGCTATGTTGCCCCCCTCTCCCCCTTCACCACTTCAGCTGCTTGATAGTACGGATTTCTCTTTCGGTGCGGTTTTTAGCGTTTTTACTGGAGCTGTTGCCCGCTTTGCGTCCCAGAGCTACATACGTTAATTAAAACTCTGGTATCATACCATTCGACCCCCGCACTCAATGATTGCTCTCCTCTCCTCCATGCTCTCATTCTAAGCAGTCGCATCCAAAACCTCACGCTATATTCAAATCCCACGCCTACTTGCTGTGGACCGTGAATCATACACCCTAACTTGCCCAATTCTCCGCCACTGCTTTGCCTGACAACCTTATGACGGGCATGAGTATTCCCCTTGTTTATAACCTATGGATCAACTGCTAAAACCACGCGAATCTTTCGACCACAATGAATGATTGTACATATAGATGTACAGTAGCATTATAACATATACCTGCTTTTGCACGTTATACCGCGATGAGATAGAGCAATATCACCAAGGCAAATGCCATGCCTATAGGAGCGTTTACGGCGGTTTTAAGCTAGCTTCTCCAGTACATAGTCTACGTATGCGTACTAACAACATTATAAACAGAGAGTCGTTACCCAAACCACAACGCTCACTATGTCACATCAGCGGTACTCACCACCACCACTGTCTATATATGTTCGTCAGCATATCTAGTTAATACATTCCAACAGCGCGACCCATTCTCTTGGTTCAGAGCTTTCTTTAACGCCAATATTGGTTCTTCTTACGGTAGGTCAACCCCGTCAACTCTTCCTCTACCACCTTTTTTTTTAAACCTCCTGTCGTGACTTGTCATTAGTCCTTTTGCTAAGAACTTTTTCGATGTTGTGTGCTGATGCTTTTATAATTCTTCCTTCTGATGGCGAACTCACTGACTCCATTTTTTAATAGCCTAATACGTCATCGGCCAAGGACTGCACTGATCTGGTATGGCCTTGTTGATATGGTTCTGATACAGGTCGCTCACGGTATAAGAAGACTGACAAGCAGTAGCAGTAGAATTCATTTTGATTGGACACACAGCGCGGGAAAAACACAAACACGCAGACAAGCAGATAGCCCACCTGTCAGTTTCATAAAAGCTACCCGGATGAAAACATCCACCCCTATCCCGGCCTCAAATGCGATAAATCGTCCCGAGTACATGGCAACAGCATGGAAAAGCAGCAATCAAAAATAGTAGCACCATGAGTCGTGCAGGATGCTTCTATTTTGTACAGACAGCATAGAATAGCATGGCAAACCGCGGCCTCGCCTTGGCGGGCCATAACCCCCAAACTCTATGACCGCACCCACCATATCGCAAGCGCCCAGGACTAACCCCTCGACGACGACGCATTACTCCTATTTCTGGTCCTCCTCCCACTCCGGGTTCTGTATGCAGAGAAGATGCGTTAGCGGCAATCCAGGATACAGCGGGATATAAATGTGAGGAGTAAACTGTACGTACCTTTCTTAAGATGACGATGCCCTCCAGCGTGCTGGCCAGGCTGATGTACTGCTCGTCCTCGAGCTCGGCGCGCTCGCCATACGCCAACAGCACCGGCGTGCTCTGCGTCTGCCAGCCCGTGATGGTCTTCGGCCTTCCAGCCTGGCCCACCACGTCGACTGCCTGACCCACGCGCACGTTCACCGTCACCGGCTTCAGCTCCTCGTCCAATGTGATCAGGAATCGCGGCTGCATCGCCGCCACCATAAAGTACAACAGGTAATGGCTGTCGGCCAGCACGAATTGCTTCGCGTCGATCAGCGACACGAGCACCGTAAGCAGACCTGCCGCCGCCACCCGCGACAGCACTTGCCGGTCCGTGTGGAAAGGGTTGACCGAGACTGTGCCCTTGCCCATATGCAAAAGACCTTGTGCGATGCGCACCATGAACAGTGCGTTGGGGTCGCGGCTGTAGTACGAAGCCAGCTGGCGCAGTAGCTGAGCCAAACGTGCGTTGTTAGTGCCTGCGCCTAGAAGGCCCATGGCGAAGATGGCGTTAATGGCGACATCATTGTCGTTGTCGTGGCTGTATCTCGACAGCGTGTCGTAGACCTTCATCTGCGGGTTGCTGGGGGAAATGAGACCCATGGCCAGCGGCACGGCCTTGCGGATGTTGGCCTCGCCGTAGTGCATCAAGTGGCCAAAGTTACGCAGGACCATCTCTTGTCCGACCTCCTCGCCCATGGCCACCAAACTGATACCAATGACGGCATAGGCTTGCAGAAGCTCATCGCCCTTCTTGTCCTCGTTCTCCTCCTCAAAGTGCTCGTTGCAAATGTGGAGGAGTTGCTGGATCTTCAGCACCGCGCCAGTGCCTGCCCAAGCGCAGACCTCGGCCAGAACGGAGGTGGGCTTCGACATGGGGTGGTCGATGGCCTTCAGCGTCTCAAGGATGACATCAACCTCCTCCTGCTGGCCAAAGAACAGCAACGCAAGACCCAATGCCATGAACCTTGTCCACTTGTCCTTCAGCTGCTTCGTCCGGTCCTCATCAAGGAAAGTCTGGATGATGGCTTCACTGACATCGCTCTGCGCAGATCCCACGAAGATCATACCAAGCGCCAAAGCGGCCATGGCGGAAAGCTGCATGTCAAGAGAAGTGTCACCAACGATTGGCAGGAGGAGATCAAGGAGTTCTTCCTTGTTCGATCCTGCGTACGCCAGGCCCAGACCCATGATGGAGGCAACCCGAATCTGTACGCTCTTGTTCTCCAAGTTGTCCGTGTCGCCCAGGAGAGCCATGGCGGGGTCAGCGTCGCTTCTTACACCAGAGTTGACGATACCGCTAGCCAGCATGGCACCAGCCTTGATTTGGTCTTCCTCCAAGTAAGTGTAACGGTCAATCTTGTCCAGACCACCCTCGGTATCCCACTGCATCAACAGACCCAGAGACGCGGCCGTGGACAGCATACCCTCGTCCTTGGTTCTCCAGACCCAGCTGTTCTTGTCCTCATCAACCAGCATCATCTTATCCTGGCCGAAACCAGCATTGACAAATGCGTTGACAAATGCGCTCGCGAGGTTGTGCCTGGCGGAATCGGTGTTCGTCAAGCCAGCTGTCCGACTGCTCTCCAGGTGAGTCTTGTAGATGTCATCGGGCGTCTTGGGATCCAGAACATTCAGCTCCTTGCCGAGGTGCTTGAAGTAGTCGGCGAGCCTGGTGTTGCTGAGACACTCCGCCAGCTCGCCATCCTCCTCGTCTTCCGGCAAATCAATGACAACCCGCTGCCGCGCGATAAGGAATGCCATCTGCTTCTTGATCGACTTGTCCTCGGTGGCATCAAAGGCTTCCTGGATCAGATCCTTGTCGTTCAGGCGGATTGCGATTACTACCGCTGGGGTGTACTGCTTGTATTGACTGTAGATCTTGTAGGCGGTGCGGAGGAAGCGGTCGTTGTCGGGATAAGTGAGAAGAGGGACCATGCTACGCACAATTAGTAGCCGTCTTCCAGGACCGTTATCCGCGTCATCTTACCTGACCATGTAAAGTGCCACTCTTGAGAAGGTATTCTCGTCGAGGTACTCTACAATCTGCTCAATCATCTCCAACTCGCTGAGAATATCCACAACATCGGCCTCCGCGTTGTGCTTCAGGAAGAACGGCACGAGGGTCAGCGCAAGGTCGGTCAAGTCGTCCGCAGGCTTGTCATCGTTCAGTCTGTTCTGGAACTCCTGTCCGATCTCGAGAGCAAGGTGGCGCATGTATTCGTGGCCCCATGATCCAAGGTCCTTCGAGGGCGAGAGTAACCGGTACTTTAGACAATCGTGGCGGTCTTCGTCCGAGTAGGTCATTCCGAGCACTGACATCATGTCCGCGAAAGAAACCTAACTCCGATGTTAGCACTCACAACTTAAACCCTACCAAGCTCCGTACCTTGTCTTCTCCTTCGGGCCATGATTCGTAGGTCTTCTCGAGCTGCTCGTAGTGCGGGCGGAGGAATTTGAGCGGCTTTGGCACAGCCGTCATAGAGGACGTCGAAGTCTTGATGAAATTCTTGATCGCCTCCAGCGCAGGCTTGTATAGGCTGGTGTCGGACTCCTAGCGGGGAAAGGTCAGCTGGGACGGCGAGTGGAGGCAAACAGTCCGCCGCACCTGTATCCGCTCGACAAGCATGTCCAGTTCACTCTTAAGTTGCTGGTCCTCCTCGCTCAGCTCCTCTGAGACTATGTCAGCGACGCCTGAACCGCTAGTATGATGCAAAAGCTACAACGCCGCCCGGCGTCCCGGTGGCCATACTAACCTGGGGGCAGGTCAAGCTTCTCATCTTCTTTGATTATCTTGCCATCTTTGTCCCTCTTCGGCTCCTTTGGCTTCTCTTCAACGGCCTTGCCCTTGCCCTTGTCGACGGAGGTGGGCTTCTCGTCCTCTTTCGCCATGTCGGAGATGGATCAGTGATTCGTGGCTATTGGGGCGAGGTCAGGGATGCGGCGCGCAGTGAAAGCTCCGGACTATGATGTGGCGCGGTCCGGATGAGACGTGGCGAGGGATGGGTTGGGGGGAAATGCGAGGTGGTGGGTTGCAGCGATAGGTAGGTAGCTGTCGGTTGCTTGAGGCGCGTCCGTGAAGCTCTCATCGTTAGTCAGCGACAGAGGGCTGACGTTCTCTTGGCGCGATTCGAAAAGTTCCCAACCTACCTGCGATGCGACCACCGCAAAGTCTCAAGGAGAGTATTTTTGTGGCAGTTTCTTAGGCTTGCTCAGACACAATGAAGCTCGACACCAAGGCCATTCGTTATCTCACCGCTGAGGACTGGCGCGTCCTCACGGCAGTATGTCTTGCAGACCTGGTCAGCAACCCTCTTGGCTAACGGCTGATGAGATGCGCACAGGTAGAGATGGGCAGCAAGAACCATGAGGTCGTTCCTACTCCCTTGATCGCCAACATCTCTGGGCTCCGTGGCGGCACCGGCGTTCACAAATGCATCTCCAACCTCGCCAAAGTCGGTCTGATCGCAAAAGTCAAGAACGCAAAGTACGACGGTTACCGCCTAACCTACGGTGGCCTCGACTACCTGGCCTTGAACACGCATCGCAAGCAGGACAATGTTTTCAGCGTGGGCAACCAAATTGGTGTGGGCAAAGAATCCGACATCTACGTCGTCGCTGCTCCCAGCGGAGTTCAGAGAGTGCTTAAAATCCACCGCCTGGGTCGCATCTCTTTCCGCACCGTCAAGGCCAATCGGGACTATCTGCGGAACCGCTCTTCTGGATCATGGATGTACATGTCGCGCTTGGCCGCGCTTAAAGAATACGCGTTCATGACGGCTCTGAGAGATAATGGATTCGTCGTCCCAGAGCCGATTGCGCAGAGCAGACACACCATTGTCATGAGCTTGGTAGATGCCTTTCCTATGAGGCAGATTGGCAGTGTTCCGGACCCGGCAAGCCTATACGAGCAGCTCATGAACACCATTATTCGTCTGGCGAAGTTCGGTCTTATCCACGGTGATTTCAACGAGTTCAACATCCTAGTGGAAGAAAAAACAAGCACTGCAGAGGGCGACAGTGAACCGAAAATCACTCTCCATCCTGTCTTGATCGATTTCCCGCAGATGGTTTCTATTCAACACCCCAATGCGGAATATTACTTCGATCGAGATGTTGCTTGCATTAAGCGTTTCTTCGAGCGCCGCTTCTACTTCGTCAGTGATGAAGAAGGACCATTCTTCGCTGATGCGACCAAAATAGTTGGAGAAGCTGCAGGCGCAAAGCGTCTAGATGTCGAGGTGGAGGCCTCCGGTTTCAGCAGGAAGATGGCCAAGGAGCTAGAAGCATACATGAAGGAGGTCGGCGTAGACGGCGATGCAGAGGGCGATGTTGAGCAGGCTGAAGACGAGGAGGAAGGTGAAGGGTCGGAAGATGACAACGAAGATGCCGATGAGGAGGTGGACGACGAGGAGGACACCGGGGCTCAAAAGGACGATGTCCCTGAAGAGTCAACCGGTCAACCACTCACAGAAGCTGCGCTTCAAGGGATGACGGCTCTCCACATCAACGACGATACCCCGGTGAAACCAGGCGACATCCCTATCCCCAACAAGCAGTCAGTTCCAAAACCCCAAAAGTCAGCCAAGGCGAAGTCTGGGTGGGCAATTTGATCTCGGAACATGCTGCGTCTCAACCACAAACTGTTGTTGAGTAGATCACGGAAATAATGTTGGCAGCCGAGGTTCCCTCCAGCGGCGTCCGCATTGTCGGCAATCGACAACGAGACGGCCGTCATGCGATGAGGTGTTTCTGCGGCTCCAGAAGCGGTTCCCCGATCGCGTGCCTTCGCGAGGATAGTGTGCAAACGAGGCTTCTCGCAAGATGTTCCATATACGGGCGCATAACGCGAGGTCGAGCTTGCAGGGTGGTTCGGGAGGCGAGGCGGACCGCATCTTGCGGTGTTGACATGAGCAGCAAATGCGCCGCGGATAGTGCATAGTGAACCCTGTCAGGTAGCGGGTTAAAGAGGGTCCGCCCAAGGAGCCGCTTGAATACCTAGCGATAGTTAATGCTAGCACTATCACCTCTGTGTGATTGTTTCACACCAAAAATTGCAAATAGTTACATCCGCCGCAGCTGCCAGGAGCGCTGCGGGCAACGGAGAACCATGGCTCTCGCGTGCGCATTCCCGTTTGGGGGCCCTGTGTTACAAAGGATGATCCCTGTCTGTGAACGTCAGATTTCTTTTTAGTCCACACGGTGACTCCACTTCCCAGTGTTCCCTTAGCTAGCCCGTAATCGCCATAATGATTCGGCAAAGCCGCGATCATGTCCGCGCACAGCGTTACCCCAAGTCCTTGTCCTCCATGACCTGACTGACTCTTCCCCCTTCGTGGCTGACCGTCAATCTCTCCAAAAACCACCACCCTGCAATTCTCGATCCGCTCGCTCAATTGCAAGCGAAGCCGGGGACATCTGACGCAATGGCGCCCTTCGCAAACCCGTCCTCGGCTGAACACCAGTTGGGCACGTCATACAGGTCACACCGAAGCTCCTTTGGCCCCTCTTCGCCCATCGCAGAAGCCGCCATTGCGCGCGACCTCGAAGACGACCCCTACGACTCCGCCACTAGCGACGAAGACCTAGACTCCGAGAATGTCGCCCTGCCCTCCGAATACACGCTCGCCGAAGGCTACCGCCGGCCCAGCGTGTATGCCACGGGCCCGCGCGCCGCCGTCGTCCAGAGCCTGAGCGTCCCAGAGCACCAATACTTGACAAAGAGGGACAGAGATGCCGCGAGGGTTGAAGAGCGCAGTCTGCTCCGCGACAACAACATCATTCCGCCGAAGCACCCGCGTGCCCGCGCGCACAGCGGTTCGCGGTCCTTCAAGAGCCTTAGCGCGCAACTCTCCATGCCTGGACTGCGGCGCGCGGCACGGGACCAAGAACCTGCCATTGGTGGCGATGCTACGGAAGAGACGTCCTTGCTTGGCGACTCGACTCAGCCCTATGGTGGACAAGACACACCGGAAAACATAAACAAGAGATGGGAGGAGGCAGTCGCGGCAGGCAAGATCCAGACGAGCTGGCGCCGAGAGGCAAAGGTGCTGACCAGGTACTCGAGCCCGCTGATCCTCACGTTCTTGCTGCAGTACAGCTTGACGGTCGCGAGTATCTTCACTGTTGGACATATTGGAAAGATAGAGCTGGGTGCGGTTAGCTTGGCCAGTATGACGGCCAACATTACCGGATACTCGGTCTACCAGGGCCTGGCGACAAGTCTGGACACGCTGTGCGCGCAGGCATATGGCTCAGGCAGGAAGACGCTCGTTGGCTTGCAGCTTCAGCGCATGGTGTACTTCCTGTGGGTTATTACTATTCCTATTGCTGCTATATGGCTTGCCGGCACACAGATTCTGGAAGCTATCGTCCCCGAAAAAGAGACGGCAAAGCTGGCTGGTCTATACCTGAAGGTTATCCTATTCGGCGCTCCAGGATATGCTGCCTTTGAAAGTGGAAAGAGATATGTGCAGGCACAGGGTCTCTTTTCAGCAACGACATACGTTCTGCTAGTCTGCGCGCCGCTGAACGCGCTCATGAACTGGCTGTTCGTCTGGGTATGACCTCCCCTGTCCCCACCATACCCACCCTTCTAAAACAACCCACTAACACCTCACCCACAGCGCTTCAAATGGGGTTTCATCGGCGCGCCCATCGCCGTCGCCGTAACGGAAAACATGCTCCCACTCTGCCTCTTCCTCTACGTGTACCTAATTGACGGCCGGCAATGCTGGGGCGGCTTCGAGCGCCGCGCCTTTAGCAACTGGGGACCGATGATCCGGCTCGCACTCCCCGGACTCGTCATGGTCCTCGCCGAGTTCCTCGCCTTCGAGATCCTGACCCTCTCCGCCAGCTGGATCAGCACGACGCACCTAGCGGCGCAAAGCGTCCTCTCCACGCTAACGGCCATAACATTCCAAATCCCGTTCCCGGTCTCGATAGCCGCAAGCACGCGCATCGCCAACCTAATCGGGGCGACGCTCTCGCGGCCCGCAAAGACAGCCGCCAAAGTCGCACTCGTAGCCTCCGTCTTCATCGGCCTGCTAAACGTGACGCTCCTGTCCAGCCTACGCAACTACATCCCGCAGCTCTTCACCAACGACGCGGACGTCGTCGACGTCGTCGCAGCCGTGCTGCCCCTGTGCGCGGCGTTCCAGCTCTTCGACGCCCTCGCTGCCTGCTGCAACGGCATTCTGCGCGGCCTCGGCCGCCAGGAAATCGGCGGCTACGTCAACCTCTTCGCTTACTACGTCGTCGCTATGCCGATTTCTTTCGGCACCGGCTTCGGTCTTGGATGGGGCTTGTTTGGCCTTTGGGCCGGTCCGGCCCTGGCGCTGGGTTTGGTTGCGGGGATTGAGGGCTGGTTTATTCATAGGACGAGTTGGGAGTCGGCGGTTGAGGAGGCTCATAAGCGGAATACGATGGCTTAGGGGACGGAAGAAAAGTTTTGTGTTTGGTTTTTGGGGTTGATTTTGGGTTTGGACTTGGGCTTGGGTTTTTGGGGCTAGGTTGGGCTTTGGTAATTTGTTGTGCGTGTTTGCATGCATGTGCTTGGTGTTTGGTTTGGGGGGATACCAGTCTTTTTTCCTTGCATTTGTTCATGATAGCCTTGGTAGTAATAAATAAAGTATACAGGTACAGTCGAGGTTGGTTAGAAAGCTTGAACTCCGGACAGTACGTACTCTCGTGCTTTCCTATTACTGCTTGTTAAAGCATAGCCACCAAGCACCATCTAAGCAGAAAGTTAAATCTGTATATTACTGTCTACGAAGTACTGGGTACGTATAGCAGAGCTAAAGTGACAGAGGGTCTAGGAATGTGCATATGAATAGCCAAAAGGGCAAGCAAATTATTGAGACCTGAACATTATATACAACTACATATTACGCCTTCCTTCCCCAAAGCAAGTTTAGACAGACGGCTCGTTCGTGGTCCTCAACAGCGCATTCGCAGCATTGACCTCTTCATCCTTGGGCAAGATATGCGGGACCGGGCCTAAGGGAGTGATGTTGAAGGGGTTGATCTGCTTATGGCTCTTGGTGTAGTGCTTCTTGATATGGTCGAACTGTGTCGTGTCGTGGAACGCCGGGACGTCCCAGTAGAGCTTGCGCACCCACTTATGCAGGGCCGGGTAGCCGGAGCGGATGTCCTTGAGGTTGGTCTTGAAGTGCTGGACGTAGACGGGGTCGAAGCGGATGATGGTCGTGTAGAGGCGGACGTCGGCTTCGGTGATCTTGTCGCCGAAGTAGTAGGGACCGGGCGAGGAGGCGAGGTGCTCCTCGGCGCGGTCGAGCGCTTTGAATAGCGTCGTTACGTTTTTCTCGTACGCTTCTTGCGTGCTGCGAGATGGTTAGTGGGGTGCTTGAGGGCGGGGAGAGTGGGGGTGCTTACGTCGCGAAACCGCTCTTGTATACGCCGTTGTTGATGTCGTTGTACGTCCAGTCGTTGGTAGCTTCAATCTTCTCGCGCAGCGCCTCCGGGAACAGATCAATGGACTTGTAGGGCTCGGGCAGCAGGTCGTCAAACTCGTAGTAGAGCATGCGGATGATCTCGCTGCTTTCATTGCTCACGATCCGCCTCTGCTTTGTGTCGTACAGCGTCGGTACTGTGAAGCGCCCATTGTAGTCCTTGTCATTCTCGTAGTAGATGTCCTGCAGGTGCGTGTACTCCGGGTGGTGGGGATCAGGACCGGAGTTCTCGCCTGGTAGGTTCTCGTCTGGTGTCGCAAAACGCCAGCCTGGCACGGTCTTGCGTCAGCATGTTTTCTTCTTCTTCTCCTTTGCGCGAGGTGCTTACCCTTCTCGCCCATATGCCAGTGCACCGACGTGAACCCAATGAAGTCTTCCAGCCCCTTCAGCTTCCGGACAATCAGCGTGCGGTGCGCCCATGGGCATGCATATGAGACATAGAGGTGGTATCTGCCCTTCTCAGGCGGGAATTCTGCGCCGGGCTTCCGCGAGATGAAGTTCCGGAAGACGGAGGTCTGGCGCTTGAACTCGCCGGTCTTGTCCTTCGGGTCGACCCAATTGAGAATGTTCTTCTTGTCCTGGCCCTCGGTCTGCGCGTCTCGTTTTAGCTAGTGGGCATTGATGCGACGCTGCGGCGCAAACTCACTGCCATGCTTGCGATAAATGTTCGTGAGATCAACGGTGCTCTTGGTGCGAATAGATGGTTGCCAATTAACCGGGTACGGGCGAGAATCGAACTCATAAACTAGGAGTGGAAGGCTTGAGTGCTCAAGGTAAATTGTTGTTGTTGGCAGGTAGGTGGCGGTATAAATTTATATGAGATAGGTACCTATGAGCTCTTCCATGGGAGTGGATGACGAAAGCGCGGGGTCTGCGGTCGCGCATTGACAAATCCGTCGTTGAATTCGGCCATTCGCTGACCGAAGTTGACAAATGCATAGGTAGGCTGTCGCAGCGCAGCGTACGGAGTAGCATTGATAACCTGACAACCAGTGCTGACCAATGTCGCTTCCAATCCATGCCATTCTTGCGGAGGGAACAAAAAATCGTGGGAAGCCGGACGGAGAATGGGAGGGGCAGACGTCTTGGCGAGCAAAGAGCGGAGCGGAACATGCACGGACCCGTTTGGGGAGCTTCGGCGAAGACAATCGGCAATCGGTGGACTTCATCAACCTGCTGGCTCCCTGAGACTCGCACCATCGTGTGTGTATGAGCCGCTTCCTTGCGCCTGTTATCTCATACCCCTAACACATCTTTGGTGTACAGTTGCCAAAGTTGTTCAATGCAATAGCCTCGGGTACGGCAGCGCATCGTCCTGACTTGCAACGGCGACGCGCCGTTGGCCTACTTTCCCTTGACACTCGAGTAATGCAACCAGGCTGAGGCCGCCATGTCGAAGGCAGGCAGTTCCACGACCCCGATCGTGCAGAAGATTTGCACTTTGTGGACTCACGATGAGAGCCTTTCCCGTGAGGAGGCTGTCATCAACATCGACAAATTCCCCGAACTTGGAATCACTTCTGGGTCGCTCGTAAAGATTATCCCTCTGAAGCAGAGTACTTCAGTACGGGACTTTCATGGCGACACGCGATCTTCATCCCGAGAGGGCAGCCGCCGGATCAGGTTAGATACGGCACATAGGACCACCTCAACAGGCACCACTTCACGCAAAAACCGCACCGGCTCAGCAACCTTGACCTTTGACGAAAATGGCCATAGAACACATGGCGCTCGGGATGTGGACTCTCAAAAGACATACATCTTCGTTGCGAAGTCGTTGAGCCAAGAACTTCGCGCAAAATACCCACAACTGCAGGTGTCTGTATCAGACACCATATCCCGTGCATTTGGCTTCCGAAATCGCATGCAAGTCGTCCTATCTCCTGCGGAAGATGAGGTCTACTCTGCATCGCATGTCGAAATCAGCTTCCGTGACGAATACCTCTCACGTGCCGACATGTGGAGATTTGCCATTTCTGAGATGAGTGGTAAAACAGTCTACAGAGGCCAGAAACTGCTTTTTATGGGGACGATTAAAGCAACAATCAAAAATGTCTTTGTTGATGGCCAACCCACCCACTCGGGCTATTTTTCGCCAGTCACAAAACCAATATTTCGTAGTGAATCGGCTCGCTTTGTTCTGTTCATCCAAATGTCCAAGGAGATGTGGAACTTTGACACGGAAGGTACGGGCGAGATCATGTTCAACAAAGTCATCAATGGCTTTTTACCGGACCTATTCAAGAGGTGGATGAGGCTTGATGTGAAGCACCTCGTGACCATCATCCTATTCACCAGAATGCATTACGACAGAAATGTTTTACCCTTGGACAGTGAAGCGAACGGTGCACCGTTCGACGCTGACCCCGACAATGACAGAAAGGGAACTAGAGACTTTTATAAAGTTGTGGTTAGCGAGATGGCAAGTTGCGACTGGATCAACATTCTCTATCAGCTCAAGAAAGAGTTCCGTGCTTTTCTTCGCGATGTATGCATCGTCCCTTATCCGGAGACGAGGCACAAATCGCCAGGTTTGGGGATTGATGATGGCAACGAAGACCATCCGGAGTATGTCATTGCTGGAACACCTACCACTGCGGTCAAAGGTAACATCCTAGAGGCCATCAATCTTGCAGCCATGCAATATTCCAAAGACTACATTGACCGGGACCTTGTCAGGACGGGAATATCCGCTATCATCATCACACCCGGGACTGGGCTTTTTGAAGTTGACTATAGCATGCTCAAGTTAACGACTGAGACGTTGCTTGGGAGTGGCATAGGCATTGATCTTGTATCATTGCAGCCAATGCCTTTGCACTCTGTTCCCCTGTTCAAATACAGAAATCCTCGCCTGGCCAGGGATACGGAATCCAAGCTACACATGCCTCCCAAAGTGGATGAGGAAACCGAAGATTCAGACGTTGTTGATCCCCTCGATGAGAGCACTCCGCGCCAAAACTATCCCAACTTTGGCCCTCTAAAGAACCCAAAACAGCGTAGTGTTGCCTCGCTAGCAGCATCTCCGGCAAAGTATCAAAGTCACCACCATCATCACCACCACCCCTTTGACACAGCGGAACCACAACCGGGAGATTGGAGCTATGCTATGCCATATTGGTTGGACATCTCGTTCTGGACCGGTACTGCGGACGAAATCTTTGAAATCACCAACAGCAAGAAAGGCGATGGCTCACGTCCGAAAATTCAAAGAAAGAAGAAGGGGTTCCAGTTGAGATGCCGCATGTACGAGCTTCAAATGATGGGAGTGATGGAAAATGAGATGAGCAACATAGCGTTGCCCTATCTACAAGAGAGTCCGATGTACCCTTGGTCTCTTTTGGCGTCACGGGAGGATCCAATGGTAGAGCCATACCACAGCAAACAGCCTTTCCTTACTTCAGCCAATGCGTCCCCAAAGAATTTCCGATCACATGCTCCTCGGCCTCACGCACATGATACTGGCCAAACATCACTCCAAAGAGCTTGGATGGATACTTATGACGACCACGTCTTCAAACCCTTGCCCCAGAGGCAAAAGGCTGAAGGCGAAGCCCGGCAAATTCGTCAACAAAAAGAGCTGGAAGCAAGAAGGGCACTGCGTACGAACCGAGCTCGCAATGCGCCCAGTGACTCTCTGCTCTCTGCATCTTTCAACAGCCACATAGAATCACTAGGTAGCTCGGCTAGGCCGCCTAAATCTCCGCTGATGCTGAGAACCAAAGACTCTACCGGCGACCTCCAGGATACCTCAAAAGATAGGCGTGGAACAGCCATGAAGGCGCTCGGACAAAAACTCAGCGTCGGCTCGAGGCATGCACCAGAGCATAGACGAAGTCCTCCAGATTTTGAACCAGAGGAACCACATTTCAGAACAGGTACATTCAGTCCGACCCATACGTCTTACAACAAAGACGCTGCGGGAACCAGCCCAGAAGGCTTGCCACACACGACTGTCGATCCCGACTCATCTTTGAGCCCTCGAGCGAAGCCCTCATCGAACCCGAATCTTCTACAGCTACCGGAGACAGTTGACCGTGGCAGGTCAAAACAAGTAGAAGAATCCACTAACCCGCGGTCTACAAACTCAAGTGCCACGCCGAAAGCCGGAAAATGGCTGTCTAGGCATATCAGTTTCACGGCCTTCGGTTTCGGGCCTTCGAAGGCTGCGCCAAGTATAGAAGTCTCAACAGGCAAGGTTGCTCCAGCTGCTCTGACTCGCAAGCCATCTCAACACAGTGGCCTTTCGGTAACATTAGACGAAGCGCAAAGTGCCAAGAGACCCTCTCAGCCAATCGAAATCCAATCGAGGTCTAGGCAATCGTCTATACATGATGCAACACGTTCTAGTATGCATGTTGGATCCGCAGGAACCCCGAAAGACAGGACCGAAGACAAAGGAATATCCACATCGCACAACAAAGATCCGGGATCCCTTTTCCTTCTTGCTGGTTCAAGGGGGTTACTGGACCAAGTCGGACCGAAGATAAACCTCTCATCCAGTGGTGATAGGCAAGAAATCCCTCGTACTCTGTCGCCAACAAGTGCACTAGCACCCTGGATGGTACTCGTTAATCCATGCAATCCAAAGAAGAATCATCTCACCATAGCCGAACAATTTCGCCGCTGGCATCATGTTTTCCCGTATCCAATCAGGGCGACTTCCATGAAATGGAAATCGCTTTGTTCTCCAGCAGCTGTACCGCTAACCAATGATTATTTCCCGACAGCAGAGCAGCTCGCTACGGAGTACAATGAAAACCCATATCGCATTATTCAAAACGAAGATGACGAAATGGCAGCTGCGCCGAAAAGCCGAGAGAATCTCATCAGAGAACTAATAGCCTTTCGTCTCTCTCATGGGTTCCAGATTGTCGTCGGGCCCGCCGTAGCGGACGTGGTTGGGAAACCAGAACGCGAGCTTGCCAATGTTTTTGCAAAAGACTTCATGGCAAAGGATGGGTCCTCGGTTTTTATGTGCGTTGGTAATACGATCCATCAGCTGGTATGCGTCAGTGGGGGTGAGGTTGAAGTCAAGAGGTTCAACCGCAAACCTACAGCGACATTGTCATCGACAAGTAACGTACAGCCTCCGTTCATCTACAAGCCGCTGATCAGAACGGCCTTGGATGATGGCTACGCCATCCAGGAAATACCGCTAAAGCCTCGACGAGGAGAATTCAACTGGAACTTTATAGACAGCTACCTCGCTGGCTATGAGCAGGACTTCTCAGATACTCTCCGATTCTGGCGGGCACGCTTCGTGCTCATCCCAGTCGATATACCACCAAACCCGCGACGCCGTTTGGACATGCTTCCTGAGGATTCAGACGAAGAAATTCGACTGGAAGGGATACGAAAGCTTACGCAAGTTTGGCAAAGGTACCGCTATGTACCTCCAGAAGAACGTCAATTCGAGCCTACAACGCAAAGACGCAAGGACACTAACCCTCTTGCCATCGAGTACCAGACACGGGATCCATCAGCAGTTATTGCAGCGGGCCCGGATGGCACACTTCTGGCAGAGGGAGCAGCAGATGCTTACGCATACCCGACAGGGCTGTTTGCAGAAACAACAGAGTCCTACTTGCGTTCCAATTACGACTTGAATAAGCTGGCACAAGACTTGCAAGGCGAGAAAGGCATTCAGATGACGGATCGAAGATGGCATTTGCGTCTCCATTTAAGCTGCTTCGTTGGCTTTGATCTGACAACCTGGCTCATAAAGAACTTCAAGGACGTCGAGACGCGCGAGCAAGCAGTGGAATTAGGTAACGAGCTGATGAGAAAGGGGTTGTTCCAGCACGTGCAGAAGAAGCATCATTTCCGTGATGGTAACTTCTTCTACCACATTGCATCCGAGTACCGCCTGCCTCGCTCAAATGCATCCAGTAGCTGGATGAATTTTAGCGCTCGTCGTTCGGACAAGTCTGTCCCATCCACGCCAGTGGTCGAGCCGACAAGGTCTGCCTCTATCGCTTCGTCTCGTGGAAAGTCGCGTCCGAGCACTTCAGACTCCTCGACAGACTCGGGCGAGAAGACTCCTACGAAATCGGGGTCTCCAAAGAAGAGGGCCTCTCTCAGCAACGTCATGCGAATTGACGTCGATGTGCGCAAGAGGTCGTACAGACCTGAGATTATAAATCTTCACTACGACCGGCTGCACAATCCAGACAACTGCTACCACATCCGCATCGACTGGATGAACGTGACCGCAAAGCTCATCGAAGATGCCATCAACACTTGGGCGTCCAATGTTGAAAAATATGGGCTTCGTCTCGTTGAGCTACCGATCGCAGAAGCCTCAGACATCGGTCACTCTCACCCATTCCGATCCCCTTACATGGTCCGCCCTGTTGTGCCTCCTCCGAAGGCCCCGCCAGCTCAAGGCGCGCAGTTTTTCGACGGCACATCATTTGGTCCTTCAAAACAAGCAGATAAATTTGCTTATCATAAAGCAATTCTGAAGAAGCTTGGCTTCGTGCTGGATATGGAAGCAGCTTCATGTTTCCCGGCAGACGTAGATGTGACGTATTCCTGGGGCCGACCCGACTACCGTTACACCCAATTCATCCACAAAACCGGCGTTCTGCTTGCCCAAATAACCCACGAAGGCGAGTTCTTGCTGCTCGCCAATAGGCTTTGTAACAGTCGAGGTGCGTTCGGGGTTGGGTTGGCAAGGGATTCAGTCAAGTTTGACAAAGCAACGACGGAAAGTATGGGCGCATGGGAGCGCGAGCAGCGGCGCGAACCGACCCCCATATACGGGCTTCACAACCCGACGCAAAACATGCGGTCGCCGTTCGCGTCGCCGATGTTTCGGCCGGTGCCGGACGCTGTTGTCAACGCATCATTGGTGTCGTCAGGGCCGGCGCCGACGTCGCAACCAGGAGGACACCAGCAGACTCGGATCGGGACGGACCGATCGTTCAAGACGGCAGAGCAGATCAAGGACGATATGGAGGCGCTATGCCTGGATGAGCGGGCGTTGCGGCAGTTCTACGCCGAAGAGGCGGAACGCAGCAAAAAGGCCAGCCACAACGCCAGCCCGAGCCCGCGCTCAACGCCCGTGCTAGAGTCGAGCATCCCGACTCTGGGCCTGCCGCCCAACATGACGTTGACGGGCACGAGCCCCAGCCCGCTGGGCATCTCGAGCGCGAGTCCCAGTCCGAGCTTGGGCGCAGCGTTGATCCCGCCCCCGCAGCAGCAGCAGCAACAGCAGTCGCAGGGTGAAGAAGACAAGGGAGGTGCTGGTGATGGTAGTAGTAGTAGCGAGGGTGGTGGAGAGGAGGAGGAGGAGGAGGGAGAAGGGGAATGAGTGTAAAGTAGTAGGTAGGTACATAGGTACATACTCTAGTACATAGGTTACCTAGGTATACAGTACGTATACGTCAAGGGGTCGGCGTCGGGCCGGACGGGTCGCGAAGCGTCTCGGCCATATGCAATAGTAGGGCTGGGGTGGTATAAGCTACAGCTCACGTCGGACTTACCGCCTGGGAGGATGCGGGGACCGACATGTGGCGGATGGGTGCGTTGTTGGGCCACAAGGCGCATGCACGGGCGCGCAGCTGAAAAAAGCCGGGTCGGTGGGTGGCGGCGCAGTGGGTGGCTTGAAAACCGCCGGGGAGCTTTGACACCGCTCTTTCGTCCGCCCGCTCTCGCTCGACAAACGCCGACGCCCTTCCCCCAGCACAACAATTATACCCTTTTCATTCTCTCTTCCTTCTCGCGGCCATGCCCTGCCAGCCGACCGCTCCCGACATCTCTCTTTTCCATGGAGTCTGAGGCCCGCCGCCCACCATGCTCGGCCAGCTGCTGCATTCCTTCAATCCCGCTCGCCGCGGCTCCGCCCGCCAGCCCAGCACCCTCATAGAGTCCGTCACCGAGGATTCGCACACGCGCAATCTGCTCTTCCCCGAGGCCAACCAGCTCTTCCACGCAGACTCGGCTGCCCAGGCCTTTGGCGGCAGCGCTGCCTACGACGGCGCCCAGGCTGGCATCGATCTTGAGCAGGCACGCGACTTCAGGGTCATCATCGCGCAGGACGAGGTGGGGCCCACGCCGCGGACCGTCCTCTTCGATTCCAAGCCCGACCCGGGCTCGTCACTGACGGCTGAACGGAGAGGCAGCAGAGGCCTGTTCAACACTGTCCAGACGCCAGCATATACCCCGGGCCATGGCCGCCGCTCGTCGCTGGCGCCGCAAGGCTCCGAGCCCCGCTCCCCCACCGTCAGTGCGTTCCAACGCGCGCGCACGCGCGGCGCGTCCATCTCGGCCATGTCCAACATCGACGAGGCGAGTCACGCCAGATCGAAGGAATCGGAGGAGCTGATTCGGACATGTCTGGACTGCATGTTTGGCAACACGGCCATGAGCTATAGGGGTCCGAGCAACAAGCTACACATCATACCGTTGGATCAGCGGCAGGCGGACCGGACCGTCGCAAGCCCCGCGCCCAGCGAAGCAACCAATTCGTTCGGCAGGAAACGCAGCGGATTGGCCACATCATACACGCCATCAAACATACCGGCTGAAGCCTCGCATGCGGCGAACGGCTTGCCAGAATATCAGAGCAAGGAGGCAAGGCGGCGGACTATACTCATTACGCGGACGTTTTCGGTGCAGCCACCGGACGAGGTCGAGATGCCGGACAGTGCTGGGTTAAAGACGCCGACGCCGGGAAGCTCGTTGGGGAAAGGCAGCCAATTCCCTTTTCCGCAAGTCAATACCCAAGGCCAGTACTCGTCGCACAGAGGATCTAAGCAACGGCGAACACCGATGTACGCCATTACTATAATACTGCATCTTCCGGTGGCTTCTGCCGCGCCTGCGCCAGTGTCTCGCTCTGGGATAGGCTCGCAAAAACCGGGAACTAAAACGCAGGGTGGCCAGGATTCTCTTGGGTCGTCGTTCGATTCAGAGCGCCGTGCAGGATGGACCTATGTGGACTCAGCTTTTGGCGTTGAGTCATTGCTGTCGACAGCCAGTAACAGCGATGTGGATGACAGAGTCGACGTGGTAGGACAACATTGGGACGTGATCACGAGGACGTTGACAAGCCTGCAATTCATTGTGCAGGACAAGATTATGAATATGTTCAGGGCTGCAGACTTGGCGACGCCGGCGTTACAGCCGTTACCGACGCAGAACCGCGCGCAGGATCCGCGTGCAACCAGACGAGAATCACCCATGTCGGTATCCATGCCTCCCCGGCGCGTGCTGAAACTGCATCAGCATGCCTTGCTTTTCGATGCAGACATCAAGAACGCGGCAGAAATGGCGGGTGAACGGGTGGTCCGCGGCATGAAAGTGCCTCGCGTTGTGACGGGTCAAGCAAGATGGGGAGTTTGGAGAGAAGAAGCCCGATGGCTCAGCCGATGGGCTGGTGGGCGAGAACAGAATTTTTTCTTGTTCAACCTGCTTACAGCCTTCCTCGGTACGCATACCGAGTGGTTGAACGTGCTGGGACCAAAAAATTACAGAGCGAAACATCGCGAACAGCAAAAGGCGAATGTCGGAGAGGATCTTACCATCTCCAGTCGCACAGTCATTGTTTCTGCGGACAAAATGGCCGCGAGGCGGCTCGTATTTCTTCTTTCCACATTTTTGCCGGCTTCAACACATACGGCCTATGATGGCGCATCTCCTGTCAGGCCTAGCACCTCCAACTCGGTAAGAGGCTACTCGCAGTCGCCTCCTTCAAATGCCACAATATCTCGGCAGCAATCGCTGAGGCGAACAATCAACCGCAGAGGACACAAGAGTTACCCCAACATGAGCGCTTTGAATGTTGGCAAAGGCACGAATAGAAGCAGCGAGGCTATCGATACTTCCGAGGAAAAGAGCGAGGATGGCAGATCTGAGACATACAGTCGCTCGCACTCCCGAAGGCCGTCGCAAGTGCATTCGATCAAATCCATCAATGCCACAGGGCTGACGATACCTTCGATGGCGGATGATTCGAAAGTGCGTAAAAATAGCATCACGACGACTTCCACGGTAACGCCCGAAACGGCGGTGCCGGTAGCACATTTCGCCGTGCAGCGGGTCAGCCCCAGCCCCGGTATACCCAGCGAGGCTCGCCCCTCTAGCAGCGGTAGTCTGGCGTCTGTCAATCTCCGCCAGAATCTTCAGCGCACTGGCAGCACGAGCACAGACTCTCAAGCTAGCCGTTGGGGCAGCTTCATGTCGTTCTGGAGTGGAGGGCGGCGCGAGTCGTCTGCTGACACCAGCGGCATTCTGCAGTCAACGGATGACGGCCTTAGTGCGGCACCCGGCTACCGTCGGCCAACTAACCACCAATCGCCGACCAAGCTACAGCAAATGGTTGACGAGATGCAAATTCACGATTCGCCGGACATGGAGGTCGAGGACGTGGATGATTACGAGACTGCTACCCAGAGCGGAGAGCAGTCGACCGCAGGCGGCGAGGTTGGACACACGGCTGCGCGAGCCATTCCGGCACGGCAGAAACCTGGAGGCCCGCTTGACTCGCCACTCAAGCTCTCCGTCAACGAAACTGATGGCGTTATCGACGTTGATATCTCGCTGCCCGGGTTCGGCGGTGGTTCGCCGCTGCAGTCACCCTTGTTGCCCACGCTCGGCAACTCTGTCTCAAGCCTCGAGGGTGCAGGCTCGTTTGGACCTTCCTGTCACTCCTCTCACCATTCCCTAGATAGCCTTAGTGGCCTCGGCAGCGCGCCCCAGACACCCGTGAATGTCGCCGGATGGCTAGCCAGATTCCACCAGGACTTTGAGTTGCAGGGTGTTAGCCCGTATCCCGACCTGGAGAAGGACGTCCGCAGAGCCATGTCAGCGGAGCCAACGCCCGTCATGGCCGTCAGCACGCCAACACTTGAGTCGGGCCCGACGGAGAAGTGGGTGTCGGTCTGCACGGCGCTGATAGCCGACGCGCGCACCTTTACCGTCAAGCGCATCAACCTCAAGCGCCTGGTACGCTTGATCCCGAGCCTCGGCCAGCCGGCCGTTACGCCGGGCCCGAACTCGCTCGGCTCGCATGGCGCCAGTGCCCTGACTCCGGGCTTCGGCCTCAGCGGCCGCAGCCAATATGGCAACCCGTACAATGTCGGCTCTGCAGGCAGTCTGGCGCCCGCGCTACCGATGACGGAACTCCACCTCGACGAGCGTTTTATCGAGGAGCCGGTTATGGACCTCGACGAGACGCTGGTCGAGGCGCTGGAAAAGGCCCTTGGGCTCGGCGTGCCAAACACGCCCATCTCAGCCACGCACTTTGCGAATCCCTTCACGGGCGGGCCGGCCACGACATCCTCCACGGCCCCCAGCCCCGCCCCCGCATCCTCGTCCGGCAACTCCACCGCCACGGCCACCCCGGCCGCGTCGCGCGCGCCGTATGCATCGACGCCGTCGTCGCGCTCGAGCTCTCGTCGTGGCCGCAGAGACGCTGCTAGCATCTCGATCAACACGTCCAGCCATAACGTGACGGCGTCGTCATCGTCAGAAGCCGCGAGCACAATCACGGCGCTGGAGCCGCCGACCCCGTCCGCCTCGGCCCACCAGCAGCATGTCCCTCTCGCGACGCCGCTGCCGCGCCACGAGTGCAAGAGCTTGGTGCTTGGTGCGCTGGAGCATGTGGCGCGCAGCGTGGCGGCTGAGCGGACGGGCGGGGTTGCCGAAAGCAGCTGTGGCGGCGGCGGTGCTACTGCTCCTGGTGCTGCTGCTGGTGCTGCTGCTGGCGGTAGTGGAACGTTTGAGAACGCAGGGGGTGCTGGTGCGGGGACGGGCACGGGCACGGGCACGGCGAGAGGCAGGATGGGCACGATTAGGGAGGGGGTGGTTGGGCGGGGTGGTGAGCGCGTTGCAGAGAGCACGCTAAGAGAGGGCGTGAGGCGGTGGTTGGGCGCTGTCGAGGAGGGCGCGTAGAACGTAACTGTATTATATATTTTTGAGGGTTGTACGTCTTTGGTATGGGAATGGATGGATGGGTGGGATAGGTGCGCGGTTCGGATTGGGACGGTTCGGTGCGTTTGAGCTGCTTGCTCACTACACTACTACCTAAGTATGAGGGACGAGGTAGCATGCTTTGCTTGCTTGCTTGCGATATGATTACGGCTTGATTGGTTGGATGGGTGGATGGGTCGGTGGGTGGGTTGGTTAGGTAGGTCACATACCTAGGCTGGGTTTGGCTGGGTTGGGTTGGGCTGGGTAGGGTAGGTAATTGGGGCATCTTGGTCCAACTGCCGGACGGGTGGTTGGTTAGGCTGGATACCTACGACTCGTACGCGCTTACACGCGCATACACCTGATGGATGAGGATTCGGATCAGGGAGGGAAGGGCTATCTCATTGCGCTTCTCTACTTCTTGTTTTGCTTCGGTTCGCTTTCTTTCTCTCGGTCTCGATCTCGTCTTTTTGCTGCTGTTGTTGCTGCTGCTGCTGCTGCTGCTCTTTCTCTTGCTCTTGCTCTTGCTCTTGAGCGTGCGTGCGTACGTCTTTCGGATGCCGGTTTTTTCGCTTTTTCGTCATCGTCGTCGTCGGAGTTGTATTCTTCTTCCTGGTGATGGCCAGAGTCAGTGGGCTCCTTTTGCGTTCGAGCGTGTGGTTTGTGGTCGTGGTGATGACGATGGCCTTTTGTGTGGTTGTTGTTGTTGTTGTCGTTTGTTTGGACGTCTGCTACGGCTGCGCTGACGGTAACGGTTACGGTTACGGTTATGATCGCGTGTTTCGGTTGGGTTGGGTTGGGTTTGTTGGTTCTGTTGGTTGGTTTGGTTGGTGCGGTGTGGTGTGATTTGAGAGAGAGGGAGAGGAGGAGTGGATGGTGGCTTGTTGTTGCTTCTGCTGCTTGATAAGATCTTGTATGTATATTCTTAGAGCCGCTTCGTTGCGGATTGGTGGGGTGGTTTGGGGGTTTGGGGTTTTTATGGGTTTTATGGGTTGGTGTAGGGAGGGTAAGGGAGAGGAAGGAAGAGGAGGGAAGGGAAGGGTTATAGTTTTAATGGTAGAGGAGATTTGGGGTGGGGTGGGGCAAATGATGTGTTGATGTTATGAGTTGGGTCCTTTCTTGTCTGGTCTTCATTTCTCGGTAAGTAAAGCAGTACTTTCGTCTTGCGGTTTTGGTGCACCTGCCTCGCACTTGGGGTCATGGAGTGGAGGGCAATCAAGCGCTAGCCACACAGATGGGCCAGCAGAAAACGTATCTGCTCAATAGGGAAGCAATGACATCACTGAGTAAGTTCTCTTAAATAATGTGTTGAGCAAGAAGCATCTTTATTGGAAGCTGACTCTCGTGTAGAAAGGTAATAGACATAAAAAGAAGAGGTACCTAGGTCAGTCGCCATTGTGCCGCGTGCCGCGCTATAGGACGCTGCCAGAAGGGTTTATGGAGAAACAAGAGCCAGTAACACACCGACCTAGGTTCAGTCACCTCCGTGTTACGTCTGCCTGCCATGGGGTTGGTCTTTGTAGGCACTAGCAGGGGCTTCCATGTCATTCCGCAAAGCAAGGCGTCTACGATGCGAAAATCAGTAAGTTATTCACTATGATGCGGCACGACGCACTAGGCTACAGCTATTGTACACCAAATACAGTAACCCACCGTGACTGAAGTGAATTTTCACTTCAGTCTGCCGCCTCGCTTAAACTCGTCGCTGCGTGCTGGAGCTTTCATAACTTCCCCGACTTTCCAGCCCCTTCATCCTCTCCGCATCCCACGCTTTCGAGAACATCCGAGCACAATCCCTTTCACGCCACCCTGTCAACACTTAACAACGCTTCCGTCCGGCCTTTCTTCCAAGGATGGATGACGGCGACTATCTCTACTTTGATGCGCTCGTCGAACAGTTCTATGCGAGTGACGCAAGTGGTAACAATAACGCTGCGTCGTCCGCTGATGCTCAACAGCCTCATCAGGGTCAAGAAAACTTTAGGGTTGAGCAAGATCAGCAGAGCCAGCAGCATCAGTCGCCGCCGCCGCAACGCAACCGCCAACTGCAGCTCCATGGTCACGGGCAAGATCAGCATCATTACCGGCAACATCTTGAGCAGCAGCAGCACATATCTGCAAATACAAACATCCAACCCTTTCCAGACCTTTCCGGCCAAATGAGCATCGATGACATGGATCCCGAATCTTTGCAGAGTGTTCTCGCTTTCCCGTACGACCCGGACCTAGACGAGCAAACCTACCAGAGCCTTGGACTTAGCCCTGGCCCTGCGGTCTCAACGAACTCGACTTACACGCCCATTCCTACCACTGCACCTGCTCCGGCTCTCGCTCCGGCTCCCGTTCCCGCTCCCACTCCGGCCTCCGCTCTTGTGGCTGCTGTCGCCCCTACGGCGCAGCAGACCCCACACTGGGGTAGAAACACTCAACCTCCCGCTTTGGGATATGGCTACGGGGCCGGTACGTCCACCCCCACAGCGACAACAGATTTCAAGCCTCAGTTCAACCAGCTCCACCGGGGTCAATTGTACTCCTTCATCAATTATACCCTGACACCGACGCACCAGCAGGAGCGTTCTTCCTCTGACTCGACGGTTTTTGTGGGCCATCAGCATAACAACAGCGCCTCCATGGGCAACGCTGCAAAGTCCCCCTCTGTCAATCCCTTTCAAACCGACGCCCGTACTCCAGCCCGGCATATCACTGCGATACCTGCGCCCGCGTACGGCTCGGATCCGGTAACTGGCTTGATGTGGCATACTGACGATGCCTTGTCACTGGGATCTTTCTCTCCTCAAGAGAACGAAAACGTTGACGAAGACCTGTCGGATGGGCAAAGCGCCGATGGTGAACACGATTTGATGGAGGACAACGAGTCAGATGCCAGCAACGCCCAGGATTTGGAGGGAGCCGAAGAAGATGAGGATGATACAGAAGATGACCAGCATGGAGACAACGCCGCCAGATACACTGCTCCAGGAGTGTACGGGAAGTACGGAGGCTTCTTTCGCAATGCTGATGAAGCAAGAAGGCACTTAAGCCACGCACAGTGGACTCCTCCTATTCCTGACAACACGATTCCTACCACAGACGATGACATCAAAAGATACCATCGTCGCCTCTGTTTGGCGGTGGTCAACATGCAAAACATCCAGGACAGGCCAACATCACAACACAGGCCCTTCTTCGAAGAGAAGCGGCACACCCAGATCAACATCGAAGCCACATGCTGGATCCTTCTTCAAGGAATTCTCGACCTACACCATCACGGATATTCTGGTCCAACCGCTAGGTCCAGCCAACAAGACCGCAACTTAAGCTGCGCGGAGCGGATCGAAGCTACAGTTAAACTCCTGAAAGAGTGGAAATCCACCTGCACACTGGTGATGAAGGAAGCTACGGACCGCATCGTGGTCGGCCCGATCAAGTTGTACAAGCAGAACGAGACCAACAAGAGCTCGTCGAGGGACAAGAGCATCCGGTTGAGACACTCCAGTGGCCACGAAGATGATATCGCTCGGAACAGGCGCTATGAGAAGAACCTGAAGGACAGGAACCATCATCGGTTGCCGTTTAGAGTTGCTAAAGCGGGACTGGAGCCGGGTAGCGGCGGCGGTGATGGTCACAGTAACAATGGGGATGCCGGCCAGGTTGCAGAGGATCTTCCGAGCGAGAGCTGATGGCTGGGCTAGTGGTGGTTGAGCTTGGACCAGGAGATTTGCTAGGCCCGTGAAGGTTGGCGAGGGCTCATAAGAGCACTAGAGTTTGTGATGCTTCATAGACTCATTTTTTGGATTTATCATGGCTGGTTTGGGGTCCGGGTTAAGTAGCGAGCCAAATTCAACTCACCTAATCATACCTGTTCAGGAGTGCCTCTTGTCTAATATAACAGTTTACTCAATACTGCCATACATAGCCTCAATCATGTCACTGTACAGGAACAGATCAAATCGCAGATTTGTATTTACACAACCAATTTTGTTTTGTATATGGTTTAATGGCTCCGGATATTTACGTCCAGTTGGATTCTTTCTTGCACGATAAAGTAATAAGTAACAGCCAAGCCGCACACAAAGAGGCAAACAAGCAAATACGAACCTTGTAAATGAATCCTAATTATTAAATATCTTTTTTTTGAAACAACTGGTCTTTAAAAGTTCAGTTTTCATCTTCATACACAATGGAGTAAACCAATACTCCACGCGGATATGGATATCATATGGGGGGGTATACCACTTTTTCATCTTGTGAAGGACGACGTTATTATTTCTCAAAACTTTCTGATACGACTTCGAAATACACACAACAGGGAGCACATCAGCAACCTCTAGTAAAGCAAGCTGTCCCCAACCCAGAGCCACAAGGCTATGAACAGTACAGTTCCTTCTCAAGCACCTTTCAGGAAGCCGTAGCCTACCGCCTCCACGAAAAAGCCGAAATGGAACCCCAAAAACGCAGACGGGTCTGCAGAGTCCATTTACACAGACGATTTCGAAGCTGCGGTACATGTCCACCGTCTATACGCCGACATGGTCAATCCAGACAACGTCAAGGACAATCTGCTGTCTGATGTCGGTAGCGGCCCTGCTACAGTACTGCTTCCTGATTATGGAGACAACCCGACATCACAATGTCACGCTAGATCAAGGAGTGCGAATTCGGGAAATGGATCTCGAGGCTGCGTGCTGAAACGGAATATCGTGGTATATTGATGTTTATCTAACTCCAGTGGTTTTGTTGACTGTCATAACGTCTAAATGATGAAGACCGCAAGTTACCCTGTCAAGATTGCCTCAAGTCCATCCGGGACTGGAAACCAGCATTTACGCGTGCCATCGAGAACGGCATTGCGCCCGCATCATCGTCCGCCCAGTTCAATGCTACAAACTATGCAGGCACCCAAATCCCGAATCCCAAAACACGATCTCTTACTTTCTATTATAGCAACCTCATGAAAAAGAAGTCTAGCTGCTTGAAGTCCGCGAGTTTGACTTTTGCTTTGGCTGCCGAGGCCGTGCAATTGGTGTCAGTGAATGAGGAGGTTCGGAGCTGTAAGAGTATGGATGTGAAAGTGCGCTCATGCTTGCCGTTCCGGATTGGGCCGTCGCATTTTAAGGCGAGTGAAGAGGATTTTGAGGGCTGGACGGAGGTGGGTAATCATAGTGATGGAGGGAAGGATGATGCGTATGATGAGGCGGGTGAGGAGGTTGATGCATAAGCAACAAGTATGCTAGCTCTATTTTTCAAGAGAAAGGTAGGGCTGATTTAGGGCTTTATTTACATAGCGTGCCTACAACTGCATATCTCAAGTGATTAGTACTAATCATATGCCAACATTTACATTTGTCAGACTTTACACGACAGTCCTAAACAAATCACTGGACTCTAAAGTCAGTGAAACCGAGATCACAGGGTGCAAAGTTACAGTCGAAAGTCATGCTGCATACGAAGAAGCAAACAAGCAAATATATACCTAGCAAAATTTTCAGGGGTCTATAAAAAGCCACAGGATACCGTCATTCAATCAGTATGGCAGTCAACCTTCTACATTCAGTTGTTCCTGTGGTAGAGGGACCTTGATACTATATGTTTTTTGTTCTTCATGATTGCATACTGAAACAAATAATTAGAAATTCCATAAACTCTGACAAGGAAAAGCAAACGGGATTGTTGGAACTAAGATCACATCACCATAATCAAACAGGGGGTATAAAAATCATAAATGTACAGTGTGCAGTATAGGTAATCTATGAATCCAAACTCGCCCCCAATCAGTGATGTACAGCACAACTAATTCATGTCCAGGCACTTCAACACCTGCTGGCGATGCTCACTGTCAAATTCCAACGCCGGGAAAACACTACCATGCCCCACGCTCAAACAAAGCGCCTCTTCACCATCGCAAGCGCCGCCGCATCCGGGTCCGGCACGTGCAGGCCACGCTGAGCCTGCGGAAGCGTATCCGCCATCGACCACGCCAGCCCCTCCAGGGAGACTGGCTTCTCGGTGGTCGTGGTTTTCCCGCTCGACGTGACCGTGGTGCAGTCCACATGGCGGTACGCGTGGTCTTTGGGCAAACGGTCTAAAAAGGCGCGGCCCCTCTGCGCGTTGAACTTGGGGTCAAGTTTAGGAGTAAATCTCCGGGCCTGGCGAGCAAGCTCCACAACCAAGTCGTTCTTCTTGCTACCGCCGTCCGTGAGGAGACTAAGCTTATTCTTGCCGTTCTCCTGCTGCACCATGCAAGTAAAGAGATTCCAGACGTGGTCCTCGAGGCCGTAGTCGTCACGGAAGAGAGGAGCTATGATGGCTAGACAGGCGCGCGCGTACATGGTGTGCTTGCAGCGATAGCAGTAGTAGGGCGTATTAGGCGTATGAGCCATGCCGAGACAGCGAGCGTGGAAAGAGCCCGTGTCGCAGTACTTGTACGAACACTCCACCATACGCTTGGTCGGCAGGCCACGGCAATAGCAGACCCGCGTCACTATGTGATTGAGGGGGCCCTCGAGGAGGGAGAGCTCCTTCGCCTCAGCCTCATTCAGTTCGCGCTGGCACTTGAACGCGCGCAGGCCGTCGCGGGTGTCAAGGTTCTGCTTGTTGACGCGGCCAACCAAGTAGCACTGCGTGACTTGCTCCAGGAGGTTGCTGGAGTTGCTGTTCAAGTTGCGAAGGAGCGTCTCGGCTTTGGGCTTATTGACGCCCCAGACAAGATAGTCGCCAATGGTCGCATCAAGCATGAGCTCAACGTGGCCGTCAGGGCATTTATGAGCCTCATCGGCGCAGTCCAACGCCTTCCGTCCCACATTGCGCTTTATAACGCTGGTAGAACTGTACTTCTCACCCCTTGGCGTGTAAAGGACGACAGAGTCATGCTGAGACGGCTCTGGTGACTTCCAGGGAGTGCAACACCAGCAAGGGTCGTCGGTCTCCTCCAGAGACGGATAACGCTCGAGGACGTGTGAAGGCATAGGGTTGGCCGGATCCTCGTATAATTCGAACGTGTCCGGGTCGAGCAAGTAAATCTCGAATTCTTTCCATGCGTCGACTGAAGTGGAGAGCTTGGGGAGAGGCCTGAGTGGTAAACAATCACACCTCCTCTCAGGCACCAGTGGAAGCTCGGCGAAAGGCGCCCAGATGCTCCACGAATCCATCATAAGCGTGCCGCCCTTGCTCATCTCGTTGAAACCGACCGGCTCCTCCCAACCGCCTGTCTCCTTTTGTGTCTTCTGATGCTTGATGAGGGCATCGTTGAACTTCCTGATAAAGCCCCGCGTGTAGGTATAGCCATCCTGCACCAGCACTTCCTCGTCGTCTTCGAAAACCTCCTCACTCATTTCCGCGACCACGTCCTCCACATCCTCCACTGTGGCTCTGTGTAGGCAAGTAAGATGGTTGGCCGATTGAGTAGTTGGCTGTTCGTCGCCACTGCCTCTGGACTCTTGAAGGCCTTGAGTGTCAGTGCCCAAAGCTTCACCCTTGGACGGGGAGCCTTCGCACGGAGGGGAAGCAGTGTCATGAGATTCTTGGGTGACGACCTGCAAATCCTCATCATGTGGCGAAGCGGTTTCACTCGTGGTGGAAACGCTATCGGATGAATCGTCGGAAGAGTCATCTGGGGTCTTGGGTTGTTGAGGTTTCTCTTCCTGTGCAGCAGCATCTAAGTTTGCTGGATCTCTGGCGCAACCCTGATATTGAGCCTCCTGGCCCGGATTTTCCACCATCTCATAACCCTCTTCGAGAGCGAGTTGATATGCAGCAGCCTGTGCTTCCTCTGCGCGGGTGAGCTTGGCCGCCAACCGCTCCTGCCGGTCCTCCACTATCTTGTAAAAGATACTTGTCGATCCATCGTAAGAAGCCGTCTCGACGCATGATGGTTCTCTGTTCTTCCTTCCAGAGCTGCTCGAAGTCCTCGTTGACGTGCTTGCGTATCTTGTCCACAAGCTCTCGAGATTGCTTTTCCCGCTCATCCATTCGAGCAACTATGTTAAACTCGACTAGAACCCGTTCAACTTCCGCTAAGAAACTTGGCATTGGAGCTTCGGGTTGAAGCTCATTTATGGTATTTCTGTGGGACGTATCGCTGGTCGCAGCAACCCAGCAGACGTTCTTCAGGACACTGGGGTCAGCTAGGAGTTCCAAGAACCCGCCTTCTTCGGAATCCTCTGTCGTTCCTGGATGCATGATGTTCGAGACGAAGTCAATATCCTTGGACGTTAGTACTCGTGAACGCTTGCTAGCCCTCTTCATTTCCTTGGCTCGTTTCTTAGCTCTCTTCTTCTCCTTGCCTGAAACAGGGGTGCTGGGGTCGAGTGGCTCGGTGGGCTGTTGAACTGCTTCGCATTGCAGGCGAGGGATGGGAATTCCTTTTTCCGTCCAGAGGCCCTCCAGTTCGAACAGGATCTCGGCGATTGTTTTGTGCCTCTTTCGATGTTCTTCACGTGAGTGTCTGCACGGCATGCACTGCTGGATGCTCTCGGGCTTGAAGAGGTTTTGGTGGAACTTGGGGCATGGCGCTTCGTGCAGTCCGCCGATACATTTTCTCTTATTTTCGGGAACACTGAGTGGCTTGTGACAGACAGCACAGTGGTGAGAAGTCCCCATCGAATCCTCCCAGCGGTAGAGTCCGTTCGGCATGGTGTTATGTAGTAAATTGAACGAGGGCAAAGTGGCGCGGTAAACGTAGGGACGGAGAAGCAGTAGCGCTGAACACAAATAGCGCGAGATGGGAAGACTTTATAATGTAAACAACAAGAGACGCCGGCCGAATAGTTGACGTACGTCGCGGATCGCGCCCTAGACTTGTTCAGAGATGGGGTCGAGGTTGGTTAGAAGCGTACAAAGAAAGTAGAACAATCGGATTGTTCCAAGAGTAGTGACCAAAGCAAGCGACAAAAGCTGAGGAAGATCAACGAATTGTTTCGCGACGGGCTGCCAAAGGTCGGTGCGGAAGCGGTGCAGGTGTAGGAGTAGTGGAGGGAGAGGAGAAGGTTTTGTTTTGGCCGAAGGTTTCATTGTGATGCATGTGTGAAGAAAAGCCACCCGAAGCTTGGACTGCAAGCCGTGTTTCGATTGTGTGAGCGGAGAGTGAATGTAGTCAAGTCGCCATCCATTGTAGGCTGCAGGATTGTAAGGGTTGACAGGCACCTAAACAAGGTGCGCTACCCAATTAGGTGCCGGCAATTACCTACCGAAGATAGGCGAAGGGTTGCGCACCTTTTTGGGTGATCATTACTCGAGGTTAACGCGTCGGGATCCTCCATGAAGACAAGGAGCACGGATAGTAAACAAATAAACAGAATTATCAGTTTAACAGCTACAAAATAGACGTGCGCCTTGGTAGGTAAGGACCGTCAGATATCATAACTTCATACGCAGAAGCGAAACCAGGGTCTCACAATTTCAGCCCTATTATCTTGCGCCGCACAAATTTCCACGCCACCCACCTAGACATCCCGGACGATACGAGCAGTGGCCCAAACGTAAGGGTAATTGCGCTGGTACCAATTCACGCTACACAGAGTCAGTCAAATTTACCTCCCAACATAAAGACAGCAAGATACTCACAAAGTCTTCCTTCCAGCAATTCTCGGGTGGGTGGCCCACGACCCACCAAGCACAACGTTATGCTTGGTGTCGAAGAAGTCCGACGTATAGCCCGGATAGAGCTCCATGGCCTTGAAGCCCTCATGCGGTTCCAAGACAGTACTAGTCCACTCCCACGCACCGCCCAAATCTCCCTGCCCAGCGAGCTTGTCGCCATTCTGGGTAACAGGAACAGGGTGCCAGTGCTTGAAGCCCATGTTTGTCCCGTTTAGGTCAACGAAAAGCTTGGCGGGATCAGGACCAGATACACCATTGGAGACGCCGTTCAAAGGAGAGCCGGATGGTGGCGACTCTTCCACGCCGTCATTGACAAGGTGCCCATTGACGGCCGGAATTGTGTTTTGAACTCGGGCATGGGAGTCATTGGACTTCTTCTGCTGCTCCACATAACTGTAGATGCTGCGGGCTTCTTGCATGGTCGGGATCCGACCACCCATCCATTGCGCACAACCGGCCAGCTCATCGTAAGAGGCCAGAACAGGCCAGTGGAGGGTGTACTTGAGGGGCACGGTTCCATAGACGGTGCGAACAGTGATGCCGTCGAACTGGTTAGACTCGTGAACACTATCACGCTTCTCCGTCGTCGGAGCCGAAGGCTCGGCAGTGTTGAAAACATCTGAGCTCTCTAACCATGATGCAGGAAGCTTACTCCGACCGGTTTCCTTAAGGTACTCCGCATACTCGCCGTTGGTAATGGCACGAGCCTTTGCAGAGAAGGGGCCAACAGAAATCTTTCGTGATGGCTTCTCATTGTCCCAGCCAAAGTACCTCTTTGGTCCGCCTTCATTCTCAGGGTCATCCATACCTTCAATGAGCGTAGAAGCTGGAATCTCAAACCACTTGTTTTCAACGGCTTCCAACTCGGCTTGCTTTGCCATAGCTTCAAAATCAGGCTTCACAGTCGCTGGCGGTGGAAGCGTTCTGTCTCCTTGAACTAGCATATAGAGCAAGGTCTCGAGGTGCATGATCTCATGCTCGTAACCGATCCAGAGTGCCCGAGAAACACGACGGTCAGAGTTGGCCCTTCCAGATTTGTACAGACTTGCGACTCTGCAACGAACGTCCTTCTGGAATTGAATAACCTCCTTGCTAGGCGGCCAGTTCTCGGGAATTTCGCTGTGAGAATGGCACATTTTTGGGTTCTCCACGTCCGGATCGATACCACGCTCGAAAATCTGCGGGTAGTAGCTTGGTTCCGTTGCAGGCTCCTTGGTTGCCCGAGTCAAGTGAATATCCAAGAAAGTAGGTATGTGGCCGAGGTAAAAGATGCAGGCATTGCGCAATTTGATGGGCTTTGACAATAGCTCCTCCTGCGGAATCATCTGCAGCGTAGCTGCATCCCAAGCATCCCAGAGCTGGCTCCAATCTTCTATCGACGGTACAGGATCTTCAGCGTATTGTCGTGGCTTCAAAGGGTAAAAGACCTTGGGTTTGGAGACCATGTGGAGAGCTACAGCGAGTTAGTCAGTGCTTGCTTGTCTCATGAATCAACAACACGATTGATCCTACCGTAGTCGCCGCGGCTGGTCGACCAGAACGAGCCTTCCGCAACCTTTGAATCCTCCCAAAGTTGAATGATCTCATCGGAGCTGTACTTGTAACTCTCTTCGATCCGTATTCTTTCGCCGGCCTCGATGGCAACACCATCAATTGTGACATCTTTGAGGGGGGATACAAAAGCATGGTGACGGCCGTTCAAGGAATCAAACTCTCCAATGACTTCCCACTCTTCACGTTTGAATGCTTCCCTACCGAGGACATTGTTGGCATTCAAAAGGCCGTTGAAAATAAACTCGTGGGTGACTCCTTGACTATCGTTGTATGCGCGATAAACCCTGTCAGGATCCTTGCATGAATCGATGCCGACCAGCATCGTGTCGCCAGTCTGAAGGGAGTCGACGACATTTTGCAAAAATGGAGCTGCCTCATGTCTCTTGAAATTGCCAATGCTTGACCCAAGCCAAAGAACAGTCTTCGGCTTCGATGAAATTTCCGGCTTCTTCAGCCACTCGAGGCCGTCGTCATAAGTACCATGGAGACCAAAGCACTTGACGTGATTGTAGGTGTGTCTCGGCACTTCTGCAAGGGTCCGTTCGAGCTCTGGAAGTGAAAGATCCAAAGCATAGTATTCAATGTCCTTCTTCTGCCTCTCCAAAGCTTGTAAAAGAATGTTGACCTTGCGAAGGTTGCTTACTATAAGTTAGCTAAATAGTTCTTTTAGCTAAAAACCCTCGCGTCGGCTTACCCGCTACCTAGTTCCACAACGACAGAACCGGACTTGACACGATCGGCAATACGATCTGCGTACGTCTCGAGAACCTCGATCTCCGCATTGGTTGGGTAGTACTCGTCCAGATAGGTGATCTGCTCAAACAACCTTAATCCAGCTTCATCATACAACAACAATGTCGGCAGTGTCTTTTCACCACCATTGGCCGGACGCAAGCCTCTCGAGATGTCCTCCAGCAAGGTGTCTTCAAAAGTACCCCTACGAATATCGATTATGTTCGCTGCACCTCCCTCGTTCCTCGCCGAATCGTTTCGCTTCTGGACGACACCGTTGGTAAGGCTGCCCAAACCAGCGTCAGGAAGGGTATCGTAATACATGATGAGATGATATCCGGTTCAAATCGCGTGCTTTGCTCAAGAGCGCCGTTGCTTTTAAAGTCACGTCTTTCGGAACGTGGTTTACGTGCTACGCCGGGGGGGAACCAGAGGTACTGTTCGGCAGCAGGCCGGCAACGGTCCATACGTCAGGTCAGAGTGGTAGTTCACGAATCAGGGCTAGGTATCGGACACGTACCTGGCGCTCTTGTCGTAGTGCAGGGCCGCGGCCGGACGGCATGATGGACCATATCCCGAAGCAGTAATCCCCTCTGGCCCCGCACCTGAAGTCCCCACACCGGCCGCGGGAAAGGTCATTATGAGAGGCAGTGGAGTTATCTTGTTGTGATGTGGACTACCATGACGTAGCGGACTTAGTATATGGCAGGTGGCCTTGAGCGACGCCCAATTTTGGGGGAATCAAGCGTTGGTGAACATATTGGTGGGCAATTGAAGGCCTACGATCATCAGCCGATGCATGAGCCATAAAGGCACATCGTTGTCGTGCCCTGAAGCCTCAATGGCTGCTTGCATCAGGCACACGGCGTTCAACCGGGAAGGCCGGAAAATTCCATGCCAGGATGCGGGGTATAGTTAGACCATTGTGACGACATAGGGCCCAGCCTGACAAATTACGATGCAAACGCTTCCGAATCTGCGCGGAATGCGGAATGCAGGCGGGGAAGCGCAGTCGCGGAATTAGAGGATGGCCGACGACAAATGCAGACAGCAAAGCTGCGGTCCGTTGAGATGTCCGAAGCCAACAAAAAACATCATGTGACTGAGATTATCGGATAGGAGATACATAGAACTGCCGTAGGAGCAACAGACTGGAAGGCCATGCGTTAAGAGACCATATGAAAAGGAAGAGACTGCACTGATGCCTTACGAGCGTCGTTGGACGGAGTGACGGCTGACGGGATGGCGGGAGCACGGGAGCTACGAGTACATGGTCACGTGAACGGCGCTTCCTCGGCTGATTTCAACCTTCTCCCAACATCGCTCATCAGCCTGACAACTGTCATTCGCCTTTGATCCTTCAATGGCTTCTCAGATACTAGCTTGATTTTAAATTCAAGCTACGGAATACTTTAATCTTTATTGTTTCTAAAATTACGGCCACGCCGGCACTCCGCCACAAGCATGATGCGCACAAGTTTTGATTCCTGTCATTCTGTTGCACGGCCCCGGATAATTTCACCACCCCTACTGGATATTTTCACCACCCCCCTAGTCACCGCCTGCCCAATTGAGTAACGCGCCCGGCAGAAAGTTGCCTTCGTCGTTTGTAGATATATTCGTTTGCTTCTCAACGCCTGATACCTCAACGCCCACCCACCTCTCGCACCTCTCTTGCCATCAACACCATGGATTACGACCTTGCGCACCCGCCAGAGCTCACTTACGCGTCTCTTGATCAAGCAGTAACAGAACTTCAGGCCTTTGCAGCGGCCCACGGATACGGTCTTCGCAAACAACGTTCAAACAAGACGAAAGCAGGTATGCTGAAGAAGATTCAGTATAAGTGCGATCGTGCGGGCAGCTACGAATCACAGGCTCGTGTGAGACCTTCGACTAGTATAAAATCAACTCAATATCCTTTTCAACTCGTCCTTCGTCGCCAATATAATAATCAGTGGAAGCTTGAGACGTCTACTCACCCGCACAACCATGAAGCTTTCAAGCACCCGATCGCCCACCCATATCACCGTAAGATGACGACTGAACAACAGCAGCAGATTAATACTCTCAGCGTTACCAGCAGGCCGAAGCAGATACGTGCTTAGCTACTACACTAGAACCCGCAGAGTCTCATCACAGATACAGATATCAAGAACCTTCGTGCTAAGAACAAGAGGGAGCGACTCAATGGCCTTACAAGCCTGCAGGCCATAATCAGGGAGCTTCAGGCGTTAGGAACAACTACTGATGGTGTTAGTATTGATAACGACTGGGTATGCGAATATCTGTTAGATACTGAGGGACACGCCCACACAGTATTTTAGGCCCACAAGCGTTCACTACAGCTACAACAGCGCTAGGGTGAGGTGCTTATGCTCGACTGCACGTACAAGTCGAATAAGGACGACGTCCCGCTACTACACGTTATAGGGGTATCACCACTAGGTCGACCGTTCACCGTTGCCTACTACCTACTGGCGAAGGAGGGTGAAGCTGAATATTTATAGGCCATTAATCAACTTTCTCAGCACATCAAAACACCATCTGTTTTTATTACTAACTACGAACTGGCACTAAAGAACGCCCTCCGCCAGCACTACGAGGTCCCTCAGCTAATATATATGTAGCATATCAATAAAAACGTCGGCATAAGGATTCAGAAAGTATAGGCACACGACGAGGATAAGGATAAGGATAAAGGTGTTAATATTAAGGAGCGCCGCAACGAGTGTAAGAAGCGCTTCAATCAGCTATCACAGGCCCGCGATATTGCTAAATTTAACGCTCTCTAGGCGTCCTTTTAACACGACTTTACTAATCAGCAGGGCCTTCTCAACTACATCACCGAACAGTAGATGCCGTACAAGGAGGAGTAGTACCGTGCGTAGGTTAATCAACACCTAAATCTTGGCAATCAGTACGTATTTACCCATCACTACTACACTACTAACTTTCGCAGCGTTACGTCACTTGCTGAAGGCTTATATGGGCGTACAAAGTCGTTCTTTAGCCACCGTAAACAGGACTATATTAGCTTAAAGGACAACCTCTTACTGGCGTTAAGTACTAAATGGCAAGCTATTAAGAAGGCAGAGGGAGTAGCATTCGGGCGTCCTCAACACCAACACACGAGCGAGCCTCTATTCAAGCAGCTAATTGGGCACGTCTATCCCGCCGCTCTGAAGTTGCTGCAGCAGCAGGTCAAGCTAATAAAGAGCCACGGCTATAAACACTACTGCTACGGTCTGTTTAAGAGCTCTTATAGCTTGCCCTGCTCCCACACGCTCCAGCAGCTAAGTATCAGTAAGCATTGGACGATCCCTCTTAAACTGATTTATCCCTACTAGCGGTTTGAGAGGCCTCAGTCCGACGACCCGATCTACCGCGTAGGTAACTTCGTTCAATATAGCCGCAGAGGCCGCCCGCGTGCTCAGCAGCAGCAGTAGCAGCAGCATGGTTCAACACCTACTAGCACGGCACCACCCGCCAGCACGAGCACAAGCACGCAGAGGGACCCTTCGTAGTTCGAGATCGCTCAGCGGGCTGACCAGGCCACTCAGCAGCGTGCTAAGCGTAAGAGAAAGGCCAAAAGCAACACCACGGGGGAGCTACAAAAGCGGGTAGATAAGCTACACGGGATGCTTGCTTAGCTCGTTCAGCAGCAGGCGGTTACGCAGGTAACGACTACTACTACTACTATAATAGTCGCCAAGCGGCCACGCGGACGTCCACCCAAGAGGCAACGCTAGATGGAGCCAATCACCGTCAGCAGCAGCAGCAGTGAGGACGAGGATGAGGACACTAAAAGCGAGGAGGACGAGGGGGGGCTCAACACCATAGATACTACCTTCTACGGCCAGGGGCAACCCTCTTCAGCGCGGGAGATGCCAACGCGCGCGAACAGAGGCCAACTACCGAAGAGGTTTAATAACTAAACGAGCGGGTGGAGGGACACGCGGAGGATTAAGCAGCTAGGCGCGGAGGACGACGCGGGAGCGCTCGCGCGCGCGAAAAAGCGACGTTTATAACATATAATAACTAGCTCAACTGCAGACTATGCTCTTACCGTGCTGTGACAGTGAGGTTGGAGATATGGAATTTTTTAGCTGCTTTTTGGTGTAAAATGAGGGGTGCTGGTTCCTGTTCCCCGCCAGCGCGTCCTCGCGCGGTGCTGCGCGGTACTGCGCGCGGGCGGGTTGCGACGAAGGCAACTTTCTGCCGGGCGCGTTACTTAATTGGGCAGGCGGTGACTAGGGGGGTGGTGAAAATATCCAGTAGGGGTGGTGAAATTATCCGGGGCCCTGTTGCACTTACACTTGTGAGCAAACGTTTTCGAGTAGTTTTTATGATTCGAAAGAGCTGCTGAAAATCCAAGCCATGGCTTCTAAAGCTGCCATCCCCTTAATTGCTTATTGTATATCGTAGTAAAACATCTTACAAAACCTTCTCCTATCAATGCCTGCTGAATTCCATTTCACAGGCCTGTAGTTGCTTCTATCCGGTTGTTTTCCTTGAATTCCTTCAATTTCGTCCTCCGAAACCCTTTCATATTATCTCAGCAATCCTTCATTCATACCAGATATCATTGTTAGTGATGTTACTTCTTCTGAAAGAAGCCAGAGACGGACTTTGCCGCCGAAGTGAACATGTTGCTGACGAGGCCACCAGTGCGGTGAGGCTTCTGAGTTTCCTGAGGAGGAGCCGACGGCTGACGGAGCTTCTGCTGCCTGACCAGCTCCTTGCAGGTCTCCGTGAGTGGGCCGGCCTTCAGGAACTTCCAAGCGGGCTGCCTGCTGAGATCCTTCTCCATTGCAATGTTGGCAGCCTCGAGCACGCACGTCCATCCCATGACGTTGTAGATGGGGTGCTTCCGGAGTGTGCCGCTCTTCCGCGTGAGTACGTCTACGAAGACGGGAGCCGACTTCAAGTCAGCAGATGAGTAAGTGATGTTAGTGAGGGCAGTGGTATGGGTGGCCTCGGTGGTATCAGTGGGAGCAGTGATGCCAAGGGAGTTGCTGGTGTCGATGTGGGTAGCGGTGTAGATGAGGCTTTCCGACTTCTGAGTAGTGCCGACGAGGTTACTGGTGCCACTGGAGTTATTGGTATCAGCATAGTTAGTGGTGCCGAAGTTATCAATGGTATCAACGTGATCAGTGGTGTCGACATGATCAATGGTCTTGACTTGGTCAGTTATGTGGACGTGATTAGTGGTGTTGATGAGGCTCTCCGGCTCTTGAGGGGTGTCAGCGAGGCCACTGGTGTCAGCATGGTCAGTGGCCTCAGCGAGGTTCTCTGGCTCTTGAGGGGCATCTTCCTCGGCAGATAACTCAGAGATGTCAATAGGGCCATCCAAACCCAGCTGCATGATGTCCTCAGGAGAGACGAAACTGAGATCCTCCAGCTCAGCGAGCTCCTCATCCATATCAACGGCGCTCTTGCCGCATGGTGAGTTTTCAGGGTCAGCAATGTCCATGCCGTTAGAAATGAAGATGCGATGACCCTTGCGCGCAATGTAAGAGTGAGCAGTCCACACGCATCCCTTGGGCAGGGTCGGAAGGGGCTTCAAGCTGTAGGTGCTACCTTCGGAGCTGCCTGTCTGCGGAGTGGAACCGGCGGAGGCGCCTTCGGCATTGATTAGTTGTTCGAGTGGGCTGCGACAGAGCTGCTTGACCTTGTTGAAGTCATCCTCGACTTCGTATCCTACTTCGTTGCTGTCCATCACCAGAGTCTTGCTAGGGTTGGAGGAGCCTGTGCTGTTTGAAGGGGTTTTGCTGTCTGAAGAGGCTGTGCTACTTGAAGAGGTTAGGCTGCTCTCGGAAGGGGTTGTGATGTCTGAGGGGTCGGTGATGTATGAGGAGTCGGTGATGTATGAGGAGTCGGTGATGTCCAAGTCCTCGTCAACATGGAACTCCATAGAAGCATCAGAGCCATCGATCTTCTTAGTATGGATGACAGTAAGGTCGTGCGACTGGGCATTGTCGCAGGCCTCGGCGTTGGTATCGGCCAGTGACCCATCACTGCTGTCGAGGTCGATGTCTTCAAAGCTTCCCTCAGAGTTGGTGTCAATGTGGTCGTTCTCCTCCACATCAATCTTAATCGTCTCGTAGTCCATCGTCTCGTAGTCCAAGCTCAGACCCTCGACGATCTCGGACTGCTCGATGCTAGAGAAGAAGCTGGAATCGTCGAGCTTCTCTCCCGCATTCCTGAGTTCAGTCGCCAGAGATTCCAGTGTAAGGGGGGAAGAAGAGGAGTCATCAAACTGATCGCCAATGTTCATGAGCTCAGTATTCAGAGTCTCCGGTGTAAAGAGGGAGGAAGAAGAAGTATCATCGAACTTCTCGCCAACCCTTTTGAGTTCAGCCTCTAGGGTCTCCAGTGTAGAGAGGGAAGAAGAAGAAGAGGAGGAATCGTCGAACTGCTCGTACGTGTCCATGTGCTCGGTCTCCAGAGTCTCCAGTGTAAAGAGAGAAGAGGTAGAAGAAGAATCGTCGAGCTTCTCGCCTGCATCCATGAGCTCAATCGCCAGTGTAGGAGAATCATCGAAGTCATCTTGGGTATCCTCAAATGTCTCGCTGCTGTCGTCATTCTCGGAGTAGTCTGCAGTCTCCACGATATTCAGGCGAGACGGCGCAGGGTAGTAAGCATAACCATCAAGGGGGAAGAAGTCAGCATTCTTTGTCCAGCGAGATCCCTTGGGTGTGTAGATGTCGTCTGGGACACCACGCTTCATGACAGACTTCCGTCCCTTGGAACCGCGCCGAGGAAGGAACTCGGAGGGGATCTTTTCGCCCTGGGCCATGTAGGGGTACTGGTACCATATTCCCTCGGGAATCGCGTACCAGTGCGACTCAGCACACATAAGGACGCTGGCCTTACGGAGATAATCGGGACCGGGATCTTCAGAGAAGAGGGCTTCGTTGATGATGGTCTCGCGGTCTATAACGAGTGGCCTTGCGGATGCCCAGTTACAAACTTCAGGCGAGGTGGTGTGCTCGGAGTGCAAGGGCGGGCTTTCGGAGGTAGTATATCCAGGGTGCTGTGCGCGGTGCTTGGCCAACATTTCGTAAACGGTTTCTTGGTAGTAAACCGGAGTAGGCTCTGCCTCAGGCTCCATGTCGTTGTTACCCTCGGTGGGTGTCGCATTGCTATCTGGAGGTGAGTCGTCGCGTTCCACAGTAGTGGTCTTGGTTTCCGTAGGCTTGAGGTATGTAGTGCTGTTGGTCTCTGAAGCGGAGTCTTCAGTCTTCTCAAGGGTGTTAGTGGAGGTCTCGGAGTGAGGCTTCGCGGTGTCATCGGCATCTTGCTTGGAAGCTTCGATCATCTCGTCAAGCTCATTGTCCCAGTTGAGCTTTCCGAAACTGTCAATGTCGCTCGAAGGGTTAGTGGTTTCGATCATCTCCTCACACTCTTCGTCCCAGTTGAGCTTTCCGAACTTGTCGGAGCTGCTCGAGGGATTAGTGGATTGCTGCATCTTGATGATTGTTCGTGTTGCTTGTGAATTGACCGAAAGGCTAAATAAGTGAAGAAGGTATCCGAACGAAGTGAAGTTGCTCGATGATTGAGGGTTGGCCGGCGGGTTGTAGAAGCGAAGAAGGTATCTGAAAGAAGTGAAGCTGTTCGATGTGTAATAAGAGAGCAATTGAACGGAAGGTGAGCGTTGAAGAAACGTCCAAGTTCAAGATGGAAAAGAAGTTTAATGGTAGAGGATGGAGGAGAGCCGTGGGGTTTTTATACGTAGGTAGGCTCGGCTATTTGTTTACTGTGTATGAAGTCATAGGTGGTCAAAAGCAGAACGTTAAATTTGTTTAACATAGGTAGTGAGGTAGCAACCAGCCACCGACCGACCGTGCGTAGCAACGCACTCACCTTTACTTTGTAGTCCGTGCCTTGTATTGTAACTTCACCTGCTACTGTTCTGGGAAAAGAGCATTGAGCCGGCTCAATTTCTAGCATAACAATTTCCTTTTCTGTGATAGGGATACAGTCAATTAGCTTGGGCAGTGTTGTATCACTAACTTAAAGCACGCCTGCGTAGGGACCATAGTGAATGGACTTACGCCGAAGGGCGTTGCCCCTGGAGATGTGCTTGCTCAGTGTGCTCCACATATCAAATTTTGCCCCAAGCTATTAAATAGTAAATGCAATGTCCCACCCCCTACATTTGGTACGGCAAAAGAACACAATTGCAGCGCCTCCAGGTGATTTGATGCATCTAGATTCCTGTTGATATCTTGTTAAACGCACAAAAAACTCACCAGTGCTCTACCCTAGCCTGCGCCTTGCCAATGCTTTTGCGAATACTGACGTAGCATGATAGTTCAATTTCGCAGGATCGACACTGTTTCTGTCAATTTGGTAGCGCTCGAGCAGTGCCTCTCGCTGTACGCATGACGTCAAAGCTGGGGTTTCGCAGGTGAAAAACAAAAGGATACCACAAACCCGCCCATCCCATCCTATGCTTACTATTATCCAACTATGAATGCGCAACAAGTCAACGCACGAAGGCGAAAAGCTACAAGCTTGATAACGAGAAAAACCAAGCATCTCTGATTTGATTTCCCAATCTGCAACAAAGCGTCCATTGACAACAAACAAAGCAAATATCACAGAACAACAATAAGCACTACCGCACCCCGAAAGTAAATCGAACTTACCATCATGCAGAACAATCCCAACCCAATCAGCCCCAACACCAGCAGCAGCACCAGCAAGCCAAGCGTCAACTACTGTAGTATCGCAGCCTCAGCACACCGCGCCGATCTTCCGTCCTCGACGTCCAGGGTAGACCATCCTTCATGAGACCAAAAGCCTCACCAACCCTGGACCCAGCGTCCTTTCATTACCGCAGCGTTAGAAGCAAGATCAAGACTAAACACCCCAAATATGACCCAACAAACAAGCCGCGCGCGCAAGAATGGCATATCATAAACGCATATTCATCAGGGGATATCAAAAGCTAGCTAACCAAACGAGTGTGTACGCGCACCGTACAGACCAACTGACTCAACCAATCCCAACCAACCAATCTACCAATCTATCCCTTCTCTAACCACAACCCTAGCTCCATCTTCCTCTACCCCTCGCTCTTCTTCCCCTCCGAAACTACAGACGTCGTGTCCAGCCACGCAGGGCTCTCGCCCTCTCTCGCCGTCCCCACCGCCGCCCTCGGTTCCAGGAAAAAGCTCGTCCCAGGCGCCGGCGACGGCAGCGGCGACGGCGTTGCCACCGAGCTGTCATGCACGCTGCTGCCAGTCGAGTTGCGACGGCTGACAGGCAGAGGCGGCACGGGCGGAAGATCCTTGTCGACGCGCGGGCTGCGCGGCGACTTGGGGTGATTGAAGAGCGGGTCCTCGGAGAGGGTGCGGCGGTGGGAGGAGGGATAAGCAGGCGCAGGCGCGCGCGTCGATTTGTGGTGGTGCGCAGAGCTGGCGGTGCTGGCATTGCTGGCGCGGTTGGCGCGGGGACTGCGCAGGCTGCGGGGCGTGGATGTCGAGGCCGTTGCTGCTGGGGGTGGTGGGAGAGGCGCTGCGGCGCGCGAGGCTGCGGTGGATGTTACGCCCGAGCTGCGCGGGCTCTTGAGAGAGCTGCGCGGGCTGCGGAGCGAAGAGCGAGGGCTCTTGAGTGAGCTTGGCCTAGATGCCGTGGGCACGGTGGCGGTGGTAGAGGAGCTGCTGCGTGTGCGCTTTGACATGAGGGACGACCTGATGCCCTTTGTTGACAGCGTCTCCGGTAGCGAGTTTAGTGGTTTGAGCGATATAAGGCTCCGGTGCCCCGAGTCGCAAGACTGGCGGACCTTAGGTGGGTAATACGGTCCTGAGATTTGTTCGGTGTGGTGCGAAAGCGGCGTCAATGGTCCCTCGGCGAAAGACGTAGTCCCGTTGGTTGAGTTGCCATACATGAGGCCTGGTGGACCGACTGCTGTGATTGCTTCCCACGGGCCTTCTACTGCGGTTGCAGCGGTCGAGACTGGTGATGCCTGCATCTCTACTTCTGAGATGTCGAGAGTACGATTCTTGCTCACGGGCCAAGGTCGGTTTGACGCTCCTGCCACAGTTGGGCTCGCTGGAGTGGACTGGACGTTGAACGGGCCTGTCTGGAGCTGTAACCAAGGCTCGGGGCCATGAAGAGATCGACGCTCCCTAATGGATCGACTCTTGCGGCCACAAGAGAAACAGAACTTGAACGCTTTTACGTATTCACGTCGGAACGGACCGGTGGTACCGAAGATGCAGAAGGCGATGGTGGCTGGAAAGCTCTCTGGCAAGTACTGCCAAAGCTCAACCCTCACCTGATCCACGCTGTAGTCCGGTGCATTGGCCTCAACCCTGTCAGGATCACGATTGTGCTGATAGTTGACAGTCTGGTAAGCAATGAGCGCTCCTTCGAAGACACTGCGGGTCGTTAGCAAACAATCGTAGGTCTTTGCCAGAGGGCAATAATTACAGGAGAATCGCCATGATGATCCCGAATCGAAGGATGAGCCACTTGTCGGTGCTGGCTCTGTTTCGAACCGTGGTGCTACTGGATACAGTCCTGTTTCTACCAGACGAACCGACTATGTAAGAAGTGTTTTTGTAAAAGATACGATTAAAAATGTTTCGGCTTTCCAAATACTTGTATAGTACTGCTACTACAACAAGGGCACCGGCCGTGAGGCATATAACGACTACGATGTCAAAAATTAGCATGTCGGTAAGTACAACAGTGCAGTTGAAACTTACAGATGGCATTTACTAAAAAAACGAAGGCGAGTGGGGCGTGTGCAACTGACGCGACAGCCGCAAACCCGATCATGAGTGCGGGAAGAAATAGGGCTGTGAATTTGAATATGACAGACATAGCCCTTTTGTTTTGCTGCTTTATACGTATGTTGTACGTCCCAATGAACAAAGTGATTGACCTTTGGCAAAATCAGTATTCGAGTCGCGTCTTATTGGCAGACCTAGCAGCTACTCACCAAAACAAAACAAGGAGACAATCAACATCGTAGGTGTAAGTGGCTGTTGAATCCATTAGCATTTGGTCCGCTGTTGAAGTATCATAAACTCTGGAAGAACATACCAGCCCAATTGACTCCAGCGCGCCATCCTCTGTCAGACTTTCCAAGCATGGCGATTTGGCTATGCTCATGGCGTTGGCGCGCCTCGAAACGGTCGTCCACGATCTTTCTCCAGTTTATAACATAGTCAAGATGAGTAATGAGACTGAAAAGAGAACCGAGAGTGGCGGATCCTGTGAGCAAGAGTATGTCTGCCATCCGTGTCAGTCCGCTTGCACAGCGCAGTCAGCGTGATTGACAAAACCTACAGCTAGTTCGTTCGCCATGCCTCCAGAGCATGAACAGCAACAAACAACCCAGAAAAACTCCGATAAAACCCAATATAAAGACGAATACGGCAAGGCCTACCGCCTCCCGCGGGATGCCTAAGCCTTCAGCCATGCTATTGTTGAACGCGTGAGTCTCGGCGGAAGAGCAACATCACGCTGAGATCGTATCCATATTTTTTCGTTGACGCGGGGTAGTCTCGGAGGGGTATGGCCGGTAGGCAAGCAAGCACTCTAGATCCGCCAGCAGTGAGTACCTACTTCATGTATTAGGGCCAGGAGTCCCAGGAACCGCTCCGTGGGAAAGGCCGGCCATTTAATATACGAGCTGCATAGTGGATGTGAGGAACCTGCATTCTGCAAGGCCCAACCCACACCAAAGGCCCAAGTGCCTGTCATTTGCGGGACAAGCAGCTAAAGCAAGCCTCAATGAGCGGGCCCACCGTACCACCGCAGCAGTCCCAACGGCAGATCGACAAATGGAGCTTTGGACTAGCCACGCGGGCGCGGGGCGCATGCCTCTTTAGTCCCTCCGATGCCTGTCACGGTGAAACAAGATATGGTCCAGGTCCGGCGGAAGCCGGGGAAGCAAACACGGGAAGATGAAGTGTGGCGAATGCGAGCCGGAACAGCAGGCGGTGCTCGCTTGTCCCTGGTATACAGTGAGACGGCTTCTCCACCGTGACTGCGCCGTCGAAGATAGCCAGCCTTGTCGTCGTTTTTCATAGCCGGTTGACATGTCCACTTGCGGAGTAGCGGGAATAGTGAACAGCCACAGAATCATGAAACCCGTAAGGCCGGATTTTAGGAGCACGCTCTCTTGCGCTAATCACCGCCGGGACCGTCCGCGAGCCCGAGCCGCGCGACTGGGGGCGCAGGTTGATTAGTACTCCATAGAAGGAGCCTGGGACCTTTCTTTTCCTGGTACCAAGGTACGTCCGTAGCTGGGTGGTGAAGTCGTCGCGTGGTTGTAGATACGTAGTGGTTACCGGTAGGCAAGAGCTTGTGGTAGCGAGCGCGTCGCTTATCGTCTGCGCTTGCCCGGCTTGGAGCGACCTCCATCGACGACCACCGCCTGCATCTCTCTAGCCCATCGATGACTCTCTCTATCCCCCCTTTCCACGTTTCCTCTCATCAATCTCTCTCCATGATGCTCCCGGGGATCCCACCACGCGCCAGCCGAGATTCGCGTGCTGACGATTCAGTGGGGCCCTACGTCTCCAGCCGTTTCACACCTTGACACCTTGGAAAACGAACTCGAGATGGACTGAAGCGTTGGTCGGAGGCAAGAGAGGCCTCTGCACTGTACAGCAATTACACCTACCGGCATCAAAGCGTCACGAGGACGCGTCTCCCTGTCCGACCGCAGCACACGCTGCACGCAAAAAAAGCACTCGCCGCCCAATTGCTCCATCCCGTGCCGCTGAAGATGTGCAGGGAAAAAAAAGTTCGAGGATAAGGACAGACAGCCGACTGCGTCCGAGTCCCGACAGTTGACCGCCGCCGCACCTGCCACATCCTGACCGTGCCGGCCACGTTGGACGCGGGAGCCGGCAACACGCAACCGGCGACCCGTTGTCCAATGATGATGATCAAACGATCAAACGCCTCAGCAGGAAGTGGGGAGGAGGATCAAAAGAGGGTTCGGATCGGATGCTGTAGAACTCGATTGCCGCTGCGGCCCTCGCGGGAATGAAAATAGGGGGCCCAAAAGACTTGCTTAACGCCCTCTCATGACCTTGAAAGAGCCTGGGGTACCCGGAATAAAGGTCTGCCCCTGAAACAAACTACTACTTTCGACTACTTTTCGCGATTTTGCTGCACGAGCCCCACCAAAACACAGCCCGCTGAGAGACGATGAGCGCCCAGATTCCAAGTCAGCAGGCGCCCAATTCGCCGGTTGTCGATGTCGTTGGCCAAGAGCTCCTTGTCGATGCAAGTCCCTTCACCTTGCTGCGTCTCCACGATGCGGACTGCTCTTCGCCCACTAATAGCTAACTTCTGAGGTGTTGTTGCGTGTGCAGTCTAACGAAGCAAGCGAAGTCGACTCCACGTTCGGCGACTATTTAGATTCGTAAGCAAGCTACAATCCCAGTCAGCGTTCTAGACTGTAAACTGAGTGCCAAGCAACAGTACTACGACATCCCTTGCCTCGAGCGTCACGAATTTCAAATACGAACATGGTCGGAGGTACCATGCTATTGAGACTGGAGGTGTGTTTTGAGACCATCTGAACAGTGTTATATGCTGTCAGAGCACAAGAAGGCTGACATTGTACCCCAGTTTATGCTATCCCAAACGATGAGGTACTGGATCTCTGAAAATCTCCGTGATGTCTTGGCTGATAATCTTCATTCCTACAGCAAGAGGCAGAACGACTCAGTAGGCATGCCCTTGTCCGCAGTGGGTGTGTGTGTGTGTGTGTGTGTGTGTGTTTTTGTTGATGATGATCCATGTTAGGCCTCCAGCACAAGGTATGGGAGATCGCCTTGAACAACAAGTTTTACATTGCTCCGTTCGACCTCAAGCCGGGGGATGAAGTCTTGGATGTCGGATGTGGCACCGGAGGTAAGTGTACATCACGGGGTAGTCTTGATATCCATTATCCGGACGTGCCGGAGGACTCCTTTCCATACCTGGCACCTACCCTTTCCTAACTAGTCCTCAAATCCCCGATGGCATACCGGGGTTTGTTCCAACGTCAAGAGGCATCCGCCACACATGAATGGCTAACCCCGAGCTCCAGCATGGTGTATCGACGTGGCGGACGCCTACCCAGACGTACAAGTCCAAGGCGTCGACCTGTCGCCCATCCAGCCGCACAACGTGCCGTCCAATTGCGATTTCCTCGTCGACGATGTTGGCGCAGAATGGACGTACGGGCCACGCTTCAACTTCATTCACTCGCGCTTTCTGCTCGTGGGCGTAAAGGACTGGGCCCACGTAATTCGGCAGGCTTTCACCAGCCTGAAGCCCGGCGGCTGGGTTGAGCTGCAAGAGTGCCAGCTCCCGCTCACATCCGACGACGGGACGGCCGGGCCGGACTCCGCGTCAGGGGTGTGGGGCGCCGGCATGCGCGACGGCATGGCTCAGATGGGTTGCGACACCCTCGCCACGCTGAGGTTCCGCGAGCTCATGGAGAAGGCCGGCTTCGTCGACATCCAGGAGACGCACATCAAGTTCCCGCTGGGCACTTGGCCTAAGGGCGAGAAGGAGAAGAAGATGGGCGCCCTGTTTGGCAAGGACATCTCTGAGAACGTGTCAGGCATCTCGACCAAGATATTTGCTCATGGTTTGGGATGGTCCAAAGAGCAGGTCGATGAGTTTGTGCCCAAGATGCAGGCTGAGATTGCCAGCAACCGCGTCAGTGTTATTGTTTTTGTTGAAGAGTTCCTACTGATTCTCTTTAGGTGCATGCGTACATGCCCGTCGACATTTTCTACGCCAGAAAGCCCGAGTAGGCTGTGTGGCTACACTGCGGTGCCCGTCAAGCCTCGAAAAAGTCTTTCGCTTGTATACAATAGATTTGGAGAATACAGTCAACATTGGTTGCAACTTTTGTACTGGGCAACAACTTCTAACGTCAATACGCGCTTGTAGCTATATCCTGCTAGGCTTTTGCGTAATACTCTGCACACCTCTTTATCGGTATAAAGCGAGAAACATTGTATGATGTCAAAGCTAAAACAATCTTAAAGCAGACTCGACCTACAACACTCAGTTCAACATGGCAAGGACTCTCTCAAAACAAATTATTGTCAACCAAAGCTCACAGTAACCTGTCTTCCGTCAGTCCACTGCCAGAGCCCAAAAAGTATCGCCTCTCCGCCCACACGCCGAAGTGCACCTGCCTGTCTGGAGCATCCACCATTCCATCATAGCGAAAACCGACCACTGCCACCACACCCACAAAACAACAAAACAACAACATAACTCTCAAGAGGCAAAAGAGAATATTGACAAGGACGAGACTCGAACTCGCGCGGGTTGCCCCACCAGGAATTAGCGTTAAGATGACCTTAACCTGGCGCCATAACCAACTCGGCCACCTTGCCTGATTGTTGAAAAGCCGTTTCTTAAAATCCAATAAATACTGCGCAAAAAAAAAAGCACCAGCCACAGCGGTTCAGACACCAGAGCAATGCAGCGCCGCGCTTGCTAGTCAGTTTTAACGAGCTAGACCCTCTCGCCTACTTCCCTATACGAGTACCCACATCCGGTAATTGAGTTTACAATTTATAGTGCCACGACTCACGACTCTCTTGTTAGTGAGGCTGAAGCAAAAGACGCCGTGGGCGCGTGCGCGCTTGCATTGTAGGCGGTGTGGACTCGGCCAGTGGGCGGTGGAAACGGGCGCGCATGAAGGAAGCTCCGCACGGCTTGTGTGTAGAGATTGCTGGCGGCCGCCCCTTCCCTTCGCCTCGTGGTTGATGGTGCGGTTTCGCTGGAGATATACGAGTTTCTGCCTTATTCTGTGCGGTTCCTGAGTGCGAATATCGTGTAAACGCGCTGTGGTGGCGGTTGCCGAAGCGAGATCAGGCCTGCGGATCCGAGCTTCGGCCGGGGAGACGGGCTTCGGGCCTCGGGGCCTTTCAACACCACGAGAAAAATGAGAGCGCATAAGGCCGTTAGGGGGTGCTTTTGACACAGGGTTGCTGCGGTAGTAAAAAGATTCAAAGAGTTTCTGCCTGGTTGGGTTCTCTCTGTTTCTCTTTTTGTTTTCCTTTTCCGCTGTCGCTCTGTCTCGATCCCTCTCTCTCTACCATCCAAAAAATAAAACAAAAACATACAACAGTTGGGATTCGCTAGTGGTCACCCACCTAACTACTAATCAACCGGTTCACAGCTTAAATTTGGCAGAGCGGACGGGATGCCTTGTTCTCTGTGACCTGTGGTCGTATGTGCTGGATACTGTGGATTGTAATGTTTATAAATGGGGTTGTTGTGGAACAACTACAGGGCGAGTAAGCTTTACCATTCGGACACATGGCATATGAGAACAGGAAGATTGAAATACCTAGCGGGAAAGTACAGAATCTCTTCTGGCACAGGACTTTGAGTTGTGGATTTGTGATTTTTAACGATCAGAAACGAGAAGTTGAAAATAAAGATGGCTGAAGGTGGAATGGAAGTAAAAGTCCACGATGAACGCAAAAGACCTTAACGAAAGGAAAAGACAAAGCTGTGAGAACAACGGTAGGTAAGAAAGACGGAAACTTGCATCTTGTATAATGTAGATTCTACCTGGAAGTGTAGACAATCTGCACTCACCAGAGCTACAGTAATCGCCTCACCTTCTTGCATTCCGAGGAATATAAAAAATGAGGACGACGTAAGATCGATGTATGTCGAAACAGACACCTCAACTCCACCTAATTCCCGACGACCTGCAGTGCATAGAGTACGCCGACAAGACGCAGCATGATGCCGTCGTGACGTCCCGAGCCGAGCCGAGCAATCGCGCCAGCCAGGCCGCTACGCCGTGGCGATCTTGCTCGTCCCGCGCTGCACTCCGCAAGTCGTTGGTCGCAGAGCTGATGGAGTGAAAACGTCACGTAGGTCGGGAGTTGTGGGGAATGGCCCGCGTGCAAGGTGGTTGACTGGGTTCGTTTGGTGGTCGTCGTCATGGGGACGTCAAGCTAATGCCGTTAGGGTAAGATGGCCTGTCAACATCAATATATCGAGACGTTGTCGCTAGTTGTTTTGGGAATATTTGGGGTTTGATTGTAAAATCTTTGATTTGGTTTTGAGCTAATAATTCTTCGCCGTTGTGAGTCTGGCTGTGCTTAATTTTTTCTCTAGTCCTTGACACTATAGACGAGGAGTTCTTTGTATAAAAATAAAAAGACATATTTATTGTTTGTGTACTATCCCATATACACGATCCATTATTGTTACAGTCATTCAATATCCCAATTAATCCAACATGACCACTTTTCCTGAAAGCCAGATCAGCACAAGGAACCTCCAAACCCTCCTCCACATCCTTGCATCGTGACATCAAGATCACAACATCAGCACCCACCCCAGCTCTTGACATCAACACACCATCACTGGCCAGCCTCATCTAAACATCCCGGCAGAAGCGCCTCCAACGCAACATATAAACCATTACCACGCACTCCTCTCCTTCCAACAACAACAACAACACCCACCACCACCAACAACCAAAACCCCAAAACCAACCAAACCCCACCACCACCCCCAAAAATGCCCACCGCCAACCCCAACCCCGCCAACTTCGCCAACCGCCCCCACGAAGAAGTCGAAGCCATAGCATCCAAAGGCGGACAAGCCAGCCACAGCCACGGCCACAGCGGAGGAGGAGGATTCGCGTCCATGGACCCCGGCAAGCAAGTTTGTTTCCCTTCCTTTGCTAAAAGCCTCACTTCCCCTCCATTAATACCCTAAAACCTTACTCCCACTCCTCCTTGCCTATAAAGATAGGTCAAGAATTCATGAACAGACAGCGCTAACCAAGCCCTCCAGCACGACATCGCTTCCAAAGGCGGCCAAGCCTCCAGCGGGTCGTTTGAGCCTGGGTCCGAGAAGGCGCGGGAGGCGGGCCAGAAGGGGGGGGTTGAGATAGTGGGTTCTGACTCTGTTGGATCAGGGGTCGTTATGATTGATGGATGATTTGATAATGGTTTGTTTTTATTTTGTCAGGTGGAAGCTTCGTTTGTTTAGTGGATTTGGGGATCCTGTTTTAGATTATATGCGCTCATTTTATGCAGTCAGTTCAAGTACGCGTTTGTTAGAAGTTTTGTTGCAGCCGCGCTCGCGGGAAAGAACTGCGGCTCAGTGAAGTTAGCTACCTAGCACACGATCGACCGTCCTAGAACCTCTCACCTATCCCAAGAAACGAAGCCCAAAGAGTTTCCCCAGCCCCAAAGCCTCAAACAACTTAAACGTTTTTATACATACAGTCATCTCTCAATTCTCCTCGTACACAACAGCAGAACCCTGGTATCAACTAAGACCATACTCAGAACGCCATCAACCCATCCGACACATGCCGCCAACCCTAAAAGCCCCCTGTCCGGCTCCTCATCTTTTCGTTTTACATTTCCTCGACCGCGCAGTTCGGGTGCATGACATAGACAACGTGATCCTGGCGCTGCAGGCCCTCTCCCTGGTCATCCGCGAGACCCTCGCCACGGATTTGCATAAGGATGTTGTCCTGGAATGACCGTTAATTCGATGCTCAAGAAATCCCAGAACCGATGAGATGCTTACCTTGACCATCCGCTTGAGCACCTTCTTCGCTAGCGTCCGCTCGGCCTCCAAATCCTCCTGCGTCTCCAGCTCCGCTTCCTTCTGCTCCAGATACCACACCAGCAGCTCCTCTTCCTCGACGCCGTCCTCGCTCGTTGCCGCGTCCGCGTTGACCCGCCGCACCAGCATGTTCAGGATCGTCATGTACTTGTCGTACGTGATCTTGGTCCTCTCGCGCGCCTGCGAGGGGCCTGGAGTGCTCGACGCGCCGGGCGCGGCAGGAGTGTTCTCGGCAGGTGCTTCTTCCTCGCCATCACCCATCTCCTCGTCGGCGTTGGCGCCGGCTTCGGTATCCGCTACTGCGCCTTCTTCCTCTTCGTCCTCGACTTCGACGTCGTCCTTCTCGACTGAAATGATGGATTGTCGCAGCAGGTTGTATGCCTCGCGCACGAATTCGGGGGTCACCTCGCTCACGCATGTGGCCTTGGCGATGGCCTCCGACAGACGGATCATCGACTCCAATTGTCGGACCGTGATGCGGTAACTGTTGCGGCCGATTCCGCCCTGGGCGTCGTCCGCACGCAGCTCCTTGTATTTCTCCACCAGCGTTGTCTTTGCCTCGGGCGTGAATTCGGGCTTGAAGGTGCGCGCGAAGCGAATGTAGCGCTGCAATTGCTCTGTGCTGAACTCGGGCTCGACAGCGTCATCACGCAGGCGGTGAATGTTGACAATGTGCTCTGCCAGGTGCTTGTCCACACCCTCGTCACACTCGTCGAGGACGACAAAGAATAAATCGAAACGAGACATGATGGGCGCGCTCATGTTGACGTTCGCACGAAGCGTCGTCTTCCGGTTGTAGCGACCACCAACTGGGTTTGCGGCAGCGAGGATGGACGTGCGCGCGTTCAGGGTGGCCTGGATACCGGCCTTAGCAATAGAGATGGTCTGCTGTTCCATGGCTTCGTGGATTGCGACTTGGTCGGCAATGTCCATCTTGTCGAATTCGTCAATGGCGCAAATACCATTGTCGGCAAGCATAAGAGCACCAGCTTCGATGGTGAAGTCGCCAGTCTCTTCATCCTTGACCACGGCAGCAGTAAGACCAGCGGCCGAAGACGCCTTTCCGGACGTGTACACGGCGCGAGGCAGGAATGAACAGATGTACTTGAGGAATTGAGACTTGCTGGTACTGGGGTCACCGACGACGCAGATGTTGATGTCACCTCTCAAAGCCATGCCTTCCGGCGTAACTTTGCTTACACCGCCCATAAGCTGGAGCAAAAGACCCTTCTTGATGACCTGATGACCATATACCATAGGTGCAATGGAGTCGACCAAGCGCATGAAGATGTTTGGCTTGTGAACCATGTTCCGGAGATCCTCAATTTCAGAAGGCGTAAGGGTGGCCAGGTATTCGGCCTGCGCTTCCTCTCCAGTCTGGTTCGTCTCCATGGGAGCGGTCTGGTTAAGAGAGGCCAGGATATTGCCTGCCTGGCCCTGGAGGTGTTGAGTTGCGCTCTGTCCTGGAGTGGAAGTGTCGGGCGTGACCATGCAAGCAAGGAACGCCATTCTGTAAGTAAGATCTCTGACACCAAGCGCTTTAAGGCCACTGACACCACTACCTCCAACATCGTTACCTCTTGGCATACTGCTGTTGTCCCTCATCGCCTGAGGCCTGACACCCGGTACTCTGAACTGACTGACGTCAGGGATAACGATGGCCGTTCCAGTGAAGATACACTTCTCTCCTGCCTTGGCACGGTCGACCATTTCTCCACGCAGAATAACATCCATAGTACGGGGCATGCTACCGGTAGGAATCTCGGAGCTGTTTTCCTGGATACGCACTTTTTGCCAATCCACGAAAGTGCTCTGCCTTATGTCCAGGCGCCATCCCTGGCGGTTACCGCAAGTCAAGTTGGGACATTGCGTAGGCTCGGTGTAACGGAAAGTCTGCTCGACGTTGGATACTGGAGTGTTACAGACTTCACAGATAAATGTAGCCAGAGACAATTCTGGGCGGACTTCTGAGGTACGGGTCACGGTGCCAGAAATGGACAGGAGTTTGCCGATGGACGATGTGCGCAATTGGCGGATACGGGAGACAAGCGGCAAGTTGTAGAAAGCAAGCGTGAACAGCTTGTCGGTCTGCTGGTTTGGTGTCTTGTCTGACATACTTTCCTCTTGACTGGCTCCGGTGCCGGCCACAGATGAGTTCGTCACGGACGAAGTGGAGTTTGGTTGTCTGTGTTCCCTGAAATATTGCGGCTCGTACTTCGCGATCAGGTTGTGGAGGGCCCGGGTCATGTATGGAAGGAAACGGTAGTACTCGTTGGCTACTGCGTTTGCCACGACACCCTCTTCATGCCTCATAAGGTGGGTGAAGTCGACATAGAGTGTTGACAGGCCGTATAACCGCAGACCGTGAATTTGCGCAATGTAGTACTTGTCGGTAGTCTGTACTGCGCTTGATGCAGGTACGCCGGAGGAAGCTGGGTCTTCAATGTAGCTTTATGTACATGTCAGCTCAGGCAACAAGACGTATGGTTTTGGGTTGCTTACCCTTCAAGGAACTCTTCGAATCGCTGCGACAAGGTCTCGCCAGTGACATCCACTACACGGGGAATGTCCTGGCGCGGACCTGCCGACCTGCGGACAGTTCCCCTTGCACCAACAACCTCATCATCCGGAAAGCCTTCGATATCGCTATTTGCGCCGGCGCCGTCAGAGGGAGGGCCTCTTTGACGGGAAGAGGAGCGTTGTTGTCTTCGCCTTCCACCCGTCGGATCGCTTGATGATAACGGGGTCGGGGCGTTGAGGTCAATGTTGTCGGACCCAAGGACTGCATCCGCCATGGAAGACATTTTGGGCGACGTGGGGAGGCAGTGGTGCTTGTGAGGCTTGAGGATTGACCAGTGTTTTCCTGCGGGGAGTTTGGTGTTTTCGGTTGTCAGGGCGGCAGGACGGCCGTGCACAGTGGAGCTTCGGTCGCTATGGAGGCGCGGTCGCGTTCTGACGCGCGAATCGACGCGTCATGCCAAGAGATCAATTAACTGGCCCAAATAGGTCAGAGTCACTCGAGTTGAACAGCAAACGCCTGCAGCAGTTTACAGGCAGCCCAGTTTTCCATGGCTGTGTATGAGGAGTATCCAACAGCACCCAGCCTCAGTAATTTTTCAAGGCCAATCTCTGGGTTAGTAGCCTATGTCTTCCAAATACAAAATTGCCAGCCTTCATAAAATAACAGGTCCAGCGCTATGCAAGATGTACCAACTAAAGCACGCCTGATTATATTGGGGAAGTCGTCATCTACTTGCAAAGCACACAGTAAAGGTATACTATATTCAATTTTAGCTCGTTGATATATATATTTATTTTCCGCCTCATAGCCAAGTACACACCTATGTATGGATGTGAATGAATCACAGTCCAGCTAGAAGGTCCACCTAAATACTTATGATGCCTTTGCAGGCCCTTCTACTATCAATAAGGACCGTATACCGTATAGGATTAACACCAGCCTCCTATAATGCATACTTTACATCGCCTGTGCCTTCATCGCCTTACCGTACTCGTAGTTGCAACACTTCAGCGCATGCTTGTAGAGGATCTCGTCTTCGGAGTGGAAGCAGAAAGTCTCGCTGCTTGCTTCCGTCTTGCCCTTCTCGAGCATATCCATGTCATCTTTGTCCCGGTCATTCTTGGTCCAGGGCGCGCTACCCAGCTCTTTGGCATTTTCCTCCTCTTTACTCTTGACCAAGCTTCGTGTATGTGGATAAGTACAATGTCCTGGTCGCGCTGAGAGCCCGAGGATCGCTCTCGGTGCTTCGTCTGGAGAAGACCCGACTAAAATTTTAGCCCTAATCGATAACCGCCCATGTTTTTGTCGTGGCCCCAGATTGCGTTACAACTATCACGCACATCGCGCTCGTGTAACTGGAGGACGCTTCTTTGCGCATATGGACGGCTTTCAACAGCGTGACTGCAGTTGTTGTCTCATTCTAGAGCCGTAGAGAGAGTGTATATGGCACTCGCACATTTTGACAGTCTGGGCGACGCGGCCACGATTAGCTCCTCCGACCCCGGCATCAGCCCTACAGCGCGTGCCCCTCCCGATATTTTTTTGTTGGCGCGCCGCGCCTTTCCCACACTTCCTTCTCGCTCTGCGTCTGCCATCTTCCCCCAGAAACCGCAGGACGCAACCACGCACAAAGCCCACCATGTCTGGCACCGGCGAGCTTCCCATTGAGCCTCACAAGACGTTCGACACCATCCTGGTGTTGGACTTCGGTATATGCAGCAATTTTCGCGTCTGAATTGCTATGACTCTAACCTGTCCAAGGCTCCCAATACTCCCACCTGATCACCCGCCGTCTGCGCGAGCTCAATGTCTACTCTGAGATGCTCCCGTGCACCCAGAAGATCAAGGATCTTACCTGGAAGCCCAAGGGTGTCATTCTGTCGGGCTCGCCCTACTCGGTCTACGACAAGGACTCTCCCCACGCCGACCCTGCCGTTTTCGAGCTCGGCGTCCCGATTCTGGGCATTTGCTACGGTCTGCAAGAGCTCGCGTGGCACCACGACAACTCCAATGTCCTGGCCGGCGAGAAGAAGGAGTACGGCCACGCGTACCTGAACGTCACGAAGCACGCGGGCAAGTCGGAGCACATTGACAAGCTTTTCCAGGGTCTCGAGGAGAACCTGGAGGTGTGGATGTCTCACGGCGACAAGCTTGGTCACCTTCCCACCGACTTCGTCATCCTGGCCCAGACCAACAACGCTCCCTTTGCCGGTATCGCGCACGAGACGAAGCAATACTATGGTATCCAGTTCCACCCCGAGGTCACGCACACGCCGCGCGGCAAGGAGCTCATCAGCAACTTCGCCGTCGGCATTTGCCGTGCCGAGCAGAACTGGACTATGGCCAAGTTCGTGGACCAGGAGATTGCCCGCATCAGGGCCCTGGTCGGTGAGAAGGGTCAGGTCATTGGCGCTGTCAGCGGTGGTGTTGACTCTACCGTTGCTGCTAAGCTGATGCAGGAGGCTATCGGCGACCGCTTCCACGCTGTCCTTGTCGACAACGGTGTCCTCCGTCTCAACGAGGCCCAGATCGTCAAGGAGACCCTGACGAAGCACTTGGGCATCAACTTGCACGTCGTCGATGCCAGCGAGCGCTTCCTGGGCAAGCTCAAGGGCATCACGGATGACCCGGAGAAGAAGCGCAAAGTCATTGGCAACACCTTCATCGAGGTGTTCCAGGAGAAGGCGAGGGAGATCGCAGATGCTGCGGCGCACACGGACAAGGCTGGCGAGATTGAATGGCTGCTCCAGGGCACCCTCTACCCCGATGTCATCGAGTCCATCTCCTTCAAGGGCCCCAGCGCGACGATCAAGACGCACCACAATGTCGGTGGCCTGCTCGAGGGCATGCACCTCAAGCTGATCGAGCCTCTGCGCGAGCTCTTCAAGGACGAGGTCCGCGAGCTCGGTACCAACCTGGGCATCCCCGAGGAGCTCGTCTGGCGCCACCCCTTCCCCGGCCCGGGTATCGCCATTCGCATCCTGGGCGAGGTCACTCCTGAGCAGATCAAGATCGCTCGTCACGCCGACCACATTTTCATCGAGGAGATCAAGGCTGCGGGTCTCTACCGGAACATCAGCCAGGCCTTTGCTGCGCTGCTGCCGGTCAAGGCCGTGGGTGTCATGGGCGACAAGCGTGTGCACGCCCAGGTCATTGCCCTGCGTGCTGTTGAGACGACGGATTTCATGACTGCGGACTGGTACCCCTTCGACGGGCAGTTCTTGAAGAAGGTCAGCAGGAGGATTGTGAACGAGGTTGACGGCGTGTGCCGTGTGGTTTACGACAGTAAGTGTTTGCAGCGCGCCATGGACACAACAATAGACGACGATGCTAACAGACGACTGCAGTTACGAGCAAGCCCCCCGGAACGATTGAGATGGAGTAAAAAGCGGCGGAGGGCAACAACGGGGTGTGGATTTAGCATAGACGAGGCGTTACGGGACCCGGAGGGAAAAATTCCAGAGACAGAGAAACATGTCACGATAACTACGTTGCGCGCGCAGTTGGATCGAAGCGGCGCGATACCCATAGACGTAACACAGAAGGCAAAATATTGGATCAGCAAGGAACAAGCCATCTCATCGTCGGGTTATGGCGTCATTGTTAAAGTGCGGGCGGGGACCGATGCGGGCAGAAAGCGACCGAGATAATCGCCATCGCAAACAGAAGGCAGATCGCTGACGGAGGCGCGACGAGCGGCTCGAGTGCCTTGAAAACGCAATTGATGAGGGGTGTGAAGGGAAAGGCACGAAGGACGGGGGGGCCAGTGCGAGAGGCTGGACTGCCCCTCTGTGGGGACATTCGTTCATCAGGCACAACGTCGCAAGCGATGACATCATGGGCGCGTCGAGTTCTTCTTATAGCGGCCTTCGCTCAGCTTAACTGCACACACAATCAAAGATACCCAAGCAACTACTCTCATCAATTCACTACCTACCTTACTCTCACAAACACACACAAACCTCGTTTTTTTTTATTTCCCAAAAAACACTCTCACACAACAACCATGTCCGGAACCTCCAACGTCGGCAACCGCGCTCTCTACGAGGCGGGCGACCAGCGCAACTACGCGGACAACGAGGTCCAGAACGCCGAGCGCTACAAGGAGGGCAAGCCCAACAGCCACTTGGCGCAGGACTCTAGTAAGGCTGCCTCTGCATTGTCCCTGCAATTGCAAGTCAACAGCATATCTGTCTGCTGTTTGCAGAGGACAAGACGAGCCGATGGGACAATTTGCTAACCACACACCCACCCCCAACAGAGGACGAGCGCACCATCGCCAACAAGCTCGCCCGCGAGGAGAAGCGCGAGCACGAGGCCGAGCCCGAGTCGCTCGAGCACCAGCGCCTCGAGAAGGACGCCACGCTGCCGGTACGTCTCCCCCCAACCACACCACCCCGCCTTCCCTACCAATTCCTACCTCCCTATCCCCAGGCACTTGGCCATCTCTACTCTCAACAACCATTCTAACACACCCGTTCGTCTAGGCCAGGGCCCACGGCAACGCCCCCAGCAAGGGCGCCCAGCTCGACCAGGAACTGCGCGAGGAGGACGAGGCCGCCCTTAAGGCCAAGGGCCACTGGGGCTCGAAGCAGTAGATGCCGAGCGCCTGCGTTGTTGATACCATTGGGGTTCGGCACACACGGAACTCCCTACCCCCTGCCTTGAGTTTGAGATAGACCTTGAGGAGGTGTGCTGGAAAAGTTTATTTAGTAATGCCGTCAGGCGATGAAATTATGATTTGATGCTCCCTCTATCTGTCTCTCCGTCTCTGTCTTTTGCACGGACGCGAGTGTTTTTGTTTTGTGCTTTGATGTTTGGGTGTAGGCGGCTGTAGTGGTTTGGCGCGACCTTGTGGTGTCAGTTGTGCCAAAGGCTGTTGGGTCGGCTTCAAGAGCTTGTCTACGTCGAGCTCCATTTCTTTCTTTCCTATCCGCCGTCTAGTGCTCCCACCTAGTCGCTCGCAGCTGCATACATATCTACAACCCAGCCCCCACCACACCCATATCTACATGCACATGCACATCCTCTTCTACAACCGTATCTACATCTACATCTACGCCTCCGGCACCGGTCTGCGCTCAGATCCGCGCCGCCAGCACCACTCCCCCTAACTAACCCTTGCGGTGCATGACCGTCGCGGCCGCCTGTACAAGTCAGCAACAGTGCCCCTCTCTTCCTCGTTGGCCAGGGAAAAGGCGCCTTACCTGGTGGTTGGGGAAGATGAGCGTGTCGGCAATGACGACGTTCTCGCGGCGGCCGGCGGCGAAGACGATGACTTCGGCGATGTCGTCCGGCGTCAGCGGTTCGACGCCCTTGTACACGGCATCGGCTTTGGCTTTGTCGCCGTAGAAACGCACGATGGAGAATTCCTGTACCCATGTGTTAGTGTGCGGTTCTTCTTTCTCCTGTGCACGTTCGTGTTCTGGGGATTGGATAATTGGAGGTAGGTAGGTAGCGCTCACCGTCTCGACCTGCCCCGGATCGATCTCAATAACGCGGATGCGCGTGGCAATCAGCTCCTTGCGCAGCGCCTCGGTGAAGCTGCGCACGGCCGCCTTGGTCGCGCAGTAGATGCTGCCGCCGGGGTAGCCCTCGCGGCCGGCAATGCTGCCGACATTGATGATGTCGCCGGCGCCGCGCGCCTTGAACCCCTTCAGCACCTCCTGCGTCATGTGCACCAGGCCGGTCACGTTGGTCGCGAGCATCGTGTCGATGTCCTCGGGGACGATGTCGGGCGCTTGCGCTACGCCTTTGACGAGACCTCTACAGCGTGGGTCAGCAACGCGCACACGCACACAGCTAGGTAGGTACCCAGGTACTCACGCATTGTTAACCAAGACGTCAATCGCGCGCCACTCCTCGGGCAAGCGCTCCACAAACCCCTTCACCTCGGCGGGCACGCTAACGTCCAGCTTCGCAGCGAAGACCTTGACGCCATCGCCGACCTCGGCTTTAATCTCTTCAGCCAGCTGCTGCAGCGCCTCGGTGCGCCGCGCCGCCAGCACGAGGCGCAGGTCCGCGGGCGCGGTGCGCGCGAACTCCAGCGCCGTGCTGCGCCCGATGCCGGAGGATGCGCCGGTGATCAGGACGGTCTTGCCTTGCAGGCGCTTGCTCATGGCTGAGGACATGGCGCGGTGGAGGAGGGGCGCGAGGGATTGGAGAGCGTGTGTGCGGGGTCCGGCGGCGGTGGTGGTGGTGGTGGAGGGGCGGAGAAGGGCGAAGCTGGTGCGAAGAAGGCGGATTGCCGGCTGGCGCATGCGGTTTTCTCTCTGCGTGTGTGTTGGAGGGGTTGGGTACAAGTTTGTTTTTTTTTTAAATTTTTTGAAAAAGAGACAGAGTGGGTTGGAGGTATGGTGCAATTGATGCGGAGGATTGCTCAGTCGCGTGGGTGGAGATGGCGGCTGCCCCGAGCTCAAGCTCCATCAAGCAAATGCCGACGACCCCGCCGGCTATTGCCCCGACGACACTTCTGTCCTTTCCGTCCTTTCGCGCGCGGGTGCTTGGGTGAGCGACGCGACACTTTGTCTCTGGGACTTTGGTAGGTAGATCAATTGGATTGGAATATGGCGGAGATATCGTCGTGTTGCTTTGTGCCGTTATACCTAGGTGGGTGGTAGTCAATTGGCTGCGAAAATGGAGAAACCAGTAAGTAAAGAGCTGGGGAAGTGGATAAAGACATCACGTCACACACGACAAGATGTACTGTAAGCCCAGCAACAAACGATAGGCCTAGGTAGGTAGCCATCAGCGCGCCTATAGACATTCCATCATCCATCGAGACACGCAAAACACATTCATAGGTAGGTACCAAGGTGCGGGAGGTACCGAGTATTCCAGACACCCGGCAGCAAGCAAACATGCACCCAATGCCCAATGTCCACTGTCTCAGACAGGCACAACCCTCTCGGATACCCACGGCTACAAGCATGCACCCACCCAACCCAGGTCGCGCCACCGCTTTCTTTCGATTCCTGAGTCAAGTCAAGTCGCGGTCTGGCAGACGCAGAAAACAAACAAACAGCGGCTCTACCACCACTCGGTATAGGCCACCATGACTGCGAACTGTGTCGGGACATGAGACACAGGCACGCGACACTCGCGTTCAGTGACTTGAATGGGTTGCGTGGGTTAGGTACGGTGAGATAAAAAGCTCGCAAAGCCAGCGTACCAGGGACGAAAAACAGGGTTCTGGCCTGCGTCCCATGGGACTCTAGTTGACACGGGGCGGAAAACCGTCGATACCTTTGCGATTTCAGCGGCTTTGGGCTTTGGTGTCTTCTTTTCTGCTTTCTGCTTTCTGTTTTTTGTTCTTTTTTTTTTTT